GAAGGGCTCTTATATTATTCTTAATCTGTTAGTTTTCCCTCTTAACTAGACCGTTCTATGTTAAGGTATATAGGACTGTTGTCTAAGCTTCAATTCTATACTGTTCTTCTAGTCTAGAGAAGTGTTTCACTAGTTCCTTTACATTGTTAAGTCTAACACTCTTAAGAAGATGTCTAGACTATCTCTTAACTTAAGTCTTCTAGGTCGTAAGCTTATTAGGGCATTCCTTTCTCTCCTTAATAGGGATTATCTAGGACATTCTTATATGGTTATCTTTAATAACTATTGCCTAGGTGAAGCCTTCTCTAGAGGTAGGGAATGGTCTACATATATTAATAGATACCCTTTCTAGGGGGTGTTCTTTTCTAGCTAATACCTTGCCTTTTAACTTATGGAATTTTGTTAGTGTATAAGTCTAGCATGTGTGCTTAACAACTTTGACTAGTTTAGCTATAGTTGTAACCTTATATAGGTTTGCAATCTTTGTAGATCTAAGGTAGGCAAATCTCTAGTAGTATAGCATGTAGTTGTTAACATCTCTCTTGTTAGAATCATTAGCATTAGATTTACTATTAACTTCTTCTTCTTAAATGGAAGGTAGAGCCTTAGGTGAATTTGTTATAGGTACTGCAACATCGGTTTTAAGTAGGTCATCTAGTTAGGACTAAGTTGCTATAAAAGCCTATAGATTTAATTTTGTCTAAGCTAGCTTTAGTAAGATGGAATCTAGGATATAGATTCCTCCTCTCTCCTTTGCATGTAGAACAATGTTACTATCCTTATTAAGGTAGTACATATTCTGTAAATTAAAGCTGCCTTTTAAACCGGCTTTATACAATTTTCTCCTAGAAAGTAGATTAACTCTAAGCTTAGGAACAAGTAGAACATCCTTTAATCTAAATCTCCCTCCTCTGCAGTCTATTACATCTATAACTCCTCTCTTTATTAAAAAGAGTTTCCCTCTACTAATAGCGATTGTTGTTCGTCTTATAGTTATAGGAGGTTTACTAAAGAGAGAGGAGTTATTAGTTATGTAAGAACTTGCGCTAGAGTCGGATATCTAGCAGTCTACTATTATAGTACTAACATTTTCCTTGCTTAAGTTTGCGAATTTAACTTCTGGTTCTCCTTAATCACTTCTAGATAGGCTATCTAAACTAGAGTCAGATGATTCTAATTTAGTCTATGTTGCTAGATAAGCCTTAGTAAACTTACTTCCCTATAGCTGTTTAATAGATTTCTTTAGGTATTTAATTTCCTTGTTTAGTCTTATAACTTTAGTTCCTTAAGAAGATATCTGCTTACTTAACTTCTTGTTGTCTAGATGCTCTCTTTAAAGCTTTCTGCTATAGGCCTTAACTATAGAGATGTAGTTGTAGGACTTTATCTAGTAATCGGGTGCACTACATAGATGATAGCTTTATCTATCTCTCTATAAAGGACTCCTTGCTCTAGCAGGTACATCTCTCTTCTAGAAAGAAGATTTGTTCTAGAAAGAGGACTTGTTGTTCTAGTAAGGCTTCTTTACATAGTAGGCAGCCTCTAGATTAACAGTTGCCTATGCCTTATTTAGAATGAGTAGGACTTCTTTAGGATTAACTTTTCCTCTAGCATTAATTCCTACTTTATATGTAGCATACTCGATAGGTAGTGCTATAAGTAGTTGCTAAATTCTAGACTTAATTGAGTTAAGAGATTTCAATTTAGGTCTTTATTTAACAACCTTCTTGCCTAGGGTATTAATTTGTTGCTAGGTAGCATTAATTGAAGTTAATGCATTAATCTTAAATGTAGAAAATTTAACTAGGTATTGTCTGCCTGCAGATGTAAGTCTTATCTTATACTTCTTCTAGAGTCTCTCCTAGATGGCTTTAGAAGTCTCTTCCTCTTTAACTAATTTAAGGTCAAATTCATTTAGAGATAATCTAATATAGTATCTAGCCTTTACATCCTTTTGTCTAAAGAGTGCAACATTAGTTGTTCTACTAATAGGTGGATCCTAAAGGGAAATGTTCTTTACCCTATCTATAATAGATGCAGGTATAGGAGGTGTTATAGGGGGTGTAGATGTACCCTCTATAGTCTAGAAGACTCCTTTAGCTTTAAGCTAATCTCTTATCTACATAAACCATTTATCTACATTATCTCTACCTAGGGTTACTACCCTCTAGTGTTTAGACATTATGTGGTTATCTACTAAATCCATCTTATAAAGATGTTGTAGTTATAGTTATAATTAAGCTCTCTTTCTATTATCGTGTTACAATTTCTAATGTGTTAGTTGCAAGTTAACTTGTTGTATACTAAAGGTGTGTATTAGCGGAAGGGATGGATTTCTAAAGGTACTTAACTAAGGCGAAATTGCCTAAGTAGGCTTAGTTGTCTAAAGGGTGAAAATGGGTAACTATATGTCTCTGTTTCTACAGTTGTGTAGGTTACTAAGTATCCTAGTTGCCTTAGTAATGTGTGTGTGTAGCTGTATATCCTTGTTTCTATAGCAGTGATAGGTGACTAAGTTTCTCTATTACCTTAGTAGTGTAGGTGACTATGTATCCTAGTTACTATAGTCTCTCTCCTCTTGTTTATCTCCTACTGTTCTTAGTAGAGCCTTAACAAGTTACATAGGTTCTAGGATTATGCAAAACCNGGGCTTATAACTAGTTAAAATAAGTCGTGTAACGGGTGCATAAAATACTCTAGCTAGCGTAGGGAAGTAATCCTAGAGCCTATAGAATTAACCGAAGGTAGAGACGCGACCTTTGCTAGTAAAAGCGTGCTAACAGTATATAGCATAGTAATTGATTAAAGAGAAGAAGAGTATCTACGGGCGTAATCTANTAAGTTAAGAAGAGAAGTTAGTTAATGTTATATAAGTTAAGAAGGGAAGTTAGTTAATGTTAATGTATTAGAGAGGGTTAAGAAGAGAGGGAAGAGGTCTTTTATATGTAGTAAGAGGTGTTAGAAGCTTATAAATACTTAAGAGGAAGGAAGTATATAAAGCAAGTAGGTGATGAGCTTATAGAAGCCTATAAATGTCTTAAGGAAGGAGCTCAAGATTAAGAAGGAATAGGTAATAAACAAGGCTTAGTTAAAGCTTATAAATGTCTTAACATAGGGAAGAGCTTAAGATTAAGAAGGAACAGGTAATAAGTAAGGCTAGGTTATAGCTTTTAAGTAGCTTAATAGAGGGAGAAGCTTAAGATTAAGAAGGAATAGGTAATAAGCAAGGCTAGGTTATAGCTTTTAAGTAGCTTAATAGAGGGAGAAGCTTAAGATCGAGAAGGAATAGGTAATGAGGAAGGCTAGGTTAAGGCTTTTAAGTAGTTAAACAGAGGGAGAAGCTTAAGATCGAGAAGGAATTAGTAATGAGCGAGGCTAGGTTATAGCTTTTAAATAGTCTAAGGTAGTTAATATGTTTAAGCAAGAATGAGAGTACTATTCTTTAATAAGACTTAAGTATGTTAATGGCTAGTTGTTAAGTGGTTAAGAGCAAGTTTGAGGGAGTTAAAGAATTTGACTTCCTAATGCGGTAATATCTAATGGATATGACTAGATATGACTAGATATGAAGTCCAAATGGATATCTAGTCATTAGTAGATATTGACTAGATATTGTGGACTTAGAAAGGGGGTCCTCTAGATATGGATTAGACTGGATAAGTTGGACTGGATATCCATCCAGTCCTAGCTCTGTGCGAGATAAGTTCTTCCCCTCACTTATCAGATGACGTACTTGACCCGGTTCAGGGTTAGCTACGGAAGCAGTCGCTATCAACTTCGAAGATAAAGAATCTCTGGCATTCAGTTGTACATGTCATAGAACAGAACTACGATAGTCACATCCATAATATCTCGGAAGCGTGTCCACTACCTATACGGTCGCCATGGCTTGTCACCCTTTCGTAGCACAATCATCACTCTTCCACCGCACATTCGCCTACGAGCCAGAAACCATTGAATCGGGTCAAGGTATCACTCTCATCACAAACACTGGTCGCCGTATCCTCGACGCCTCTTCAGGTCCAGCGGTATCTTGTCTCGGTCACTCCAGACCCGACATAGCTCAGATCGTAGCAGAGCAAATCAACAAAGTCGCGTATGTTTACTCGGGCTCTCGCTTTACTTCACAAGCTGGAGAGGAACTAGCTACAGAATTGGTCGGCCACCGTCCTGGAGGTTTATCCAAAGCCATCTTTGTCAATTCGGGAAGTGAAGCTACGGATGCGGCTATCAAACTTGCAACACAATATTGGCATGAAGTGGGCCAGCCTCAGAAAAGGCACTCCATTGCCAGAAAGCAGAGTTATCATGGAAATACTCTCGGTGCTTTGAGTATCTCCGGTCATGATTCGAGGAGACAATTGTATGCGGATTGGCTGTCCTCAAATGTCTCCTTCGTTGAGCCGAATATGCCATATCGCTTCAAACACCCTGGCGAAACCGACGCGCAGTATCTGAAGAGATCTGTAGATGAGATAGAAGATGAGATTCAGAGGCTCGGTCCTCAACATGTTGCAGCATTTGTTGCTGAGACTGTGAGCGGTACAACGTTGGGATGCGCTCCTGCCGTCGAGGGTTACTTCAAAGCTGTCCGCGACATTTGTGATCGACATGATATCCTCTTGATTTTGGACGAGGTATGTTGAAAAGTCCAAAAATAAAAATTTCAACTGGAAATTCTGACACAATCACAGATCATGTGTGGCATGGGAAAGACCGGCACCTTGCATGCGTGGGAGCAAGAAGGTATCCGTGGACCAGACCTTCAGACCATCGGTAAAGCCCTCGGAGCTGGTTTTCTGCCACTGTCGGCAGTGTTGGTTCACGAGAAGATCTTCGATGCACTTGTCAATGGCTCTGGTGGTTTGGCACATGGTCATACGTTCCAGGTCTGTAAAACATGGCCCTGACCAACCAGAACCTATGTGCATAAAATGCTGACATGTTTCCCAGGCACATCCAGCAGCATGTGCTTCCGCTCTGGCTGTCCAGCGTATCATGCGCGAAGAAAATATCCTCGATAACGTCAAGGCCATGGGTCGTGTTCTCAGCAATCTTCTCCACAACGTGATCCTTCCACTTCCTTTCGTAGGAGACGTCCGAGGCCGCGGTCTTTTCTGGTCGGTGGAATTCATACTAGACGAGCAGAACCGTACCCCGCCCCCCTCTGAGATGCAGCTCGGTACTAAAATCGTCAATAAAGCACTTGATATGGGGCTTTCGATTCTTGGAAATCTGGGTCAGACGGGCGCGGTCTATCTTGACTTTGTCATCGTTTCGCCTCCTTATTCGGTCACTGAGGCCGAGCTGATTGAAATTATTGATCTGCTGAAAGATGCTATTATAGCTGTGACGGATGATCTTGGATTGGAGAGATGAGGAGACTCTATCAGAGTCCTGCCACCAGCCGCATTTAGATGGCAGCAGAATGTAGTAGCTTGATCAATGCGAGTCAGCCCTACTTTTCGGATTGGTCGAAGCACATTGAATTGAGCCGTTTCACGAGACAGGTTTGATCAGACGCTTGATCGTAGAATCAAATCTGTGGTGATGCTCCGAGGGAAGACCAAGGCGCCAAGGCCATCGGCAGCCTGAGGACCAACTCGGACGTCAGAGCCTCCACAGGTGCTCAAACGTTGTTGTTCCCGAGTGGTGATATCCAGGATATAAGGACTTTGAGTACCTCCAACTCCAGAGTGGACGATACGACCTCCATCCATCATGACTTCCTTGTTCGTTACCTTCACGGTATCCTTCTTATTTGTCTTACTCGGACGTATCAATCGCACAAATGCTCAAGAACTAGTTGGTTGCGCTGCGGTAGATTGCCCCAACCGGTACGAGAACAGAGATTCTCCAACATGTCAGGTCGAATCGACGGACATGACACTGATTGGTCTTGTCTCTTATCAAACCCCACTGTCTGAGGATAACCTAACCTGGACCATTGGAGACTCTGGCCTGCAATCAACCATCACGACATACAACCGCACCGTCACCAGATCATTTTACCTGGGCACTCCCCCATCGTTAAACTTGACGTCTTCCACTTTGACCCACCGGGGATGTGCAATCTCCATCGTCTCACCTGATAGAGGCGCATATCAATTCTATTCAAAAGGAGCGCCGCAGTATGCGAATGAAGCTTCCTGCGCAGGAGCTTTGGGCGAGAACTGCATTGACGATCTGACTGGGAGAGTCGATGAGCTGGCTCGATCCAACGCTGGTGCGGACACGTATAGCTTCTGTGCCAATATTGGGGAGGGCCTTCGGGCTAATCCACCACTAAGCTGCTACATTCGTGGTCAGCGGATTGAAGCAGTCGCACTGACAGGATCTTCGGCCCGACAATCCATCGTGGAGCAAGGAAATGGAAGCAGCAACTGCTGGCCTACACTGCCTAAGACCAACGACTTGACGAAGATATTCGAATATGACCACGTTGCTTATCTGGACGACACAGTGCCTTGGTTGGGATACAATCCTTTGATCACGGTATTTCAAGCAACCGAAAACCAGACTGGAGCTTCGCTCGACGATAGTGTTGATATACGATTGGCTTGCATGAAGATTGTAGACTCGGACAATTTCAGCGGTAGAACCCTCGATAATGGCACTGGGACTGGGGATGCTGAGGGCGGTGCAAGCATACTTCAGGGTAATAGTGTGTGGAGCGTCATGGTCCTGGTAGCTGGTGCGATGTTTTTAGTGGTATAAAACCTCTCACCAAAACCTTGTCTTCGTAGCAAGTGCGCGTGATATGTACAATTATCAATTATCAATTATCAATTATCAATTATCAATTATCAATTATCAATTATCAATTATCTTGTGACTCGATCGAGCTTCTGACGTGAGTCTCAAGAGTTGTGATGGATGTTGTTCGTGTCAAGAGAGAGTGTTTAGAGTGTGTCAGGTCGAATTGGCCGTTCGGGATGTCAAGCGGGAAAGCCGAAGATGATGCGGAGCTCTGACGCCAAGCCTTTCGAACTTCGGTCCCGCTGTTGCCTGCCAACATCAACAGCCTCATCACCATTATCGCTGTCAACTCACAAGTTACCATCACACGCGCAACTCTGTTGGAACAGACTGGACTGACCCTCTCGTGTGCTTGTCGTTTGTACCAAGTACTCGCTCTGAACCGTCACGCGTGCCCGCTTCTACAGGCCGACGCGCGCGACCGCGACGACTTGTTTCTTCGTACCTCGACCTGCCCGACGCGTGTCTGGTTCACGTCTGCTTTTGACATCGAATGCCCGCTTCCTCTTCTACGCAAAGTCAAGGCTGCTTTTTACACGAATTCAAAAGCCTGGGTGGGCGGGTGCCTTCTCGCCGTGTTTCACTGCCAGAAGGGGCAGTCAGGTATCGTATTCTTTTCGAGTGACTGACTTCTGCACTCGTCGTGTGCATGACACTTTAGGTCTTATAACCGCACGACTCCGCAGCCATGAATGAGTACGGTCTCGTCTCGAGTGATCCCCCATGGAAATGGGTTGTCGAAAAGCCGTGTTTTGTCTCTTGGAACCATAAAGAGGAGGGACCATCAAGTCTTGGACAACTGTCGCCTGTAAATTCGACGTCGAAATTGACCATCCATATTGGTTGGCGACCTGAAACCAACGAGCTGTTGATAGCTTTACATCTTCCGGTATCGATACGCGCTTCAAGACATCCTCGCGACATGTTCATGATCATCCCATGCGACTTTGATATCTCAAGGCTTGATTTGAGTTTTGCTCCCGTGCAAGCCGATGGACGACTTGATCTAGAGAGTGCCGGTCTTGCCGACTGCAACCTGTTCCATGTTTCGTTCAAGTTATTCAAACCTTGCGATGTTGTCATGCCGCAAGCGAAACGTCAGAAGCCTGTCAAAGGCACTCCGAAGGAGCTGATGGCGCGGCTGAAGTCCTTGTCAGAGACCTCCTCCTTCGATGCATACTTCAGATTCGACACCTTTGCACAACTAGAGCTGAGGAAGGTTTTTGCTTCCGCCTCCCAGTACAACACACCTCGAATATTGCTTGAAAGCATGTACGACGGTCGTGGAGGCGGCTTCAATCTCTGGCTCAATCAAGGCTTGGGTGTTGAGTCTGTCGATGCTATGAAACTGGACATCAAAAAGTCCGACTCTTATGCAGGACCATCCCGACAAGATATTCCACCTCCGCCATATACCTCCGACACTATCCCATCACTGGATCTAAACAAGCCACATGTGGAAGTGCCTTTTAGTGATGCAAGTGTCGCCTCCGTATCCATATACAAGGATAGTGATGTCGAAGGTGTGCCAGAGACGCCGTTCTGGGTACGCATGCGACGAATCATGGACTATCGATCACCTAGTGTTGAATCCCCTGTCAGACAAGGCAGGTTCAAACGTGCTGCTAGTCTTGGGTCATTCTCTGAGAAAGATGCTCGTCTAGAAAAGCAGATCTGCTTATTCCGATCACCTACTTTCGGGCCCTTGTTACGAGAAGCCTCTGCCCCTGTTACTTTCGCAAAGACTATAGCAGACCACCAGGACGTAGTAATTATTCCAATGAAATCATCGAATGACAGGCTCGACGACATCGCTCGTTGGTTATACACTGCTTGGAGCGTTTTACCATCTGCCCACCACGATCTACGCACAGAACTCCTCGCCCTCGGCGCAGCTGAAGACCAACCATCTTTTGCCAACCTTCGCGTCCAGTGCTCCACACGACTAGCATTTGCCGCAGCACGAGCACCAAAGCAAGCATCAACATCACCCGTTCTGACAGAGATGTCTGACGCTGAAGCACATATTCAGGAGATTGTGCGATGGATTAATGATGTCAGAGCTGATGGTGATGTGGCGCTGATGCGTGAGCTTGTTGCTTTGGCGGGTGCTGCGATGGATGTTGTGGAGTCTGGAGTAGATGTGAGGGCTGAGAAGATGGAAGGATTCATGATGTGTAAAGCGAGGTGTATTGCTTCTACTTGCGTTCTTGGACGCGCCGTCACGACTTTATGATTTTGGTCTGAATCAATTTACCGCGGTTCTCGAACAGCACACCGCGAAGTCGCTTTGTCAACTACTTTCAATATCCGCCCGACATACTCATCATTCATTCAAGCTCAATCTGCAGTCGGGTATCCTCAAACATATATATATACAACTATCTACCTGTCAAACTATCCACACAAAGCCGTCCTGTTATAACTCAACCCATGTCCAAACCTAAACAAAGGATCCTCAGTATCAAACGGCACATCAGCAACCTGCTCGTCCACCGCCTCCATACTGCTCGGCATGTCAAAAGGCAATTTGCCCTCCGGCTTCCACCCATCAACATTAAACACGACATCCAAAAACGCATCAACACTAGCCCCATAATGCCCAAACAGCGCCGCCGCCTCTTGCGCAATTTCCGGAATCACCGCTGGTCTATCGAGCAAGATATCCACTATAGTAGGACAGGAATTGAACAGTTCTGAATGTGAAGCTTTTTGCGAAGTGTTGAAATCTAGACGTCCTTCGTGGTAGCGTTGGCGGAATGGTGAGCCGCGGGCTTCGTAAGGGGTGCTGAGGCGGAGGAAGCAGAAATCCGCTTTGTAGGGTTGGTCTACGGTTTGTAATCCGCGGGCTTCCAGATATGAAGAGTTGAAACCTCTGGCGTAGAATTTAACGCCATCGGTAGGGCGGAGGGGGAGTGTGTTTATTTGATTGGTGAGTAATGTGTATGCACGTCTCTGCGTTTCATTCCCAATCCTCGCGAAATAGGCATTCCCCACTACCTTTTCCGCGGCTTCTGGGTCTACGAATCTGTGGTCGAACAGTCCCAGGAGGAATTTCTCTTCTAGTAGTTTTCGGACGGAAATGTCGAGACGGGATTCAGGGATTTGGCCAGAGGTTACGAGTTGGATGAGTAATTCTGTACGTATTTCACCGCCGAATTGATCGACGCCGGCATCTAGGACCATTTTCGCTCTTTCCGATTCGGTGGTGTTTTCGAGGCCCCAGGCGCGTGCTGGTTCGATTACATTGAGGATTGCTTGGTCGGTGATGAGACCCCAGTCACTTACCACTATACCTTTGAACCCGAGTTCTTCTCTGATTAAGCCCGTGATGACTGGTTTGTTGAAGCCGAAAGCCACTTCTGGATATTTTGTGCCGATGGGTCTAGCATAAGACGGCATGATTTGGCGACCTCCAGCTGCAATTGCCGCTTTGAAAGGAATCAGATGGTAGTCCAAGAAGTCGCCGAAATAAGTATTATCCTTTCCAGTAGCGAAATGCGAATCATTGCCATTCCTACTCGGTCCAGCACCGGGAAAATGCTTAGTAACCGTACTCACAGAGTTCAACCCCAACTCCTCCCCTTGAAACCCTTTAATCAACGCCACAACCATCGAAGCAGTCAAATTCGCATCTTCGCCGAACGTTTGCCCACTCCTGGCCATGCGTGGTTCGGTAACCACATCGATTTGCGGCTGTAATGCATTCCTAATCCCCACAGCCAGATATTCTTCACGTATGATGGTGGCGTAGAGTTCAGCGAGAACAGGATCTCTCAGCGCAGCAATACCCAAACTCTCCGGAAATTTAGAAAACTGTCCACTAGCGATGGACGAACCAACGGTATCCGCAAACGCATGTCTAGGATCAGAAGCAATAGTAACCGGAATTTTCAATCTCGTCTGCAAAGCCAAGTTTTGGATTTCGTTATGCCATTCAGCCATTTGGCGGGCTGAGCGGGCATTGTTGACGTTGAAGTGAGAGAGCAATTTTTCGGTTATCAAGGGTGCGGTGGTGAGGTTTCTGGTGCCGTCGGGGATTATGGTGGTGTTGTCGATTGTGCCGTTGATACCGGCGGGGATTTGCTTGATGAAGAGTTGGCCGGCTTTTTCTTCGAGGGTCATGCGGGAGAGTAGGTCATCGAGGCGGTCGCTGATGCAGAGGGAGGGGTCGAGGTAAGGCAAGAGAGTCGAGTTTGTAGTGTTTTGAGAAGGTATGTTGGTTGTGGTTTCTGGTTGTGGGATTGCTGAGGCCAAAGGGGAGAGAGCGAGAGCTGAGATGAGCAGATTGCTCCATGAGGGTGATGGTGTATACATCTTGTCACCGACGTCTCAAGTCCAGGTTTATTGTCTCACCTTTTCTAGCAGCGAGACACCTTCTTATACATACTCACCAACCCACAACACCTTTCCATGCCGCCTCATCTGCCGCTATTCTATTCCTGACTCTGCATATCAATAGTCAGGTGCGTAGAAGCCAAGGCAACAAACTTGTCTTTCTCCAGCCATCCTTGCCAAAAGTCTCCACACCCCACATGCAAGATCCCACTTCACTCCACAGATCGCGGAGGAGCTACTGTGGAGGAAGGAGGTGCAGTGAGGCTTAGCAGCTCGAGCGTGATGGTAACTACGTACGCCAATGTTATACACGACCTTGGCGGTGGGGATACCCTGCTACAGCGACCCTTGGCGACATCCTTCGGAAGAGGGAGTGTCATGTTCGGAAGGAACAGCGAGGGATGGAATCAAGGGCCGTGTTTCCGAAGATCTTGTGATAGACCACAGGTGCGGTTATCTGCGAATCGAGGTTGTGCACAAGAGATGCCAGGAAGTCGTGGCACTCGGTCCGAGGTCATGATGAGAGATCCAAGCACACGCTAGGGATCTCTTCTTTATAGGCAATGGCGAATAGTGCTCTAAGCAAGAATACAACAATTTCTTACACCATCAATAGGCAATAAAGTGTAGAATGTACCTAGATGGAAGGTTCCAACAAAGATGCCGTTAAAAGACCTCCGCTTAATCCTCGGCCCCAAACCACAATGTCCGTCCAAACCTACTTGCACCTCAACCCTCGATTCTCCCCACCACCACAATCACAACTCCACACCCCTTCAAGCACAATACACAGCACCCCTACCCACATTCTTCGTATACCCAAGATCGACGAAAGTGCCATAATTCCAATAATCCTGCTGAGTACCTTGACCATCCACTTTAGCCGTACCCAAGAATTTGGCGGTCCAATATGCAGAGCCGGAGGTGTATTTGTTGAATGCGTATAAGCCCGTGAGTAAGTTCTTTTCCCTCAGGGTGAAAGTGTTGTTGAGTTCTGCTTGCTGTGTGCGAGGAGAAAAGATATTAGCTCGATCCACAAGGAAACGTAGAATGAAATTGTGGAAGGGTTATCAGAGAAGAGGCGCGGGACGAAAGAACTTACAATACTCCATTCACCGACAAAAGTAGGGAATTTGCCATCACCAGCAGAAGTTTTAGCGTCCGAACAGATGATTGCGGCTTCAGTGGCCGAAGTGGCACCTCTACCCGCGAAATAATAATTATGTATATCAAAGACCAGATTGGCGGTTGCAGGAAACGAAGACGAGAAGTAAGTTTCACCTTTAAAGCCATCTTGAAACATGACAGGAATTTTCGAGTTGACGGCAGCGACACGAGAGATGACACCTTTGATGTAAGAAGTCACCCACGCTGCACCATTATCAGAAAGAGCGAGAGGTGTGCCGAAGAATTGGATATTCCTGTTGTCCACAGGTTCATTAATGGGTTCGAGGGTGAAATGCGATGGAAAGTTTGAGGTTTGGATGAAGTTGATGGCAGCATCCACGGCTCGATAGGAATAAGTCAAGGCGGTCGCGTTGTTGAACCAGCCGTAATTTCCTTCTTTTTCTCCAAATGCCATGCCGTTTACTCCGCCGGGAAGAGAGTGGATGTCGATGATGATGTGCATGTTGTATTTGTTGATGGCATAGCTCGATATAGTTTTGAGGAAGGAGAGCTGGTTACCAGAGTACAGCTGACTGCCAGGAACTTTGACCCAAGCGGCGTAGGTGGTGGGGATGCGAAGAAGGGTTATGTTTGCTGCGGCGAGTTTGTCGATGTCGGAGGTTGTGATCCAAGAGGCATATCTCTTTTCCAGCACGGGACCGCATTGAGATCCCAGGTTGACGCAAAGACCCCATTCATCGGGAGCACCGCCGGAATACTGATTCAAGAATGCGGTATCGATGGTTGATTCTTGGACAAGCCAGCCACCGAGGTTGACGCCGTTGGCTTTGAAGGTCTTCCAGTTGATGTAGTTGGTGCTGGGTGGTGCAACAGCAGCAGGGAGAGCAAGAGACTGCCCAACCACAAAGCTTAGAACAAGCGCGGCGATGGGGGAAGAAAACATGATCGTTCCAAGTCGAAGAGAAACTGCTGTATCGATTTGCTCATCTTAGCCAGAGGATCAATGCCATTTATATCACTTCTCATGCTAATCATCAAAGAGTATCACCGTCTCCAACCTACGTGATCGGGACAGCGACGTCCGAGCTAGTACACAAAACCAGTCCCACGAAAAGACAGCGAGCCCTAATTCAAATTCTTCTTGTAGTATAAGAGCAGAGGTCACGCTTAAACAGTCTTTCTCGCTTACCATTATAGTCCCCTTGATCGCTCACCCCGCAATGTGGAGACCCCGGTTCCTCCACCTTTTCCGCGCATACGTACGGAAGATCATTTACATTCGTTGCGACATCTTCTTGCATGCAACGTGCGCAGAATCTTTCCCAAGCGATGGTATGCCACTGTAGCGTCGGGGGGAGATAGTCCGTTGATGACTGAACGGTCACCTCTCTGCTTTGATCAGGACTCTAGAACTTGGAAAAGTGCTTCGTGATATGAGGACTGTTTGCGATGAGGACCTTACCGAGGTCAACTGAAGAGTAAAACTACCTTCTGCTTCGCGATGGACAACCGGCGAGCAAAAGAGTTGAAGAAAACAAAATAAACATACAGCAGCAGGGATTCCCACGTGGTCACCCACCGTAGTACTAATCTGCCGTTCAACTGCTTATGTATGGCAGAGCGGACGGGATGCCCAGTTTTCAGCTGACTGTGGCCGTATGTGATGGTTAGATTGTTGTTGCGCACTATCGCTGCTTGGGAAACAAAGGAGGCATAGAGGTCAGGCGATACTGGACTATCGTTATCATGATATGACCAACTTTGAGGTCAATTGGAAATCATCTCTGAAGGATATTGAAGAGAACGCTAAAGTGAGATGTGTCGAGAAACAGCGAAACGTGGTTGCGGCTGCGTGTGCCGCAAAGTCATAAGGACTTCTGATATGGATCGCAGTATACGGATCCGCTTGCATATGCGCCGCAATTGATCAAAAGAGGAAGCTGGTGGGTCAACAGAGATTGCGGTAGTGACTCGTCAAAGATTGCGAATTTATGTCAACGGCGGTTGCGATTCGTCGACACATCGATTCCAGGCCAGATATAACAGCGAGGTTCGATCAAGAAGGTCGCGTAAGTCTGACCGGTGTTCTTATACGAACATGTTGGCCAGCGACAGAATGATGGGCGGCCTCGGAATTTAGGTTTCGTGATGGGTCGTGTCAGAGAGCTCAAAATAGCCGCGGCTTTGATAGAGTGTCACACCGGTGTATGGATATTGGTAGAGAGCAAGCGATTGAACGCTTTTGAAGCTTCGAAATCGACCAGAACATATACCGAGACATGACGCAGCTTGTGACGAGGAAGCACAACGTACGGCATGCGAATCTCAATCAAGACGTTGAAGGAGTTGAGATAGCAATGGTCAAAGGAAGCGCTGGAAGGAGTGGCTTGAGAAAGTAGGCGACGCTTGGGGCAGACAGAGGGGCGAGCACAAGGGTCTCTACCCTTTTCCCGGAGCTTGTGCCTGACTAGCGCAGTTTGACTCCAACCGTTGTGTTATGTATCAAAGTGGCCTTGGCATGTAGAGGAGGATCTCGAGACAATCCCCCTGCCACTTGCTGCCTGCCTGTTTCCTACACTGTTCTTAGGCAGTCAATGGACCGAGGTGGTCATGCTGTGAGCGAGAAACAAGTACTGATATCCACGATTACGACAAAACACAAGCCACGTCCAGCGTCAACAGATCGCCCTCCTTTATTTTCCGACCCTGTCCCTCGTACCCCGCAATTTCGATACAACCTTTGGGCGTCCACACAACAAGCAGCGGCAACGATATGAGTCTCAAGGCCAGTTCCAAATGGGGCAAGCTGCTGCGCAAGAACGATGCCTCGGACAAGAATTTCAAGCTCAATGAAGATGTCGTTGACTTTCTCAAGCCATCAACAGAGAAAGAGAGGATTCCTGGCGAAGGCACGCGACAGCTGGCTGCTCCGCGTATCGACACCGCTGCTGCGCAGAGATGGCCAGAGGCTTCAGATGTGAGGAGAGCGGCTACAAGCCCCCCTGAACCAACATACTCGACAAAGCCAAAGAGGAAAAAGAACGTCACAGTCGCATTTGTAAGGACACCACCAGAGATCATTGGAGAGGGCGGTGACGAGTCGGACGTTCCAGTCATCGAGGTTTCAAGAGCAAAGTCAAGATTGGCAAGATCACAAACAGAGCGACGACCTGCGGCCCCTGTGCTAGACACTCAGGCAGCCGAGAAGCACCGCCAGGCAGCGAGTTATCCTATGAGCGCTCCTGCCGTTCGCAATGTCTACCAACGAAAGAACTCGCTGGCCGATCCGACACATCCTGTAAACCATCCCTTTTTCGAGTCGCAGCCTCAACCCGTACCTCCACCAGTGCCTGAACACGCTCCGCAAGATGACGCTCCGAGACCTGGCATGCTCAAGCGTGCTCCTACCACTTTCAGCAGTCTTGAAGACCACGAAATGTCACCAATGAGTGATAACGAAGAAGTCCCACCTCTACCCCCGCATATCGAACTTCCCATGACAACGATAAATCCTTCTGAGCCCCCTTTCTCCCCTCCAATAACGGACAACACAGAGCTGGCCAGTTTCTTGCAAGACTCTCCACCACAACCTCGCTCTTTACCTCCACGCGTGGCCAAACGCCAGAGCATGATCCGAGAAGAAGAAGGCAGAGTTCTGCGACGCTTGTCACGACTTGATTATGAAGAAGTATCCCCTGAGGAGTTGGATCCGCGTAGACCGCCTAGTCCAAATTCTCCTCCTCGACAGAGCAGATCTCGTAGTCCACAACTGCCCATGGTCGCGCCTACTGACTTCATCTCCGAGATCCCTGACCATCTCAGATCCGCATCTCCTGATCAGGCACCACCTCCCATTGTACTTCCACATCGATCACACCCGCTTCCAGAAATTCCTGGCCAGCACGATGGTTTTGTCAGGGCGGAAGTACCTCCCATCCAGACTAGGAACATGCAACCGTCTTTTTCTTCTTCTCACTATACGAACGACTCGGCACACTCAGCTTCGAGCTACCGACAACGATTACCCTCCGACTTCATGCCTTCTTCATCACCAGCTTCTTCGGTCCGCTCTGCTTCTCTACAGCCAAACAACTTTTCGCGACCGGTGAATCCATCAGCTAGTCATCCTCTGCCTCCACCTCCCAGCCGTGGCCCAAGTCGTGGTCCGAGCCCAAGCTACTTCTCCCAGCAATCTCTGGCCCCTCATGCAGCGAATGTCAACGGTCTAACCCCCGGACTTACCCCTGGTCTCACCCCTGGACTGCTTCCTGCACCTTCGTATGACGCAAACGGCAGATCCAATTCTGCGTTTTCCTACCGTAACGCGTCTCCATCAGAGCACGTCCAGGGTACTGCAGAGCATGACGCTCTCTTCGATTTCGGCATGCGTGTCGCGCACATGAGAGGTGTGTTCCGCCTCACCGCTGAGCGCGAACGACCGATCCAAAGCTGTACTATCCGGGAGTGGACTCGCGCTGCAATATGGTGGCTACACAAGGGTCGCGCAGGTCTGACCGCCCAGATTCGCAGTACACCAAAAGGAGCAAACAGACCCGAAACTCTCACGCAAGCACATGTTGATGTTGCAAAAACGTGGTGGATCCTTACAGATGTGTTGTCTGGTGCCGATTCACCACACTCAAAAATTGACTCTCCACAAGATACTCTTCTGCGAGACATGGATGTCGTACGCGCAAGTCTACGCTCTTTTACACTCTCGATGAGCCGTAACAACGTTATGCCTCCCCATCAATCTCTGATTCAAGGCCAAGATACTACCATGTGGATCGAGTATCCTCGTTTTGCGTCTGATGTCGCATCTCTTCTTCGCGGAAGCACCTCTCAGGCGTTGATCGCCCAAGATGACTACGAAGAAGCGGATCCCTTGGAAGCCTTACCACTTGGTGATACGAGAGATGTATTTTGCTACAGCAGGATGTTTGTCAGCGCATCAATAAACACGGAAGAAGTGGACACCGATCGTGTCATCCTGCCCTGCGTTCTCACCATGATCAGGAGCAAGTCTTCGTTCCAGACTTCGGTTGTGATCTCGAGTCAAGCAGATCTGGTGAATCTGGAAATCAGACCTGGAGATGGTGGATATGGTAAGGGACCTACTTGGCATGATGTTAGCTGGAAGTCGAAAGAGCATGGTCTGTACATCCGTCTTCCACGCGGTTTTACTCTCAATCTCGCTTTCCAGGAACCGGATTTCCGTGCGTTGTGGAGTATGGTCGACTATACGAACAAGATTTATGGCAGCATGAAGCCCGAGGCTGATGAGAGGATAATCCATGAAGCGCATCTGATCGAGCTCGCACATACTGACTCTACCAATCCTAATGCCTTCTCCAAGGACAAGGTCCGATCTTGCACTGCTTTTGTGTTTGAGAAAAGGCTGCACACTCGTACTGGACTCGGAGAGACCAATCTCCATCGCGGCTTCAGACTTCTGTTGATGGCCAATCCAACTAACAAGTCTCTGACCATGGCTGGCATTCCTCTCTGCAGAACTTCGCCCCTGCTATTTGAAATGTCGGGGGCGAACGAGCCTCCGGTCATGAATGTCCATACGCAAGACTCGAAGAGGCAGTGCAAGACTACGCTTATGTTCAAGGGTGGCCGTGAACGACAGGACTTTTACGATGTACTCCAGGGCATCTCAACAAACGAAGACGAGCAAGTTGTCGCAAGAGTCGGTCTCAGGAGCATGGTTGCTGAAGCGTCGACCGGACAAGATACGATTGCCGGAGCGTTCCAGGGTCTCATGTGGAAGGAGGTGCGTGTCATCACTGAGGCCAATGCAGCAGTCGGACAAGATCAGGGAGATATGACGCTCTCTGAGCATTTCCGATTGATTGCTATGCATGATAGTGGTGCGGTCACTGATCGATTGAATCTTGGCGAGTAATCCCACATCTGCTTCTATAGCGATCGCTAACATGAATCATAGGCCCTGGTGAGCTCTTGGTACGCCTTCCAGCATCAGGTGCGCCAAGCATGTCACTCCTGCGCGCACCACAAGAAGACTTGACAGCATCCCTCGACATCAGCAAAGCTCAGCACGGACGCGAAGGATTGAAGAGATTCGTACAGACGGCAGCGACCACGCCTACCACCCGCACCTTGACATTCCCTTCAATGGAAGAGTTGCATAACTTCCAGAAGGCACTCACTCGATACACTGTCAAGTTTGACTGCACCGCCACACTCTTTGCCATCTCAAGACGCAGAATGGTAGTGCCCATCTACAAGAAATGGGAAGCGACCAAGGTGCGCATCCAGATCTTGACATTGGGCAGCGTCACCAAGATTGCGGCTTTTTTCGAAGACTTCAGCCATGCAGATGCTATGATCTTCCAAATCAAAGCAGCAGATACGTTTGAGAAAGCCAAAGGAGATAAGCCATCCAAATACTGTGTCAAGTTTGTAGATGCCAAGTTCAGCTTGCCAAAGAAGGAGAAGGATGGAGAAGGTGGTGAAGATGAAACACACTCAGATTCTCAGGTTTGGGGCAAGGGTGTGCGACGTAAGTTCATCAACCTTGAGGCACTGGAATATGCCGGAGAACACGATGACATTACCATTGGTTTCGAGACGGAAGATGGTAAGAATAACTTCCATGACTTTATGATGCAAAGTTGATGCTAACAAGAAATACAGAACGCGATAGATTCTCCGAAGGGCTGCCGGCAGCAACGATCAACAAGACATTCCAGCTTAGAAGGAAGATTTGAAGAGTGTTTGAAGTGTAGCATTTCGTGTTTCTTTTGTTTCTGCATAGCGTGGTGAAGGAGTTTGGATGAGCATGTGCGAGTGACAGATGGCGTTGACCGCGAGGCGTATGAGATAGATCTGAGATGACTCAAAACATTGAAATCAACCGCCTACGAGCAAGAGTCGACCTTTGCATGACATGGAGAAGTGATGTTGAGAGAAAGGTGAAGATCAAGTTATGATCATGACTCGAGCAGGCGGCGGAGCGTCACTGATTGAATCCCCGCCACGAGTCAGCAAAATTCAGAAGACGGCGCTTGGCCGGCGACTTTCGAAAGAGTCACATCGCATTGCGCATCACTCCACAATCACCACAACCCATCACACAATGCCTGGACAACGTGGACCCGTACCAGTGCTGGCTCAGGCTGGCGGCCGCGACCTCACTCAAGAAGTGCTGGACCTTCTGGACACCAAGCAAAGCGTTGCGACCGAGAGCGACCTCCCCGATGTTGGACAAGCAGAAATAAAGGCCGCTCTGGACAGACTGGCCTCGAGAAACATGGTCACCTACGAGACCAACGACCAGGAGCAGGTCGTTCTTACAAAGGAGGGAGAGCAGATTGCCAATGAGGGCAGTCACGAGTTCAAGGTGTGGCAGGCCGTCAACAGCAAAGGCCAACTGCCCTTGAAGGAGCTTCCGGTAATTGTTCCATGGGAATCTGATGATGATTGAGGCAGTCGCTGATGTTGCGGAAAACAGAGCGTGGTCGGCGCAGACTCGGCCAAGGTCGGCCAGGGCAACGCATTCAAGCTCAAGTGGATCAAGAAGGACGGTGATGTTCTCGTGTCGCTGGTCGACTCGCCCAAGGACACAACCCGCGACATGCTCGCCGGCGTCCAGAGCAGCAAGAGTCTGTCGGACAACAAGCTTCTCGCCGACTTGAAGAAGCGCAAGTTGGTCACCGTCACAAAGGTCATCAGCTATGTTGCGTCCAAGGGTCCCAAGTACGCAAAGGAGATGCCTGTTGAGCACACCGACCTCACACCCGAAATGCTCGAGTCTGGCGAGTGGAAGACTGCAAACTTCAAGCCCTACAACTTCGCCGCACTTGGAGCTCAACAGCATGCTGGTGCTCTGCATCCCCTGATGAAGGTGCGCGAGGAGTTCCGCAAGATCTTCTTCCACCAGGGCTTCATTGAGATGCCCACTGGCAGGTGAGAATCGCTGAGATTCCTCCTTCTTTACGACCCCGACTAACAAGTTCCCTCCCAGATTCGTCGACACTGGCTTCTGGAACTTCGACGCCCTCTTCGTCCCCCAGCAACACCCCGCTCGCGATCTCCAAGACACCTTCTACGTCTCAGATCCCGTGTCAGCCGACTTCCCTCGTGCCGACCCCGCCGCAGACGCAGCAATGGACGCCATGGAAGCCGATGCCAAACTCTACGACCCCCGCCTCGCCTCCACCGAACAGCCCAAGCAAGACTACCAAAAGTACTACGACAACGTGCGCAAAGTACACCAAGACGGTGCCTTCGGCTCAATCGGCTACCGCTACCCTTACAACGACGCCGAAACCACAAAACTCGTCCTCCGCACACACACAACTGCTGTCTCCACCTACGTTCTGCACAGACTTGCCGCCAACCCTCGTCCTTGCCGTTACTTCTCCATCGACCGTGTCTTCAGAAACGAAACCGTCGATGCCACCCATCTTGCCGAATTCCACCAAGTCGAAGGTGTCATTGCCGATTACGACCTCACTCTCGGCGGCCTCATGGCTTTCCTCGAAGGTTTCTTCGCCAAACTCGGCATTTCCAACCTCCGCTTCAAGCCCGCCTACAACCCCTACACCGAGCCCTCTATGGAAGTCTTCGGTTACCACAAGGGTCTTGGAAAGTGGGTTGAGATTGGAAACTCGGGCATGTTCAGACCTGAAATGTTGGAGGCCATGGGTCTGCCCAAGGATTTGAGAGTGTACGGTTTCGGTTTGAGTCTGGAGAGGCCGACGATGATCAAATATGCTGTGAGCAACATTCGTGATTTGCTCGGTCACAAGGTGGATTTGAACTTCATCGAGAGCAATGCTGCTGTTAGATTGGACAAGGATTAGATGATCTGCAGAACACGGGAAGGAAAGATTGATGAATGCGTAAAATGTTCAAGTTTATACCAAAAAATGCAAAGACCAATTCACCCAAGGTTCTCGCCAGAGAATCACAGATCGATGTGATGATGAGGGTCTGCGAGGAAGTCGCGTCTAGTCTAGATTCTGCGACGGCACTGATTGCTATCTTTGACCGCTTGGGGCTCACCATTGCGCCATGCTTCTCCGCCTCAACTCATGCTGCACGCGCGGTATTCGCTCACGCAGCAGAAAGGAAAAAGAAAGGCGAGAAAAAGTAAATAAAATTCCCCGCAGATTGCAGTTGCGACCTTGCTGCCTCCCTCGCTCGTCCTTGTTTCTCGGAGGCGGCTTCCTTTCGCATTTTCGACAATTCACCGCTTCTCAGCCGGAGTATTCACATGTCTCAGTCAATTGATACCAGTGTCGAGTCCGGTGGTCAGCACCATGCAAGCCACTCAGTCTATTGGCTGCAAGTCTACCTGGATATGCACTGCGCAAGCGCCTGCAGCCTTGCTGCATGAGCGGAATGATAAGATCAGGCTGGCATTTTCAGCTCGCCATGGTTACATACAATTCCTCACCACATTCATTCTCTTCTGAGAACATCGCGATCTGGTCTGGTACCATAACCTTTCAACAGCTTCACACAGTTGTCGACGCCGAACCTTGATCCTCGATGGGAAACGAAAAGCTCACGCACGATGACTACACAGTCGCGTGGATCTGTCCTCTCGAGATAGAACAAATCGCTGCTCTCGAGATGCTGGACGAAGAACACCCGAGATTGCCGCAATCAGCGAATGACCACAATGTCTACACTCTCGGAAGCGTAAAAGGTCACAATGTCGTCGTCGCTGGCCTCCCGACGACTGGAAACTGTTCTGCTGCAACGGTTGTCGCGCAAATGCGAAACACCTATCCGCATTTGAGATTTGGCCTTCTTGTCGGCATCGGAGGCGGTGTGCCCACCAAGACAGACGCAGGGCCTATTCGACTCGGTCATATCGTGGTTAGCAAGCCTGTGGGCCAACATTCGGGAGCTGTCCAATACGATCACGGCAAAGCGGAAGCTGGCGAGTTCGTCCGAACTGGCTTTCTTGCTCCACCCCCAACTGTCTTACTCAATGCGGCAAGTGCGTTACAAGTACACCGACGACGAGTTTCGGAAGATCCACTCATTCCTCATCTGAATCGGATTGACACTTCCAAGCGAGGCCTTCGGGCTTACAAGCGGCCTTCGCCTGATCAGGATCAGTTGTACGAACCAGACTACATCCATCTGGACAAAGAGAAATCGTGCAAAAAGTGCGGTTGTGAAGCCAGCAAGCGTGTCAACCAAGAGGTCGAAGATAGCGATGATGAGAGCGCCTGCGAGGAAGACGACGATTGGCTCGTTGTACATCGTGGCACCATAGCTTCAGGCGAGGCCGTCATGAGGAATGGCTTACAACGAGACGCCTTGGCCGGGGTTGATAAGATCTTGTGTTTCGAGATGGAAGCTGCTGGAGCGCTGAATGATTTTCCTTGTCTGGTCGTGAGGGGTATATCTGACTACTCTGATTCCCACAAGAGTGACAAGTGGCATGGTTATGCTGCTGCAGTCGCGGCTGCATATGCAAGAGAACTTTTCCATCATATGCCTGTGGAACAGGTGAAGCAATGCAAGATAGCGGAAGCAGGTGAGGAGAAAATCGCTTCGCGTTGATTTAGTCCAGGGACCTGACGACTTGTAGTCATACGAGAAATGGTGGAAACCTCGAGACAGGCTGCAGAGCACACCATCGACTCACGTATCAGAAACTGGCTCCGACCTGCTGATGCGTCCATCAACTACGTCACTGCATCCGGGTTATGTCATCCAGGGACAGGTGCTTGGTTTTTAAAGAGTCCGGTATACAAAAAGTTCTTACAAGCTCCTCATGGCCGTCTATGGCTCCGCGGTATTCCTGGCTCTGGAAAGACTGTCCTTGCATCCACCATAATCAAGGAACTTCGATGTGCTGATGAAGGATCCGAATCGGCCATTATCTACTTTTTCTTTTCGTTCAGCGATGACTCAAAACAAAGGCTAGAACACTTGGTACGCTCTTTGATTTTCCAGCTTTCCGGTCTACATAAAGCTGGAAGGGCTCGTTTGACGAACCATTTTGAAAAGCATAATGACCGCTACGAGCAACCGCCTACAGAGAGCCTGGTCGAACTTCTTGATCAAATGATTTGTGACTTGCGGAGCGTCACTATCGTCCTCGACGCGCTTGACGAATCTAATGGGACGCAGTCTATCCTACAATGGATCACTTCACGCAATCGCTGCAAGTTCTTGTTGACCGGACGACCAGAAAGAGATATCGAGGAAGCGCTTACCCAGTGGTTGCCTTCTAATTGTGCTATAACACTTGAGAACGAACCTGTGGACGATGACATCAAGGCATATGTACACCACAAACTTGGAACCGAGAAAAATCTGAGCCGCTGGAAATCCATGCACAACTTGATCTCGGACACACTTGTGGAGAAGGCGGGCGGAATGTCAGTTTGCTCTTCTTGCCACTTTCATCATGCCTTTTCGATTGGAATGTATCCATGCTGACATGTGGTCAGGTTTCGATGGGTATATTGCCAGCTTGAAGAGCTCTCCGGGTGTTTGGATAAACCTGCCGTACGACTCATGTTACAGACTCTCCCTCTCGACCTCAATAATTCCTATGACCGTATCCTCCAGAACATACCGCGCTCGCGAGTTCCCAACGCCATCAAGCTTCTACAGTTTCTTGCTTTCTCAAACCGACCGATGTCGCTTCGAGAGCTAGTAGACGCCATTGCAACAGATCCAAATTCTAGCATCCTATTCGACGTAGAAGATCGGCTGGCGCCGCCTGACACCATTATCGGGTACTGTTCGAGTCTCGTAAGACTTACTGGTCAGACCGTGGACTACAAGCAAGCTGGATCTGCATCTGCATCTGCACTTCTATATGCGTCTAGTATTGGACCCGCGCCTGCATCCGAAGCTGGATCTGAACTTCACATTAAAGCTGGATCTGACGCTAAATCTGACGCTGAATCTGAGACAGAGTACGGATACGAACCACAGCTTGAGCTAGCTCACTTTTCTGTAAAGGAGTATCTACTTCTTCATCGCAACGAAACGCCCTATCAGGAATATTTCCAGATACCGACAGCAAATGCTACGATTGCTTCAACATGTTTGGCCTATCTATGGACACTCCAAAAACTCCACCTAACCAAACTCATGGATGCAACCCACGGAATGGAAAAACATGAGATCCGAACAAAATTTCCTCTTACGGACTTCGCTACTCGACATTGGCTTGATCACGCGAGGCTCGCTGGTGAAAACCAAGAAAAGTTGTTCTTTTGGACAAGCAAGATCTTTGTAGACAAGCCGTTCATGGAGTTCTGGCTGCAGTTCTACAACCCTGCCCTGGGATGGGGTCTCAGGCTATTGTACGCCAAGGTTACAACACCTGCGTTGTACTACGCATCACTCGGTGGTCTAGATAGATCGATCAGACTTCTCCTTGATAGAGGTGCGTATATAGATGCAGGGAGTGAAACTGGCATATCTGCTCTCCAAATTGCTGCACACGAAGGGAATGTGGAATTGGTAGAAATCTTGATAAGGCGTGGCGCAGATATAAACGCGCGGAATCAGTATTTTCTTGGTCCAAACAGCGGGTCTCATATCACAGCTCTTACAGCTGCGTCGAACAATGGTCATGTTCGGACAGTGCAAATTCTACTGGAGCATGGTTCTGACATCAACGCTGGGCTTTCTACAATGGTGCATCCTGTGAACTTCTCCGGGACTGCGCTTCGAGCGGCCTCAGCAAATGGTCACTTGGGAGTTGTGCAATTATTGCTGGACCATGGCGCTGACGTCAACATCGATCGCCATGGTTTTGCACTACACGCAGCTCTGTCTGGAGCATACACAGAAGTGTCTTTGCTTCTTCTGAAACGAGGTGCAGACACATGTGCATACGACGACAAGTATGGAACAGCTCTCCGCGCCGCCGTGCTCGGTGATGACCTTACCATCGTCAAGTTGCTCCTGGAAAGAGGAGCACACAACACTGAGTGGGGTCTACATGGCGCTGTTGAAGCCGCCGTCATGACTGACAGATATGATATGTTGGAGACACTGCTACTCCACTTCTCTGAGCGTGATAGGGAAAATGATGTTCTCAATGCTGCTCTCGGGTATACTGATTCAGACACTAATGAGAGGATCATCCGGATCTTGCTAGAAATGGGAGCTGACAACATACGCCAAAAGAACTATCTTCTCACCAGGGCATGCCGCCAGGGATATGTGGCGAAAGTAGAGTTATTGCTCGACTTTGATGCAAAATTCGATCGCGCCTTCGATTACTTGGATTTGCCATACGAGAGGGAATCCGATCCCTTCCTTATAGCTTGTCTAAACGACCAATTCGAGATCGTCAAGCTTCTCGTAGCCAGGGACGCAAAGTCAAATCATAGAGACCTCTACGATGTGACTGCACTCGAATATGCTTGTGCTATAGGACAACACGAGATTGTAAAGGAACTCCTGGAGAATGGCGCCGACGTCCACAAAACATGCGACTACCTAAGTCTGCCTCTGGAAGCTGCTTGCAAAAACGGAAGTCTTGAAGTGATCAAGATGCTCTTGGAATATGGCGCCAAAGTCGATGCGGGTGATAGTGCACCACTTACGGCTGCTTCCAGAAGGGGCCATATCGGGGTCGCGCAGCTCTTACTTGCTCAAGGAGCCAACGTTGATGGCGAAAGGAAATCAGGAACTCCGATACAAGCAGCATGCCGTGAAGGAAATCTTGAGCTGGTGGAATTGCTACTCGCTAATGGTGCGGACTACAACGCAATAGGGGGACGATGTGGTAGTGCATTAAGCAATGCTTGTTTATCTGGTAATACAGCTTTGGTAAGTCTGCTGCTGGATCGAGGTGTTCATCCGAATGCCAAGGAGAAACTGTATGGCAGTGCACTCCAAATTCTTTGTGCTACTGCTTCCCCCATCGACCTGAAGACAGTACAGTTGCTACTGGACAGAGGTGCTGATGTGGATCTTCGAGGTGGAAAGTTCGGAACTGCACTCTGCGAAGCCGCATCAAACAACGAATTGGGGGTGGCGCGGATGCTGCTTGAGAGAGGTGCCGATCCCAACCTCTGGGACAAAAAGTTCTGTAGTGCTCTTCAAGCCGCTTGTAGCAGCAGGCGTGAGATTTCCGACCTTGTACAGCTACTCTTGGACAACGGTGCTGACGTTAATGTTCGAGGTGGGAGTTACGGCAATGCTCTCTGCGCTGCTGTGTACAACAAAAATGTCGAGTCAGTGCACATGCTCCTCGATAGGGGAGCCCGTATTGACATGCGAGGCGGAAAGTACGGCAACGCTCTCCAAATCGCTATCAAGAGAGGTCTCGACGACATAAGAAAGAGACTGATTAAGAGGGGCTGGCTAATCGTGATCCAAAAACGACCCTTCTGGAGGCGTAGATGCGCTCTATCGAATTGGCACCCTAGCATACAAAGACAAAAATCGCTGCATCTGCTTAACTCTAGCTCGAGTACGCCTACGGGGACTATCTCTTCAGGTAGCGATATCTCAAGTCGCAGCGATGCTTCCTGGCTCAGCGCTAGCAGCGGTACCACCAGAACCTCAAGCTTGGATCCCCGATATTACGGACACGAGCCGTATTCCACATGCACCAGCAGCATCCATTCGAGTAGTGGCAATTAGTGGCCAGCGTAGAGTGAGTAGGTTCGAGATGGCTATGAATCCACTCTGCTCCACAGTCTCTGGAATGCAGTCAGAGTAGTTCCACCATTTGTAGACGTCTTTCACAGAGCTCCAATTGGAGTGCCTGCCTGGTCAGGAAGTGGTCAAAAATTTTGAAGAATGTTCTGCGATGTTTTTTACGCAGAGGAAGCAGCTTAGTCCATCTATGCTCTCCAATAGTCATTGCTTATGTCGTTGTGGTTTGTAAAACAATTGTTATCATTATACAGGTACCGTTAAGGATAGACGAATTGCGACTAGCAGCCGTAGCCCTAATTCGACCATTTGTCTTGTTGATTAGAACTTACCAAGAAGAGCAGGCGGTAGACATTCTGGCTAAGACCGTTAGCTGCAGCTTCATGGTCATTGCTCTAATTCACCTAAAGCCGCTGAAGATGATTGAGCAATCTGATTCAATTCAATCTGTTGGATTGATTCTCCTCTACTCCAAACTAACTCTCTCTACGCCGGCCACTGGCGGCAGTCCGAGCGGTCGCTGGGCAAATGGCCGGAGTAGCGACAGCAATATAACGGTATGTCAAGAAAGATGACTAGTGGTCAAATAAAGCACACCAATAGAGATCAACGCTGTCCTGTACAGCTATTCATCAATTTCTCATCTATTCTCGACCAAATGCTCTCCTAACTATATTAGTTCAATCACCTCCTCTCCCATCTCACAAAACTCCCCAACTTCGGCCTAGCAAACAAACTCGAATAATCCGTCCTCGGCACCCCCTCTACTCCCTCAACATTCTCAAATCTGAAATGACGCAACAAAACAGACACAATAACTTGTAATTGCAAATACGCATACTTTTCACCAATACATCTATGCCGACCAGCTCCAAAAGGTAGATACGGACTTTTGGTGCCTTTGGACACGATTCCATAGCCATAGTCGATTTTGTCGTCTTCGGCGATGTCTTCGGTGGTTTCTGGTGGGTCTGAGGAGGATGACCAGCGGTGAGGGTTCCATATTTGGGGGTTTGGGAAGAAGGTGGGGGAGATGGAAGTCATGGCTGGAGAAGCGAGGAGGGTGTGGGAGGCAGGGATGATGAAGTCGGTTCCTGGAACTGGGAGTGGGGTCATTGTTTTTCGCATGATGGAGTGGAGGGAGCCGTGAAGGCGAAGAGTCTCCTTGATTGTGTTTTGCAGAAGTGGTAACTTTGCCATGTCTGAATATTTGAGAGGAAGTAAGTCTTTGTTGTTGGGTGAAAGATTCTGGAGTTGTTCTCGGTATAGTTGTTCTGCGAAGTCGGGTTCGGAGGCTAGACGGAAGAAGATCCAGGAGCTGGATGCTGAGGAGGTGTGTTGGCCTGCCATGAGAAGGCAAATCATCATGTGTGCAATTTCTTCGTCCGGAACTGGTGTGCCGTCTTTGTATGCACAACCCATGAGGTTGGCGATCATATCCGACTGTTGGCTCGTGCCTTTGCTGCGGCGTTCCTTGATGATATCTAGGTATATGTCTCTCATTCTATTTCGAGCAGCATCTCTTTTCTTATTGTGAGGCAACGGTGCCCAGGGGAGCATAAAGTTTATCGGACTGAAGCCTTTGTCGAGGTCATGGTATAATTCTGCGAACTCCGTTGTGAGCTTCTTCCTGACTTCTGCTCCTTGTAAAGCACGACCAGCGGTGAAAATTGTGATCTCGCCCATAGCGGCAGCAATGTCGATAATGCCGGACTGACCCTTGAGTCTGGGGGACGTCTTGATATAGTCGAGGACCTCTTGCTCGATCAACTGAGTATGCGATTCCAGTGCTTGTTGTGTAAGCCCGAACTTCACAAACTTCTTTTGCTCCATGAGTTTCCAATTCGGGCAGTCGTACACGACGTCAGGACCGAAGACAGGAGTGGTAAGGGGACCATAGACTTCTTCGGCATTGACATCTTTGAGTTTGCCGTTCAGGATGAACTCATTCCCGTCGAGACCCAAGTAGACTGTTGTCTTGCGTCCGAGGAGGATGAAGGTGAAGATGTCGCCATAGCGCTTTTGACAGTCGGCGAAGAAGTCTGTCGGTGCCATGCCATATGTGATTGTACTGCCGAGGAAGGGGAACCAGTGGAAGACCACAGGCGGCTCATTCTTGTTGGTAAAGAGTAGTTGGCGGACGACATTGAGCAAAACGAAGAAGAGTATGAAAGCAATGACGCGAAGTGCTGTACCGAGCAAATCGACCATCTTGAATTCGAGATACTTTCAAGCGATGATAGGCTAGTGATTATTGCTGACCTTTATCTACTCGAATGTGCATCGTCCCATTCTCTGCTGACCTTTGCTAATATCAAACTACACCCTGAAAATGGTTCGATGTGCTTGGCAAGATTAGAATACGTCCTGCTTCGTCAGAGATTCTCGTACGACTTTTGCTAAGCCGTTTATTGACTCCACAACAACATCATTTTGAGTAGATCCTTCATGAAGGAGACAGGAGAGTGAGTGTATGGTGTCATGGCTTTGTCACTGGTCTGACTTGACATGTTTGCGGCTCCATTTGTTGATTCTCCACGATGAACAGTTCGTAGCTCGCAAGAACACCGCAGAATCTCACGAGCATCGGTGAGTACACAGCAAAGTTTCAGGCTGTCGGGCTAGTTCCCGTTCCGGCTTGAGGCCACCAGAGGCATTCGTCAGGTAGAATTGACTAGGACTTGGCTACAAGTTGAGTAGAGACATCGAGTGAGTTTCGTGGCTTTCCGGTCGCTATCATGAACAGTAGCATTTCTAAGACGAGAGACACTTGTCGGAGAACTGGACGCACGACTACACGAGTTTCCGGAATTGACAGGATGACATTTGGACGCGTCGATGGGCGAAATCTGACGCAACCAGTATCTGGGGTCTCTCCTTCGAGTTTGTCATATGGTGCTGACCAACCTCTACATATGTCTCTTACTGAAGCCGCGGTCTAAACGTATCTGCTGGAGATGCAAACTGTCGCATTTTGGGAAGACGCAGAAGTTGTAAACTGAGATGTTGTGGTGATGTTGAAGCTTTCTGTGGTGAGAGATCTGCAAAACGCGGGCGCGTTTCTGGCTGAGCGACAACTCTATCATTCCTCAATCCATCATCGTAAACCTTTTTCTACACAGGTCAACCACAGATATGCGCGTACAGTGAATACTCTACCTGAGCGGTCGACGCGTGATTTTCCTAGTCGTTCCAGTGTTGATCGTGTGTTGATGACAGACAGCGAAGCTCTCGAACGCCATGCGATGCGAAGACAGGCTTCTGTCGTGCTCGCAGGAGACAGAAATATTTGATCATGCCTCACGACCAGTCACTGTGCACTTACAACCTTTCTAATCTTGCAGGATACGGTTTGCGACGATTGAAGTGATATTGTGCCGCCACGTCAGGTAGTTGGCACAATTCGACCCCACATCGACCTTCCACCACGACTGCCAGAACCTCGGGTGTCGCAAAACTCCTCCGCCAGCATTGGTATGCACCATGTACCTCTGTTCTCGCACCTTGGCCACCGGAAGAATTTTCTACTGGTGCACGGGTGGCATCTTGGAATATGATGGTGAAAGGAGGGGTGCATATCTTGGCTGTGGAGGATCAACTGTTCACATCGCTGAGGCATGCGGCTCACTGTTTTCTACTTCATGCTGGACGTCTGCAGGAACTCAGCCTCCGCCTTCGGATACGTTTAGCAGCGGTCATAGGGAGAGTGAACAGCTTCTCCGTCTTGGAATCCTTGGAGCGGCCTTGGTCATGGTGTTTTCCACCATTGGAAATGTTCGCTCTTGACTACTTGCAGCATTAGGATGCGCATTGTGCATGACACAGGCAGGTCGAAGACGGAGAATCGTTGAAGGATCTGTTTCGCGGGTCTTCAGATGCCTCGCGAAGCAGTCTCCGCTTCTCCCAAGGCAAGTATAAGAATGGCTAGGAAGGTAGGTTGAAAGTCGTCAGCACTCTCATCATCCTACGACCGAGGACCAGACAAGATGAAGTTCAACTCGCTTCTTTGGCTCAGCAATCTCGCTTTGGTGCAGGCAACCCCTTTCTGGAAGGATGACTTTTCCCTTCAAGGCTTCGCAAAGGACAATCCATTGGGCGAAACCACTGGTGGTAAGAGTGGACGCACGACCACTGTGTCCAGCTTGCCCGCTCTCCGCACCGCCCTTGCTGGCACCAACCCATTGACCGTGGTGGCCAAGGGCTCTTTCAACTTAACCGGCGAGACACGCCTTCGTATCGGCAGCAACAAGTCCCTGCTCGGTCACAAGAGCGGTGCAAAGTTCTTCGGTGGTGGTATGTCTGCTGTCAATCAAACCAACATCATCATCCGCAACATTCAAATCAGCTATGCTTTCGACAACGATTGCATCACACTTCAAAACACCACTCGCGCATGGATCGACCACAACGAGTTCTTCTCAGACCTGGAACACGGCCCCGACTTTTACGATGGCCAGGTCGATCTCGTCAGAGCCACAGACTGGGTAACCGTATCCTGGAACTACTTCCACGACCACTGGAAGGTGAGCACACCTGTCCCCTGCTTCTCCAATAGACACACTGACGAACATCACAGTCCTCACTCATCGGCAACAGCGATGTCCTCCGCGAAGTAGACGAAGGCCACCTCCACATAACCTACCACCACAACTACTGGCGCAACATCGGCACCCGCGGCCCAGCCGGCCGCTTCGGCCACCAACACATCTACAACAACCTCTACCGCGACCACCTATACCAAGCCATCCACTCACGCAGCGACAACCAAATGCTCGTCGAAGCAAATGTCTTCCGCGGAAACACGCGTGAAGCGGTTTCAACCTATGGTCTTGTCATCCCAGAAGATTCACCGAATACCTGCGTCTGTGGTGATTTTGAAATCGATGGATACGTGAATTTTGGAGCGAAGAATGATTTTGGGAGGGCGGGGGTTAATGTTACGCAGTGGGGGGATTTCAAGAGGGCGCCTTATAGGTATGATTTGACTAGATTGTCGGATGTGGAGAAAGTTGTTACCAGGGGTGTTGGTATTGGTAAGATTTGAGGGATGATGACGAGAGTGCGTCCGGAAGGGGTGGTTTTAGTGTCGATTCACTCCAGAAGGTGCCAGCGAAGAATCAATACAACAATTGTTTGCCTTCGATGTTCGTTCTCTTCAAACCTCGAGTTTGTCACAATTGCTGTGCTTTTTGAAGTGTTGGCGACCGAGCTATGGAGACAACAGTCGATTCGAACGCTGATCCTCATCACTGGAGTCGATATGATATGACTTCAAATCGTATGTCATGGTCTTCGTTGAACGCAATTGCGCCATTGACAACTTCGTGACTGTTCGCAACGCCGGAAGCGAACGCGTCCAGATGGTAGCCACGACTTATGGCCATTCTCTACACCGGCATTGCTGACAGGGCAGCCCTGCCCAGCCAATCCCAAAAGAACATCAACATTGTTTGAGCCAGAGAAAAGCACTCGTCTTTATTCGAACGCTTTGTTCATTTCTTCGACGTCTTTGAGTGGCTCCTCGCGTGACGGGCTAGCGGTGAAAGAAATGTCGGGGAGTTGCGACAAAGAGTCTTCGGATGGCGCAATCCAGCACCAAGGTTCGCAACCAGACGTTGTTGTTACGCGGAACGATGCTTCGCTGGTGATTTGAGAGCGCTTTGCAAGATTGTGCAATTGGATATGGCGATTTCGTTAGTCATCGCAAATTTGCCAAAAGCGAGCAAACGGCCTCATGGCGATTGTGACTCGAATGTTGAAGATTTCTCCCCATCACGTCTTCCACTTTGGTTTGCTTGACCTCGTTCGAACCTCGACTCCGAAGAAACCGAATAACCTCATTCCTCGCTCCCAAGAATGGCTGCTGCTGTCGGGATCTTCAACTCAACACATTCGGGCGACTCGAACAAGTATACTGCTATCTCGTCTGTCGAAGAAATAGATGCTGGCGACGAATCCACCGAGTCAAACTCGCTACTCGTCGTATCACCATATGCCACGGCACCACATCTACTTGACCTGAATCGCTACGACACGGCAAGCCAGCTCTTCGCAAAGGCCTTGACGATACTCCGACCGACTCGCGATGATTACGCGACAACAGAGTACACATCCACCTTCAATTTCCAGGAGGTCGTCGATACGCTGAAAGGACTCGCAAGAGCCGAGTCACATACATGGCAGAAGAAAGAGTTCTATGTTGTCAGTTTCCGGTCGCAACTTAAGAATGAAGTTGACGGAGAGAGGCTTTTCCAGCTTGATGCTTTCTCACATCAAGAAGCTATGGCGAGTGGAGGGCTGTTGAAATATTGGTATGGTGTGAAGGACGAAGATCGACGAAACCTGGCGACTTGTATGTATGCCTCGAAGCTGTGATGAGGTGTGCTCTGACTGACGAAATCTCCAGGCTTCTGGGAAAGTCGACAACACGCAAGAGATGGAGGCAGAGGGCCGTGGCATGCTCAGGCGAGAGCTGCGGCTACAATCTGGTATGAGAGCATTGTGTTCAAGACGTATGTTTTGACGATTGGCGATGGAGCGAATAGCTGGGAGTTCAGAGATTATGAGGAGAGCAGGTGATGGTATACTTGCGTCCGACCATCAAGGTGTTTGCAGAGACGGGGTCCGTGCTTGGGTGCGGCCCTGAGCGGAGACTTGACAGCGTAGACAGCGATGACCTTGTTCCAGAAAACATCGGAGCGTTTGAACTGTGATTAGCGACTCAGTGAACGTCAGCGACTTCGTTCTTTTAGTCAAGACCGAAAGTGGTCCGATACAATTTTATATGTAACAAGAGGTGTGATAGGGCAGATTGTTGGCCGCTATATTGACCAAAGCGAGTGATAACGCTCTAAGGAAATTGTGCCCACAAAGACTTCGCTTCGATGTTTCCCGACTGCCATATGGCTGGGTCGCGCCTCGGTTCATCGACAATGGACTACTTCGATACTGCCTGCAAATGTGAATGCACAGCCTGAACTCTACACTCAAGGCCAAGGACTTCGAGATCGAGATGACAAGATGGTCATGCACTTGTGAAAGGGCGACGTGGACTTGACTTGGCCTCTTTGCTGTTTGTCGAGCTTGGTTGAAGCTTGTCTTGCAAATCCTGCGTCACCCCAGGAAGGCGCAATGCTGGGGAGCATGTGTCAGTCGACTTGACAGCTTCTAGTCGCATAGCAGACAATATAGCCGAGCATAGTATATGGTGCAGCAAGTAAGCGATCAGACTCGTCAGGTTGATGGCTGTAGCATGAAAAGTTCGGCGGAGTGTCTGGCATAGAGTGTCCCTTGCTCTCTCAACGGATCAGATAAGATGAGATTTCGATGTCTCTTGGGGCGCACGGACACTAAACGTCTGCGCAAATCGGCGACCCTCTCTCAACATCCACAGTTCACGACTCGACGTTTGAACAACGTTGGATTGCGAACCTGCTATCACCGACTATCAATACTTGCCCGCTACTTTATTTGCTTGGAATTCTCGAACGACGTGACCGCGAAGGCAATATAGGCTGTAGATCGTGCCTCAACCTTCCGAAACCCACCGACAAAGGATCAAACCTCGTCAAAACACGTTCCTCGGCTGTCTATCCCATCACATCTGCCAAGCTCATCCAAGAAACCTAAGACGTTGATTTTCTGCAGCTTGCGCCATCGACCCTGGTACCTGGCAGCCACTTGCAGGCGAGAGACGAGAGCTGATACTGTGAGCTTTGCAATCAATCGCTGTTAAGACAGGGTATGCGCGGTGAGAAAAGTGAGGTTATGCTCTGAAAGAGGTTTAGTGATACATCCAATATCTGAACAAGGTTTCGAGAGCACATGGCTTGCTGCGGTCTCCCATGTGCGGATGATGGCGTAGCAGGTTGATAGACGGATGGAGCTGGGCATGTCGCAGAGTTCAACACTCGAGGCACAACTGCTTTGCCCTTTGTGGTCCGGCTGTGCAGCTAAGTGGCGCTTTTCGAGGTAACGTTATAAAGAGCTCCAAGGTTGCACCTCTTTACACGGCTGTGTTTTGCAACTTGACAAACCTCGAACTCAACTTTCCACTATGAAGTCCATCATTTTTGCTACTTTGACAAGCTTGGCCCTGGCGGCTAGACCCTACCTCAACGAGCCCGACACTGGGTAGGTTATCAACCAGTTTAACAAATATAGCTCGTCTGACTCATCAATAGCATCGACGACGCTCTGGGAGACACACCCAATGGCACACTCCCTGCTTTGGAGAACATTGTCGGCCTTCCAGATTTCGAATGGGCAGCTCGCAACTACATGAACACCAGTGCTTATACCTACTACCGTAACGGCGCTGCTGGCGAGTGGGCCTATCGCAATAACCTGGAAGCCTTCCAACGCTACACAGCTCGTCCTCGTGTGTTGAGAGACAACTCGAAGATTGAATCGACCTTCACCACTTCAATTCTCGGCCACAACTTCTCGGCACCCTTCTACATCAGCCCTTGTGCACGAGGTGCTCTTGCAAACGAGAGAGCCGAGCTCGGACTTGTCGAAGGAGCTTACCAGGGAGACATTTTGTACATCCCTTCAGACTTTAGCTCCCTGCCCTTGAAAGAACTGGCCGCCGCAAGACCTGCAAACGGCTCGCAAGTCATGTGGCAGCAGGTTTACCTTGATGCTTCTAACGACACTGCGACCAAGGCCCACTTCAAGGAGATCGAAGAGTCGGGTGCTCGCGCAATTGTGTTCACTGTTGACAGTGCTGGACCTGGTGTTCGTCAGCGTGCTCAGCGCTACTCTGCTGGCTCTGCTGATGCGGATTACTCGGCCTTTACATGGCAATACTACCAGAAGCTTCAGAACTTCACCAGACTGCCTGTCGTCATCAAGGGTATTCAGACGGTCGAAGACGCCAAGATGGCAGTCAAGTACAAGGCTCCCGCTATCGTTTTGTCCAACCACGGAGGCCGTAACTTTGATGCCAGCCCCTCTGGCTTCGAGGTCGCACTCGAGATCCACCAAGAGGCACCCGAAATTTTCAAGCAGATTGAAGTCTACGCCGATGGTGGTGTCAGATACGGAAGTGATGTGCTCAAGCTGCTTGCGCTTGGCGTTCGTGCTGTCGGACTCGGTAGACCATTCATGTACGCCAACGCTTACGGTACTGAGGGCGTAGCCAAGGCTGTAGAGTTGCTGAAGGCTGAGATCGCTAGCGATGCCGCTCACTTGGGATTGAGTTCGCTCAAGGAGATCGGTCCTCAGTACTTCAAGTGGACTCCTAACAACTGGTATAGCTAGGTTATGAGACATGTAGAATAGAGCCTTTATATGATATTTCCATGTTTGCATGCATTAATTCGGCGTGAGTCTTCGTTGATGGTCGATAGAAGTAAAAAAAGGAACAGAAAAGAGAAACAAACGGAAGGAGCTTCCGCTGAAACTGCCGAACGCCACTGCTTCCAAGAAGCGACGCGCAGAAACGTTTGAGACGGCCATCACGAATTGGCTTACTTCTAATAGCGTTCGACTACTTCGACATCACTGACAGGACTGCGTTCGGAAAGAGTTGATGCGAAAAGACAGAGGTAAGCAATTGCAAGTACTCCGTAGTGAGAAAGATGAGCTGCGTCGACGATCAACGGGGCTGACTCCGGTCTATAGGACGGCGAAGTCTCGACGAGAGGCAGTGATAGTTTACGCTAAAGCCGGCGTCGTGGTCAGAGAGGCTTCTAGACTTGCGCCCTCGCGAGTTGCGGTCACTTCCTGGAGGTTGTGTATCGCGGCATCCTGCTTTTCGAGCGCCCGTGTCACTGTACCTGATACTTGTCGCGTTCCTTCTGCAGCGCGCGGCTATGACCAACCAAGGAGACGACGCCGCCGCCATGGCGACAGAGACGCCTACGCCAGATCAGGGCCCTCGACCGAGCATCGAAGACTTGCTCAACATGGACGTCAACGACATGACGACGGACCAACGAGCGCGATTCGAGATCAAGAGGGAGCACGAGTTCTACAGCTACTATGAGCCCATCCGCGCCCTTGCGACAACCGAGATGGACTGGACCGACCTCAATTCTGACGAAGCCGTCGCAAAACACCGTCCGACCGCTTCGCCCGACAAGGCCCTGACGGCTTTTTGTCAGCTGGCTGCCATCCGCCTGAAGATGCGTCGCGCCATGATCTTCTTCTTCGACACGACCCACGCCTACATCCTTGCCGAAGCTACCCGCACTCTCTCCCTCCACGACGATGCCGTCTTTGACGACGAAGAAGATGGACTATGGCTGGGCACAACGAAGATTCCGAGAGGCTTCTCGGTCTGCGAACATACCGTCAATCTCCCTTCAAACGGAGGCACAAACGCCGAGGGACACGACTCGCACATCATCCACATCATCAACAACCTCACAGAAGACACTCGTTTTTGCAACCGGCCATACGTCACTGGTGGTCCCAGAGCCAGGTTCTACGCTGGTGTCCCTATCACAACCCCGAAAGGTCTCAAGATTGGCGCTTTCTGCGTCTTGGACGACAAGGTCCACGAAGGTCTTGGCGAAAAAGATGTAGGTTTCATGAAAGAGATGGGAGCCGCTGTCATGAGCCATCTGGACATGATCAAGGCAAAGGTCGAGCAGAGAAGAGGCACGGACATGGTCGCTGCTCTAGGCGCCTTTACCGCCAGCGAATCAAGTTCGCGACGAGACATGAAGACGGATGATGCCCGTCCACAGCTGGAGCACGACCTCGAAGCCACCTCGTCTCTGTTGACCATTGGAAACCTCGATTCACCACACCCCAAAAGGCCTGCAATGCGTAGACAATCCTCGAGTAGCAAATTGCGTCATCCTTCAAACGAGCATGATCAAATCACGAATATCAGAGAGAGGTCTCCGCGTAGACAACGTCCTTCATGGTTTACTAAGAACAGAGCCAGATCGGACATGTCTGTCTATACAGAATCTGCCATACTTCCAGAGTCCACTCCGGTCGAGACTGCGTCAGACAACCCCAAAGCCCATCCCGCTGAGCAATGCCCCAGCGAGATTATGCAATCTGCCTCCACCTTGATCCGGAAAGCTGTGGACGCTGATGGTGTTCTATTCTTGGACGCTGCAATTACTGGCTTCGGTAATCTTATCAACAGCTCTTTCCTGGAGAACACCCCAGACGACGATGCCGAAACCACCACCAGTGGCACGGATGGCCACCAGACCAGCGAAGGAGAAGACGCAAAACCTCAAGGTCCAAATGCTGACGATCAGCCATGTCCCGTACTCGGAGCTTCTTATGCACCACGCAGCGGTGCCGTACCAGATCCTGAGGGTCGTCGTGAGATCTACTCGCAATTGACCCCAAAGTTCCTACGATTCGTTCTGAGACGATTTAAGGGTGCCAAAGTATGGAATTTCAATGAGAATGGAGACGACTATCTGGATGAACAGGCTTCCGAAAGCCACAGCGCATCTGATGGAGGCCTTGAACGCTCGAGTTCGAAGGCAAGCGATGCATCTTGGAGGAGAAGAAATCGCAAACGATCGCTAAAACATGCTCCCGGCAAACAACTAGCAGCTGCTTTCCCTGGAGTGCGCAGTCTTATGGTGCTCGGGCTTTGGGACCCTCAACGCAATCAATGGCGTGCTGGATGTGTCATATGGTCTTGTACACCTATGCGCATGTTCTCTAATGAAGGCGAGATGCACTACCTCACAGCATTCTGCGATGTCATCATGGCCAAGCTGGCTCGCTTGGATGTCGACGTGTCCAACAACATCAAGTCTGACTTCATCTCGTCGATTAGTCACGAGTTGAGATCTCCGCTTCATGGTATCCTGGGAACAGTAGAGATTTTGCAAGATCAGAATGTCGACAACGCAACTGCGGAAATGATTTCTCAGATCGACACTTGTGGAAGAACCTTGCTGGATATTGTGGATCATCTGCTTGAATTCTCTCGCATCAACGTTCTCACCAGACACACCGGCTCAAAGATGCGTCCAGTGTCGAGAAACGCGCCTGCATTGTCTTCGAACAATGGAGTTAGTGACACTGAAGCCTCATCTCTGGACGTAGACGTCTCTCTAGATGCTATCACCGAAGAGGTGGTTGAATCGGCCGTGTACTCCTTCTGCTGCTCGAAGGACCAACGCACACTCAGCGAGAGGAATGTTACCGTGTCGATAGACATCGAGAAGCATCCCCATGTACCTTGGGACTGCAAACTCACAGTGGGTGCCTGGAAACGCGTTTGTGTAAATCTAGTCAACAACGCTTTGAAGTACACTTCTGAAGGCTCCATCAATGTGTCGCTCAAGATTCTTCCACCGACGAAGAAGCTCGGTCGACCCATCGCTCAACTTTCTGTAATCGACACTGGTCGCGGCATGTCTAAAGACTTCTTGCGCACGAAACTGTTCCGCGCCTTCAGCCAGGAAGACGACATGGCCGAAGGTACCGGTTTGGGAATGTCAATGGTTGCGAGAATTGTCAAGGGCTGGAAAGGCAAGGTCGATGTTCGGAGTAGCAAAGGTCAAGGCAGTATTGTCAGTGTAACCATGCCGATGCATGTGACACGCCGGCCCAGGAGTGCTGATCTCGATGGAGCTTCACTCGATCCTACGATCAACGGACTAGCAGGACTCGCCGTACATGTCATGGGCTCGCCAGATGCATTTGAACAAGGCCCCATCGCCACTGGCCGCTATCAGCAGTTGGTCACGTTCACCAAGATGTGCTCTGGCATGGGACTGAATACCTCTGGACCTGCATGGCAGTCTGCTGGCGACAAAGACTTTGCTGTAGTCGCAGAGTACGACTTGCCACGTCTTATGGACACTCTGACATCGCCTCGAATCAAGCAAAGTACAGTAGAGAAGACGTCGATAACTTCACTGCGGACGAAACCCATCGTTGTCCTTTGCAGAGATTACATATCTGCCAGGAATCTGAAGGGCTGCCAGCTCGAACAGCTTGTTCGCGGAAGAGTGGAATACATTGCTCAACCATGCGGACCTAACAGGCTTGCCACTGTCATCAACCGTGTCCTCGAGCACTCGGGCAATGGGGAACAATGGACCTCCCGCCCACACAGTCCACCGACACCTAACACCCCTTACGAATCAGTTACGCCTCGCTTTGACACATGGCGTGAATCGCATACATGGTCTGGAGCATCATCGCCCAACGAGACTGAGACCACACGAAGACTCACACTCCGAAGTCGTCGCACCTCCAGCGAGACCCATACACCGTCTGTCAGCCTCGTCACCCCAAAAGGAAAGCCACAAGCAGAACAAAAGGACAACGACCCTCACGGTCTAGGTGTCGAAACAGCACAATCCAAAATCCCCGATGTCGCCGACGGTGCCTTGACAGCTCCCGTTTTGGCATCTGTCGAGCCATCCTCACTGGAACGCAATCAAAGCGTTGTCAGCCTACCTCCTGACTCAGAAGCTGCAAAGCCGTGTCTTCTTCTCGTCGACGACAACCCTATCAATCTCCAACTCCTCGTCACTTACGCCAAGAAAAACAATCACCCCATGCTCAAAGCCACCGATGGCTCCCTTGCCGTCTCCGCCTACAAATCCGCGCACTCCCCTGACTCTTCCTCTCCACCACCCGAAGTCATCCTCATGGACATTTCCATGCCCATAATGGACGGTTTCGAAGCGTCCCGTCAGATTCGCGCGTTCGAAAGAGAGAAGAAATTGAAACCGGTGGTTATTATCGCTCTGACTGGACTGGGGAGTTCAGAGGCTCAACATGAGGCGTTCGTGTCTGGGATCAACTTGTTCTTGACTAAGCCGGTTAGGCTGAAGGAGTTGACGAGGCTGCTGGGGACGATCAAGGATACCTTTGGCTAGATTGGAGGATGGTGGGAAAGTGGTGGTTTAATGATAAGATGATGATTACGAAACAAGTGGCGTTTAGAGGACAGAACGCAAGGCCAGAACTGCTAGTTCTGAAAGGATCCGGGATAGGGAATAGGAAACAGGAAGAAGGGGTCACGGCACAAGTGACAGGGCAGTACCAAGCGATCAGGAAATTCTTGAAGCATTCAATGGCGTTTTCTTTCCTTCGTTTTGGTTTTACAAAATTTACAGCTTTCTTTCGCCCCCTTTCCCTTCTTTTCTTGGTGCTTATAAAGGCGCTTCTGAAACCTCGTTTCGTTCCCCAATGTCTTCTTTTCTTTTTGTCTCCATTCGGCGGGGATTTCCATTTCTTTCAGATCTAGCGGTGTAGTGAGCTTATGCTTCTTCATGACAAGACAAGTAGACATGAAGGATATGGAGATTTAAAGGAAGACCATTATCCGCATGTTGCATTCAAACAGATCAAAAGGTCCAACATCCCAAAAAAGAAAGAAAAAGAAAAAGAAAAAGGGAACAAAACCCTATATCTAGAAATGTCGAGGAAGCCGCAAAACGATATTGCCAACTGGGATTAATGCCGAAAGTAAGATAGAAAAGATGATAGGAGAAGAGGAGGTGGCGAAACTGATCCAAGATCATTGTACAGCACTCGAAATGGTCAAAGGGGAAACACGACTGGGGGAAATGTACAGGTAGACTTTTATGTTCGACTGAATATAGCAGAAGAATATCAATACCTCGAGTTGCGATGAGGTGGGCACGTCAAAAGCATTTTTCAAAACAGCAAAAAGATAATTTATTTTGAATTGATCATTCGTAAGGGACATTTGAGCTCTCTAGCAAAAACAGCTGTATCGTAATCCATCTACTTGTTCTCCTTTCCACCTTACACCTTTGTTTTCAAACTTTTCATCGAATCTCGGAAAGGATGTTGAAGTCTCTTAGGATATCTCATCAAGTCGTTTAACGACCGCTGTTGTTGTAGACAATACGGTTGGGGCTGCCAGTGCGGAGATCAGTGCCCTGGCCAGTAGTGGCAAGAGCAATGATTCTGTTGGTGGTGGCAGCAGGGGTGGTAAGACCGGACTCCAGACCCTTGAGGTAAAGAGCAAGACCAACAACATGGGGGCAAGCCATAGAGGTACCGGAGATAGTGTTGGTAGCAGTGTTGGAGCCGATCCACGAAGACAAGACGTTGAGGCCAGGAGCGAAGACATCGACGGTGCTGCCGAAGTTGGAGAAGTAGGCGCGGGCGTTGTTGCTGCCTATGGCGCCGACGGTGAGGGCTGAAGATGCGGAGGCGGGGGAGGTGCGGGAGGCATCGATGGCTTCGATGAAGGCACCTGTTTGGGGGTTGCTGATACCGTTGCCGGCTGCGACCACGGAGAGGACACCTTGTTGGGTAGCGGCGTTGACGAGGGAATTGAATGCAGTGGAGACTGAGTCCTCAGAACCGAGAGACATGTTGATCACGGCCTTGCCGGCACGACCCTTGTTGATGATGTCGTTTACAGCCCATTCGAAGCCCTGCATGATGGTGGAGGTGGCACTGGACTATGGCGTTGTTAGTATGTGGCTGACATAACGGAAGAAAAGATTCTTACTCCAGAAGCACCGAAGACCTTCACGGAGATGACATTGGCCTTCTTGGCAACACCGTACGTGGAACCAGCAATAGTGCCAGCAACGTGAGTACCGTGACCAGCGTCATCGATGTGAGAGCCACCAACGAAGTTGCTACCAAGAGAGGCACGACCACCGAACTGTTGGTGGTTGATGTTGATACCAGAGTCGATCACATAGCCGTAAGTACCGGCACCAGCAGTGGTGTCGTAGTAGTAGGTGTTGGCAGTGTAGGTGCGTTGCGAGATGCGGCCAAGACCCCAGGTGCTGCCAGTCTGTGAGGTAATGGCAGTCATGTAGATGGGGAGATCCTCCTCAACAACAGCAACCTGTTTGTAATTAGTATGGTTGATGACTAGATATCATAGTTGACCAAGACTCACCTCGTTGCTAGCCTTGAGCTCAGCAATGGTTTCCTCGTCAAAGGAACCAGCGTAGGCGTTGAAGTCGGCAACCTTGAAGACCTTCAAGTCCTCCTCAACAGTGCCATTCTCCTGACGCTTGTAGATACCACGGCGGTGGAGGTCACCGGCCCAGTTGATGTGAGAGATGCCAACTTCCGGGTCAATGCCAGCCTTGAGGGTGATGATGTACTTGGTAGTAGCAGGAGCGGCAGCAGCATCCTGAGGAAGGGGAGCAGCCATTGCCAGACCGGCAATGGCGCTGAGAATAGCAACACTCTTCTTCCACATGTTGGGAGATGATGGTAGAGCTTGGACTTAGAAGGAGGTTGAAGAGTTGGAGATGGAGGATGAGATGATGTCCTTGAGAGCAGCCTAGGAGGCCGCCTTTATACATTTTCTTTTCCATATCAGCCAGTATCGATTGCCTTTTGATGGTGTGCTCAAGCGACCATCTTGCCAACGTCGGTGTATGTCGAACATGATCCCCTTGGCAGGCTGTTTGTTCAGGGCAAAGAGTGCTATACGAATCGAGAAGGTGGCAGACCTACAAGGTTCGGGTATGCAGTGGCACCTTCTCTATCAGTATAGGCTTGACGAGAAGTTCTATCAGAAGCCAATAGAGCAGGGCCGTTAGATTCAAGATCCCACCCTTGGTGTAGTCGGTTGGTCCCTAGTCATTGTTCAAAAAGTCTTGACACACAATGGTGTCAAACCTTCGAGATATCGATGTACAGGGGCATAAGATTGACAGGTCAATACTAACCCTTTCGAGAAGCTCATTAGGCATGAGGTTGAGAAACTGCGTTCGGGTAGGTTGCGAGCTCGGTGAATATCACATTGCCAAGCTATACCAAGAACATTGGCAAGCGTTTAGAGCGGCGCGGGGTTCGTGATTCTTCATGCCGTCGACTCTCGGCACTCTAAGCAAATGGTCAAGCTTGCATTAGAGTGTTGCAGGTTTTGGACTTCTCGCCGTGATTTGTCCAAAGATCCCGACGCATTCATGTGTATTGGCATGTGGTTGCGGCTCGGCCCTCGCCTACCGCCATCCACTCAGCCAACGTCGTCGAAGTAAGGTACCCTCATGGTCAGGGACCTACTTTGATGATCCCGAGGTATATAGCTGATCTTTCCTTGGAAGCGGAAACACAGTCTTCCACTCGGCCGTAGTATCTGAATTATTGGCAGCAGCTCAGGCACAGCCATATTATGCCAAGTCGTGTTTTGGCGATCATATTGCCCTCAGTGTTCTCGACTGCAGACTGGTAAATCCACCTTGATAAGAGGCGCGACTAATTACCATGCAGCACACAATCCAAGGCTGAGAGAGCGTGCTGATCATGTGCAGTATTTCTGCGGCCAAGTCGCTTATTCGGTGCATGACCGTGGAAGACGAGATATTCGCAATCAGTATGAAGCATGTGGAAGCCATGAGGCTGCAGCGGCTATCAATACCAGAAGCCGACTCATGGGCATGACAAGATGCTGCAAGATACGGCAACCGATGAATATGTTCCCAGTTGGCTCGTGATGGCGCCGGGATTGTTGAGAAGGCATTGAGAAATTCCTGGTTCACGACTTCGATGGGTGCACTGATTTCGCTAGGACGACAACGTGTACTGGACCTATCTCGGACTGTCCAAACTCGTCGCCTGATATGGACGCGCTTTGGAGAACGGCGCAGACTCATGGTAGCTGTAGGTTGATCCGAGAGCTGTAATGTGATCTCCGCAGCCTTGACAGTCGAGCACGCCGTCGATCGAAAGTATATCTAGTCATATCGACACGAGGTGATCTGAGCCGCAAGGTCGTTGTAGGTCGAGCACGCGACAAGACCGGCGGCGAAGGAAACATTGGCAGAACATCTTTCCCAAGTGGCCAAAAGTCGTGACCTCCAGCAGACGTTCCAACCTCCCTCAAATCCCACCAGTCACAACAACAAATACTACCAATCCGACACCCAGTCCACCGCAGATGCCAGACAAAGTCGCCATCGACCAGCAAACGGCCCAATAATAAGATGGCGCAGTTGGCATCTCATTAACTTCGTCTGTCGCGTAGCACAAACTGAGGATGAGATGTGCGAACCCGAGAATACCAGAGAGGATGAAGGTGGTATCATGTTGGTCTTTGGTGAACACGCCCCAGTAGTTGGATGTCCCGAGGCGAACGATTATGCGTGTGATCAGGACGAGGAGGCCCAAGGTGACGAAAAGGGCTGAACTGCCGGCGAAGACATTCGTGAACATGGTGAGTACGCTATCGACGAGAGTCTGCGCTTCAAGACTAGCGGCAATGTGAGATGTCATGGCTTCGGTCGTGTGTGAAGTTTGATGTTGCTGTCGCAGAGGTGGTGATTCCAATTCTGGACAGGACGGAATGAGAACCCATTTGCCAAGAAATGGTTTCGGACTCACGGCAATGGATCTCGAGGAAGGATCGACTAACTTTTTCTCAGGGGGTTGCCTGAGTCGCTGTTTCACATCCTCTCCTTGTGCTAAACCTTTGTCACGTCTATGGCGTAGAAGTGCACAATTTTTGCGAGGTCAGAGGTGATCTCCAATTCGAGCGTAATGTTCAGCGTGTTTCTGTGGACAATTTGTTTCATTCCTCATCTTCGGCCTTCTCGCGTTTCTTTTCTCCATCTTCAACTCGATTTTGATGAGGACTTCCGACTTAAACTCCGATTGTCTCCCTCGCTGTCCTAGTACTTTACTGAATAGCCCAAAACTGCTCTAATCAAATCCGTCGCTGTCCATCATAGCTGCGAATGCTCGGACGACCATCTCGATGCCCTTGATGCTCGGCTTGACGCTCTTGCCATGGCCGCATTGATCAGCGAAAAGATCCATACCCTTTTGTGTTCTCTGAATCGCTTCTTCCATCGACTTGATTAACTTCGTCATTCGAAGTGAGGTTAGGGAGGGGAGAAGCCATGCAGCACCGACTTTTCTCATGTCAGCGAGGATAGCTCCACGAGTCTGGAACTCTTTCCGAGGGCATGATGGGAGACTGTGATCATGGCCACGAACTGCGACACTCCACGTGCTAGTGTCACCGCACGAGAGGTCGACACGGTAAGGCTGAGCAGGAGCTTTGTTCTGCAGCAGAAGGTGACGTAAATTCTTGACCTGGCTGGGGCCAATCATGTCGAGCCACTGTAGAGTGTCACGACGGATCTTGGGTTGAAAAGAGTCCTTACTGCTTGAGCGCTCCCAGCGTATGTTGAATTCATTGACGCGGAAGAAGGTAGGACTTCCTTCTTCTCTGATCTGATGGCACACGGACAGGAGAGGAGGGCGAGATGTCTGCACCATCTCATATGTCAGAGCGTAGTCGTAGACGACCATGCGAACGTCTTTTGGTAGCTTCATGAAAGGGAACTGACGCGCGGTGTCTGCAATCTCGAGTGCATGGCGATAGACCTCTCTGATGTTGTTGTCCGGGTCTGGAATTGCGATGCGTCTTGCGGCTAGGGCTGTTGTGAGATCCTGTCTACTCCACCTCAGATAGGAATTGCGAGTAAGGTCATTCTGTCGTAGAAGTTTCTTCAATATATGGTAGTTGTCGCGGCTGGGGTCCATACAGGTCCATTCGAAGCCGGGGTAGATTTCGAGCTGACAACAGCAGATGGTGTCGCGCTGTCTGCATTTCTCGAACATCTCTTCGAAGCAACGGCGGCGTTTTTGATGTACATCTGAAAGCTGCGACCTAGGAAGGACTGACCAAGACTGGGATATGATTTTAGCGCACATCGTAGATAATGCTTGAGTTGTTGAGAATCTGGATGGCGAATACGGTTACTTACAGAATAGTATGTAGTTCCTGATGCAAAAGAGGCGTGATCTTCTGTGTTTTCTGCCAGCGTGCCACGAGTGGCGATGGGAGATAGGTGGCTCATGTTGTGCGCGGATGTTGTGCGCGAGTATGGTGCTGACGACTATTGGGAGAAAGGAAAGTGGTGCTGGTAGAGGGCGGTCTGGTTTGCTTGAAGAGGCTCGCGCAAAAACGTGTTGTGGAGTTCAACGAAAGTGTCTTGAAGAAGTGAGTCTCTGTGCACGCGAGTGATCGTTGATGTGGTGAGTGCGGGGTTGATACCTTTCAGATGTGTGTTGGTGTGAGAACAGCAGTATGGGAGTCGAATCAAGTGAACCCTGGTCGCGTCAGAAGTGAATCAACCGATGACTTTGCTGTATTAAAAGAAAATCAACTTTTCTCTTGGCAGTTCATCAATGATGCTTTCCTTCGTACCTGTTGATGGCATCTTCCAATCAAGATTTGGCCCTGGGAGTACCCTTGAATATGAGACAACACAGGTTTAAGCTGGGAAATAGAAGATGGCGCCCTAACCAAACGAAAAACGCCATGTCTCATTAGTCTGGTACAACTCACCAGACTGTCTCGAGATTGTTGTATGAGAAATTGGAGAAGACGGAAAGCTACAAAACAATACATGCATGCTAAGAAAGTGCAAGACTCTTTTGCGGAAGGCACGACTAAGCTTAGAGTAGGAGAGAAGAAGCTGCATCGCGCCTGCTTCTGGTGTCAACGTCACATTGTTTAATGCAAATCCAGACTTGTGCTGCAGTTGGATATTTGGTTGTTATTGATACTCTGTGCTAGTAGAGTTTGGAGCAAGGCTGTCCTTTTTTGCAGCCTGGTAATATACATTGATCGCACTTCCCCTGGATCCTGGGTTTTCTCCATTGCTAAAAAGAAATTTTCGTGGTTGTTTCCTACGGCCACCTGCTTCCTGTGTTGTGGTAGTTGTTATCGTGTGGATCTGTTCGCGTAGACGAGACCGTTTGCAGGCCTGCCATCTCTTCTTGCCTTGCCTTCAGATGCGTAGCATCATCACAGCTCTTGCCAATATATCTAGGCCCTCGATGGTAGGTCTGACTTTCTTCGCTCCTCCGCAAAGATCTACAAATTGATCCATAGCAACTTGTACTGGCCGCAGCTCAGATGCAGACAGTGGACCACGGCATGATGGGTTCCACCAGCCCAAAGTACATCTATTACGCCATCTGAGTGGGCAATTGAAGTCACAAGCAAGAATCTGCCGGTATTTCCAACTTCTAGTATCTATGCAGGTCAGATCGATCTTGATCTCGCAAAGTCTGTTCGTAGAGTCGCCCTCGATGATGGTTGTACGAAATTCTGTAATCTTCTGAGGCCCGAGATGCTTGAGCCATGACCGATCAATCTTGTCGAGCCCGAACTGAGGAATTACATCAGGCAGAGCCAATTCGAAGCCTTCATGGAGTCGGATGTCGGTGGTTCTCAAGTTTTGAAGTAAGATTGTAGTGGCCTCGCGTCGAACCTGTCGACTCACTGACATTATTGGCGGGCTGAATTTCGAATTTTCTTTCGCAGAAATCTCTTTGCCGAAGTCGACTTGCATGATATTCTCGTATACCATCATACGGATCTCGCTAGGGAGCTTCATGAAAGGTACCCAGCGATTCTGGTCGGCGGCTTCGAGGCTTAAACGATAAGAGACTCTGCTTGAGTTCTTTGGCAGCTGTTCCTTTCGTTGCATCAAGGCGGATACCAGATCCTGACGGCTCCATGTAAGATAAGGATTGGAAATGCGGTCATCTTTCAACAGAATTCGCTCCAGGAGATGGCAAGTGCGAGAGTTTGGGCGCAGACCGCTGTCGTAAGCCCAGCTACCGAAACACCAAATATGGCATGGGCAAACGCTTTGGAGGCTTATACATTTTTGCCATAGATCTGCGAAGCGCTTGCGGATCTTTTGTGCATTCTCTGAGAGGTTGGGTGTGTGATGATGTCCGCGTCGTGCCTGACATGTACGTCAGCTTCTGTACCCTTTGTGGCATGTGTGCAACATTTACTTGGATACTGTTGCTACAACGACCTTCCAGTATGAACGTTCCGATATCACGCAGCTGAAGCTCGCCAGAGTGAAGCTGCTCGAACATAATTGGTGATGTTGTTGCGATATGCTGATTCTCTGGCTGTGGAGACGGGTGGAATTGTTATGTTGATGAAGGAAACCGGTGAACGTCAATCGAGTAGGGTAACAGTCGGCGAAAAGAAGGAGCGAGAAAAGAGATCATGCGCGTCCGTGATGACAGGAAGGTTAGACAATTGCAGATGAAGCTTCGGCGTAATTCACTGATGCTTGGAATGAAGAAGCTTTTGGTGTTGATCGTCTCAAACTCGAGGTGAGGTTATGAGTGAGGTGCCTTGCAAAGGTCTTCGGAGGGCGTCTGGGGGACTTGATTGTACGACTTCAACACGATGCCGATGGCTCTCAACAAACATAGCGAGCGAAATACTTGAGACGAGGAAGGTACCGACACGTTGGGCACGGACGCCACTCTCCTGCTTGCCAGTCTTGCCAATCATCCGTGGGTTATGCAAATGTAAGAAATCGGGTATGGTTGTACTCGAATCACTAGTGGCTCTCTCTTGTAAGCTGTTCGAATTTATGCGATGCGATTGTAGTAGACTCAAGCTTGGCCCTTCTCTTATAACTACCTATACCGTCCAAACTCCGTGATATTTTGATGGACCCCTTTTCCGTATACGCCAGATCGCCGAACATGATAGATGCAACCGAACAATCAACAATGCTTTCATATCCTCACTCAAGCCTTTCTGGCAAATCTCGCGAGCGCGGGACCCAGCTCGACTTCACCCTGGCGAGCCTTGTTGTTCCTCTTTGCCTGCTCCTTTCTGAGCTCTTGGATTCTGACCTTTCTCTCGTCGATAATGTTCTTCGAGCCTTGCTTACGCAAGTACTTTCTCAAACTGCTGTTCTTGCCTCTGCCTCTGTTCTTGATCTTGGCGAGCGGGTCTTCGGGCTTCTTGTCCAAATCTCTTTCTTGCTGGCGCTGAGCATGTGTCGCACGATCCAGTTGACCAATGAATTCTGGGTCGAGGGAGATCATCTCTGGTTGCAGCTTGTTCAGCAGAGACTTGACTTCACGTTCCTGGCGCTGCTTAGGGTTCTCGTAGAGCAGGACCTCGAGGGAGTCGGGATTGGCTTCACCAGCTCCGGGGACGAGGACGCTTGAGAAGCCCTTGTCGTGACTGATACCGAGAATATCTTCGTATGGGCACCATCTGACGCGCTCGATGCGGTTGCCCTCGCCTCCCCAGGCCATGTAGGGGCTTTGGACCTTGACTTGGTCGTTCAGGTTCTTGTTGAAGAGGTCCCTCCAGACGGTTGTTTGTGTGCCCCATCCAACGGCTGTGAGATTTGTGTCTGAGATGGAGACTGATGTGCCCGGAGATCTCAGGAAGTAGTTGTTGACCTCCTTAAACATGCGGACATCCCAGACGGACATCTTCGAGTCTTGGCCTGTCGAGACCATGTATCTGCCTTCTCTGTCCAAAGCCAATGATCTGATGGGACCTCTGTGTGCAAGAAGCTTGACTAGCGGCTTCTGGTCGTTGGGTGACCACATGCTGACTGTTCCGTTCTGGTGACCGACATGAAGGATGGCTTTATGAGGATTTTGACCGAAGGCTGTAGGAGAGCCTTGCTTTGTGGGGATTTGCGCGACAAGTTTGCCGGTACTGGTGTCCTGGTATTTTAGCCAGCCAGCGTTGCCGATGGTTGTGAGGAGGAAGTGGAAAGGGAGGAATTCCATGTGTGTGACATCGATGTGATCTTGTAGCGTCTGAATCTCAACACCCTGGTGGTCGTAGACGTAGACGTATTTCTTCTGAGCGACGGCGAAGAATTGGTTGTTGTGCAGCCACTTCGCATCGCGCACTGTTTCGCCCAGTTGCAACTCACAGCCCAACTTGCCCTTTCTCCAGTCCATGGTGGCGACATGGCCTTTGCGACCTGAGAGCAGCATGTGCACACCGTTGCGCGTGTAGTCAACGTTGTATGGGCCCATGCCGTCCAGTCTCAACTCGAAGCCCTTCTTGGCCGTCTCGACACCGACTTCACTCTGAATCTCATCCTGTCTAACTTTGTATGTTCTCTCGAGCTCTCCTTCTGTCTCCAGGAAGCCAGATGTGTTCTCGAGCAGGATCTCGGCATCCTTTGCCTTGACGGCGGCGTCCTTGTACTTGTCTTCCAGAGCTCTCAGGTTGCCGCGCAGTTTTCGGTCTTGCACACCGCGCATTGAAATCTTGTCGCCTCTTCCATACTGCTTTTGCGCTACAAGCGCCCGTCTCTTGACCTCGGTGGCATCTGCATCGATGGGTGCGGTCGGTCCGCGTGCTTTCGTCGGTGCGGTAGTCGGTCGTTCGCCGAGTAGGGTGCGGTTCGCTGAGGTTGCCATATTGTTTGATACGTGTTATTATCCCCTTCTCTTATACAGTCATTCCGGAAGGCGCAAGAAAATTGGTTGTTTGATGGTTCTATAACTTTTGGCTGCTCCAGAATTTCTTGCGGCAAAGGAAAATCATTTGCCAAGCATCGTCAAACTCCGCCCTTATTTCCGTGAGCGTCAGCTCCTGCAAGCTGACCAGCAACAGCCGCTCCTGCCTCGACTCAGCATGCAAGATGGTCGTGCCTTGTAGAAAATTATTGGCAAAATTCACAATATTGAGATTCCGATGGTAGCATAGAGATTGTGTCTGGTATTGAAAGCGCTGAAGACCCCTTGACTTCTGCAGTCGAGTTCTTACACTCCTTTCACGCGTGTTGAGGCCTGCCACCCGCTCAAGTAGCTATCACAGCTTCGGTATTGATATCATGGATTTCACTCGTCAAAATGCAAGATGCTCTTAAGACCGATGCATCTGTTCAGTGAGAGCGATTCAAAGTATAGCTCTCCATGGACATTTCCACGGTTCTCAAAAGCATCTTGCATCTTGACAGTCAAATTCAGGGCCCTCTCATTAGTCTGGGATGCATGTACTTAAACAGCAAGGCACATATTTGGATACACGGTATAGTATTTCGATTGAGACACCAATCCTATTTGTTCAACCTTGGATGTACCGTCTCGTTGTATGCTAAAGCCTTCATGAAATTGGTACGAAAGTTTAGTGACTAAGCATTGCAAGCACGGCGAAGAGATAATACCATCACATGAACGACTGGAGGTGGAAAGAAGTTGTATGCAAGAGATATAATTCTCAATTGTCTGAATCTAAAAAGTTCTAATATGTACAAAGATGCTATGCAATGGTAAAAACAAGGGTATGTAGCGAATGTGTAGAGTGCAAAATAAAACGCTTGCTATGCCAGAAATGTTCGAAAAGCCAAATCAAAAAGGATCAAACTGGCAGTTTTGTGCTAAACTCTCTCCAGGAGGCGAATAGCTTAAGAGTACTCCCAGGCAGCGGGAGCAGAGGTCTCGGAGATTCTGAAGGCGAAGCCAAGGCAGTCCTCGGAGGAACTCTTCATAGCGGCAGCGGCGAAAACAGCGTAGGCGTCGTCGACGGGGCAGGCGAGGAAGTCAGAGCCCTGGTACTGGAGGTGCTGGCCCTCCTGAGCGATGCTGAAGCCGGTGGAAGAGGAGCCCTTGCCAGTGTATGCGGAGTGAGGGACAGTGAAGGAGAGTCTACCGTCGGCAGCGATGTACACTTGCTGACCTCCGGGAACGGTAGTATCGAGGCTCAGGGTGTTGTCACCACCGAGGAATTGAGTGGTGGTGGTGTTTGAGCAGACGAGGCCGTCAACCTTGGGGCAGTAGACGGAAGAGTCCTTGTTCAACCAGAAGGTGGAGCCAGCAGCGTTGACAGATGCGTACTGAATGTCAGAGCCGGAGTGGATGGCAAGACCGCCAAAGGCACCAGCGGGAGCTGAGCGCTTCTCGAAGACGTTCTCGCCGAGGCAGCCGACGTACTCGGAAGCACACTGGGCCATGTTGGCAGAAAGACCGTTGGGGCGGGCAGTTCTGCAGGCGTTGTAGGACTCGTCACAAGAACCCTTGCAAGCAGCGTTCTCGGAAGAGCATTGAGCCTGGTTTGCGCTCAGACCGGTGACGGGGTCGCTGGCACGGCAGGCGTTGTCCTTAGCGACACAGTTCTCCTCAGAGCGGGCCTTGACGGCAGGCTTGATGACGAGAGAGCCGTCAGAACCGAAGGGGTTCTGGCCGAGGCAGCCAGCGTACTGCGAAGCGCAGTAAGACATGTTGGCATCGGGTGCAGAGCGGCACTCGTTGTATGCATCGTAGCAGTCGCCCTGGCAGGAAGCGTTCTCGGAAGAGCACTGAGCCTGGTTGGCAGAAAGGCCAGTAACGGGGTCGGAGGCACGGCAAGCGTTGTCCTTAGCGACACAGCCAGAGGCAGCAGGAGTGGGAGCTGCGGAGGCAGCGAGGGCGAAAGCGAGGGAGACGATGGCGGCAGTCTTCATTGTGATGGTTGTTGTGTTGGTTGTTTGTTTGAAGGTAGTAGAAGGTGGTTGAGGGTTATCAAGATTGTTGTATTGTAGTAGTGGATGGGATAGAAGTGTTGTGATGATAGAGATAATGGGTGGTCAATCAAGACTCTTATATATCTTTCAAGGCCTTCTTTCTTTGATGTGACGACACGGATGTCACCTACCTGTGTCTCTGCAGTTCCTGCAATCACATAGAGATCTACACTAGATACGAAGGTTGTTCTAAAATCAGAACATGAGAATAGAAACACCAGTGGCAAGATAGATGATGTGCAAACCGTCTACATTTCCGGTGGATGGTTGCAGAGCCGGGTTCGGCACCTCAGAGTCTAAATGATGTCGGCCAAGGTAAGGCCGTTTTATGGGGTCCGCCTAAGCTTATTGAGCCTTCCGGAGAGATGGTCCTTGAAACTGGTGTCCCTGACGTTTGACAAAGCAATGATGCTGATGCGGACACCGGAATACAACCAGCATGATGGACCAAGTATAACCACGTAGCCATCTCGCTGGCACAGTGAACATGTCGATATTGCTGTTGAGATCTCCTTCCATAGCAGGTGTGAAGTGTCTCATCCGATTTATCCAGAATCTGACTTTTTCGCATGAAGCTTGGCTGCTTGGCGGTGACTTTGAGAGGAAACCTGGAGAGCCATTTCTAAGAATAGCATGTCAACGCCCTCGACCGCCTCCACGATGCGGGCCGCGCTTTTGAACGATCTCCTTCCACCTACGTTATTCACGCTTCTGCAATGACGATCTTCCCAAAATGCCCTGCTGTTATGTAACGTCCTGCTGATGTTGCTGAGCGACTGGAAGGTGGTTGTGGCCTGATAGAAGAGCGCAGAATTCGAACACGAGCGGGGTGATGTAGCATCAGATGAACGTCTCAGAATTGACCAAGTCGAGCGTCTTCTAGATTGGGCCTTGCAATATCGATGTTGACAATGCACGTCGCGTGTACAGTCTTGTGATGACGATCCTCCTTGCCCATGTCCTAGGTGATTAGAGGGGTAGAAGCAGTGTCAGTCAGGCCCTTCATAGTGGTGGCTTCAAGGATACAGCGGCCGGCGGCCAGCCACGGACGGTGATGAGATACGTGCGTAAATCAGTGCCAGGTTGTTTATTGATCCACCAAGTGTGGAGTAGAGCTGCAGGTGATATAGTCATCGGCCACCCTTCTATCAGAAGAATACGAGGTCCAATTGCTAGTACTGTCTAGCAACTTCGCGGTCTGTAATTGGGAGAGTCGATTCTGCGACATGCATGCATGAGTGCTTCGTATCGATCAATATGGGAGTACTGCGACAATACGTCGAGTCAGCACTTGGAGTAGTTGACGAGAGGTTTGTCATCGAAAAAACGCCAGTCGATGCATGAGAAATGGTATGTAGCAAGGTGGATGTTGTTGGCGAGTGGTGGCGCTCGGGGGCAGAAAAACATCAACGTGCCGTCAGTCGCGGCAGTCCATGTTGTTGCTGGTGGTCTGATTTGAGGACGCTCTGTAAATCCCTGCTTCGAACCGAAAGAATTTGAAGCACGTCAAGATAACGTCGAGTTGTTGTTCGCGAGGCAGCTGGAGGAAGAGCACAAAGCTACTCGACGTGCGTAATGGAGCGCAATGCGGCGTTGCCAACAAGAATCTCTTGTTCCACATCTGTTGACATCGCCATCACATCGACTCTTAGATCTTGAGCGGTCCTTCTTCCTCGTTGTGTCAGATCTCGCATTATTATCGCGCTGGAGCCCCATATGAACTCAGAGAAGCAGCCTGTTCTCGAACTACCTTCTATTAACCTGTCAACGTTTCCGCTCTCGTGCAGCGTGACAATCGTCGTGGTTAGTGTACTATCGTGGTTAGCTTCCAAAGATTCGATGAAGCATTGCAATAAATGCTTCATAACAGCAGCAATATCACCCATCACCACTTCTTGTTTTGCAGTTTTGCTTGGTAAGGTTTTATGACTCTGCCAAAGCAATAACATCAGAAATTGAAGCACATTGCCGTCGTCGACAGCGAATTCGGGCTCAAAAACAATGGTTATGGGTACAACCCTGGACACAAAGCTTGCAAGATTTATCTCGAACATCAACTCATATCATCCATCATGCTAGCCATTTCCTGCATCTCATCAATCAAAACCAAAAGGCGTCGAACACCCGACATTAGAATGTCGCTTGCTTGCAATCACACCCTTCGCGTCAGATGTGAACTTCTCGTCGGGAATTTCTTCCTCATTCGCCAATCGCACACGGCAAGAAAGCCCGACCGCCCAGCAAAAGTTCGCCAGAAGCATAGCAGCAACGGGCAAAAGAGAAGATGCCCCCTAACGGAGTCGAACCGGTGACCTCGGCATTACTAGTGCCGCGCTCTACCAACTGAGCTAAAGGGGCAAGCATGAAATAGTCTGTGTTTAAGACACATATTCTAGCTTCGTCAACCTGGCCCCAGGGGCAGGTGCGACTGACGCGTCGGCGTCTGGAAAACCACGCGGGTGGACTTGACGAAACAATCGGACACACGCACGCGAACATCGAAGACGAAAGAAGAGATGGCGGATGGAGACGCAGAGGACAAGGCTGATGTAAGTTTCTGTCGTCCGTAATGGGAGTTGGTGTCTGTGACAATCGGTTGATGGCAGACAATCGCCTCCATGATCCATCACACTTTCCACCACTACCAATACCATCAATTTCATCTACCCACTACATCAATCACACCATCTTCTATTACGACCATATCCTTATCATCCAAACGCACAATTTCATCCTGACACCCTTCTCACAGCGCCTCAAATCCTCCCTCTGGTACAGCATAGGCAGCATAGTCGATGCAATAGCACTGGACCAAGACCTAAACGCCACACCCCAATTCATCGGTTCCCTGACCGAACTCGTCTGGAGCCAGATCCTAACCTCTGGTGCTGATTTGGAGAACTTCGCAAAGTATACCATTTTCACCTTTGAGGTCCTTGCGAAAAACGACGCTGATCAAAGTATGACAGACATGCGGGTAGAGATACCATCGATACGAAAGATGTATTGCTTTTGGTGAGGAGAAATGAGCAGTTAAAAGAGGTGTTGGAGAATGCGTTGAAAGAAATCAAGAAGTGAGAAGATGTGAACACAATGCGGCAAAATGGTCTTGAAGAGGTTTGAGATTATTCATGATTGGCTAGTATGGTGGTATATCCGCTATATTTCTTCGGCTTCAACAGGGTATCGCCGGCCCGTTATTTGCATTCCATCACACAACCAGGTTCGTAAAAGCATAGTGGATTTATTGCTTGTCGGGGAAGCCCAAGTTGACCTTTTGCAGAATTAGTCACTGGAACTCCAGAAAAGAGATGGGAAGGGAACTTACGCCAAAGGCAGGGTACACGAAGCGGTTAGGAGGGTGTGTCTTTGCAATGTTGTCAAGAGCCTTGACATCCGAAGAGTCGAGCTTGATCAACTTCATGTTCTCCTCAATACGCGATGGCGTTACGGACTTGGGGATGACAGAGCTTCCACGAGCAACTATTTCTTGAAGTCAGTTTCTGCTCTCGTCGGATGAGAAGAGGAATCATCCTTACCATGGTAGCTCAATAACACAGTACCGGGCGAAACATCATGCTTCTTAGCAACCTCCTGAATCTCCTTCTCCTGGAACAGCGGCGATCCAGTACTACCCAAAGGACTGTATGCAGTAATCAAAATACCCTTTTCCTTGCAGTAATCCACAATTTCCTGTTGAGGCAAGTAAGGGTGGTTTTCAATTTGGTTTGCGGCGGGGGTGACTTTGGCTTCCTTCATGAGTTCCTCCAAGAAGGGAACTGAGAAGTTGGCGACACCGATGGCCTTTGTCTTTCCGGTGGCGAGGAGCTTTTCCATCTCCTTCCAGGTTTGGGTGTAGGACCAGGTTGTGTCGAGGTCGCGGGAGCCATCGGGGTGTTTGGGGAATTTGGGGTCGTTGCCTTTGGGGTTCATGGGGACGGGCCAGTGCATGAGATAGCTGATGATGTTAGACCTGTGCCTTGAGGATATACATAATCTCTCCAATTGACTTACAGATCTACGTAGTCAAGGCCTAGCGACTTGAGACTGAGATCGAGGTTCTCCTCGGGTCTAGAGTGGTAGGTACACCATAACTCTGCGGAAAAATTATGAGCTCCTGCTATCATATTCGCAGATGATTTTGATGGTTAACTCACTGGTGGTGACAAAGACGTCTTCACGCTTGATGCCGGCAGACTTGAAGCCCTCGGCGAGACCCTCACCGACTTCATCCTCGTTGCCGTACACGTATGCGGCATCAATGTGCTTGTAGCCAATCTTCAGAGCGTGCGAAACAGCACTCTTGACCTCACCAGGTGCAGACTGCCATGTTCCCAGACCTGTGATTGAAAAGTCAGTCCCATACAATTCTCCCGAGCTATCGAAAACTGTCAGGAGTCAAGTTCATACCGAGAGCAGGGATCTTGGCGCCTGTGTTGAGGGTGAAGACAGTATCAGACATGGTTTTGGGATGTAGTATAAAATCAGGAGTCTTTTTGAGAATGAAGTTTGCAAGTTGAGGATTCATGGCCGGCAAAGGAAATAATGTATGTCAAGGTCAACAAAACACCTTGCTGGCAGCAATCACCTAATCGGCCTTTGACCCAACAGCTTTTGCTACCCCTCCCCCATAGGCTTGACTAGAATTAATAATGTACGCATTAATAATTGAGTTAATAACCATTAATAATCCATTAATTATTACATCTTGGCATGTTGAGAGGGTGACCCTGTCCTCTGCCGCCGCGTACCTATATATACGCAAGCATGCTTAGTAATCATGTGCNAGCCTCTNACGACTAGACTNGTTAGCCTAGTCGTTAGAGGCTAGCACTGTTTTGCGTNCGCGNAATTATTAAGGGCTAGGGTTCGACTCGGAGCTAAGCCCTTCTTTTTGCACTTTTGAAATCTTCTGCTTGCTATTTTACTAACTATATTAAGTGCTTTAAGTAAATTCAAACGGCGCCTATAGACCTCCCTCTTAACTGTATATAGCCTCTAGTAGCTAAGCGCAGCTATTAAAGAAGCTCGACCCTAGCTCTTATAATGCAGCTCGCTTAGATCGCTAAGTTAAGCGAGCTAAGCTTAAATAGTAAGGGGTCTAAGATAGCGTAGCGAGCTAAGTTAGCGCTAAGCTAGCAATAGAGAACTAAGTGTCGTTTAGAGGGTCCTTAATCGACGAGTATTAAGACTATAGCTAAGAGGAAGCAATCNNAGGGGTCTCTAGCGCTAGCGTAGCTCTATTATATAGCCTCTCTAGCGCTAGCGTAGCTCTATCGTATAGCCTCTCTAGCGCTAGCGTAGCTCTATCGTATAGCTACTTCCTCTTCCTTAGATTACTCTGCTTTCTACTCGGATACTAAGGTATAGATAGTAAGGATCCCTAGAACTGCTAACCGTATAGTATTAAGCCTAGCTACGAGGACGAGGGCTTAATTAGCGGAGGAGGTAGTATAGCTCGCGCGTCGAAGTCTTTATAAGGGAACTCGAGCTAGCTAAGAGCATTAAGAGTTGCTAGAATAGTTGCTACTACTATTTTAATAGCATCTTTAAGGGCCATCAAATCGGACTTCTTAAGCTACTTAATATCTAGCGCGCGCTAGATACGCTTAGTAATAGGATTGTTCTACGTAGCATGCCTCTTAGCTCGGCGCTTAATCTATAATTGCTACTACTAGTTAGTTATTAGCTCTATACGGCGGTTAAGAACTCTCGAGTTAATGTAGATACCGTATAGCCGATCGGTTATAATAGTCGACATGCGAGATCGGAAGGCGTTTTAAAGGTAATTTATAGCTAAAAATGAGCGCTTAGATGGCACGGAGTTTGCCGGTATAATAGCTAGCCTTCTAGCTAGCTTAGCGAGCTTACTAGCACCTCGCCATTTAACTATTAACTAGAATATTGACGGCTAGAAGCGTATGTCGTCCTTCTACAGCTCCTCGGAGGCAAAGATGCTAGTACGCTTAATGAATTAGATGAACTAGCTCTAGAGCTTTAGCCTCTTCGAGCTCTTAATATGCTAGTTAAAGAAGCGAATTGTCGCTACGGCGCCCTCGGTCGTTATTGCTAGACGATCTATCTAACAGTTTAAGAGGTAAGCGGCATAGTAGATGTCGGTAGTTTAAATAGCTATACGCTAATCTAGTCGCTCGAGGACCTCTTGTTTATACGGTAAGTCCGGTATCGAGCTTAATTCATTACGTAGAGCGCGCTAGCGAGGGATAACTTAGCCTATAGTCGACCGGTCGTTCTTAGAGAGCTTCTACGCAAAGTAGAAGGGCTTAATTAAGCGCTACAACGTTATAAGTCGCTCCTACTATGCCTCGTCGTTAATAAGCTTCTTTACTAATAGCTTAGTTACTACTCCTTACGCCGAGGCGACCTTAAGAACTAGCTTATTCTTAAGCAGCGCGTTAATAGTAGCATAGTAAGAGCCCTAACGAGTAGCGTAAGCAATGGCGAACGCTACTAGTTGCTCGCCTTCCTTATTAGCTATTTAAAGTAATAGCTGCTAGATCTTGTCGCTTACGCGGAAGAAGGTAAGTACTATATTAAGCTCGCGAACTAGTGTAGCATATAAGCTAATAGAGCCTTTAGTATTAGGGTCGCTATTATCCTTAAGGCCGAGCTAGAGACTATAGTTGTCGTATAATACCGTAAACACGTACGTAGTCTCTAGATGCTCGTATAGAGCTATATAGAAGCTCCTCTAAGCGCTATAGGTATCGGTGTAGATGCTATTCTACCTCTTTAAATCGCCATTATAGAGCACTCTAACCTTCTTAGTAATAGTCTCTCGCATCTACTCCGCCGATACTATAGCTCTACTAGCATTAAACGACTCGATATAGAAGGCTTAGCTAGCTAACGTGTTTACTAAGATATTAACGATTCGATCCCTATTTCGAGCGCCGGATTTATCGATAATGACGTTAACATACGGCTCCTAGTTAACTATTACTTTTACTCGAGCCATTATAGCACTTAAAGCTTACTTAAGAAGCTCGTCGCTTAACCGAGCACGCGACGGAGGGTTATATCGAAGGCTCGGATTAAGAGCCTTAAGTAGCTAGAGGAGTGGCGGATTCGACTAGAAGTAGTTAAATAGTAAGCTACCTCTATATACCGCCATTAAAGTAAGGTTATCGAGCTTACGGCGGTTCGGAAGTTATGCCTTAGAGAGCGGCTCTAACTGCTTACCTTAAGTAGCGCGAGCAAGCTAAGCCTTAAACTCGGCATTATCGTCGAAGGTACTAAGCGCTAGTTAGCCGCTCTATATAGCGCTCTTAAACTAAGCGCACTAAAGTAAGTGCTTTATCCTTAGCTCCTTATTCCTTCTCTTAACCTTCTAGTTATAGCACTAGTAGCAGTTAAAGTAGCCGTACGCGAGGGTATCGAACTAAGCGCTAATAGTACCTTAAGGTCTACTAGCCATATCGTCTATATAACTAACGACGGCTTAGAGCTAAGAGCTAGAGCCTTAGAACTAAGGGGTAAGTTACGTAAGTAATTATTGACTATTAATAATGCGTACTTACTGCGTATAAAGGGCAATAATTGATGTACGCATTAATAATCGATTATTAACGGTTAATAAAGCACCCCTACTCCCCTACTTTCTTCTATCGAGTATCTACTAACAGCTTCGAGCTCTCGAGGGAAGATTAACCCGAGAGACGAAACGTAGAGATCGGCGACTACGAGCTCGCCAAGACTGCGCAAGCGCCGCACCTTCTTGCATGTTTCGCTAATACCTTTTTCCGGGCTGCTGTACATTATGCCCGGAACAATCCACGAAAGAGGCAAGTGGCGCCCCGAATGCGAGGAGCGGAAAAACCTAGCAGCTCTCTAATCAATCGGAGGCCGCGATCCTGATCCACATTGTCGTCATGAGACCAAGGATCGTTTGGTCTTCGCTCCGATAGTTCTGCCGTTGAGGGATTTTGGTGACGACTAGCTTTGCCGCTAGGAGGCAAGATAATCCGCACGAGGGTGGATGCCCCGGCTTTAGAGCAAGCAGAGTTCAACCCCCAGACAACCCTCGAACGACTTGTCAGGCATGCCGTGGGGCGGACGAGCCACATTTGGAGGTATCTGGCGAATGAACGCGAAGATGCTTACGGGTGTTGGTGCAATCGATGGATGATGGAAGTCCATGAGTCGTTTCCAATCTTTCCAGACTGGGGAAGTGACGGCGTTGGAAGAGGGAAGAGGGTTGTTCTTGCCCTTTGAACGGGGCCCCAGAATTAGTCTCCAGTGGTAGGTTGGTTGAGTACTCTACTCTAGGAGATGCCGACTTGGAAACAAGTCCCCGAAGAAAGGTAGATAAAAGAGAGCGCTCCTTTCCTTGTCATCTCGTCTTTTGGTCATCATCGTTCCATACAATCCATCAATCTGTTCAACGCTCCACTGCATCAAAAGCATAAAAGAACACAACAACACCAATCCGCCTTTTTGCGCACACTCAAATCAGACTCAATCACACCTTTTCACGCAAACTCATACACATCAGTCAACATGGCACCCATCGCTCTTGAGCAGCCCAATGTCGCTGAGAACTTCAACGACCACAAGGATGGTCTCGCCCTCGAGGCAACCTCCGACAATATCGACGAAGTGAACGTTCTCAAGGCCGCCTTGAAGGTCAAGAACGGCACCGCCACCCAAGAGGAGAAGGACATCTACGAAAAGTCACAGTTCGATGCCGACAAAGACAAGGAGCAATTCCGCAACTACGAGGACGCCTGCGACCGTGTCAAGAACTTCTACAGAGAGCAGCATGAGAAGCAGACTGTTGCTTACAACCTGCGTGCCCGTAACCGATTCCACTCCAAGACCAGAGCCGAGATGACCATCTGGGAGGCCATGGAGAGATTGAACACCTTGATTGACGAGTCAGACCCTGACACCTCCCTGTCTCAGATTGAACACTTGCTCCAATCCGCAGAGGCCATCCGCCGCGATGGCAAGCCCCGCTGGTTCCAGTTGGTCGGTCTGATCCACGACCTTGGCAAGCTCCTCTTCTTCTTCGATGCAGAGGGTCAGTGGGATGTCGTCGGTGACACTTTCGTCGTCGGCTGCAAGTTCGACGACCGCATCATCTACCCCGGCACTTTCGAGAACAACCCCGATAGCAAGGACCCCATCTACAGCTCCGAGCACGGCATCTACACACCCGGCTGCGGTCTCGACAACGTCATGATCAGCTGGGGTCACGACGAGTACCTCTACCACGTCGTCAAGGACCAGAGCACCATCCCCGACGAGGGTCTCGCCATGATTCGCTACCACAGCTTCTACCCCTGGCACAAGGAGGGAGCTTACCGCTGGATGATGAACGAGAAGGACGAGAAGATGTTGGGTGCCGTCAAGGCCTTCAACCCTTACGACCTGTACTCCAAGTCTGATGAAGTCCCCAAGGCTGAGGACCTCAAGCCCTACTACATGGAGCTCATCGATGAGTTCTTCCCCAACAAGGTCTTGAGATGGTAGATTTGATCATTCGCCCTGACTGCCGCGAATGCATGATATACCCATCTGATTTTATGACCTTTGTTGACGATTTAGCGGAAAGCATCAAGAAATCCACCCGATGGAAAAGAAAGACTGAAGTGGTCGGCGTTGCGGGTTTACCATTTTCTTTTATCTATAATGACCTCCTTTTTCAAATGAACTTTTTCTATCTACTCCTTCATGCCTTTGAGTATGCCATCACTGCTAGGCCGATTACTTGCATGACCACTCAATCCGCATGTTTTCATCATCCTCGAACATACACAGGGACTTCGTTCTATACTTAGACATCACCTCTGTAACACCATTTTTGCAAATAACTCTTCACATCCAGGCAAACCTGTATTACCTCTCCCACCTTACAATACCATGTTGCATCCTAAATTCCCGTGTCGCATCCTACGTTGCCGAGTCGCACCCCAACAACTACCATTGCCATATCCCATGCCCCAAATACACAATTCCACAAATATCTCCCACAAAATCTCATTACCCTTGGTGTTTTGTTTTCTTTCTTTTCTCAAAAAACACAAGTGATGTACTCGTGAGTTTCTTCAAATCACCGAAATCAAGGCAATGCCTCAACATGAATATCCGCATCCTTGAGTCTTTGTTTCTTTTTTGTCACTTCGTCAAAGTTTGTGAGATACTTCTATCATTATATTACCACAATCATATCATCATATCGCTTTTTTCCGTACTATTTTGTCTTTACTTACGACATGCACAAATTCACAGAGTGTTGTATTGATATGCAATGTTGGACAAAAGGCAACATAGGGCTTTGATGGTCTCACGCATGACGGACAAGGGAGGGTAGCGGAAACCTTTCTCCGCAAAGGCACAACAATCTGGCAATAATCCCCGGGTACACAAACGCCACTTTGCTGCACTCTCCAGCCGTGGAAGCATGGACGATCGAGCGTTGATGCATGGGGTAATAAAGTTCGCGATGAGGCATCTCAAATGCTTTCCAAAACTTGGCTCCAGATGTCATGATTGTTCTCGAGTATCAAAAAAAATTATGTACAAACAAGAAGAACTCTCTTGCGTCCAAAGAGTAGAAGACTCCCTATGCCTATTATTGGTCCAAACAAATGCCGTGCAATGCACATCTACAACCTCGCCCTCTCCTCTCCCTTTGTGTCGATGATAACCTTTAACACACACCAACCATCAGCTTTTGTGCTCTTCAAAATCACGCAGTCTCAATGACAACCTTGAGAACCAATTTGCCCTCATCATCCTTGGTGCGTCCGGCCATGCCAAACGCATCCACACAACTCTCCAAGCCTTTGTATTTATGCGTGACCAGTTTCGAGAGGTCTGGTGCTGATGGGGAGGTGGCGATGGAGATGCCTTCGGGGTACGTGTTTGCGTAGCGGAAGACTCCTACTAGGTCGACTTCGCGGAGGGCGGCGGAGGACATGGCGAGGGTTTGGATGGGGATGCCCATGCCGATTAGCATCACGCGACCGCCTGGTTTGGTTGCCTGTGAGAGGGTGAGGTGTTAGTGGGAAGGTAGGTAGGAAGAATGAGGGCAGAGGGGGTGCTTACGTAGATTCCTGATTGCACACAGGTGGGTACACCGGTGCATTCGAAGACGACGTCTACTTCGCCGACAGCAGAGCCGGCATCATCGGTGACTTTGGCAATGCCATCTGCGGTTTCTCTTGCAATGGCCAGATTCTCATCTGTATCTTTTCCTCTCTTCATGGGTACCACAAAGCCGTGGTGTGCGAAGCCATTCTTTATTGCAAAGTCGACTCTTCCGGCATCGATATCTGCAATGATAATGGTCTTTGCTCCCTTGGTCTTCGCAACAGCTGCGGCGAGCAAACCCACAGCGCCAGCTCCAAAGACTAGAGCGGTTTGTCCAGGTTGCATCAAACTGCGGCGATATGCGTGGATAGCAACACCTAGAGGTTCAAGCAAAGCTCCCAACTCCATACTCATACCCTCAGGCAACTTGTGACACCATTTCGCAGGATGATTGATACGTCCTTGCAGCGTACCCTGGAAATGCGGGAAACTCTTTGCAGAACTGCGGAATTTCATGTCCTTGCAGATATTGTATCTGCCTTGTTCGCAGCGATGGCAAGAATCGCAGGGGACACCGACTTCAAGGGCTACGCGGTCGCCGGGTTGGAAGTTTGAGACTGATGAGCCGACTGCGGTGACGACGCCGGAGGATTCGTGGCCGAGGGTGAGGGGTTCGCGGACGAGGATGTCGCCATTGCGGTTGTGGTTGTAGTAGTGGAGGTCGCTGCCGCAGAGGCCGGTGCTGTGGACTGCTACTTGGATCTCGTTTGCCGAGGGAGCGGGTACTTCGCGAGGTTCCTGTTGATTCCGAGTCAGTGGGTGTCCATCTCAAATGTTGGCCGGCACAAGATTGAGGCCGGAGCTCTGGCAAGGGGCATGTGAAGTTTGAGAGGGGCAGAAGAGTCCTCTTCACCTTCTACAGCATTCCTCACATGTCATGCTCGCGTGCTCATCTCTGGCAGAAAGTTGTGACGGTCGGTGAATGGAAAGTACTCACAATGCGGAGGTCCTTTGCGCCGTGCAAGACGCTGGCTTGTACTTGTGTTGACGACATGATTGAGATGTGATGGGTAGAGGAGAAACACAAAAAGCTTCAGGAATAAGAGTCAAGAGTGGATTGAAAACTGGAAAGGTGCAGCGGGAGTGCAATCAATACATAACAATTCAAAAGTCGTCAAGAAATGTCGGGAAGTTGAAGTGTCGGCATTTGATTTGGACCCCCCCACCCCACTCGTTGCCCACTTCACCCACTTCGCCCACATTATCGGCTTTTGAAGGGGGGAAAAGGCATGACGTTTCGGTAAATCGAGGGTCGAATGTCAACCAGCTTCTCGTCGGCATCACGAGAGTCTTTTTGTCGGCATTGAATCGACTGAATATACTTGTCTTGTTGTTTCTGCTCATCTTTCTTGTTCTTTGCATACCTTACACCTTGCAACAGACTCACCACAACATAATGGCCACCGTACAACAACTCTTCTCGCTCGAGGGCCAGACGGCTCTAGTCACTGGCGGTACTCGTGGTATGTTTCGACAACTCAGGCTGAATTTAGTGTTGGTGACTGACTCTTGTCTCTAGGTATTGGTCAATCAATGGCCATTGCCCTCGCTGAAGCCGGCGCAGACATTTTGCTAGTACAGGTGAGTCTCTCCTTCCCCCGACATTTCAGAACCACTAGTAACCAACAATCCACAGCGCGACGAATCAAACCAATCCACAAGAGAAGAGATCCAAAGGCTAGGACGCAAAGCCGATATCTACACAGCCGACCTCGCATCAAGAGAATCCGTATCCGCCCTCGTCAAGAAAGTCGTCTCGGACGGCCACCAAATCCACATCCTGCTCAACTGCGGCGGCATCCAACGAAGACACCCCGCACACCAATTCCCCGACAACGACTGGGATGAAGTCTTGAACGTCAACTTGAACTCGGTCTTTACACTCTGCAGAGATGTAGGCGCACACATGCTTGAACGCGACGTGGATCAATATGGTCGCAGAGGTGCCATCATCAACATTGCCTCATTACTGTCTTTCCAAGGTGGCTTCACAGTACCCGCTTATGCTGCTTCCAAAGGCGGTGTCGCTCAATTGACAAAGGCCTTGTCAAACGAGTGGGCATCCAAGGGTATCAATGTCAATGGCATTGCACCTGGTTACATTGCGACTGAGATGAACGATGCTTTGATGAAGGACAAGACGAGAAGTGAGCAGATCATGGCTAGAATTCCCGCTGGCAGATGGGGAAAGCCCGAGGATTTCAAGGGTCCTGTCGTCTTTTTGGCTAGCAGAGCGAGTGGTTATGTCAGCGGTGAGATTCTGACTGTTGACGGTAGCTGGATGGCTAGATAGATGCTTCTACATGTTACTCTTCTTCTAAAACATATTTTCCATATCCATACCATGTTCCTGCTCTGAGTGAGATTGTGTTGCTCGGCAAAAAGCTGGAAGCACAGGCCTTGTAAACAAAGCGTCTTTTCAGATGCCGTCCTTGTCAAAATTTCAATTCTCTCCAAGGTCGTCTGTCAACTCTGTCAAAAGCTGCTTACTGCTTGTCCTCAGCCTCGAGAGTGGACATAGACTGAGGATTCGAATAGTTGTGCACAGCGACAACATGCATGTTTACGCTACACGACCAACACGCCATCGACTCGCGCCAAACATCTCACAAACGGCAACTTTGCCGGCCAAACACCCAAATGTTGACTCAACTTTCACACCAACGTCTTGATCATCACAGACCAAACTCTTGAACCCTTGACCCATGAATCGCTACTATTCTCGTCTCCCCGAAAAGACCCCTCCAAGCCCTCCAAAAGAGCTCCTCCAGGCAACGGCAATAAACCCCGATCGGCAACTCTGCGAACCATCAAACACCGACAGCGCAAGTCTCCCCCCCCCCCCCCCTCCATTGCTCAGAAAGCCGAAAGCGGCAATGAAGAACGAAACACAGAGTGAGCCCCCGCACCTCGGCTTTTGACGTCCCTGTAAGCTCTTCCTCACCGAGCAAAAGAGCAGTTTGACGGAGATAACTTTTTTCCTTCCGCCTGCGTGACCTACCTGAACCAGAAAAGAGCGAAGGAAAAACTGGGGTCCCCGCGGGTTGTACTTGCGACCATTCGGGTGGATATCATGCTGAGCGGAAACGGAGAAGGTGTAGCGAGGGCATAGCTTCAACCCAAGCTCCCTCATAGATCCAAAGGAAGCAATATGGCGCGGGAGAGGGGTGAGGTGAGGTGAGGAAGTATTTGTATCGTGAATGTTCGCTGTTGGTTAGTTCTCTCTTCATCCAGTCGCAATTGCTTTTGATCGTTGTTTCCTTTGCAACAGCTTGTTTGCATAGATCTTCTTCCCCCCCCACTTGCTGCTGCTTACTTGCAAGCATTCTCGGAGATTGACTTCCACCACCACGACACCTCTGTTTCTACGTCTTCAAAAACGAAGCTCCTCGATCGTCTTGCTTTGCTCTTCTTTCCCTCCTCTTCATCTACCTCTTCTCGAACACTTCTTCCACCTCAATCAGCAATAATGGCACCCGCACGCAAACTCCAAGTCGCCATGTCAGGCCTCGGCCGCATGGGCGCCCGCCACGCCCTGAACTTCCACGAACGCACTCCTCGCGCCGAACTCGTGGCCGCCTTCACCCCAGAACCCAGAGAAGCAGCCTGGGCAAAGACGCACCTCGAAGGCGTAGTCATCTACACAGATTTCGACGAAATGCTCAAGCATCCAGGCTTGGAAGCCGTGGTCGTGGCAACGGTGACCACAGCACACGCATCCCAAGCCATCGCAGCCATCAACGCAGGAAAACACGTACTCTGCGAAAAACCACTCAGCACGTCGGTGGAGATTTCTCAATCGGTGGTGGATGCGGCGAACAAACATCCTCACTTGAAAGTGCTGTGTGGCTTCTCCCGCCGCTTCGATGCTTCCTACCGTGACGCCTTCGCCCGTATGGATACAGGCAGCATAGGCCGCCCAGCAATTTTCCGCTCCCAAACCTGCGATAAACTCGACCCATCAGGCTTCTTCGTCGACTACGCTCAATTCTCCGGCGGCATCTTTGTCGACTGCAATATCCATGATATCGATCTCGCACTGTGGTATTTCGGCCAGGATTCGTTGGTCAAGAGTGTTTATGCCGTTGGCGTTACGGCTGTGCAACCGGGTCTCAAGAAGTGGAAGGATGTGGATAATGGTGTTGGTGTGGTGGAGTTTTGGGGAAACAAGATTGCTTACTTGTACTCGTCGCGTATGATGGCGGCTGGTCAGCATGATATGACTGAGATCATCGGAACCGAGGGAAAACTCTCCGTCAACGCAAACCCCTCTGGCACCCTTGTCGAAATGTCCGAAGCTACTGGTATCCGCAGAGAAATCCCTGGAGACTACTATGGACGCTTCTATGAGGCTTTCGTCAGAGAAGCCAATGAGTTTACTGCTACGTGCTTGGATGACACAAAGTTGCCTTTTAAGTTGAGCGGTGCTGTGCAGGCGGTCAAGATTGGCTGTGCTTTGCAAGAGTCGCTGAACAGTGGAAAGAAGATCGAGTTCGACGAGACCGGTCGTCGTATTGAGCAGGCTTCTTTGTAAGCGGTGGACATGGATGAAGATAGTTGTTGCATGAAGAGATAGGAGTTCTGCTATTTTGCTTGCTTGCTTGCAAGAGAGAAAGAATGTCAATTCTCGCTGTTAATTAAAATGATAGTTTTAGACAGATAAAGCATAAAAAGAAAGAATTGAAAAAGAAAAACACATCATCGCCGATATCGCCAAACCAGTGCCCTTACAAACTCATGCATACTGTCGGATTAATCACTAACCGCCTCCTCTGGCGAAACCGCGGATCCGAATGTTCTTGCGGTGAGCTTCTATTGCTTTCATCTTGACAATGTACTCAGGTCCTTCCCACAACACCTTTCTGCCCAAGTACTGCGTCCATGCGAGTCTGAACATCTCATCGCGTGCATCGCGGAGTGGTTTCAGAAAGTCATAGAATATCGATCGAGCCTTCGATCTTTCGAGTTCGTGGACGGCCACCTCGTCCAGGAAGACGGTATCCCATTCATCAGTCCTTCGGACGACCTTGGAAGCGATTTTGGCATAGGTCTGATCCTCTGAAAGGTCGACTGCGGAGATGTTTCTTGGTGTAGGCGAATTCAGACGTTTGTTGACACGTTCATGAATACGCTCGCCAAAATCATGCCACCAGATTTCAGCAAACTCTCCGTCCCACTTTTCAAGAGCAAGTCTGGAGCGCTCTCTAGAACAGTAATCCGAATCAGTTTCAACAAGAGCAGTAGAGCCATCCTGTGTCGCGGTGTCATCGGGATCTTCCCTGCCTTTAGCGTTGAGCTCCATCTTGTTTACAGCAGCCAGCACAGCAGCGCTCATGGATTTTCGTCGAGGTTTGCCATGTTTCTATACCTGACCTTGTCCTGATCCTTTTTCGATAGGGACGCCCGGGCCTCCTATACCAAGGATTCTACCCATGTTCTTCAAGCTTTTCTTAATTTGCGGATGTCCATTCTTCTTGACCAGACTGGGCTCTGCTGGCGTAGGCTTTGGTGGCCAATTGCCCTCCTCTTTCCAGCCCTGTACGAGGGATCGAGTAATGTCGGACAAGTTGATAGGTATAGAGGGTGTTCGGCCTTGGAGAATGATTTTCGTATAGATGTCCGAGTATGTGGAAGTTGATATGCGACTGCGGATTGGGTTGTCAGGCAGGAGTTGGCGTGCGACAGGGATCAACAGTTCGGCGTCTGGTGAAGCTCCTGTCACTGGTCTTGTCGCTGTCGCTGGACCCGAAGCTGCAGGTGCTTGTGGCTGGTTGACGGAGTCCTTGTATTGAGCATTTGTCCAAGCATTTCTCTGGGCACTCCAGTGTGCAAGACCGATGTTCTTCTTCATGTCCCTCTCCAGTCTTCGTTGTCGTCGTAGGCGTCGCTGTGCTTTGCGGGCGCCGAGAGTGTCGCCCACTGACTCCGGAGTTTCGTATACAGGAGCTGCATCATCGTCGGAGCCAGAGTCCTCACCGTCACTGTATTCGCGTTCGCGCCAACCAGCTATCGTCGCTGGATCTAGGCCGTCGGGCTCGGAGGTGGTATTGGCGAGTATGTGAGCGTTCACTTCTTTTCCGACGTCTAACGTAAGGTCGGAGACAGTAGGCAATGTCGACGTGGTAGAGTGTACTGAGGCTTGATCGTTCCAAGGAAGATCGTGAGGAGCGTTGGGGTACGACCAGTCGTTCTTGACCTTCTCTTGCAGAAAGGCGCGTGCCTTGCGTTGTTGGTCGAGCTGTTCGCCGGACGAGCGACCTAGATTGAGAACCATTGTGGTTGGTTGTGGTATACGACGATGAAGCGGAGTAACAATGGCGTGAGAGGCAGACGACTTTCTTCAGCTGCGTGCGGGGAGATGCAAGTCTTTCTCTTCCGTCACACAGTCTAGGTAACCCACGGCCGGTTCAAGACAATATCTCTGATGTTGAATCGATTCACTTCTCAAGACGATGATGATCACAGAAGAATATGGTCATGATACAACAGACATGTGAGTTGATTGTTGACATGGTATTCGGACGTTGGTTGCGCGGAAGGAGCATCCTAAAACGTCATTGATTGAGAAAACCATCGCTGGTCCGGAAGTCACGCTAGAGCGGCCTGTTTCTTCGAGCATGCGACATGAGTTTGCGCCTGCCTTTAGGAAATCAGAGACATCGTCTCGCTGATCCATCTGTAACAAGCAGTTGCATGTGACTGGCGCAAGAACGATATGCGTAGGCGGACACCATCTCCGGCGCACCTTTTGTACGCAGAAAAGTCGTGCAGCAGCACGCGACAGAAGCAATTCAAGAGGAAGCATTGGTTGTCCCATGCAACTGGTATTGACAGGCGTGTTATGCATTACCTGCAAGACGCGCCTCTCACTGAGAAATCACACAAACTTCATGTATATATATCTAGATGTAAGCAAGTCATGGTTTTTCCCCAACTTCACAAGCCGACGGCCTCAGCGAAGGGATCAGGAATATGACGCTCTTGACCAAGGTTACACACCGAGCTCAGCCGTAGCGAGCTCAGGTGCTGTCCCAGGGCCACATTGTTCTCAAATCTGTCGACCGGAAAATTGACATCACAATAGTCTGATGGCTCCATAAAAGTCGAGCTGGACAGCAATCAACCGGACAGACCCCCGAAGGAGACGCCAGGATCGCTGAACACAGATCTTGTTATGTAGAAAAGAAGGAAGAGAGAAACTTTGCGACCTTGATATAGAGATTTGCGCGCTGCCTGCACGTGCCAAGCCGGGGGATGCCGCTGCGGCTTTACTCGCCCAAAGTCCGACGCGCTTTCTTGAACATTCGTCCATCTTGATCCAGGCATCTCTTGTTACTCGCCTCTTATCATTCAGCTGTGATTCACTTCTTCAGCTCGAGTCGACGTCGCTCTCTCTCGCGTTACCAAGCCTTGCAGTACTTGCGCGACAACTACACCACCCTCACACGCCACCTAACATGGACGCCGTCGCAATCCAAGATGCCAACAAGATCAGAGTCGCAATGGGCCTTGCGCCCCTGCCCGTGCCCGGCGAAGACGGCCTCCAGTTCAAGTCGAAAGATGACGGAGAGGATTCGGACCCTGATGATATGAGCACATTGGAAAAGCGTCAAGCAGCCGCTGGTGACAACTGGAAGAAGCTGCAAGATGAAGAGAAAGTCAGACAAGAGCGCCTGGCTCGCAAGGAGGCTCTCAAGAAGGCACGCGATATGGAACTACGGAACGCAAAACTGGAAGGAAAGGGCTTGGGTGATGCGGAAGAGGCAGACATGGACACAAAGACGTGGTTGTTACAGCAAAAGAAGCGCCAAAAGAAGATTGAGAAGGCAAGAAAGTATGAGGAAGAGCAGGCCGAACTCGAGCGTCAAGCACAAGCGGAATACTCAGCAAAGGATCTGGCCGGTGTCAAGGTTGCTCACGAGCTGGACCAATTCGACGCAGAAGGCGAGCAGATCTTGACTTTGAAAGATGCAGCAATTGGCGACGAGAGCGAAGATGACGAGCTGGAGAACCTGGACTTGCGCGCAAAGGAACAGCTGCAAGAGAAATTGGAGCGCAAAAAGAACAAGCCTGTCTACAACCCTAACGATATGGACGATGGAAACCGCTCTATCCTCGCGCACTATGACGAGGAGATTGACGGAAAGAAGAAAAAGAACTTCACTCTCGATACATCTGGCGCCATCGATCAAGCCGCTGTCGCTGCTCGGAGAGAAGCCGCAGAAGCCGAACGCATAGGAGTCAAGGGCATCAAGATCAGTCTGGATATGTTGCAAGACGATACACCTATCTCAGATTACCAAGATCCTTCGACTGCCAAAATCCGCAAGCCCAAGAAGCCGAAGAAGGCCAAAACCTCCCGTACAAAGGCTGCAGATGAGGATGACATCTTCCCGCTACCCGCACCGCAACCCACCGCCGACCAGATGGACGTTGACGGCCAACCAGCATCGAATGGAGCTGCTAAGAAACGCACCTTTGAGACTTTCGATGATGACGATCTACAAGCAAAATTGGCAGAGCAGCGTCGTGCAGCGTTGAAGAAGCGTAAGAAGACCGATGCTGCTGAGCTGGCTCGCCGCATCCGCGAAGAGGAATCTGCAACACCAATGAACACTGCCGAAGACGATGAGGAGCCTGGCCTTGTAATTGACGAAACTACCGAATTTGTGTCCAATCTGAGACGACCTCAATCACCAGACTCGGCAGACGAGCGCACACGAGCCACATCGACACCCGCCGTAGGAGAGACCAAAGATGAGGACGAGACTATGCAAGAATCCTACGCCGCAGTAGAAGATGAAGAGGAAGCTCGAGCCCGCCAGGAAGCCGAAGACAGAGAATCCTCCGCACCACCAGCTATGACATCCACTGGCTTCGAAGCCGAAGAAGACACCTCATCCGGCGCCGGTGGCATCCTCAACATGCTCCGCAAACGTGGTCTTGTCCAAGATAGTGACGCCGACAAAGCCAACGCAGCCGTCCGCGCCCAACAACAATTCCTCGCTGAGAACCAAGCTCTCGTCGATGAGTACGATCGCAAAACCAAAGAAGCTCGCGAAAACGATCGTAAATCCGGCCGTTTCGACCGCATGTCTCACCGCGAGCGTGAGGCCTACTCCCGCCAGCAGAACGAGCAACGTGATGCCTATCTCGCACAACTACAAGCTGAGCACTTCAAGCGTTCGTATAAGCCTAATGTGCAATTACGCTACAATGATGAGGATGGCAGAGAGATGAACCAGAAAGAAGCATTCAAGCATCTGAGTCATAGGTTCCACGGCAAGGGTAGCGGTAAACAGAAGACGGAGAAGAGGATGAAGAAGAAGCAGGAAGAGGATGATAGGCAGAGGAAATCGTTACTTGGCTTTACTGGTACGAATGAGGCTGTGGGCGCTACGGCTAAGAAGAACAGGCAGGCTGGTGTAAGATTGCAGTAAAGCATCATAGCTGTATTCCCGAATTAGCACACTCCATCAATAGCATATCTACATATTCTGGACTCATGCAATTGCTGCCACATGACACGATGAATGGGTTATTTTGTGAAACTGCTTTATGCAAGCCGGCAGGGAAGCAGCAAAGCTCGGGCCGGAACTGCCAATTCTGTCACTCACCACGACTTCGTTGTCCCAAGCTGCCTTCCTTACAAGACTTGCACGACATTTCCATGAGCTAGAGTTTGTCGTTTTTGCAGCTGTCGAAATGCATAATGATTTCCGAAAGTACGGCCATGTTCAAAGAGAAATCCAGGAGCAGTCGCTTGCTGGAAACCCATGGATAGAACTCGACGATGCGCCTGCCTGCCTCGCTGTTTATCAATGCCGATAAGCTACACCCATTACAGGATGCATCCATTGACTTCTCTTCTTCCAAAAGACTGCATGGTGACCTGTAGAAGGAACCTCAATGAGCTTTAACTGGGGCATTCAGCTTCTGGAAGTCTGCTCACGGCCCTGTAGCTCTGGATTCATGGGCTATAAGACTGGTTCCAATCTCGCTGGCTCAACATTCGACATGCAGCTCTTTACATCCAAATCAGCCAAAATCCAATACTCTCTACTGTCATGGTCTTAACCTGCAAAGACTATCATGTTGGTTGGATATGCGCCCTGCCAGTGGAATATTTGCTAGCAGAGCTTATGCTGGACAAGGTACACGATTCTGTTCCCTATCCGGAAGATGACGAAAATGACTACACTTTGGGCCAGATCTACAGCAAGAGAACTGGTGGTCATCACAATGTTGTGATTACTCTCCTTCCTTCAGCTGAGAAAGGCAGGGCATCAGCTGCGACCGTCGCCAAAGACATGGTCAGGACGTTTCCCAACCTGGAGATTCGACTGTTGGTAGGCATTGCAGATGGTATTCCTGGAAGCCCCGTACAGCTTGGCGATATCGTCGTTGGAGCGCCTGAGGACAACTCTCCCGGCGTCATACAGTACGACTATGGAAAGCATCTCGAAGAAGGAACGTTCGTGCGTCAAAGAAGTATGAACAAAGCGCCGAGAGTACTTCGAACTGCAATTGCAGCTGTCAAGAAAAATCACCTACGAGCTCGTCTAGTCGAGCATCGAGAATACATCTCATATCTCAACATGAATGAGGTGAAAAAACAGGCTACGAGACCCCCATCTGTCGGCCACGCCACAGACAACGAAATCCAGGAAGTTGCGGTCTTGTCTACTGGCAGCGATCCAAATAAAAGTCCTATCGAGTCCACTCTTCCCGAAGTCTACTATGGAGTCATTGCCTCAGGCGATGCAGTCATCAAGGATCCTGAATTTGCGCGAAGAATTCGGGAAAAGGAAAATCAAAACGTCCTATGTTTCGAAATGGAGGCCGCTGGACTCGATGCATATGGATGTTTAGTCATCAAAGGTATCTCCGACTTGTGTAACAAGAACAAGACCGATGATTGGCATCGTTACGCATCTGCAACGGCCGCTGCGTTTGCGAAAGAACTCTTGACGGTCCTTCGATCGACTGAAGTCGATAACCTCCCATCTCTCGGTTAGTGTTTTCTTGAGCTGCCCGCACTGGTTGGAAAGTTACCTTTGGCTTTCCCCACTCGTTTATCCCTATCGAACAATGAACCAACTTTCTGCCATTCCACTGCTTGCTCACCATTTCTCACGCCTGAATAAATGCTGATGAAACGTCTATAGGCAACACGCATTGGAGTGTGCCAAGAGTGCTCAGTCCCCTGTTTACAGGCAGAGAGCTCCTTTTGAAGCACATGAGTGAGCATCTTGTCCCCGAATCCGATGCAAAGTCACCCTGCCGGGTGTTCGTATGTGCACATTGCCATGATGTATCAACAGAACGGCAGGTCGCAAGAAGCTGGTTCGCTGCTTCAGTCACTACTAGTCGTTGATACTGATGACCCGCCTCTCGACCCTAAGACTCGCGAGTTGATCTTCCACGCTCTTGCGACAATCCACCGCGAGAATGGCGACGATCAATAAGTTGTGTCCTTGCTCGAGATCATCGATTACAGCAACGCTAGCTTGGCGATGGCGACCACCAGACGGTCATCCCTATGCTTGAGCCCATAACTTGGCCGAAGTCTAACAACTACGATGCCTATGATGGCGATCATCGAGACAGCATATACACGCTAGCGCTAGCTTATATGAAAGCCGACCAATACACACTGGCGAAAGTCTTACTGGAGGGAGTCGTGACATCCGAGAAGCATTTGTCCCTCACAACCGAGGCAGCCCGTCTCTCAAGAATGGACACACTGGCACAGGTGTATGTTGTACTAGGTGAGGAGTACAGAGCAGAACCACTGTTTGACGAGATAAATGCTTTACGAGCACAAATGTGGGATCCAGATCCGGAGTCACAATACCAGCTCATGGGAATGCGCAATCTCGTGACAACATACCTCTTCTTCGGTTTGTTCGAGAATGCGGCATATATACTTGCGGATATAGTTCGCGTTACGACGAGGACGCTTCACCTTAGCCATCCGACTCGACTCGAGAATATGGCACAGCTAGCAGCGGTGTCACTCAAAACCGGCTCCAACGACAACGCCATTGAACTGCTCGAAGAAGTGTTGCGACTCGGAGATTCAAAAAACCCGCCACGCCATTGTGTGGTAGTCGATTTAGCTGAAGCGTACATTCGGATTGGTAAAAGTGACAAGGCCTTGAATTTTCTTGAAAAGACGCTCGAGAACGACACATCTGCAACAACAATGACCGAAGACCACAAAATTGGGCTCTGGAGGAAGCTTGCAACAGCATATGGCACATCTGGGCAATATCTCAGAGCTGTTTCATCGCTACAAGAGATCTTGCAAGTTGACGAGAACAACGGTGACCCAGCACGAGTCGGCTTTCTGGAAGCTGATTTGGCAACTGCATTCATGAATCTCGGCGATATCGATAAGGCGGTAGACTTGCTGGAAGACGCGATTTCCAGAATCGTGCAGAAGCACACTCCGGCAGCGTATCTCCTGTCGTCCAAGTTGGCACTCGCATACATGTGGACGGGCTCATTCGCCAAAGCGATTCCTGTGCTTGAGCAGTTGATTCAAGCAATGCAGGTAGGCAAGAAGTCCGCTGACAGCGAATTGATGCTCGAAGAGTGCAAGCTTTCATGGGCTTACTTCCAGACTCGGAATGTCTTCAAGGCCACCTATCTGCTAGATGAAGGAATGCAGACACAGACCTTGGTTTACCCGTTCAAATATGAAGTTCGCTTGCGTCTGATCATTGAACAGGCGACCGACCGCTTGGTTCTGGAGACTCCCACTGGAACATTTGAAGCAACAATCATGCTTGAAGCTGCGGTTGAGCTGGAAGAGAGGTACATGAAGGTGGACTTCACGAGCTTATCAGACACGCAATTCAAGCTACTCGACGTTTACAGACAGGCATCTGATTTTGACAAGCTTACTTGGCATCTCGAGAACGTCTTGAACGAGCGACTAAAGTCATTGAGTGGCGCCGCCAAAGGACCATTTTTGGAAAATTGGTTTGATGCCTGGCAAGACTATCTGAAGAATGATGATGAAGGCATATTGTTGTTGGAGACAGCCACTGCAGATGACCTGAAAAGTTCTGATGGAGATGATCTGGATGCTGTGCAGCATGCAATGGCCGGGATATACTTACGGAGTTCTAATGACAAGAAAGCCGTGCCTCTGTTGGAAGCTATATTCGAACGCGAATCCGCGACACTGACCCTGGAAGATATTCACCGACTTGAGTGCATGGCCTCGCTTGGTAAAGCTTATCTCAATCTCAAAGAGTTTACTAAAGCCATCGATATGTTTCGAGCTCTCAACGATGCCTTCGACGTCCTCCCCTTTCAGGATGAACGACGTTTGACGACAATGTACTCTTCAGCATTAGCTTACCTGAACGTAGATCAGCCTACACGAGCTGCTCAACTGCTCGAAGAGGTCGTCATCATTGAAGCAAGATTGCTCCCAGAAGATCATGCATGGCGTCTTTTGTCGATGCGAAGGCTAGCTCAAGCTTATATGGAACTCGAGAAAATCCGGAAATTGGAGGATGCTGTGTCACTGTTGCAAAAAGTGACGCAAAGAGGGCGAGAAACATTACACACGGATCCTCAGGAACTGGCGATCACAGAGGCAATGTTAGCTGATGCGCGAGACACGCTGGCGAAGACTTTGCAGCTGCAATCGAGAGACCAGATACTCGCGAGTGCATCTGCTTTGATGAGATGGGCGTGTCGAGAGATCACTTCGAGAGCTGCCATCATGTTTTGATTGATTGGAATCTTCCATATAACTCTTCATACCAAGGCAAAAATGCAGTGCGCTCTTATCACAACAGAATGCTGTCAAGTGAATGTGGCAGATATCATACCATCCAGACACAAGGCGCTTTGTGTGTTTGATCATTGCGGTAAGTCGCAGCTGTGATACTGTCAACCAATCTACTGCTGGGATTGGGATATCTTCACCTATAGCAACGAGGATGCTTGAACCCGATGTGTCGTGTCTTTCCCAGCTGCGACGTATACTCTCATTGTAAGATAGTTGCTTGAGTTCACGATAGGCTGAGTAGCTTGATACACTGTCAAATCGATCACGAGGACTCTGCCACACTTGTACACGTAAGCTCATTCGTAAGTTGCCATTGGTCAATCTAATTAAGCATCGAGATGTGGCTTGAGAGATGTGGCTTGAATCCTACAGAAGTATAACAACACGCAGGACCCATGCTTGGTAAACGCTTGTTTTATCTCCATATCTCACAATGATATGTCCAACCCTCATCATTGCAGGATGTCTCTATCTACTGTCACATCTGACGGCCTCGCCTTATACGCGTCTACCGAACAGCTTCGGACACACCTCGACGATTTACAAGCTTTCCAATGATACCACACCACTGGTCTGTAAATCAATACATCCTCAATATGCAGACACGCTCTTTCCAATCGAGCAGGAAGTCTACGAGCGCTTTACTGTCAACAACCCACCGCAAAGTCTCCTCACCTACCATGGAATCCACTCTAAAATACCTGCTGGCTTAGTTCTCGAACACGCCGAATTGGGAAACCTACAGGACTGGATATTCAGTCGCGCATCTCGCGGTATGAAACCGCCGCCTTCAGAACTACTGTACAAGTGGGCATTCCAAGCTACAGAGGCTCTGGAATTTGCCCACGGTCTGGGAGTACTGCATTCAGATATCCACTGTTTGAATTTCTTCTTGACCAGGGATCTGGACCTGAAAGTTGGGGATTGGGCTGGTGCTTCAGTGGACGGGGAGAAATCTTACTGCTCGTATAGGTATAGTCACAGGCTCTTCGGAGCCGATGGGACTGATATCGTAGCAGAAAGCGGTATTTCGGTGGACACGGAGATATTCGCACTGGGGACGGCGTTGTATGTCATGATTGCTGGAGAAGAACCATGGCCTGAGTTGGAGGAACCTGACGATAGGGAGGAGATTAAGAAGAGGATTGCTGGGAAGATGTTTCCACCAACGGCCAGATTGCGAGTTCTGAGTGATGTCGTGGATAAATGTTGGAATGGGGGGTTCGCATCCATGCAGGAGGTCAGGTGTGCTGTCCAGGATGAGTGGCATACATCAACGTCGAATTGCGATAGGTGATTTGTCTCGGGAGAGTTTCGAAATTCCTCCAATGGTTGGTCACTTTCTCATCTCTCGTATCGGCAGGGAGAGGGGTCGTCGAAAACTGCGCCACCCAACCCTGGCGTGTCAGTATGGTGTGATACCATCCATCATTCACCTGAGTCCAAGCTGTTTGTTTATTCAACGAAGCGCTCGATGAATCTGATATCGGCTGGATGTCACAAGCAGACAAGCAGCCATATAGCTCTTGAGAGAGCGTTGTCCTTGTTCGCTTCGCCTGTGAGATGCGACCGGGGGGAGTGGCATGCAGTGTTTGTGCTTCGCGGAAGGAAGGAGCTTACAACGCTTGGCAAAGCTTGGGGGTAGCGACGCGTCGTTGTAGTACGCGTCCTACGAGTCGAGTCGGTTCGATGGAGCTCAGAGATTTCATGGCGGAAAATGGGGACAAGAGCAGATCTGATCGAGGCTTGTGTGCGTGAGATATCTGATGACCATTGCTGAGGTTGCTGCTGTCGAATCCATGAAGAGCGCCTCAGCGACGCGGAACTGATTTTTCGTCGGACTTGACACCTGGATGGAGGCCATCACCACTTCTCAATGGTTTAACGACAGTCCAAATTTAGGCACCCTGCATTGATCTCAGGCGAGCCGACCTTCCATTAATGCTTCGGGATCTCGCCCGGACTCGATCGAGTGTACAGCAATACTGCTCACATGGCTTCTTGACACTCCCAGATCTTTTGCGAAGATGGAAGGAAAGTTGGTCGAAAAACACCGGCAATTCAAACGGAAGGTCGCGACAGTCGTTCAAGTCTGCATCTCGATGTCGGCAAAGCGCGATTCTGCTCCCCATCATGACGTTTCTGTGTCTGCATGCTCCTGGGCTGCCACCATATCATCCCATGTCGCGACGAATCCAGTGAACACGCTCGCATTTCGAAAATTCGCGAGCGCATTTTCATGCATGCCATGGTTGTACTCGTAAGGTGACCACGTCGGCAATCGGAGGAAGACTTTCCAAGCCGGGAAGATATCGGCAATTGCACATCGGGCAATATTTCCTCCGAGCGTCTTGATTCTACATCTTTTGCAAACTGACCCATTCTCATCCGCATCTCACAGCAGCTAAAACGACATGCGTCTCGTAATTTTTCTATCACACACAAAAGACCACGAAACCACTGGGAGCGATAAAAATCTGACATTGGAACTATTCAAATCTCCGACATGCTTTCAGCCAATCGCCCCCTTCGTAAACATGAAATGTCGTTTCGAGCAGCGATGTGAGATTAAGTGAGCTTGCTGTTGACAAACTTGAGAGCAGCTTGACCGTACTCGGAACCATAGCCTTGGTGAGTGGCGGCATTGTTTCCGTTAGAGCAGTATGGGTCGGCAGCATCGCAGTAAGCCTGGATTCTGCTCGCATATGCGGAGCAAGTAAAACCAGAAGGTCTGGGGTCGAACTGGATGATCTGGTCAGCAATGCACTAAGGGCCTGGATCGAAATATACATACACCAGGGTTCTTGGAGGTTCCGACGCTGTAGGAAGCACCGGGGATCTGTCTTGGGTCGCCCATGAAGATGACGGCCTTGATCTTGCTTCCGACGGAGCTGGAAATAGTTGCAGCAGTGCTGGAAATGCCTTGGTTGGGGTCGCCGCCACCGCAGAGAGCGTCATCACCGATCTGGGCACCTTGTGAGTATCCGACGTAGACCAGCTGGGTGTTGGGGCATGAAGCAGCAAAGCTGTTGATTTGGTTGGTGACGGCCTTGACACCAGCTTGGACAGAGGAGGCATAGCTATCGCCACCAGCGGCGGGGTAGTTGATGACTTCGGCGGTCGAGCCAGGGTGTGCGTTTAGGATGAGGTTGACGACAGTACCGGCTGATCCGTAACCAGCAGGGGCAGTGGTCTCGCGAGCACCGAAGATGTGGATGTTGGGGCAGGCACGCTTCTCAAGAGGAGCAGCCATGGAAGAGCCCACGAGGAGAAGAGGAATAGCGGCGATTGCGGACTTCATGATGATATCGTAGTAAGTTCGAAGAGGTTGATGAGAGTGTCGGTGTTTGATCTGTGACAGTGGACAATGTTAGTCTTCTTATACCCTGATCGCTCTCGCCCTAACCGTCGAAGTGTCGTTAGTAATGGATCCATAGTCGGTCAGATGGATCTTTTCGACAATATGCAGCCCCGACAAGTTCTAGATGTCCAAGCTTTAGGCAAAATCACTCAACTCCAGGCAAAAGTGGTCGGATCGACAAGACCGACCATGCTCGACAAACCATGCTTATAGGGGTCACAGAGTTTAGCGAAGTTTCACCATGTTTCATGCAGCGGCAACTTGCCGTCCGAAGCTTGTTCTTCACTCTAATACGACTACACATAACGGCCTTCACGCTTTTAGCCTCGTCTCTGCTTACACGGCGTGGCCTAAACTACTGGTCATGGCTGATTGTGGTAAATTCGTTGGGTGTGACTGCGGACCTTCACCGGCTAGAGGCTGACATTGGCTCGGAACGCGAAGCTTGATAATGCTTTACTTGCTAATTAGTCTAGTGATACTAGCACATTCATCACATGTAACTACTAACACCCCCAGCGAATCGGTTGAACAGATTTAAGTCGAAGCTGTCTGCAATGGCTTGGTATCCAGCAGGATTCGGGTGCAGGAAGTCACCCGAATCAAACTGGGTAGCTAGCATGCTCTGGTTCGTTGGGCTTCTCAGAACCTTGTCAAAGTCCAGAACAGCGTCGAATTTGCCGCTAGTCCGAATCCACTGGTTGACACGTTGTCTGGTCACCTCACGCTCCGGAGTGCTGTATGCCTGAATAGTGACATTGCCCGAGAATGGGGTGATGGTGGCTCCAAAAATGGGGATACCGAATGTGTGGACGCGAGTGATGATTTGCTCAAAAGCCTGGATCAATTGGTTGTACACGAAATCTTGAGACGCTGCATCTGATGGAGCAGTTCCGATATCGTTAACACCCTCGAAGATCATGGAGTACTTTATACCAGACTGAGCTAGCACGTCGCGATCAATGCGACCAATAGCATTGGGACCAAGGCCATCCGCGAGAATGCGATTTCCACCAGCAGCTTGGTTCAAAACACCAATATCCTTGGTAGAAGGATTCTTCTGCATACGTGCCAGAACGAGATCAGGCCAGCGGTTGTTGGCGTTAGTTGTCGAGCCACGACCATCAGTGATCGAGTCACCAACAATGGCAAAGCCTCTCGCTTGAGGAGGCGACCAGACTTCGACCGCAGAAAGGAAGTACCAGTGAGCCACAGCTTGCACGGAAGGATCGGTGAGATTGGCAGCATTGACGGCATTGCCAAACTGGTAAAAGGAGTTTGTTCGTGAACCGGGGTGTGAAGTAATGCTGTTTCCAAGTTGACCACCAGCAAGGTAGATTGAAACAGCGAGCTCAGACTGGGCTTTGATGGGGAAGTGGATGGGGTCCGAGACGGCAAGAGAGCCATCGGGAATGATGATTGAGTTGTTGCCTGAGAATGTGACGGTTTGGAGAGTATTGGTCTCGATGATGCTTTGACCGGCTGAATTGTTGAAGGGTAAGGCGACTGTCACCGCAGTGATGTTGAGTTGGGTAGCTCCGAAAACGTTGGATAGGCGGATTCTGATCTGTGGGCCGCCAATAGACATATGCAGGGTCTGTCGAATTGTGCTGTTGACAAACACGGAGCCTGTCTGGTTGAATGGTGGATTCGGTAGGTTGGCTGGCTCAGTAAGCTGAGGCATGGATGTCCATGTGTCAACCCAATGAGTGCCGCCAAAGTCTCTCGTCTCGACTTGTGCCTCTAGAGGAGCTGCACTGATGGGAGCAAGAAGAGATGAGGCCAGAAGGCCGGCGAAAGCCAAGAACTGCATATTCAACATGATACGTGATACGGCAGGTACTTTCACTACCTGAGACGAACAGTGGAGGTCATGGGGTATATAACTGGAACCATAACATGCACGACTCAACGTCATGCTAATGTGGTTACCGAGACATGTTCAGGCTAAATATCTTGGCCCCACGGGGAACGGAGCGCATCGCGGGGTATACCGTATACAGGAACAAAAAAGTTAATAGAAGATCTGCGTGCATGCAGAGCTTCGTGTTTATTCTTTTTGTGCCGGCTAAATCCGGTTATAGTGTGATTGGAGGAAATCGTAAATGGTAAAGAGAGAATAGACTTGCGGCCGGATACGATGGAAAAAGGTCTTACAGAAAATGAGTGTGTCGAGGAAAGACTGGCGACAGGGCTGAGGCAGATACAGGCTTAAAGCATCATTGAGATTGGTACAACGACAACTCAGTAGAGCTTCGGAGTCACCCAGTCCACCCATTGTTCATCGTCGAAAGTGATGTTGCCAGAAGGCTCGAAGAAGGCAGTATCAGCTGCTTTGTCAAAGAGAAACTTGTCGACGAAAGCTTGCAGCTCTGGAGTCTGATATGATGGGAATGAGCAATGAGCGTGGCTCGGAGACATGGAGTAGCCCAAATGATCAGACGCGCCCAAGGCCTGATAGATCTTGCGGCCGGTTTTCATACATCCGTATGAGCTCCAAGGACCAAGCCACTCGTAGCCAATGTTATCAATGACCAAGAGACCTCTCGGAGCAACTAGCCCGGCTAGCATATGGTGATCGAAAGGAAGTGTGTTGACCGTGGTGTTGGCAAACTCATCGAATTGGCTAGCAAACCAGACGTTCTCTTGCACTATTTCCGAAGCTGTCTGCGTAGTCCCATTGTGGTTTTCATAGTCGCTGAGACGCCAGCATGCAGTACCTCCAGAACCACTCTCTTGTGGAATGGTCAGGACTATGCGGCTGTCGAGCGCCCCCGCAACTAGGGCTCCCTTTCCATCTCGTGAACAGCCGGTGACCGCGATTTTCCTTGGATTGATATTGGTACTAGGCAATGTCTCCAGAACATCAATTATGCGGCTCACGCCCCACGCCCAGGCTGTCATTGCACCATTGGCTGTCTTATCTGGATCGAGCTCAAAGAATTTGCCTTGACCACGACTGCTTTGATTGATCTGTGCACCGATTTCGTCGTTGTTGTAAGTGATGATAGCCACGCCAGATGGAGCTGGAATGGTAAGGGATCCGAAAGCGATGATAGCTGGATAAGGCGCGGTCCCATTGAGTGGATATGTGATTGTCGGAATGAACGAGATAGTTTTGTCGTTGACAGTTGCTGTGATAGTCAAGTTACCACCAGATATGGAGCCAGATACAGCATCCGGCTTTCCTGGTTTGGTGCCCAGCTCGAGGTTTTGGAAGAGCTCGCTGACCTCACGTTGGCGGCAGACAAAGTCGGAAATTGTTTTGACGGGCCTGCCATTAGCAAATCGGAATGGGTCGGGAAGTTTTGGATTATAATGAGTGGCATCTCTTGTGATCTTAGGACAGTTGTCAGGCCTCTTTGTCAAGCCTGTTTGAGGTCAGTGGTCTGGACTTCGTCTGGTGCTGGAATTGGTGAAAAGACCTCCAAACGGGCTGCATAACACAACTGGCACTAGACAGATGATTGCGAGGTTACAAAGCATCATGTTGAAGCGCATTCATTCGACGTTGAACGTGTAGCTGTGAAGTTCTGATGAGAATGTAGTTTCTGGCCTTCGAAGAAATGTACACAATTTGGATAGTACAGTCAATGAGAGTTTTTATAACTCTCGAACTACCCACCTGTGTCTCTGGAGTTGTACAATAGCATGTAGCTCATCGTCTGTTGCTCTACCTGTGTAACCGAGGGTCACTGCAGAGACTGTCAAGAGTTTAGCCATCATCGCATGTACAGCCCAAAATGCATGGATGTATTTGCAGCTTGCTGAAGTAATTTCTCCGTTTCCAGAGCTGCCGTGATGCCTGTATAATCGTCATGCGGAGTATCGAGCAGGCAAAAGAGTTGCTTTTGAGGGGCACTGGTGGGGATGTGGGGCTGGTAGCCTCCATGCATCCTCTCTCGGAGCTCCCGCGCATGTGTTGAGTTATTAGCACAGTATACTCGACTATATGCGGCCAACAAAATCGAAGATGGAACAAGGTGGTGGAATTTGAGCAGTCGCTTGGGTAGCTTGCTGCGGAAGATCGTCGGCAGGATGGTAAACGAGATCTTTGCCGAGGCTGTTCCTATTCCTGAGGTTGCTTCAAGCGAAAGATGGCGATATAGAGAGTCAATTTAGTCAACAAGATGTGGGAGTCGCATTGTCCTTCGATGGGCTGAATACAGCTGGAAAACAAAGTAACGCGAAAGAGGTTCAGAGACGGCGCCCTCATTCTAGAACTTATGCACCTGCTTCTCAGTCAAGCCCAAATCCTTGAGCATGCCGTCAAGTCTTCCTTGTGCCCATCCTTTCGCGCCTTTCGCACCAGCAATCGCATCCAACATGGCTGGAGGACCGCACACCAAGACTTTAACATCATCGCCCTCGAGCTTTGCAGGTAGCGCCTTGCTCAGAATCTCTTTTGTCACATAGCCTTTCTCCAAGCTTCTATCATCTTTCTTGTTGTCGCTGATAACATACGTCGTCGCGAAGCGTTGGGGATATTGACTGGCCAGCGCATCGAGCTCTTTCTTCATCAAAATGTCCGATTCCGTCTTGTTGGCGTAGATGAGACTCAACTGAGTCTTGTCCTCAGGGTTGTCTAGGATGGTGTGCGCGATCTGGAACATGGGTGTGATACCTGCACCTCCAGCGACCAGAACCATATGTTTGTGTTGGTTGGCCTTGTACGGCAACTCGGGTATTGCCTTGACGTTGAGTGTCTGTCCAGGGACAAGGTTGTGGAGGTGTGTCGAGGCTCGACCGTTCGGGTATTGCTTGACAAGAAGGGTGATATAAGGACTATCGGGGGTGCTGATGGGTGTGTATGGGCGGAATGTTGGGAACCAAGCGCCAGCTGCTGTATGGCGAGTGAGGAGGGATGCTATGCCATGTCAGTCTCAAAGCCTCAGGTTACATCTGACCCTCAGTCGGGGTGATCACTTACACACAGGGGTCAATCCGCTGGTTGCATCGTCTCCAGGTAATTTGAACTTCAGCTCTTTCGTGTCGTGGTTGACCATTCGCGCTTCTTCCAGAGTCAAGCTCACGAAGCTCATCGCTGGGAATACAGGCTTCTGTCCGAGACTCTTCTGCGGCTGTGCTGGTCCCGAAGATGACTTCGACATATTGAACGCAACAAGACCTGCACCAGCGGCTGCTGCCAGTCCGAGGGTCGCTGGTGAGACCGAGGCCAGGAGTCTTCGAGGAGTTGCCATTGTGTATAGAGATAAGTATGGGATGAATGATAGAGTAACAGTCAATCGGTAGGATTGTACGACTGTATGACTATAGCCTGGTTTTCTTGCTCAGGGGAATAGTAAATGTGGGTGTATCAAAGGAAGTCGCAGATGATGTTGAACAAGAGCGACTCCTTCGAAGCTGGAATACCTAGATATAGCCTGCAACCTGTTGGAGGTCGGGCACGCATCTTGCATGCTCCGTCCAACGTTTCCGCGCCACCGATCCTTCGGTGGTAACATGGTGAGCTGTCCGACTGTAAGAAAAGAGACGAAGGTTGGTTGTTTGTCGTGAACCCCGCCCGAAAGAAGACGCTGTTCGGATCCCGCGCTCGGCCAAACAAAAGCCGTCCGACACGTCTGCTGTTCAGGAATAGAGTCACCTTACTCTACTGGGTCTACTACTCTTCTGACACCGATGCTTGTGATGTAGGTCTATGTTGTGAATGGCATACTGTAGACTTAAAACCTTCTGGCTACTTCAAAGGTCTTCTGAGATGTTTGGACGAGAGGAATGACGCCTGACAACATCAGTTTTGACATCCAGCCTCAAGCAATCAATCTGTGTCGATGTCCGTGCGAATATCATCGCAAAAGACGACGAGACGAACACCCATCGCTCCAGCCGGTATATCCTGAAGCCCCTAATCTAGTTATAATGTCAAAAAATGCCCACACACAGAATGCACGGCGATGCGGTGGAAGCAAAGAAAAGCCAGGGTGATGCGACTGACTTGAAGCGCTTAAACATCGGCAAAACCAGAATCCAGATTCTGGTCAGCAAATCATGCGATCTGTCCAGCTTCTCACAATCAGGAATCTGCACAGTTTGCATGGTCAAATGCCGAAGACCAAAAAATGTGGTATCTTGCCATTCTCGGAGCATTCATCTGAAGAGGCAATGTTTGCGGCAAGGCTGCCCTTACAAAGCTTGGCGGGTTTTGGATCCTACCTGTTTCGGGCGAGGACAAATGCCCTCTTCACGAATCACGACAGCCTCTCCTTCGCAAGCTCTTCCTGAAACATACTCTCCGCATGGAGTAGTTGCATGCCTCCAAAATGCACAGATAATACTGCTCCAATAGCAACGACAAGAAGTCGTCTGCCTTGAGGTGTGAACGGCTCAAATAGCGCTTCTCAACAAAGTCGCAATGTCTCCTCGAACTGGCGAGCGTCGCACCACAATCAGCAGATGTATCTCCACAACATGTCCCGCATGGACCCCTAAATGATGCTCAAAAATGGTGGTTCTCAATCATCAATTTTCGACTGATCTTGATACTTATAGGACGTATTTCTCGACATGTTTGCTTTCTTATCACTTGAATAGCTTTCGCTTGGGACACCTCGCCTAGCGTCAATTGCTCATCATGGCATCCAAGCAAGCGTCTAAAGCGAAGGCTACTTCTTTTTCTGATGGCACCACAGATTATCAGCCACTCAGATCCAAGTCATACGACATGAAGAAGCCTCACATTACTGAGCAGCCCATGACCTGGTCAAACTGGTATCAGCATCTGGACTGGCTGAGCATCTACTTCATCATTATAGTCCCCATCTCGGGCTTGATCGCAGCCACTCAGACCCCATTGCGACTCTACACAGCCATGTTTGCTGTTGTGTATTATGTTATGTGTGGCTCAGGCATCACAGCAGGTACGTTGAGCATCGAATCTGTCAAGCCTCGAGGGATACTGATACAACGGCAGGGTACCATCGCCTATGGGCACACTCGTGCTACAAAGCGACCCTCCCTCTCAAGGTCTACTTGGCAGCTGCTGGAGCTGGCGCTGCTCAGGGTTCAATCCGATGGTGGTCGAGAGGACATCGCGCCCATCACCGATACACAGATACGTCGAAAGATCCCTACTCCGTCGAAAAGGGCTTCTGGTATTCGCACATGGGTTGGATGGTTATGAAGCAGAACCCCAAGAGAATCGGTCGATCAGACATTAGTGATCTGAATGAGGACCCCGTTGTTGTTTGGCAGCACAAGCACTACATCAAATCGGTCTTGACCATGGCGCTCGTAGTCCCGACTCTTATCTGCGGATTCGGATGGGGCGATTGGGTCGGCGGCTTTGTATATGCTGGCATCCTGCGCACAGGGTTCATCCAGCAAGCCACTTTCTGCGTCAACTCACTGGCTCACTGGCTTGGTGAGCAACCGTTCGATGATCGCAACTCGCCTCGCGACCACGTTATCACAGCTCTGGTCACGCTCGGCGAAGGCTACCACAACTTCCACCATGAATTTCCATCGGACTATCGCAACGCTATCGAATGGTGGCAATACGATCCCACCAAATGGATGATCTGGACATGGAAGAAGCTTGGACTTGCATACGACCTCAAGCAGTTCCGTCAGAATGAGATCGAGAAAGGGCGTCTCCAACAGCTGCAGAAGAAGGTCGATCAGAAGCGCGCCAAACTTGATTGGGGTATACCTATATCACAACTTCCTGTCTTCAGCTGGGATGAGTTTGTCGCCCAGGCGAGGAGCAACGGTCAAGCTCTTGTTGCTATTGGAGGTGTGGTACATGATGTGGCTCCATTCATCAAAGAACATCCAGGCGGCAAAGCACTCATTCTGTCGGCTATCGGAAAGGATGCAACTGCAGTATTCAATGGTGGCGTCTATCAGCATTCGAATGCGGCACACAATCTGCTGTCCACCATGCGGGTGGGAGTTGTTCACGGCGGTGGTGAGGTGGAAATTTGGAAGAAGAGAAGAGCTGAGAAGGGAGCTGAGAATGCTTGAGCTCAACAACACATTGGAGGATTCCAATATTCTGAATCGATTTTTGAGCAAGCGATTTTGTCTGTGACATGTCAAGTACCTCGTTCGATCCTGCCATACCTCAACATTGAGCGGTTTATTCTCAGCTTGCCAGTGAAAGCGCTGATACAATGCACATGTGGTGCCGCTCCAGCGCTCGACTGCGAGATGTATCGAAGTACGCTTAAATTTCCAGAACCTCATTTTACTGAGGATTCTCCTGCACGGGAGGTGTATATTATACTCTTGATATTCGACTGCCGTCATTGACCTGTAGTTTCCGAGATTGCTTGAGGTGATGTACAAGGCAGGGGAAAGATTCAAGTAAGGATCGGCAAACGGCAAAACGGCGCAACGGTCCGCACCTCGACCTCCTTCCTCACCACGTTGTTCGAGAACAACACTGCCTATTGCTAGGATACATTGTGACTTGTTAAACAAGCTGTTGTCATTAAACATTCGGCTTGTACACAGCCTGTCTCTTGCGACACGCTACAGATGATGTGTCTGCTATGCAATGCCTGTTGCGCCGTGGTCAAAATCATGAGCTCGGGGTTCTTGCTCGCCGCCGTTACAGAGCAATCACCACTCTCTGACGCTCTTCCCCCGAACTCCTTTATCAAGGTGCCAACGGTATGCCTCCATCCTAATACGCCTTGCTCATTTCCCCCATACCAGAGGCGACAACGTCAGAGTTTCCGCAACACACAGCCGCTCTACGGAACTTTCGGCAAATCAAGCCAACACTTGATATAGCAACCATAACGTTTGAGTTCACTGATCGATGACAACAACAACAGACAGATCACAACGGTCTCAAAGAACTCTCTTGAGAGGGGTCACTAGCGTTGCAGCAACTGCCATGAGGCATGAAATTGGTTATACGAGGGTTGAATGTAAGTGACAGATGGCAGAATAATCAACAAACACAGACGACCAGAATATTCGAAAAGGTGTCACAAATCGGGAATTGGCCATGGAGAAAAAGCGTACGAACCAAGCGGGTATGGGCGCAAGCCTCTGAACGATCTTTATCTAATAAACAATGGGCAAGTGCTTTCCTGGCGCTTGTCAAACCGTACGTTACCTGGAAACCTACAACTTTATCTTCAGCCATCCCCAGAAACTGCTTCATCTACCCCGTGGTCGGAAATGAAAACGGTATATCCATCGTCTGCTCAGCGACAGACCTTCACGCCACAACAAGTCTTAGGTACCGATATACTCCTGGCCTAGATGAGCCTAAGCATCAGTATGGCAAGACAAGTCACATAAATATCCAGTCCTCCGACTCCAATATCGAAATCATCCACTCCAACTCAGTCATTCTTTTACACACTCTTTACTAACCCATCATCACCATGAAGGCCACATTCGCTACTTTCGCCCTCGCCCTTGTTGGCTCCGCCTCGGCTCAGTACACCAACTCTTCCTCTTCGGCAGTCGCTGGATCCAGCACTGTGGATCTCAGCAGCTCGACATCTTCTGCCTCTGCAACTTCGTCATCAGGTCCTACCTACACCAACGGTGCTGAGCCTACGGTCAATGGTGTCAAGTTCGATGTTCAGGAGGACACCACCTACCAAGGCACTCCTCTCACTCTCATGAGAAAGAGAGACCGCGGTACCAACCTCAACCAGTGTGTCAACACCTGCGCCTCTGACAGCAGATGTGTCGGTACCTCCTTCACCGATAGCACCTCGGAGTGTTCCTACTTCTCAGGCATCTCTGCTCAGCCTATCTCTTCCCCTGGCACCGACTTTGCAAAGGTCACTGCCCGTGACGGCGTGCCTGTCACCCCCAGTGGCGCCGTGAACGGTACCAGCTCGACTGCTTCCGTTAGCCGCTCCATGGGCTCTGGTTCCTCGAGCAAGCTGACCTACAGCAACTCGACTGCCAGCTCCACCGGCTCTCTGTCCAGATCCCGCAGTGTTGCAGTCTCTGCTTCCGCAACCAGTGGATCCGTCTCCACTGCATCCAGATCGAGATCCTCGGCATCCTCTTCTGCCACCTCTACCGCGGTTCCTTCCTTCCAGTCAATTGGCGGTGTTCGTTTCAAGATCGAGATCGACATCACCTACGATGGTATCACCTTCGACATCGAACTCGCTCTCGCCAAGAGAGCCGGTCAGGACCTCAACGACTGCCTTGTTGCCTGCGCTGCCGACGAGCGTTGCAAGGGAACCGCTTTCGACAGCAACGACGACACTTGCACCTTCTACAGCGAGATCGATACTGGTTCCAGACAGGATGCTCCTGGAGTTACCTTCGCTACTGTCGAGTCGCGCGCCAACAACGGCACCAGCTCTTCCAGCACTGTTCCTTCCAACTCGACCACCAGCACCCAGTCTTCTGCAAGCGCCACTGCTACTGGCCTTGAGTCGTTCATCTGCCCCAAGCTGAACGGAGATGTCATCACCAACGCCTTCGGTGCTGCCTTCGCCATTGAGTGCGGTCATGGACTTATCGGTACTACTATGGACATCGAGGAGTCCCGCAAGCGTCAAGCCACTGGCCTCCCTACCAGCCTTAGCAACTGCGTTGACCTCTGCTCTACCAACGATGAGTGCACTGCTACCACCTTCAACAACGCCGATGGAACTTGCGCTTTCTACAGCGCCTTCACTGCCACCGTCGTCGCCGCTAACCTCGACTCTGCTCTCCGCGTTGGCGTTAACCCCGGCCCTGATGCTACCCAGACCGTCACTGTCGTCACTACTCAGGTCCAGACCTCGACTGTCTTCATCGGCAACGGCCAATCTACCATCCAAACTGGCGCTGTCACTCAAACCTCGACTTTGACCATCTGCCCTACCTGCTCCGTGACTGCTGTGCCTTCCAACGGCGTTGTTGGCGGTTCTCTCAGCACTGCCACTGTTTACAGCACTACCGTCGTGACCATCTCTTCCTGCGCACCTACTGTCACCGACTGCCCTCTCCGCGCCAACGCTGTCATCACCACCGTCGTCCCTATTTCCGAGACCGTCTACGTTTGCCCTCTTCCCACCCAGAACGCCAACGTCGTCACTGCTCTCTACGGTGCCGTCACCGAGAAGGATGTTGTTACTTCTACTGTCTATTCGTGCGATGCTGGAAAGACAATCACCGTCAGCGGTACTCAGATGGTCCCTACTCAGCCCACTACCATCACTGAGTACTACACTACCCACATTACCCAGAGCGCCAGCGGTACCCCCCCTGTCATGACTGGCGACAACGCCAGCAAGTCTGTCGTTTACGTCCAGCAAGTCGTTTCGGTCTGCCCTACTTGCCCCGTCGCCATCCAGACTTCATACGTCGTTGTCTCTACCGCTCCTCCTGCTCCCCAGCAGACCACCGCCACCATCACTCTTCCCTGCGATGGTGTTCACTGCCCTGCTGCCACCACTGGTGCATCCCAGTGCAACGGAGCTGGCTGCCCCGTCACCACCACCTACAAGGTCACCATCAACACTGTGATTCCCCAGCCCAGCTCTTCTGCTGCTTCTCAGTGCAACGGAGCTAACTGCCCTGCTGTCTCGACTGTTACCAAGTGCAACGGAGTCAACTGCCCTGCCACCACCCCTGCCTCCTCCGGCATGTCCACCTCTGCCTACGCCACCGCCACCGTCTCTAAGCCTATCGCTTTCACCGGTGCTGGTTCCATCGTCAGCATCCAGGGTGGTGTTGTTGCCATTGTTGCCGCTGCCTTCAGCATCTTCATGTTCTAAATGGACTAAGATCTAACTTTTAATGTCTCGAGGATACGATTTTCTACTACTTCATTGGTGGATGGGTTTTTGATGTTCTCTTCTTACAACACTTCTTGTGTAATGTCTTCTTTGGGATGAGGTTTATTTCTTTGAGTCTTTTAATGTCCGGATTTGAATCAAATTATGTTCTTCTTTCATTATGGTTCCCAACTTGTGCTCCAAATCATGTGCCTCATGAACAGATTTGACTATCTCAACCGTCCTCTTCCCCTTCACTTTCTATTCTCGTTTCACCGTCGGTAACAAGTTCTGTACTCATATCACTACTTCTACGTCACCATGAGGAGCACAGCGACAACTTCTCCCAGAGCCTCGACAAGGACAGCAAACAGTAAGCCACATGAACCCTCAAATGCGAATTCAAAGTATCTATATAAGTGGAAACGAAAGACAATATATGGGTATCTACAAACAAATCTATAAGACGAAAGACCAAACACAACGCAAAACCCCCAGTTTGAAAAAAAGAAAAAAGCACATTCTCAACAGTCCACCTCATTCAAAATCTGAAACGCAGAATTCAAAGCCCTGCTATCGCCCTCGTACTGACTAACGAATAAATCGTACTCTCCTTCCGCAACAACCATTTTACTGCTACTAGATCTGAATTCCGCCAGAGGACTTATTCTACATGTAACTGCAATCTCACTGTTTTCTCCTGGCTTGATGACTTCTTTTGCGAATCCGATGAGACTGCGGGAGATTATGCTGACGGAAGCGCTATCACGGCGAGAGCGTCGGGAGGCGTAGATTTGGATTACCACTGCGGAAGCGCGGGTGCCGATGTTTGTGGCGTTTACGGTCATGTCGAAGGATGATTTTATGATGGGGTGGGAGCACCAGATGGAATTCAGTGTGAAGCTGGAGTAGCCGAGACCGAAACCGAAGGGGTAGGCGGGCTTTTGCTGTTCTTGTTGGAGTTTTCTGTAGCCCCATTTGTCGTCGTATTTGAATTCGTGTGATGAGGTGGTGCTTTCTTTGCCTAGAAGTTGTTGCTCTGTATCTGGGAGGACAAAGGGTAAGCGCCCTGATGGTTCTTGCTCGCCGAACAGGACATCTCGTAGTCCTTTGCCATATTGCCGGCATCCGTAGCTCGAGAACAGAATTGCGGTGGCCTTTTGTCTAACAAAGGCGGGTATTGTGACGCTTGTGCCGGCTTCGATGACTACCACTGTCTTCTGACCCGCGACCGATAGGACTGCTTTGGCTGTTTCGAGATCTGATGAGTCCAGAGTGAGATGGCTACGGTCTCGGAAACCGGTCATGGCCTCGCGCTGCTGACTCAGTGATCTCTCCTTACGAGATTTGAAGTAGTCGGAGAAGCGGCGTCGTTTGAGCGAAGGCTCAGATTTACTGGAAGGGCGGATGAACAGGATGACCACATTGGCAGCCAGAGCAGAGTTGATGACGTGGGTTTTCTGGCTACCATCCATGTACTCGATAGAGAGGTTGTGTCTTTTGCGAAGTTCTTCCAGTGGACTCGTGCCGGGTGGTCCTTGGGCGTGAGATGCTGTGTCGAATTGATGTGCTGTACTGACTCTGTCGGCAAGTACTCCTAGAACAGATAGCTTGATCTGTGAGGCCCCATTCAAAGGCAGGAAGTTATTGTCGTTCTTGAGGAGCACCATAGATTCGGCTACCGATCGTCGAGCAAGACCAATGTGGCGTTGGCAGCGAATTTTCTCCGGATCCGGTGTTGGCATCTGTATTGTGCGGCAGTAGTATCGTAGTTGACATCTCAAGATGCGCTCGGTCATGACTTGAATGTCGGACCAGTTTAATGTACCATGTTCAAGGGCATTTTCGACCGCTTGTGTTCTTCCTCCAGCGCTGAAGGGCAACTCAAGATCCAGACCTGCTTTAATTGACGCCGTTCCACTTTTGACAGGCCATGTGCAATCGCTGGCCACTACCAAGTTGTCCAGCTTCCAGCGTTGCCTCAGAATGCCGTTCAGCAGAGCTGGGTTCTCCGCACATGCAACACCATTAACGAGGTTGCCTGCAGATACAACAGCCTCGGCGCCGCTCTCATACAGGACTTCCTTGAAGTGCTGCAAGAAGAGTTCGTTCATCGTCTTCTCGTCACATGTGATCTTGCCATCCTCTCGAAGCGCTTCCATCGAATTCATTGCGAAGTGGCGGACGGCTACCATGACATGCTTGCGAGCACCTCTTGCAGCTGCACTGCCCATTCGGCTGATGACAAAAGGGTCTTCTCCGTACGATTCGTGAGCTCGGCCCCAGTCTGATCGACGAGTGACATTGAGACAGATGCCACTGTACACATTACCGCCATGTGCTTGTACTTCTATACCGATAGCTTCCCCCTGCATTGGGTCAGCTCGCCGTATTATTTCTCATGAGCTCAATACTTACAATAAGCTCTTCTAGATGGCAATCGAAAGATGCCGCTCTGCCTAACGGACTGGGAAATTCTGTGAAGAAGGCTTGCCGCACTCCATCGACGATGTGGATGCCAGGTACCCCTACGCGGGATACCACGGAGGCTGGATATGGCGAGGCTTTGTTGTCCGAGAGGTATTGTGTAAGAGACCGGTTGCCTTGCAACAAAGCGAGGTGTTCATCATCGGTCATCAAGCTAGAAAGTATAGCTGCTGCATCCTCGATCGTAATTTCATCATTGTTGACCTGGGCAACCAGGCGGAAGAAATGTGTCAGCATTGTGTTGATGTAGATTGTGATTGTACAGCGACGCCTCTCGCGGGAAAGAGGTACTGTAATAGGTTTTGTCCTGTGAGTAGTTCCTTCCTCCCCACAGCTTTGGACAGCCTTACTTCCGAAGCTTTATCATTTCTTAAGGTTTTGGGAGTAACGCAGTAAAACGTGCAATACTTAATCTTGAGAACTTTGTTTCGTGTAGCGAATTCCGAGGTCACACATCTTGTAGGCGTATAGCTGTACGACTATGTGATCTATGACATAGTTTACAGAATGTTAAGATGTCGGATGCTTGAATCACGACTTGACTGTGAGACAGTGAAATCTTCTGGTGCTTCGTGAGTGCAGTAGCTTGCAACTCTGCTTAGCAATACTCAAATAACAGACACCTTCCGGTCCACAAAACATCCGAGAGGCGAGCTGGAAGGCATCATGGATTTTTTCTAAAGGCCGTACGGCATCAGCTGCGCACGCAAAGATCCACTTGGAATACAACGACAGCGTTGTAGTGAAGTCTTGCCGGATCTGCTCTTGGAAAGCCGTTGGGCGTTGGACAATCAATGTCTCTGATGCGATGGCCTATATACGAGGTTGATATAGCCCGCGAGTGTCAGCATTGCCATTCTGTCGGTGAGAGGAATGGCGAAGTGGTCGAATTCTTCGTGAGGCTCTCATGCACAAGGAGTCGTCGCGTGAAGCGATAGACAAGCATGTTCAAAGTGTTAGAAGTAAGAGAAGTAAGCACTTTGAATGTAAATGCAAATTCCATTTCGAGTCCTAGCAACCGTCTAGAATAGGCGTTGGTGCCAGGAACCGCCGTTGTGCACGGCATCCGAAACAAGTGCAGGGCGTCGAAGAACGATGTCGGCGTCCCGACAGTCCGGATGGAATTGGTCAGGAAAGCCGACCAGCATCGTGCCAAGCAGACATGTTTGTTGGCCCGCTGTGCCATAAGTTGTAACTGCCCTCAAGATGCTTCAGCTTGCCAACGTAATCTTGTCCAAACTCCAAACATCCCGCGGCCCTGACGTGCGGCGAGTATTTGCCCTAAATCGTTGGACTTATTGCTCCTCGTGAACACTTTACACGACATATCCAACGGTACAAGCAGTATGTCACTGGAACCTAACACTGCGCAGTCCCACGGCATTTGACCAAGGCATCAGGAAGACTTGAGTCTGGAAACAACAACAGGGAGGAGCGCCTTTGGTCATCGCCTGCGCATTCTCGGATGCACTCGCTGTACGAGGAGGTCATCGAAACCTCGACCAATACTAGCGTGTCCGCATTCTGCATTGAAGTGCTCCGCATTTCGCTGCGGAGTTCACTCCATTCTGGCCACAAGTACGCGCATCACTCCTAGAACACACAGCGCTAGCAAAATATGTACGCTGTTTTCAGCCTGACTTCCACGTACGGCCACAGTCAGCTGAAAACTGGGCATCCCGTCCGCTCTGCCATACATAAGCAGTTGAACGGCAGATTAGTACTACGGTGGGTGACCACGTGGGAATCCCTGCTGCTGTACGTTTTGTTCTTCTTTTTGCTCCTAATCTGTGGCATGCTTGATCATCTGCACCTCTGACGTTCAATAACGGCATCTGGCAACTGCGTCCAAAATGCAGAAAACAGTGCTTGGCAGCCCGTATCGGAGTTCTACTTTTTGAACAGCAGAGCAGTATTGAACAGATACCGCCACCTCTAATAGAAAACGGCTGAGACTACGAGTACGTCTACGTAACATTCGACATGTTTCCCCGTTCTCGGAGATGCAGAAAGAGCAGCAACGGTACATTCCCAGTCCTTACATGAACTGCATAAGCTGTAAGGGCGCCAGCAAAGTATTACAAAGTGCATACACAGATCTCAAAGCAACGTTGGCCACACACAAAAGTACGATTGGCCTGCTATCTAGGCTTCGGTTCAGGCTTTGGTATGTACACAGAACAAAGATGCAAATCCAAGGAAAGAGTACAAACAAGGAGAGAAACAAAAGCTAAAGGGCATACAAACAGACAAACAAAAGGTCTTTATCACATAGAAATCATATCCGTCGCGAGTCATTGCTCTTACACGTTCACGTATCCGTCCATGCTGATCAGCAACACACACAGCGCTAAACCGGAGAAGCAGGGCGAACAGGTGTGCCGACCTCAGGGGTGTTAGGCATTTCTGCAGGTTGGGCGGCACCGGGGGCTGTATTGGGAGCTGTTCCCTGTGCAAGGGGCAACAGAGGCTCTGCAGCTTGCCCATGCTTCTTCTCACGGCGCCTCTCAACGTAGTAGGAGAAGCCTGCAGCAATCAGGGCTCCAACTAAGGCTCCAACTACGCCACAGACAATACCAGCGATGCCAATGCTTCGAGTCGTCGAGTTAGTCTGGTAAGCCATACGGGTTGCCAGTTGCGAGATGTTGTTTGCTTGTTCCGCCAATCGCTCTGAGGTACTCAACGGAGGCTGCCACCCCTCGGGATGAATCCTAGCAATATGTGAGTTGTGCACGCTTGCTCCGCCTGTCTGAGGAGGCAGTGTTTTCGATCAGACGCCCTTGGGGTGATACTGGTCGTTAGGGTGGCAGCCCTTCGCTTGCGATGGGCTTAGACTTGGGAGGGTAGAGACGGGGCCCGACTAGAGGTGATCACAAAGAATATCTGGTACCTTTGTGCGGATACTGAGGCACGCCAGCCCAGATAAGGCGCTTGCAGCGGGATTGTTCAGCAGCCAGCTGTGCTCTGACGTTCCTGCCCCTTTTTATTTCAAGAAGTCACCTTCATCACCTCAAAGTTTGGGCAGGTATGGGCAACAGATGTCTCTGGGGGCTGTGCAGCATTTACACAGGAAGTTGTTGCCTGCAGAAATGGATGCCAGGTACATTTCCAGACGGCTGTATTGTAGGCACGCGACTAGCGTGATTTTCGTCCGCCCATGGAAATCTTTTGCACGCCCGTTCGAGTGTCAACTTCAAGCATATGAGGTTTTCTTATGCCGAGCGTGCCAATTCATGACTCTCTCTTTGCGCATTTCGATCGACATCACTATCCACCAAAATGCACAATGCTTTTGGAAATTCCAAGAGGCTCCACTGAGAGCTCAAACTTTTACTTTCTCGCCCTGGACGTCCGCTCTATTCTCAAATTCTCAAGACATTATGGCCTTTCTACAGTCAGAATTTGACCATGTGGCTGTTGCTGGGAGATGCCATCAACTCCCCTTTGCCATCTAGTAGGAATCCCTGCTGCACCACCTTCTCCTCTTTTTGCTCCTAATCTGTGGCGTGCTTGGTCGTCTAGAAACAGCTCAATTCATCTCCAACGTTCAACACAATGGCATCTGGATCTTGTTCAATCGTGGTCGGGCAGGCTCAAGCAAGCAGCATACAAGTAGACATAGCTGGTCAACGATACAGTGGCTACAGACATACATAAACTCGGTACTCATAACATTTTCATCCCAACAGCTCGAAGAACTCGATCACTCGGAGTCCCTCACGACCCAGTCAACCAATCCACACCCGCCTGCGCAACCTCTACATCCTGCGCAACAGTGCCCCCACTAACCCCAATAGCCCCAACCAAAAACCCATCCTTGACCAACGGCAACCCACCTCCAAAAACAACAATGCCCCCATTAGTCTCTTCAATCCCATACAACCCTCCTCCCGAATACGATTGGTTCAGCAACGCTCCACTGGGTATCCCATTGAAGAGCACAGAAGTGCGAGCTTTCTTTATAGAAATGTCTATGCTGCCGGGGTATGCGTTGTCCATGCGGAGGAAGGCTACGAGGAGGCCGGAGGGGTCGACGACGGCGATGTTTTGGGGGACTATGGAGGCTGCGGCTTTTTCTGCTGCGGAGACGATGGCGGAGGCTTGGGAGGCGGAGATGTAGTGGCGCTGTGGAAGGGTTAGTATTGAAGCTATCGGACGACGATGGGGAGGGGAGGAAATACTTGAGCAGGTGTGCTGCCAATGCCATTGGTAGCTGTAAGGTTTCCAGACATGGCGCAATCGATCCCGTGAGCGTACGTCGTAACCGACAATAGAGAAATAGAAAGGAAAGAAAGTGAAGGCAGAAGGAGCATTTCGAATCTTCTCAATCAACCAGGTACTGTGAGAGAGGTTACTTGTCTTGAAGGCTTGTCAACGTTTTGTAATTCGGAATGCTCCAGCCCTTTTATAGAGCTTTCCTCTAGAGAGACCCTTTGTGTTCAGCTCGTGGGATATGTACCCCGCATGTTGTGCGGCTGGCGATGTCAAAGGTGATGCTCATGAGGCTCAAGAGTCCTGGATCCCCGCTTTTGACAGCCTCAGGACCCCAGCCATCAAGGTATAAGGTTCGCTTTCATGCAATTGTGCCGCTTGACCGAATGGCATACATGGAGAGCGAGGTCCATGATCGAGGGATATAATCAAGAAGCTCCCATAACTTGTTCGATTTTTGGGAATAAGAAGAGGTTATGCACTAATGCTCGAAGAGGGGTAGGTTAATGAACCGAGGGTGTCGGTCACAGAAAAGATTATAGTGACTATAAACTGCCTTATTATATAGCTATTTGCGTCGAGAGCCCGGTGTGAACTACATATAGGTTCGACACATGTTTCGACATTTCCGACTACGGACACCTCCTTTTCCATCGGTTATGGAGTTACGCATCTCTCTACATATCCTCGCCGTTGCACCTACGAGCGTGTCGAAATAAAAGCTACGATCCACAGACCCGAGGCCTAAATCGTAGAAGAATCGCATTTTCGGACTACGACACCTCCTTTTTCATCGGTCATGAAGTTACGCATATCTATATACGTCCTCGCCGTCGTACCTACGAGCGTGTCGAAAAAACAGCTACGATACACAGACCCGAGGCCGAGATCGTAAGAAAATCGCACAGCCGGGCGGCAGACACAGCCAGATGAGCCAGAAAATGGTCGTCGGCAATAAAGCTCGATGCGTAACCGTTGGTGAGAAAAGTACAGCAGAAGATATCTGTGGTTTATATAGCTGCGGAGAATGCATTTTCCTTGCATGTGAAGCTGTAGAAGTCAAGGCTGTGGACGTGACTAGACCTGATCAGGAAATTTGAGATTTGATTGATGTTTTTGGCTTGTTTTGATGCTGTAGCATGCAGTTAATGTTTAGCTGCTGATTAGGAATGTTCGTGTTCAAGAGCTTCTCTTGTCGCCTCTTCCTCCACGACCTCCGCCGCGTCCACCACGTCCATTACCACGACCACGCTTGCTTCCACCACCTCTTCTGTTGAGCGAAAAATCAATCTTGACCAAAGGTTTCTGCACCCACTCCACAGACTGAATACCCAACTTCTTCTTCTCGTCTTCGGGCAACTTCCACGCTTGGAATACACCCATCAAGTTTGATGAGTCCTGGCTTACGTCCACATCCCTGAGCTCCTCTACCCAAGTGCGAATGTACTCGCCTTGGGAATCGTAATCCAAGGCCTGCTTGATGGGGTTGAAGACGCGAGATTCGCCGCGGGGATCGTTTCCTACACCAGCTACATATTGCCAGTTGCCCCAGTTTGAGGAGAGGTCGTAGTCGATGAGGTTGCATTCGTACCATTCGGCACCGATACGCCAGTCCACGCCCATGTGCTTGGAAAGGTAACTTGCGACGTTTTGGCGTGCACGGTTGGAAGTGTAGCCGGTGAGGAAAAGTTCACGCTGACTGGCATCGATGAGACCGGTTCCAGTGCGGCCGGTCACGAAGCGGAGGACGGCCGCAGCAGTGGCGTCATCATTAGCTCCGCCCTTGTTCTTCTTGGAGGTCGAGTCGCTGAAGGGGCTTGAGATGTACTTCCAGTTTGCGTTTTGGTCATTACGGAAACCTTCAACGTGGAACAGGCGAGGGCCAAATTTGCGTGTGCAGAGGCGCATGTAATCACGCCATAGCAACTCAAATCGTACAGCGGCTGTGCCCTTGTTCTCGCCCTTGCCATAGCCAGGAGTGCTCTTGCCAAGATCTGTCTTGCCGTCCTCGAAATCAACCAGCTTCCAGTGTATTTGGCGTGCTGTGGTGCAGCCGAGAGCCAGCCATGCGGATAGTTTAGTGCTGAAATCTTGACCAAGCAGTCCATTTCTTGTGTCCTTGTATGCGGTCATGCTTCCACTTTCGATGAGATGGTCGATACGCTCGTGACCTGATTTTGAACCACCAATGTATGGATGAGCGGATTCTGCGCCCTTGGGCCATTTTGCTACGTCTGGAAGACCATAGTCGTCTCCGAGGGGCTTGGTCAATGCTGACATGACACCCTCCAGAGAATCTGGGATCTCGAAAGGCTCGGCTTGCGCGGGGATATGGGATGGGAGGGGCGGTAATGTCGATGGTGCTGGAAGGGTCTTGCGAGGTGCGGATCGCAGAGGTTCTACCGTCTTTCTGTATGCCGTAAAGACGTCGTTCAACTCGCCAGGGTTCTTGAACGGTACATCGCGGCTATGAGTGTGTGTTAGTCTAGTTTTCTTCAAGAGGTAATGGCAACACATACTCGTCCACAAAATACTTCTCGTCGACCCAAAGCTTGAATTCGGCATCGAACTGTTTGCACAGCTTTCTGACATCCTTCTCTTCCCTCTTCTCTTCGACACCCTCCTCGTTGGTCATCCAGACACCTGCAATATCCACCTCATTGTGTTCCTTGTAGCTGTCGAGTATGCTGCGTACCGCATCGTGAACGGTACCAACGCGTACTTGAAGATCGCTGCCGACTCTTTCTAGGTCCTTCTTCAAGTCCCATACACTCTCTGCCAGGAACTTGGCCCTGAGCTTACCGCATCGCCAGAAACCGCTGACGGGAGCTCTAGCTTCTGGGTATGGTGACTTCTTTGTAGAATCTGAGATGAATCCGGAAACCTCGACCTGGTTTGCTGGAAATGTGTAGACGGGTAGGAAGTGTGTGAAAGGGTGCTGCGATTGTTGGAATAGTCGTGAGACCTCGTGGAAGACTGGATTATCAGCGAGTCGAAGGTCGCGACGAAGCACGTAGATGAGGACGCGCGCTTTAGGAGACATTTTCAGTCGAATATGCTGTGTAAGATGTGGAAAAGTGTTCAGGACAAGTCAGAATGCGATGTGCCAGGTATTGAGGCGCGAAAGAGTAAGAAGTAAGGTTCTCGGGCAGGACAGATAGATATTAAGTGTATCGAGCAACTAGCGCTTGGATGTTTTTGTTTCCCAAGATGGACGATGTCATCTATCGAGACATGGCGAACGGTTGGCAGGAGAGTATGCTAGAAAGTATGTGAGGGGGGCATATGTCATCAGTCTCAAGAAGAAGATTTGGGAGCTCGCGAGGGAAGCGAAGAGCGACCCTCGGGCAAATATCATCACAAAACAGCAGAAGCATGAGGATCAAGCAACGACTGGCGGTGGGTAGGTACCGGAAAACAGGGTGCGGTATGTCTGAATGAGGAATGGTGAATCTGATCTGAAGAGACATGAGAGGGCCGGTGAGATCGGAGAGATTTCTCAATGACCACTGTCGGAGCCGGAAGAGAGGGGCCCTGACGAACGTTCAGACAGTTCCTACCTCGAGCAACTCACGCATGTGGTAATCTGCGTGCAGGTCATGCCCCGACACGCTGTTTCCTGCAGGTTTAGATCGAGTCCAGATGCAGGCTTGTTCTGCAGATCGATGTGCATCGTGGTTGAATCTCACCGATGCAGACATGGTCGCGATCTCTGACGTTGTCCGCACGGTTGTCTCAGATATGCGCCACCAGGGTATTGTGGCGCGATACCTCGTGTGCGACCTGTCAACCACGTGAAATGCTTGACTTTATCAATGCTAGTCATGTTCAGTGAGGACTGTAGTCTCTGATATTGAGGACGCGATGGTGATATCTGATAACATTGGGAAAGAATTGAAGAGAGAAAGCAACGAAGAAAAGATACCTCTTGCGCTGTGTGACATGACATCATACTTGAGTTTGTTGACAGCAGCACCGGAAAATGGTATGCGTCCAGTAACGTGTATGGCTGTTTCATTGTCCACATGTGATTGATATGTACGAAGGTCTGCTTGATCCGTCCATAACATCACTGCTGTCATGCATTTGGGTACGGGAAACTTGTAGGGAAGTCTGATGGTTGTTTGGTAAAAGAACAGTGTAGTTGAAGCTAGAGGTTTTGTCAGATCGCGAAAACGACGTGCTTGGGCGATTGGAGGTCGTTTCCTGGCACGGGAGGCGTAGAAAGACGAGTCGCAACCTCTTAGGCTTTCAAAGATACCCTTGTCAGGATAGTGCTCTCGTGTTCGGGTTGATATGGAGGTTCCAACTCTCAGCCAGGGTGATGCGATTGACAAAAGGTCTTGGTCGCAGAAAGCGACGCCAAGCAGCTCGTGACGTCGCTGTTCTGCATCAGGGAAAATATTGTTCGAACGCGCAAAGAGTCTCATTATTAGTACATCGCCAACTGGACAGAATATGCAAGCACTGTCTTTCGGACGGGCGCCTGTGCCGTCACCTGCAGTCTTGAGGTTCTTGAGGATCCAGGCCGAATGCTTACCATTTCTCGCATCTCATTCGCAAGTTCGACGAAACCATCACCATGCGCAGGACACCGTTCGATTACGCCCTTTAACAAGCACCGAACGTCGAGTCTCTTTGACATCAGCAGAAAAGCAGACGTCGGCGCTCAAGCATCGCGACTTCTGGAACAGTGCAGTCAAGTCAAGATGGCAGAAGCCGTGGCAGGCTCGACAGAAGAAGACGGCCCCGTTACAACCAAACGACCTCCCGCCTCTGCCTAGATTACTCGATGATGCAGGAGCTGCAAGTCTGGGACGTATCGTCAAGCCGACAAACGAGCTGAGAATGCGATGTACCGAGTTCGACGGTGAAGGCAAAGTCACTCTTGTCAATGGCGCATTCAAGAAGAGCGAGCTTATAGCCAAGGTATCATCTTACAACTTCCATGACCCAATACTCTGTCTGACAACACAATTCGATAGTGTGGCCTCCTACCTCGTGACCTCCGAAAGATCGATTCTGCCTCGTTGCCGCACATTCTCGTCCGCCCTTCGGCCATCCTCATAAAGATTCTGCACATAAGCTGCCTCATCAATCACAACCGTGTCTTGGTATTTGATGCTTACGGAACCACCGACTCGCATACCCAGTCCATCTTCATGTACGATCTGGAAGGCAAACTTCAGCTACGAGAAGGTCGCTCGGCTGGCTCATTGCCCTACGAGTTCCGCGCACTCGAAGCTGTCCTGATAAGCGTGACTTCTGCCCTTGAAGGAGAGTTTGAAGGCGTTCGCGAACCCGTCGTTCAAGTTTTGAGAGAGTTGGAAGAGGATATCGACCGCAACAAGCTGCGTCATCTGCTGATTTACTCAAAGAAGCTGGGTACTTTCGAGCAAAAGGCGCGCTTAGTCCGTGATGCTATCGATGACCTCCTGGAAGCGGACGATGATCTGTCGGACATGTACCTCACAGAGAAGGCGAACGGTGTAACACGCGAGGAGGACGACCATACCGAAGTCGAGATGTTGCTTGAATCTTACCACAAGGTTTGCGACGAAATCGTTCAGGCGAGTAGCAATTTGGTCAGCAACATTCGCAACACGGAAGAAATGTGAGTTTCAAACACAACTCAAGTGTCGGCAGGGACTGACAATTACAACAGCGTCAAAGCCATTCTCGATGCCAACCGTAATTCTCTCATGCTTTTGGATCTGCAATTCACAATTTTGGCACTTGGTATTGGTGTGGGTACCTTCTTCGCCGGTCTCTACGGCATGAACTTGAAGAACTTCATCGAAGAGACCGACTTTGGATTCCCACTGGTCAGTATATCCTGCGGCTTCTTCTGCATGGTCGCCATTGTCTGGGGTCTCAGGAAGCTTCGCAAGGTGCAGAGACTGAGCATGTGGGGCGAAAGCGGCAGCCTCTCACCAGAAAACCACGGCCGACGTGGTCGAGGCAGCTGGAGAGAAGTTGATCCTCAGAATCAACTGTCTGGCGAGAACAGAGTTGACCGCACAGTCCGTTGGAAGCAGGACCAGCGGATGAACAAGATGCAGGAGGGATCCAACGAGGCACTGTAAATCTACGAAAGGCGGTGGAAGCTGATTTGACATTTGTACTACTAACCATCTGGCATTGAGATATCCTATACAGCATAGCGAGGCGTTCTTGGGGAACTGTATATTCCACGGCCAGGCATATATCGCCTCTCAATCTTGCATCACGAAAAGTGGTGTTTCATTTCTCTGCAAGTTTGCTGTACTTTTTGAGCGAAGATGTGCATGTATAAGGAGAAAGAAGGAAGTAGGCAAACTAGGAAGGTGGGATGGTCACCTCGGTCAGGCGTCGGACGGTGATTGGCCGGGAGCGGGGGGGATTTTGGGTTCCTGCGTCACAGGTGCAACAGGCGGAAGGTGGGAAAAACGATCGACTTCTGCAGGCACAAGCTGCTAGCATCAACTCGCGTGCGTCTTTGAAGATTGTTTGGCACCCATTCCCTGCAATCCATATCTCCCAGTCTCACGTTCCACGAACCGATAGCCTTGCGCGATCTCGGCGCACAAGGCCTCAGTCCACCACTACCCTCTACCGGCGCCTTCGATGGCACCGCCCTCTTCTGCCGACAAACCTGCGCTTCTGCAGAGGCAGTCTTCGACACTGCACTATCAGACTTTCCCAACCTCGCCGCCTACGTCGCGCGGAAAACCTCCAACTTCACCAAACCCCTCGTCGTCCAACATCCACGCGGATGCCCAGTCCGGATCGCAAGAGGAAACCCACAATGAGACACCGCTTCCCAAGGGCCAATTGGCTATTCTCGCTGTCATTGCTCTCGCCGAGCAGACTGCCCTGAACTCAATATCGCCCTACCTGCCTGCCATGGCTTCTACGTTCCCTGAGGTGAAAGATGGCCAGGTCGGCCTATACGTGGGTCTCATTGCCTCCAGTTTTGCCCTGGCACAATTCGCTACAAACTTCTTCTGGGGCTGGCTGAGCGACAGGATTGGCAGAAAACCTGTTGTTCTTATGGGAACTTTGTTGACTGCTTTCTGCTTCGTCATCTTCGGCTTCAGTCGGACTTTGTGGCAGGCCATCTTTGCTCAAACTCTCATGGGTTTGGTCAATGGAAACCAGGGTGTCATAAGTACTTGCCTAGGCGAGATCACCGACCGCAGTAACCAAAGTAGAGCTTTCACTTACCTTCCGGTCGTGTACGGCATTGGTGGTATCACTGGCCCTCTTGTTGGTGGCTTGTTGGTCTTCGAGACGATACCTTGGAGCGGCAAGCCCAACCCATACCCCTACCTGGCTCCCAATGTCCTTAGCGCTGGTGTCTTGATTATCGATCTCGTCCTCACCATGATCTTCCTTGAAGAATCTTTGGAAGAGGCCAAGGACTTACCCCCTCTCAAGAGACGAGTCTCGAACCTCTTTGCTTGGCTCTGGCAGTTTACGGGTAATTCTACCAAGCCCTCGTACGTCAGACGCCGTGCGAACCACGAAAGCTCACACGCCAATTCTCGAAACGACGGTACCGAAGAAGACACAACCGACGACGAGAGCGATGCTGAATCTACCCACCTCTTGGGGTCTGGTAACCACGAGACTCTCAGCAGATCTGACGTCTTCAACCGCGACACCATCCTTCTCCTCATCACTTTCCTTATCTTCCAGTTGTCGAATATCTCTTACAACTCGCTCTACCCCATCTTCGCACAGGCTGTTCCTCCTACCGGTCGTGGTCTGTCACCCGAAGAGATTGGTCTTTCATTAGGTTTTGCTGGACTTGTCACCATTGTATTCCAAGTCGGCATCTTTGGCAAACTACGTGAGAAGGTCGGAAACAAGACGACCTACAGAGTGGGATTGTTTGGCTTCGTCATTGCCTTCCTTCTTATGCCTTGGGTAGGCTACAAGGATGGTAAGAACGGATCTGGATCTGCTACCACAGCTGGCAAAGTGTGGCTTTGGGTCGAGCTTGGAGCGGTGCTCATCATTAAGACTGTGGCAGCAGTCGGAGGTCTCACTAGCGCCCTGCTCTTGGTAAGAGGAGCTCTCTCTTTAGGTTGGTACAATAATGCTAACTATGCGGACAGATCACCAACTCAGCGCCCAACCACTCTGTGCTGGGCACGCTCAACGGGCTTGCTCAAACACTCTCAGCTGCTGGACGTGCTGCCGGACCGTTCATCTCTGGATCGCTTTTCACTGCAGCTACACATGTACAACCCAAGGGTGAAGCTCTCGCTTTTGGCATCTTTGGTGGCATCAGTCTCCTTGGATTTGCTCTGAGTCTTGGCATTCGATCGTCAAGTCTCGAGGCCGAAGGCTGGGACGAGAGTGACGAAGACGATGATGCTACGTCTGATGAAGAAGAAGTATAGACAAGGGACGCAAAGTGTGTAAAAAGTTGATTTTCAGCGAAGGCGTTTTTGGGCGGTGTCATGTCATTCCTATTGGTCAAGGCGATAGCTGCTGCATATATGTGGATCGTGAATAAAATGTAATATAAGATCAGAGTCATGATACTTGTAATGAAGCGAATGCGTGACTGTAATTGTCTCAGTTTCCGCAGCAATAACCTGGTTGTCTGGATGCTGAAATGAAGAGGTAGAAGTAGTCGAGAAAAAGACGGAAAATCAGACGACCAAGGAGGGGTATGGTGAAGGATCTGATTAGATTTCAGCAATCTGTTGAGATAAGGCAGGCAGAGCCGGAGGCCCGAACATCGGCGCGACTTATGGACCCGCATGTAACCTGCGATTGGGGACTTTCTTGTCTTTTGCAAAGCGAGCTACTGTAGTTTTCCTTCTATACTCATTGGGTTGCTGCATGTTGGACAGCGTGTGATTTCTAAACCCTCGACGACATTCCCCAAACCCGTACATCGCTTGCAAGACTGCAGCAATGTTGGCTCGTCCTTGTATGCGCGCCCTCGGCCGGGGCAGAGTAGGCCGTGTGCCCACCTCAGCGGCAGCAGCATGCAGAGCAGCTGTCCGTCCGGCTCTGGCCAGCGGCTATGCCTCTGTATCAAAGGGCACTCGCCATGAAGAGACGTCGGCTCGCTCGGCCGTCATCAACGTGCTCCAGAACCTCGGATCCAAGCGTGAGTAATACGTGCTACTCGACATGATTGCATGGGCAGAGACTGACGCAGTTGCGAACCGTCAGGCGAGGTGCAGCAATACCTCTCGCAGTTCCAGTCGGTTTCGTCGCAAAAGTTCGCCGTTATCAAGGTTGGCGGTGCCATCTTGACCGATTACATCGATGTCCTCTGCAGCTCGCTGCGCAACCTCAACCAGATGGGCCTGTTCCCCGTCATCATCCACGGAGCCGGCCCCCAGATGAACAAGCTTCTCGGAGAAGCTGGAATCGAGCCTCAGTACAGCGAGGGAATCCGTATCACCGATGGACCTACACTGGGCGTCGCGCGCAAGTTGTTCCTCGAGGAGAACCTGAAGCTCGTCGAGGCTCTTGAGTCATGGGGTGTTCGTGCTCGTCCCATCACCTCTGGTGTCCTCATGGCCGACTACAAGGACAAGGACACATGGAAGTTCGTCGGTGAGGTCAACAAGGTCAACACCGACCCCATCAACGCCGCCATTGCCGACAACTACATCCCCGTCCTTACCTGCATGGCCGAGAACAACGAGGGCCAGCTCCTCAACGTCAACGCCGATAAGGCCGCTGCTGAGCTGGCCAAGGCACTCGTGCCTCTGAAGATTGTCTACCTCTCCGAGAAGGGTGGTCTGCACAACAAGGACACCGGCAAGCTTATCGAGGCCATCAATCTTGATGAGGAGTACGACCGCTACATGAACATGCCCTGGGTCATCCACGGCACTCGTTCCAAGATTAGAGACATCAAGGACCTCCTTGACCACCTCCCTCGCTCTTCCAGTGTGGCTATCATCCACCCCGAGAGTCTTGAGCGCGAGCTGTTCACCCACACCGGTGCCGGAACCCTTATCCGCCGTGGTACCAAGCTCCACAAGGCTGCTTCGCTGGCCGAGTTCCCTGACATGAACAAGCTCAAGCAGGTTCTTGTTCGCGATCGTGAGGGTCTTGATGCCGAGGCCGTTGTAGACCGCTACCTTGACAGCCTCAAGGGCAAGACTTTCGCCGCTTACTACGACGAAGGCATGGAGGCCCTCGCTGTTGTCCTTCCCCCGGATTCCGCTACTTCTTCCAGCGGTCTGGCCCACCTGGCCACTCTGACCATGACCCGTTCCGCATGGCTCTCCAACATCGCCGACAACGTTTTCCAGCACTTGAAGAACGACTACCCCAAGCTTGCTTGGACCGTCAAGCAGGACGACGAGAACTTGACTTGGTTCTCCGAGAAGGCTGATGGCAGCATTGCCCGCCAGGGTGAGGTCCTCTTCTGGTACGGCATTGAGACCCCTGAGGAGGTCCGTGAGTTGATGGCCGAGTTCATCCAACACGGTAGACAGATGTTCGGTGACAACAACCTCGAGAGCCAGCTCCACCGCGCCGCATCTGGCGCCCTTAGAATCAAGGATGTTGCCCAGAGACTGCAGCAGCACAGAGAGTCCCTTGGACAACAGACCAGATCCTTCTCGACCAGCTCTTTCTCCTCGCGCAACATGCAGCGTGTTCGCAGCACCTTTGGCGTCCCCTCCAGACGTGGTTACGCCACCACCACTAACCCTAACCCTCCTCTTGGTATCAAGAACCAGGACAAGGACTATCCCTCCAAGGTCGCTCTTATCGGTGCCCGTGGCTACACTGGCCAGGCTCTGATTGACCTTCTCAACCGTCACCCCAACATGGATCTCCGTCACGTTTCATCGCGTGAGCTCAAGGGCAAGAAGCTTGCTGGCTACACCAAGCGCGACATCACATACGAGAACCTCTCTCCTGATGATGTTCGCCGCATGGCTGATGCTGGTGAGATTGATTGCTGGGTCATGGCTCTTCCTAACGGTGTCTGTAAGCCTTTCGTTGACGCTATCGAGGCTTCAAGCCACAAGGAGTCTGTCATTGTTGACCTCTCTGCCGACTACCGTTTCGACTCATCATGGACTTACGGTCTGCCCGAGCTCGTCAAGCGTAGCAAGATTGCAGGTGCTACTCGTATCGCCAACCCTGGATGTTACGCTACTGCCGCCCAGCTTGGTATTGCCCCTCTGGTTCCTTACCTCGCAGCAGCTCCTGCCAACCCCACTGTTTTCGGTGTTTCTGGTTACTCAGGTGCAGGCACCAAGCCCAGCCCCAAGAACAACGTCGACAACCTCACCAACAACCTCATTCCTTACAGTTTGACTGACCACATTCACGAGCGCGAGATCAGCGCCCAACTCGGGCGCGAGATTGGGTTCATCCCTCACGTCGCTGTCTGGTTCGCCGGTATCCACCACACCATCTCTATCCCCTTGGCCGACACCATGGCTTCTCGTGATATCCGTCAACTCTACCAAGACCGCTACAACGGCGAGAAGCTCGTCAAGGTCGTCGGTGAAAGCCCTCTGGTCAAGAACATCTCCGGCAAGCACGGAGTCGAGATTGGCGGTTTCGCAGTACACAGCAGCGGTAAGCGCGTTGTCATCAACGCCACCATTGACAACCTCCTCAAGGGTGCTGCCACGCAGTGCTTGCAGAACATGAACCTCGCTCTTGGCTACGCCGAGTACGAGGGCATTCCTCTGTCATAGATGGATAGAGTAGGTCATGGCAGGTGGTTGTATCAATACAAGGCGTTATCTTTTTTGCGTTGGTTCACAGGCACATAGAAGTTGCTGGGTTGAATTGTTTGAGTGGAGGATGCAGATTCGTGATGAGGATTGGCTATCTAGGTTAGATTGCTTGATATGTAGAATGGCATGATTTTCAAATGTACATGTTTTCTCTCTTCTGTCATTTGTGCCTTGAGCAGCTTCACATGCTTGTGGCAGAGCCCCCCGCAAAGAGCTGCGCTGAAGCTAAAAATGGCGTCCGGGGTTTCGGTCAAGAGCAGCCGAGGAGTCGTCCCTTTGAGTCGCATGTCACAGAGCAACTCTGCATCATCTCAACTCGTAAACCCAACCGTACTCTTGCACTTCAAGAGAGTTTCAGGCGGCAGAATCGCAATATTCCGTCATTCCAACAAACACACCGGAAGTCGCGACAGTCCACTAGAGCACTAGTCGCCAGCAACAAACAGAATGTCTTCGGACAAGGAAGCGAAAGTCGACCTTGCGTCTTTTGTATGCGCCAGAATCTGCATTGACATGGCTGAATACTAATCCGATGGTAGACGCAAAGTGTTGTCAACGATTGCCTGTTCACCGTCATCCACGACCTCGTCCTTCAAACCCATCGCCGCGAGAAGCTACTCCTACGGACCGTGGACCCATCAACAGGCTTGCCCATCTGCCCTTCATGTAACCTCCCACGTCTCCTGGATCCTCCGCTAGCGAACGCGAACCCTCTCAAGAAGATCCAATACTGCACACACATTCCTTGGTCAACGCGACCAGGCCACGACATCTATGGCAACCCATTCCCAGTCTCTGGCAGCGACAAGCCACCGACCAAGAAAGAGCGCGAAAGAATGAAGGCGGAATCAAACGCTTCAAAAGAACACGGTACTGCGCCTCCATCACCTACGGCTAGCGAACAACCCAACACTGGTGGTCCTGTGGACAAGAAAGCCGCAAAGGTTGGAGAGAGACTCAAGGGCGGCACATATATTCCCTGGCACACATGTCCATCCTGCAAGCGCAGTCTGCTCATCACACGCTTCGCTCAACATCTAGAAAAATGCTTGGGAATTGGAGGAAGAGGCGCCAGAGCTGCTCGTCTCAACAACGCAAATGGAGCTTCACCACTGGGCAGCAGGGGCGGCACACCAACACCAAACTCTCGCGGATCTAAGAATGGAGATGAAGACGAGGATGAAGACGATATCAAGTCAGGAGGCGTGCGCAAGAAGGTCCTCAAACGCGGCCTCAAAGAAAGCATGAAGAAAGACGTCAAAGGCTCAGGAAAACTTGGAAAGCGACCCGGCAAGTCAGACGCGAAATCAGACAAGAGGGAACGAGACGAACTAGGCGATGACGAAGACAACACACCTCTACGCAAACGCATGAAGCTGCAAAGAGTTGGCAGCACGGCAAGCTTGCAGACTAGTATCGCTGGCGAGGAGAGTGTAGATGGAAGTTTCGTGGACGATAATGATAGTGGCGATGATTAGAGGTCTCGCAGTGTTGATTCTATCTTGAGGGATTACTAGCGGGTGCATGGCTTATTGATACCACTACAGGGGCGTTTTGGGATGGGAAAGCAAAAGGCCATGGGAGAGCATGAGCTTTGTGAGTTACACCAGTTTTATTCTTGTAGTCACTACTTATCGATCGACTATCCTTGATCGATCTTAGAGTGAGAAGGCATGTCAAGCAGTTCTCAATGCCTTCCGCTCTTGAAGCGATCAATAAGACTGACTGCGTTCTTGCCTTGTGATGATCCAAAATGGCAGTTTGATGGGCTGTGGAGACCATGGCGGCTTCCCACTTCCCGTCGCGTCGGCAAAGGCGCGTCCCCCTCACGAAATCCAACAGTCAGGCAGCACTTGCGCATATCAATCCGACGACTCGAAATTATCTGTCGTCGCAAGTCGCAAACATGCCTGGAGTCGTGCCCATGCGAAGGCCGCGCGAAGACGAGGATGAAAGTGATCTGGACGCCTCGTCGCCTTCCTCAGATAAGCGCCCACGTCTGAATGGCAATGGCTCGCAGGTATTGTCGCATACGCTCTGCGACTGAGACCTTCACTTACATGGTCATGCAGGCTCCTCTACTTCCCGCAAGCTACGAAAATGGACAGAATGGCACCGAACCGCTCGTACACTCACCTGGATCTATCGTCAGAGTCGGAATGAAGAACTTTGTCACGTACACGTCGGCCGAATTCCTTCCTGGTCCCAGCTTGAACATGATCATCGGTCCCAACGGCACTGGAAAGAGTACTCTGGTCTGCGCAATCTGTCTCGGCCTTGGAGCCAAACCTGACGTCCTCGGACGAGCCAAGGATCCTTCGGAATTCGTCAAGCATGGCATGAAAGAGGCCGAAATCGAGATCGAACTTGAGCGTGATCCTGCCCGTCACCGCACAAATCCCGTCATTAAGCGTATCATCAAAAGAGACTCGAACAACAAGACCTTCTTCATGATCGATGGCAGGACCAGCACCCAGAAGGCGGTTGCCGAGCTGTGCCGTTCCTTCTCTATCCAGGTCGACAACTTGTGTCAGTTCCTTCCTCAGGACCGTGTCGTCGAGTTCGCCGCCCTGGATCCTATCGAGCTTCTTGTTCAAACTCAAAGAGCCGCTGCTCCAGATTACATGAGTGATTGGCATGATCAGCTAAAGGCCATGCGCAATGACCAGCGCAAACACCAAGCCGATCAAGTCACAATGACCGAAAACCTCAAAAATCTCGAGGGTCGCCAGAACATGCAACGTGGTGATGTTGAGCGCCTGCGTGAACGTGCCGAGCAACAGGAAAAGCTCAAACTTCTCGAAACATACAAACCCTTTCCTCAATACAACCTCGCCAAAGAGCAATACATCGAATCCAAGGATCGTTGGAAGGATGCCAAAAATGAATTCGCTGCGCTTGAGCAACAGTGCGAGCCTGCTTTGGCCGCTGTAAAGGCGAAGGATGAATATGTCAAGGCCATTGATGCAGTTGTCAAGCGTCGCCAACGTCTGGTCACACGCGCACAAGACGACATCAAAGCGAAAGTCAAGAAGCAGAAAAACGTGGCGGAAGCAATCAAAGCTTGTGAAGCCGAGGTCGAAGCTGAGAAGAAAACCGTCAAAACATCAAAACAGGAGCGTGCTCGTCTCGACGGTCTGATTAAGAATCTACAACGTCAACTTGAGAATGAGCCGTCCAATGTGGATGTTGCTGCAATCAACGAACAGATCAGAGACATCACGCGCCAACAACGTGAGAAACTTGATTCTGCCGAGGAGGAGAACAGAAAGCAAGACGATCAAGCCACTCAAGCCAATTCACTTAAACAACGCATAACCGCAGCGGAGAACAACCTCAGACAGCTACGATCCAAAGCCGGCCAGCAAGTCAACAAGCTGACCAACGCCTCTCCGGATACTGCCAAAGCCTGGGACTGGATTCAGAGTCACAGAGATGTCTTCACTGGCAAAGTGTTTGGACCGGCCATCCTCGAATGCTCAGTTAAGGACCAGAAGCATGCTAACCTCGTCGAGTCGGTACTCAACCAAGCAGATATGGTTTGTATTACCATGACTGACAAAGCAGACTTCAACCTGCTCCAGCGCGAACTTCTCGACGGACAAAGATTGTCCGACATCAACTTGCGAATGCTGGACACACCTCTAAGCCAATGGAGAAGGCCATATGCTGAGAACGAACTACGACGACTTGGCTTGAACACCTATATCTTGGACCTCATCGATGGACCTGATGAAATTCTCAGCATGCTTTGCGACAACAGAAATATCCACATGTATGGTGTCGCGTTCCAAGAGTTGAGCACTGAACAATTCGATGGAATGATGAACAGCAACATCACAAACTGGGCAACTCCGACTGAAACCTACAACGTCGTAAAGAGACGAGAGTATGGCGATGCTGGTACATCGACACGCACAGCACGTATCCGACCAGCGCGATTCTTCACTTCTCAACCCGTGGACACACATGCCGAACAGGAATACAAAAACGCCATTGCTGAATTCAACGACGAGCTCCAGCATGTCAAGCGCCAGGCCGACACCCACAGAGCTGCTAGTGGACGTTACGGACACGAACACAAAGATCTCGAAAACCAGAAGAAGGACCTCGAAGACGAAAAGAAGAGAGCTCAAGACGCCAGATCGCAATGGCAGAAGATCCCTGTCAAGATTGCTGGTCACGTTACCAAACGTGACGGGCTGGAAAAACGCCATGCAAGCTACCAGGCTCGTGTACAAGCGATCAAGGAGAAAGCAGACAAACTTGCCCTCGACAGAGCTCAAGACGCCCTGACTCTCGTGTCATCAGTTCAGAGTCTGCAAAAGCTGGAGACAGATTATCTACATGCCAATCTTGCATTGATTGAGGCTGAGTCAGACTGCCAAGTTCTCACAGCACACAACGAGGAAGTACGACGAACACTCGCTCAAAGCGCGAAAGATGTCAAGATCTTGGAGAATGAGAAGGATCAGCTCAAGAGAGTGGCAACTGAGGTTTACAACGTATGTCAGGAGTTGCGCAACAATATGACCGATAGGGAACACGAGCTTTGGCTCGAATACGACCAGCTGAGCCTGGAAGAGCTCGAGGCCGAGATCGACAGCACCAAAGCACGACTCGAGATGGTACATGAGGGCGACCCGCGTGTTCTTCGTGAGTACGAGGATCGTGCTGTCCAAATCGAGCGTGCGAAGCGTAAGCTGGAGAACATTGAAAATGATCTCGTGGAAGTACAACAAAACATCGACGAGATCCGACAAAAATGGGAACCAGAGCTCGACCAGCTCATCGGCCAGATCAGTGATGCGTTTAGCGAAAACTTCGAAAAGATCAACTGTGCCGGTCAAGTCGCGGTGTACAAGGAAGATGACGACTTCAATAAATGGGCCATCCAGATCCAGGTCAAGTTCAGGTATGCAAAAATAACATCTCCCTTTGATAAGAACATCACTAACAGCAACACAACAGAGAAAACGAAGAACTCACCGTCCTCGACTCTCACCGCCAATCCGGCGGCGAACGTGCAGTCTCGACCATTTTCTACCTCATGGCTCTGCAAAGTCTAGCCCGCGCACCCTTCCGCGTCGTCGACGAGATCAACCAAGGAATGGACCCTCGCAACGAACGTATGGTGCATTCACGCATGGTGGATATCGCTTGCTCGGAACACACGTCACAATACTTCCTCATCACGCCCAAGCTTTTGCCGAATCTGGAGTATCACCCTAATATGAAGGTGCATTGTATCGCTTCTGGAGAGTATATGCCTGAAGGCCAGGGAAAGCTCGATTTTGGAGCGTTGGCGCAAAAGGCACTTGCTGTGTATGGTGGACTTTAGGTGTTGGCAGAAGATGGCTAGATGGGTGGAATTCTTTTCTTTTCGTTCTGTTGATGCTTTGAGGAAGGGAGGTTTGCTGTGCCGTGCTGTGTTGTGCTTTGAGGATGGTGTAGATGGATGTAACAGTTGGGAGTATAGCTTCCTGTTGAAGCGGGTCTTTGATACAGGAACAAGAAGTTTAGACACGTGTCTATAATGATGAATCACAAGATAATCAACGATCAAATCTTCATATCTGGGTTCTGTCATTGCCTTTTCGTCTTGCTGTTTGCTCTTTTCCTTTCCTCTGACCAAGCATACCATCAATTGATGATAATCCCCTCCAAGTCAAATCAACCATGTCTTCCTGCCCTTTTTCTACACAAAAGTCCGCTTATTTACTCTATACATATTCACTCATCATCCGACTCTTTGAACAGCCAAGAAGGGTTTGTATATAAAAACTCACATATCCGATAGAGTGATATAATTCACAAACGAATCTTAGAAGAAGAGTCATGGAGTGTGGTGGACCAGAAGTAAAAAAGGAGGCTCGTGTTGTTTGCTCTAAGCCCAGTGCTCAAGAAGGGAACGAAGACGAAACGCAAGTACGGTAATCAGGTCGGTGACCCTCTTTGTTGTTTCTTGAGGTGGATTGGGGGATTGAATAAGGGGGTGTATGAGGATATGAGAGATAGAATAGGGGAGAGGGTATGCGTGGTTCATTGACCCGATATCAACATTTGCCGTCTTCAAGGGGCCAAGTTTACCGTATGCTAGAAAAAGCTAAGTATGCCACATCTCCATCGATTGCAAGAAAAAAAAAAAAAAAAAAGCACGCACGCAACAAAGCAAACGAAGGGCCCAAAACGCACAGCAGGTCTGTCAATACATTTGAAAATCATCCCTTGCCTTGCCACGACATCTCCCCCATCCCAGCTAAGGAGGCAAAACGTTGCAGCAGCGCAGCATAACTTACAAGCTTGCACTTTTTTTTTGTTGCAGAATGATGTCCAAGGAAAAAGCACGACGGGTCTTGAATTAGGGGGGTTTCCGCGCGACTTGGTCATTTCCTTCCTTCACCTCGCCTTTGTACTTGTTGTGCGGACGAATTTTGAGGCAGGCCCGACTTCTGAGCTCGAGTGATTCGTGCAATACTTATTCCTCCGGGCTCAATAGTAAAAGCAAGGGCATGGAGGCGCTCTGGCTCATGTAGTTCACGTGGTGCAATGTTTTGTTCGAATAATCCTCATGCAAGCGGAGGCAGAGATGACAAGAGAAGAATTGTGGAACGAGGAATTTGATTTGGTTCTGATGCTCATTGATGGGGAGAGAAATGATGCAAAAAAGGATGTAAAGAGATATGGATATACGCATGCGCTGTCAGCACTTGAGCAGCGCGGGAAAGGGGAGTATGATGCTAGAAAAAGAGCAAAGAGGAAACGCCGAGAGAGATGCAAGAGGTTGTTCCACCTGTTTTGCGCCAAAGCCGAATGCCGGAAAAGATGCCAGAAGTCAAGCAGATCGTAGACCAGAAGAAGGAGAACAATCATGCCCTCAACCAAGTCTGGAAATACTCACAATTCTTCGCATTGACGGGACCGCCATCCTCACATAGGTTGAATACAGGACACCTGCCACAAGGCGCCTGACTCAAGCCATTACCCTCCTCATCCTCGACCGCATCTCCCGCCGCTCTTCCCTGCGAAATATTCTTCATGGCTTCTGTAGGTCCATACACACCTTTACAAGTCCTGTATCCATTTCCAATTCTTTCGATACGTTCGTCAAAGATGAGCACGTCCAACAGATTTTGAAGATCAGATTCGGCGAGGTTGCCGCCTTCCTTTAGGAAATTGGCTTCGATGATGAAGTGGTGGATTGCAGAGAGGGTTGGGTAGTGGCGCCATCCTGCTGGATAGGAGATTTGTGTTTCGTAGCCGCCTGATCTTCTTGACTTTGGGTGTGCGCCTTCGATATCTCCGGCATCATTTCTCTTTCTCTTTTTTGTGGTGCCGTCTGCGGAGATGCTGTTGGTTTCCGGAGTGGGTTCGCGCTTGATGTAGACGGTCTTCCAACTGTTTTGGGCGATAAAGTGGATTACGGCTTCGGCGGTGATGGCGATGAGCTCCACATCCAGTTCTCCGTCGCTGAACCAAGGTCCGCCTGTGACATCTTCGTTTGGCGAGAGGTGGTGTAGCATGTAGATTTTCTGAGCGGGGTTTTTGATGGACTTTACGGGTTTGACGAGCTTCTTGCTCTCGAGAGTCTTCATGGCTTTGGTGACGGTGGTTTGGTGGATGTTGGTGCGTTGTTTGATCGTCTTTGTCCAGGTGCCGTTGGTGCCGCTGTTTTCGATTTGGTTGTAGACCATGCGTTCGTCGTCGTTGAGGGTTACAATCCTGTTTGCCATCTGTCAGCATCGCATTCCTCCTTGTTGTGTCTCGGTCGGCATGGGAGTACACACTTTGCGGCATCATCCTTCTTGCGCAAAGCATAGCAAATCTTTCCATCCATCTGCATCAACCGCACCAATTGCGCATCCATCAAGCCCTGCAGCAGTTCCAGCAGGGCTTGTGCGGTATCCACGACACCCATCTTGAGCAATTCATCCTGGCCGAAGATTTTGGCGCGTCCTTCCGGGGAGTTGAGGGCGGCGTTGGTGCAGCGTTCGTACAGCTCCGAGCTGTCTTCTTCCAGTTTTGCCGCCATTGTTCGGGAATATGTTGTGACGAGAAAGAGAGGCACGGGAGTTGTGGTAGTTGTAGTCGAAGTGGGAAGGTGGGATGAGCATGTGAAACTTTGTGAGTCTTTCTGTAACTTTTGGTCGGCTTCTATTTACGGAAGCTCCGACGCCGATCTCTTCTCTTGGTACATGGACCCACCCTGTCTGAACCTCATCGCCCTCGATATCTCATCGCAATGCACAAGTCTGTACATCTACCCGTGTTGAGCTGTTCGATCTTGCTAGATTCAGATTGATCCATGTTAGTCTTGTCTAATTGTAGAATTTGTGATCAGTCCTTCCCAATCCCGTGAGACTTCTGATAGCAATCTTCACATGACAATCTATTTTGGCATTGGGTAAGAAACCACTTCAGCATAGCATAGTTCAGTCACTCACGCAGTAGTTTTGTTGAACAAGGGAAAGACTGTTATTACACTTTTCTATAGATATGCACTTCATCCGCAGCCGAGTCAGAACGTCTCAGCGCTTGCATACTATTAATCCTACTCTGACAATTATTAACGAGAGATGTTTTCGAGAAGCACCTCTCATCACCGTCAAAAGCTCCTGACGAATCCATGCTGATCTCTTCTGTGCCCATCTGGTCCTTGCTGTCCAGGTTGTTGGCCTTGAGGTGGTCCTTGTTGCTGTTGCTGAGATGGTGGAGGTTGCTGCTGTTGAATCGGAGGTAGGTTTTGGTTTGGGTGGTGCACCGGTTGATGCCAGACTAGGCCACCAGGACCTTGAATACCGGGTAGTGCAAAGCCAGGGCCCCAGTGTTGAGGCACGTGTTGAGGCATCTGCTGAGGTGGGCCGGGAGGAGGCAGAACACCTGTGGGTGGGTAAGGTCCCGTGTAGCCACCGAATTGCTGCTGTTGCGGCGGTGGCTGATGTTGTTGGTGAGGATGCTGATGTTGCTGATGAGTTTGCTGTTGTGCAGCAATCAATCCGCCGTGTTGAGACATGTACCGCGCATGCGCTTCTGCAGCACGATGACGTTCAGCTGCTTGTGCTTCTTGTTCGCGCGCCTTGTCTTCTGCTTCCTTGGCTTTGCGGCGAGCCCACCATTCCACCATACTCTTCGATCGCTTTTCGCTTCTGGGAACTTTACGCTTCGGGTCGACGGCCGGTGCTCCTGCTTGTGCTGGTCCCGCAGGTGTCGTGTCGGCAGATCCAGGCGTGAGGCTGGTCTCTGCACTGCCAGGTACATCTGAATTAGGTCCTCCAAAACTCGGTGTACCAGCGCCCTGAGATTTCGGTGCACGGGGGCCTTTAGGAATGCCGGCGTCTGATCTCTTGTGATGGTTCTTGCTGCCCTTTGGCCGTCCCTTCTTTTTGCCACTAGCTGTGAGCGACGGACCGTCCTCGCTCTGTGGGTCAATTTGAGACTCATCAGCGAGCCCAGGCGTGGTAGTCCCGGTCGCAGGCATTTGCTCATATACAGGACTGTTCTCGCGGGTGTCTGGCGGCACGCTGCCCGCATCTGAGCCAGAAAGCTCATCTTCAGATGCAGATACTGAGACTGCAGCACTCTCTTCACGCAGCTCTTGAAGACGCTTGCTGATCAGACCGCCTCTTCCACCACCGCGACCTCCTCTTCCGCCTCTGCCTCCACGACCACCTCGGCCGCCGCGTCCACGACCGGTCGTTTTGCCTCTCTTAGATACAGGCTCGGCCTCTGGTGTCTCACTCATCGCCTCTGCTCCTCGCTTTCTTCCCATAGCTTGCTCGGTCGAAACAACACCGTCATACTTGGCAACCGGTTTCCTAGCCCGTCTGCCAGTGACAATCTCTTCAGGAATAACAGTCGCAGCTGCTGCGGAAGCTTCCTTGTTGGCCTGACCTCGAGGTTGACGAGTACGTAGTTCCCTGCCAGAAGCGTCTCTAACCACTTTCTGGGCGATAGGATCTTGCATGCCGACCTTCTTCGCATCAAATACGTAGTCGTAAAGATCTGCTTCCTTTTGATCTTCGTATGTCATGTAGTCGATGGGGTTTCGCTGTCCAGTGGCAGCTTTGCGAGGGATGGCAGCATGTGGCGCAGTGATCTTTTCAAGTTCTAGATATTCGTCTTGCCATGCTCGGAGTGCGGCGGCGGTATTTGCGGCTAGAACATACAAGTTGTCCGTAGAGCGTTGACCGGGCAGAAACTTGATCAGAGGATTGATGAAGACATCTGCTTGTGTCATTGGCGCGTAGATTTTGTTGTAGAGTGCTTGAGCTTCATCGTCTGGTAGATTGGGATCCTCAAATATCTCATCTGTGAAGGGTGACGGTAGGTCAGTGTCGCTTACGACATCATCTTCTGCTGCTAGAAGAGCAAGCTCAGGCGAAGGCTCACGGGATGGCTGTCGTGATGTTGATTGGGCACCACCTCGTCGTCGTCGTTTCACAGTGCCCCCTCGTTTCGACAGATTGATACCACGCGGCAAAGGTTGAAAGTTGTTTGACACATGATCATCGTCATCGGCGTCGTCGTCCTTGTCGATTTCGTCGTTATCAGATGCTGTGTCTCCATTACCATTAAAGGATATCGTTGGACGAAGACTTTTGGATGAAGCAATCTCCTGTGATTCGTTCAGGTAATCCACAAAAGAATCAGGGGCGTCAGATTTATTCTTGGTCTGACCATTCTGACTTGAAGCCAGGCCGGTGAAGAAGATATTTTCGTGGGCGCTTTCGCGTCGGGCTCTCCTTGCAGCACGGCGATCATTCGGACTTTGAGGTTTGTTGAAGCTTCGTGCTTGCTCTTCGGCTTCATAGGTTTCGAGAGTTTCTTGGTCAATGCCGGAGATAATGAAGGTGTGGTCATTGAGCCACCTCAGAGACACGGGATCTGTTTCGGCATAGTTTGGGGCCTTGGGCATAGTTGAATCCATCTTGTCGGGAGAGGATATGTTGTTTGAGCGGGTAGAGCGAGTTAGAGAGGGACTGATTTGGGGTAGTTGGGGTTTGCTGTGAGTCCTCGTTCGCATCGTATTTCAAAATGATTGACTGCCAATGCCGATGTCGAGACTATTGTTGTGGCAAGCCAGGACCAACCAAGGCCGAAGGAGCTTGTTCAAAACACTAAAACCGCGAAGGAAATGATAGGAAAGCAATCAAAGGTTACCCAAGCCTCGATGGACTCGAGTGATAGAAATGAGGCCAAGTTTGAATGATGTAGTGAAGAAAGCAAAGGAGAATAACGTTTAAGCGAGCAAAATTGCCGCGCGGAGGTTGAACAAGGGCCGGCAGTAAGCGAGTTGGCAAGTAGAAGGCAGAGAATTGTACAGAGTGTAGAGGATGTCTTTGAGACGCGATCAACGAGGAGTGCAAGTGATTTGATGGAGTATATCTTGAATGATAGTCTTTTTCGAGTGTGTGGATTGATTTCCGGACTCGTAGTCCCAAGGCTGGGTCCACACGGCTTGACAGCAGCCAATGACAGACGACGGCGGCTAACGACGGGCGCTAGCCGAGTCTAAGCTAGCGCCTTTCCCCACGATTCGACCTTCATTCAGGGAACAATCCAGAGGCAGCACGAGCTTCATCTACACAAGACTTTGTCCACCACAATCACATACAATCAACAATGTCGAAGAAATTGACAGACGAGGAGCTCCTTGCCCAGTTCGAGGATATCCCCTCAGCCGACGCCACAGCTCCTTCTTCAGGAAAAGCAGGAGCAGGAACAGTCGAAGATGACGACCCGTTAGCAGAGCTCACTGCCCTGGCAGCTGCGCGTCCTGTTTCGCGCCCACAGACACCGCGTCTCTCTAGCTCTACCGCCTCGGGAACAAAATCGAAGCCCGAGCACACTCCTCAGAGCTCAGGTCCTCCCAGTGGACGCACCAGCGAAGACCGATCCAAGGCCCGCAAGAGCACCGAAAGCGCCCGCAGCTACCACCAGGGCCAGACTCCCAACGACCAGCCTCAACAACAGGAAGAGAAGCAGCAAGAGCAAAAAGCCCAAGCTGGCGGTTGGGGCTTCGGCGGATGGGGAGCAAGCGTCTTCAGCGCTGCCAGTGCTGCCGTCAAGCAGGCCGAGGCAGCAGTCAAGGAGGTGCGCGGCAATCCGGAAGTGCTCAAGTATGCTGAGCAGCTGCGTCACAATGTCAATGTCGAGAGCTTGAAAGCCTACGGAGGTAATGTGCGTAACATGGCTCTGCCCACCTTCACCTCTCTGCTCGAGACAATTGCTCCTCCGATCGCCCAGCACGAGCGCCTCATCATCCACACCACACACGACTTGCAAGCATACCCTTCTCTCGACCCTATCATCTATGAGGTCTTTTCGCGCGTCATGCAACAAGTCGAAGGAGGTGATCTCCTTGTCATCCAGCGTGGCTCGGAATCTCGTCAACGCGGCCGCAGCTCCTCCGAGTTGGCCTACCGCGGCAATATCCTGGGTACAGGCAGTGGCGCATGGACCGATGGACCTTGGTGGCGTGAGCAGTCAACACAACGTAGCCTTGGTGCAGTCAAGGGCTTGACCGAAGGCACCAAGTTATGTCGAGCCAACGCCGAGGCCTATGCCACAGACTTCTTCTCTGCTCGCGGTGGCGTTGAAGAAGTCGCAAAGCAGGCGACCCAGACTCTGTCTGAATCCAACCCTACTCGCAGCTCAGACATCTTCCTCGCCATCCAGCCTTTGACACAATCTGCTGCAAAGGAGTTGTTCGCCGCAGCTCCCAAGCCCGACGAACCCAAGAGCGACGTCGTTGAGCCTGATGCCGAAGAAGAAACTGCTTTGTTCGCCATCTACCTCCACGATCCTATTCACTCTCTTTCATTCAGCTCTCTCTCGCAATCATTCCCAGCACAATGGACCCAATGGCTAGACGCTTCATCACCCGACCCTGAGAACCCTGAGACTTTGCCTGAAAGCATCCGCGACATTGTCGAGTCTGGTGGCATCGACCCTCGCGAGTGGGTGTCTGAGTGGATCCAGGAGACTTTGACACTTTCCATTGGTGTTGTGGCTCAACGATATGTCGCGAAGAGAATGGGTGTTGGTGAGGGTGGTATTGGAAAGGGAAAGGCTAGACAAAGAGCAGAGGAGACCGATGCTGCTGGTGAAGCTGCCAGAGCTATCTAGATTCATTACTTACCCGCTCTTTTCACGTTTGCATGAAGGCGTTAGGTTTGAAAGGCATCTGTTAACTACAAGACAGCATTGGTAATGACATTTCATCTTTTACATCCGTGACTTCGCACCGAGTACTCAAAAAGTCCATAGCATAGTCGTCAAGGGACACAGTACCTTGTTAAAGTGTCAGACGTGTCCCACACATCTAGGCGTCTTCTAGACAGGGAAGTGGAAGTACAAGAGGCCGTGTATCACGACAGAACAATTCGCCTCCTCGCTAGACACATCACACTCACCATCCTCGGCTGATATCACAAGCCCTGCAGAAGGCGAGATACACATCTGATATCGTCCCATGCCGCCAAGTCCGCCAGCCAAGACGACTCGCGAGACTCAGCCCCCTGTAGCCAATTTGTGATAAGCAGGTCAAGCAAACCCAGACCAAGCGATCCTCAGCAAATGTCTCTGCTCCTTCCTCAAACGTCTACATCCTCGACCATCACGCAAAAGCAGCCAAGACGGCAAAATATGCATTGAGAAAGCTACGTCCCATGTACAGTGGATGCTTGCCTAGAAATCGCTATCGTGGAATAGGGAGGTAAGAGGGGAAATGTAGTAGGTGGAGTCTTGTGGACAGGGGAAGAATAGTAGAGACATTTGATCACCTTCTGGATGAGGTGTGGTTGCCCAGATGACCTTGCGTGAAGTTCAATGCAGGAAGTTCTTGGCTTTCTTCGGCGGGAGCGATGCGGCGAAGTCTTGGGAGTTCTTGCGTGCGTAGAGTTGATATGGCTTGAGACCAGTGACCTGAACGTTGTTCTGAGATGCTGAATTCCATCGAAGACGAGGCTTCATGTCTTCATTACAGCGAAGAGCCGTAGAGACGTGAACAACATGTTCAAGATGTATAGAGGCAGGAAGGCATGTCGGGAGAGTGCAAGCATGACCTCTTATCGCTATCCGGTGTTTCGCCGATCTCGGCAATGACCGGCCAGGTACGAGCGTCAATCTGCATGACAACCTTATCAGAAAAGCATTCTCGTGACTTCCTTGAATCACGTACCTTCTTCATATTCTCTCAGACATTATAAGATCTCTCCCTTTCCCGAACATCATCATCCTTTCTCAGCCCCATTCTCATTCTCATCATCAGTTTTATCAGTTTTGCCGACATCATGGCTATTCTTCGTGCTTGTACTACTCTTGCATGTGTTGCTGCCGTTGCTTCGGCTAGACAACTTCCTATCGTTGCTGCTGATGATTATCCTTCAACTCCTACATATCCAGTGTATACTGGACTGTCTTACAACACTACCAATGGAACCAATGGCACCACCATCGACACCAAGAAACTTCAAGCAGACATTGACATCACCAAGTTGGTTGCCCGTGCAGAAGCACTAGCCAAAGTTGCAGACCTCAGTCTTCCTGAGTACAACCACCCTACCAGAGTCATTGGTAGCAAGGGTTCGTAGTGATTACCTCTTTGTGTTCTTACAACATACTGACCACCTTGGAAGGTCACGTCGGAACTGTCGACTACATCTACTCAGAAATCGCCAAGCTCGGCGATTACTACAACATTACCAATCAGACATTCCCTGCTGTCACTGGTAACATTTTCGAGGAGCGTTTGGTCATCGGGCATGATGTCCCCAAGTCAGCGTCAGCTATGAGCCTGACACCTGCTACTAAAGGCCACGAGCCCGTCTACGGACAACTTCTCTTGGTACCAAACGGAGGCTGCTCTGCTGGTGACTTCCCCGTTAACATGACTGGTGCCATTGCCTTCATCAAGCGTGGTACCTGTTCTTTCGGTGACAAGTCAGCCAATGCTGGCAGAGCTGGAGCAGATGCCGCCGTCATCTATAACAACGCTGAAGGTGATCTTTCTGGAACTCTCGGCTCGCCTTCGCCCAACCATGTGGCTACCTTCGGTATCTCTGCCGAGGAGGCTGCTCCTTATGTTGCAAGACTTCAAAATGGTACCAAGCTGGACGCAATTGCCTACATAGATGCTACTGTCGACGAGATCGAAACTACCAATGTCATCGCCCAGACCACTGCCGGCGACCCGGAGAACTGTGTCATGCTCGGCGGTCACAGCGACAGCGTGGCTGCTGGCCCTGGTATCAACGATGATGGCTCTGGAACCATTTCTCTCCTTGAGGTTGCCACTCAACTCACAAAATACGAGGTCAATAACTGTGTTCGCTTCGCTTGGTGGGCAGGTGAAGAGGAAGGTCTGCTCGGATTAACCTACTACGCCGACAGTCTTTCCGCCGCCGAGAATCTGAAGGTCCGCCTCTTCATGGATTACGGTAAGTGCTATAATTTTGCCTCCTGAGGCATTTCTGAAGATTCGACACAGTACTAACGCTATTAAACACCGCAGATATGATGGCTAGCGTTAATGGAGTCTATCAAATCTATAATGCCACCAACGCAGAAAACCCTGTCGGCTCTGGTGAGCTCCGTATTCTTTACGAAGACTGGTACAAAGAGCAAGGTTTGCCTTACACTTACATTGCCTTCGACGGCAGAAGTGATTACGCCGGCTTCCTTGACAACGGTATTCCCAGTGGTGGTATTGCTACTGGTGCTGAGGGTGTCAAGACTGCTGAGGAGGCTGCTCTCTTCGGTGGCGTGGCTGGAGCATGGTACGACCCTTGCTACCACCAGCTTTGCGATGATATCACCAACCTCAACCTGACTGCTTGGGAGGTCAACACCAAGGTAAGCAAAGCTGTGCAACTGACTGCATGATTGATGGATACTGATACATTTTCAGCTCATCGCTCACTCCGTCGCCACCTACGCAAAGTCCTTTGACGGCTTCCCTAAGCGCACACCCGAGATTGAGGAGAGATCGCTCTCGAGCTCAAAGAAGAGCAAGCCTCTTTTCAAGTACAAGGGCAACGAGCTTGTTATGTAAACTTCTTCCCGATACCCTAAAACTGATAGACATGTATGAATTGTTGTTTTCACTTCAATCTTGATCGGTTCTGCGTGTATCTCATCCGATTGGAAGTCACTGATATACCTCGACTGGATTGAGCAGATGTTCGTCGCACCGACACCAATGACCTCACGTAGTTCTATTCGCTCTCGCCGACCACAAAAGCAGTTCCATTGGCCCGCTCCTGACTGACATTCATACCCCGATATCCCACGCTCACTCGCAACCGTCCAACTTACCGGAAACCTGACAGAAACTTCAAATCATCCTTGCAAGCAAGAAACTGCAGCAACCTCCACAGCATCTATGAAATGAACCCTCAACAGAGAGCAGACTATCCGACAAAGGAAGAATGGGCGTTCACGAAGGGATCGAGACAAGAGTGTTGCATATTGCTGCAGTCTGCTGTATGGTAAAGTGTTTCTTCGCCGCAGAAGGAGCGGGACGGGAGGGTAGCAGGTCCGTCTACCTGACACTCCTGGAAAACCGCTGTGTCCTGTGTGGATGAGGTGGAGGATGTTGTGAGGTACTTTAAGATCCTTGCTCTCCAACTGGTCGAGAGTTGGAAGAGGTAGAAGCGGTTGTGGCATAAGAAGTAAGAGACCTGAGTGCTCTATTTGCACTGCACTGCTATGCTTGCTTGTCATCGAGATCTTCGTCGATGGCTTGACAAAGATACACAAAAGCTGCATATTGCTCAGACTGGATGTTCTGGGTGGCTGCACTGCTGTAAGAGCAGAAAGTCGGATGGTGGGTTAGAGCGGGGTTGGGACTTGGAGGTGGCAGGGTATTATATAGGAGTTGGAAGTTGCGGGTGTGGCGTATGAAGGCTGAAGCTTGACCTGAGATCTTTGAGAAATTGAGCCTTTGTGGCGAGTGGGAGCGAGATGGGAGATGATATTAATTTGCAGCGGCGAACGGTGTTTTGGCGAAGCAATATTGGATACGATGGCTTTTTCAAAATCTGTCTCGTCTTTGAACTAATTTTTGACTTGATTTCTTTTTCTGATTCGGACAGCACATCACTTGGCTAGAGTTGACGGTGAATGGAGTAAAACCCCACTCCACTCCAAACTCCAGTGGACTCCAAGGCTGATTTTCGGCACTAACAAATGCTTCAGAACGAGCTAGAACCACTGAATCAGCTGTTTAATATGCTTCTGTTCCATAACGTTCGACGTTATGAAAGCTCCGGAGAGAATGCGACAAAGCTCAAAAAAGGATTTTTCGTGGTACTGCCGGGATTCGAACGGTGGTCCTGGTTGGTGCCTTCCATATCGTTACTTACTACCCCGCCTGGAGTTCACTGCAGTCCACTCTAGCCAAGACTTTACTGGAGGGCCACTTCACTCCTCTTCATCCAGAGTCATCTCTGCACTTGCCTGAGAAGGCGTCAATCACACCAACATCACTCTTCGACCAACGTCACTCTGCAAACCAACATCGATCTCAAATTGTCCACTCGCCACAATGTCCCATGCCCAGGAGCTGGACACGGCCATCGACTTGTACAATGAAGAGCAGTATGATGCATGCATTGCGCATATCAATCGCGTGTATCGAGACAATGTCCCACTCTACTCGAGTCTGCGCTACAACATCCTTCTCGCCTGCTGTCTCGATGACTGGCACGAAGCAGAAGTACGTAAACTACACAGCCCATGTCTTAGGCTTTACACTGACAAACTTCTAGCACAGACGCTACTATGCAGAGAACTGTTACGCCAACTGGTGTCTTTTCAACCCCGACGGCTCCTATGCGGGTGTGGAGAGAACCCGCACGTCCCTACGCGACAACCTGGATGAACTTTCCGAATACTTGGCATCATTCAGACCGGACGATTGGAAGGAAACGCAAATGTTCTGGACCGCCACCGAGACTGCCGAAGCTGAGGAAGAGTATGCCGCTGAGATGGCGGAGGCAGAAGAGAAGGAGCAAGCCGGATTGGCAGAGGAAGCGGGCGTTGACAATGCTGAAGCTGGAGAAGAGCAACAAATCGATGCCGCTGAGGCCAAAGAGGAAGAGCAGGATCTCGCCACTGCCGAACAGAGCTGAACAAAATTGAAACCACTTTTTGAAATTCACTCTTGGAATTGCCACTTCTAGTGGCGGAAAACTATGAAAACAAAACAAATTGAGACTTGGAATATGTTACGTCTGATTTGCATTTCCAGAAAGTTTCACTTTGCATTTTAAAAGCTAATACGTACCTAATAATCTGCACTTCTCCTACGGTTATATAGGTATGTGTACCCCTCTAGGCTATTTCGAACAGTATATGGCGTGAGCTATTCTGAAATAGCTATCTAGGAAGATAAGTTACTTTTCTCTAATAGGTGGAATCCCAATGCTAACACTAATTACCAGTAACCCGATCTCAATTGAAATGAAACAAAACCGCAACATAATTGAAATATAATTGCGGAGGTTTCAACTTTTCGAAATGATGTTGAAATAGAAGTCTGATTCCAACCAATTTCATTTTCGTTCGGCTTTGCTGCCGAGACTAAGACAGAACAGCTTGCAGAGATGGCCGAAGAATAGGAGGAGCAGGATATGGAAAACGCAGAGGCCGAGCGAGAAGGGACCCGATATGAGTCCCTACACTATCGAGGCACTAAACACGCTATTCGATGCAGAGTATGATGATAACGCTGGGCTTCGCAACAAGCCTAAAGACGCCGCCCAGTTTGAAATCAACACGAAAGCCAGACGCAGAGGCACTCGCATTCCTGCTCCTATCACTGCAGCATCCAACGAATCTCCTAGCAGGATAAAGGTCCTAGACCGTTTCGGATTTGGATGACGAAGGCAGCCAGTCTGTGGAAGATCAAGTCATCAGGGGACACTGCGTAGACTCGATAGCTTTAATTGGTTCGTCTTTCGACCTGATATCCTGTTTAATCTCTTGCTACCCATCTGCAGACCATCCTTGTTTTCTCTTTCATCTCTCCTTTGTCTTTTATCTTTGTTCAATGTCTTTATTCAGTTTTTTTTTTGAGAGCGATTTGCCAATCGATTTCTGACGGAAGCAAACGATGCTCGATCCGATTCTGGAATGGTGTGCACCTAAGGGAGACGAATTCGAAAAGACTGAACCAAGGGAAAAGAACCTGAGAAGACTTGGAGAAGATGCGGTATCGGGAAATTGCTTGGCGATACTAGTGAAAGGCTTCTTTATCATAAGAGAATGGATGAAAGAAAAACAAAGAGCTCTCCGCAATTGAGTCTGCTTTAAGGAGTTTCCAATATCTGTAAAGAAGAGAGTTAAACAATTTGTCGTTTAAAGGGTTAAAAGATGGTTAGGGATAAAGAGCTAGCACTAGGCAAGGATAAAGAGGAGTAATGCTTAAGACTCTAGACAACTACGGACTTAGGAGTAGTAGCGTATTAAAGCACCTCTTTAGGAAAGTTTAGACTATAGAAGCCTCTTTTTGATTGCGAGCATACGTCTACTAAACACGAGCGCTATAATAGAGATAAACGAGGCGTATACTAGTAGAGGGGCCTATTACCTTCCTCTATATACCCTACGCTATGCTTCTTACGCGTAGCATGCTAGAAAATAAGTAGGTAAGAATAGCAGTAACGAGAGTTTTCTCCGATATACTAGGTTACCTATCTTTATAATAGTATTACTTTCTAGATGCTATTAAGGTAGACTTTATAGTAAGAGACAAACGCTTAAGTAAGCGTATAAAACATGAAGCTCTCGTAATAGAAGACTCGCTTAAGTAAGGATAGTAGTAGAGAGTCTATTATGCGGAAGCCATATAAATGTAGCGTATAGTCGTCTATAACTATGCCGTAAACTAGACTCTAAACGTATGATTAACACCTTCGTACATAATTTACTAAGTAATTAGCATCGTAGATAATAAGGGCGTTGCTATCTATGCTTATAAGGTCTTATAGATGCCTAGGCGACCTTACTAATGCCATTAGTGTTACTAATGTCGCTAACGGCGTTATAGCTGCTAATAAGAGTAATAAGCACCTATACGTCTTATACTACGCTACCGTCGCTAACGATTAAGGTGTTAGCGGTAAAGAACATTTCGGAACTTAGTTCGAAGACGGCAATTAAGGTCTAAGGATATAATGGTTATAGTACTACTATATATTATAGCCTAAAGTTACAGTCATTCGGAGCGAACGCACTAGCATTAACATAGAAATAGCGAGGAGTAAAGGGCAAAATTCATTTGTGATTTAACAAGTATTTGTCGAAGATAGTGTTAACCTAGAGAGGTCGCCGTTAAGAAGTAAGCCTATCTCTCTACCGGCTTTAATACCTTAGGAGTTGCTCGCGGGGGACATAATCGGCTAAATAAGGTCTTCTCGGAACAAACTTATAAGAGCCATTAAGAATAGGGATAATGGAATAACATAATACTAGATAGATGTTAGGTAAGGAGTTAAGGCGAAAGGAGGATAACTTATAAGGGGGCTTTAGAGTTAAAGAGGGGGAAGCAGATGTAGCTACAAACGCTTTTCTAGTTAATCATTAAGGACCGAGATTTAGAGGGTCTTAAGAAGTCTAAGAAGGGGTAGTTAGCAAGAATCGATCGAAGTAGTGTAGTAGGTTTCCTTACCTAAGTTGCTTATCCTCGAAGCATTTAAGGCGAGTGCGAGTGTTACGGGCCTAACCGTAGTATGTAGTAGACTTCTAATAAGTTAAAGCTATATAGTACACGTAGGCGGCATGGCGGGGTTTAGTTAGCTAGTTTGCGAGGCGATGACCGGAAGAGGCAGTAGTAGTTAAAGCCGAGGAGAGGGCGCGGGGGGTGCCTATAACACTTAGTAAGAGCTAGACTTAAGACTAGTTATATTATAGCAACTCGACGCGCGCATTACACTTACGCTATCTACCTCTAGACAGTTAGGACAGCGTATTACGGGGCAAATGCTACGGCGGGTAACTAGGATAAGGTATACCTTTTCGTGACCGTACGCGGCGCACGAATCGGAAGGCATTTTGTTAGAGCTTAGGGAACGTTCGCGACTAGAGGGATAAATAGAAGGGTTACGAGTGTAGGTAGTGATTTAAGGTATGTCGATTAAATAAGAGTCGCGTATGTTGTGCTTGCTACAGGGAAGTTAGGGAATCTAACTACTTTAGTAGTATTAGATGCTATAAGCAGGCTAGCGGCTTAGCGTTCTTAGGTCCGATCTCTATAGGGAGCTCGATCGGGTTAAGTACTACGGCTGTAATGTTGCTATAGCAATCGACCTTGTTTATCTAATGATTAACAGCTAATGTTTCCGCTCTCGATATCTATAGTAGCCTAGAGGCCCTACTACCGTCGATTAGTCTGCAAACTTCTGTAACACCTAACCCTCTCTAATGTTGCATAGGCTATTAGTACTCGATTAAAGCTCTTCTAAAAGCGGCAGCCGACACTAAAGATCCTACTCCCCTAAGCGCTTAGCAACTACTTAACCGATCGAGGGAAGCAACTTCATCTTACTATTCTTCTAACGTATAGCTTCCGAGATATCTAGATAGAATTAGATTAGAGATGGGACTAGATGGATATCTAGTCTAACTTATCTAGTCTAATCCATATCTAGAGGACCCCCTTTCTAAGTCCACAATATCCAGTTAATATCCAGTAATGACTAGATATCTAGTGGATATTGACTAACCCTTTTAGGCTAGTGTATTACCCTTTTCGGCTTAGTCACCTTCTGAAATTGCCCTTGTTTTACTCAATTAAAGTAGTATTATATATAAGCGTGTAACAAAGGTCTTATAAACAAGGTAATTAAGCTAAAAATGGCTGGTTACAAAATTGGAAGGACCGCAGTTCGAATCACGGCAGAATTTTCTATTTTGCACCAGCTCACGGAGGTCCTTGGCGGGCGCCTTACCTAATTAGGCCTGCCAAGCTCTTAGACTGGATATCCATCCAGTCCCAGCTCTGAATTGGATGAGGCATCGCTATGTCAGCTTTGGTGGGTACTTGATAAGGGGGACGAGGTGTATGGCCGCAGCCGTGAGCTTCTCCTTCTATTATGAAACGGACAAACCGCATCCACCTTGCTGAAGTTGGCTGCCGCATGATTCGCATCAGCTCCGGCACCAGAAAGGCATACGTTCTCGAGGTAGACCGTCGCACGATTGGCTTGTGAAAGCCGCCAGCTGACTTTCTAGCTCGAATAGCAAGCGGCAAAAAGCCCATGATAAGCCCATGCGAGGAGAAGGGAAATCAAAATACTCAGGAAGGGAAGGTGGAAAAGGCATAAGAGGCTACCGCTAGAAATTCTTCATGCTTACAGAATACAGATTGCTCCGTCTCGATGCCGACAGAACCACGATTCCGTACTGGACAACTGCACGACTGACATCTTTTCCCTCGATGCGAGAGCTGGACAATTGCCTCGTAGAACTAGACCGTGATTCACCGACGTCGTTCGCGTCGTCGCTTGCCCTCTCCGCTCGTCGCGGCGTTAAGGCAACGAATCGGCGGCGGCGGCAGCAGCACAGGCAATGAAAAGGCTGGGGCGGTAGGTCGTAGGATGAGAAAAGAAGGTCGAGGACGAGGAGGGGGTGGTTTATATAGGTCAGGAGGGAGTTCTTGAGAAATCTCTGTATTCATCCCAACTTGCTGCTATTATAGTCACAAATCAGTCACTTCAACACCACAAGGACGCGTGTAACGATCAAGGGAACAGCGCAGTTCTTCATCAGTTGCACCAGTATTAATCGCACGAGTATTAGTTGCAGCAGCGTGAAAAGCGTCATTATCAAAAGTACAGGTGATTAGAAACCCCACGCCGTAGAAAAGAAGTAATTCTTCTTGTGAAGACACCCTGAAGTGCTCGCTTGCAGAGCCTGCGATCGTCCTGACACATAGTGTCCAAAATCGGTAGGTGTGCAAATGGAGAACTGGAGGGGGCAGGGGTTTGTGATGTAGAGGGGTATGTGTTGAATGCTTCTAAACATATATCAGACAAGAGGTAGAGGAGGCAGGAAGAGGAAGGCTTACATGAAACACTTGAGCATGTATATATCTTCGAGAGGCCTTATCCTCGACTGGATGGTATAGAGAGTACAATTCATGTGTGATTTCGTGTCGTTCATCACTGAGAATGTGATGTTGAGAGTAGAGGGGGACTTGTTGAGTACTTCGATGTCGTTCTTGCTTGATAGAGTCCCTGAAAAAAGGCTCGTGTATCTTCAATTGGTCTTAGCCTTATAGAGAGGCGATGTCGGTCACGAGCGGTATGGAGGTAATGCAGCAAGCTTCCCCGCCATCAGTACTCCCACTCGAGGTACTCTGGAGAGTCGAGCTCGGTCATGGGCTGACCGTCAAGTTCGCTCATTGCTTCGTTGAGGATGGAGCTGACCTCAACAGGTGGTGCTACTCCTTCATCGAAGTAGTCGTAGAGATCCTCCATTGATCCCCCGTAGTCAAACCTAACTTCGTTATTGTTGGATGCGTTGTAAGGCGCAATGACCAGCTGAACATCGAGTCTGTTGCTCATCAGGCGGGGCTCCGGAGAAAGTGTGCGCGACTCAGATCTGGTGCTCTCAGGGACATTGGCGTCAGTGTCCATCTCATCGTCGGAGGTCAGATCCATGAACCACGAGGTACCGCCGTGGTGGTCTCTAGTGTTGGCCTGGCCGACGGCAGGAGGGGATTCAAAGATGTCCATCTCATCATCGTTGGTAAGGTCAATGAAACCGCTACCAGCATTGGTCTGAGCGACTGCAGGAGGGTATATAAAGTCCTTCTCAAGGAGCTCGTAGATCTCCTTCTCGATCTCGGTGAGCGCATCCGGGCAGCTGATATACGACTTCTGGATAAGCAGGTCTTCGACCTGCCCCATAACCTCGCACTTGACCTGAGATAGGGGTCAGTCGGGTTGACAGGAAGCACTACATGTGTTATACTTACGTCGAAGCAGCAGTCATCAACCTCCATCATCAGGCAGGTGACGCAATTGCTCTTGTGGCAGTAGTGAGTATAGTCGCCGCAACGGAGGGTGACACCGATGGAGTGCAGAAGCGGCTCGCCGCACTGAGCGCAGTGGATCTCAGCAGCAGTAGTTGAGGTGCTGGCGTCGGAGGTGGTCTTGATTGTGCACATGATGATGATCTTGTTCGGTTGTCTGAGGGATTGTGGGATGAATGGGTGATGAAGTTGCGTGAGAGAGTTGATTATAGTCGTGAGAAGGTTTTGGATTGGAAGATAGAATGCGCGTATGGTGAGTTTGCGGCAACGGAAAATATTTGGTTGATGGTTGGAGAGCGAAGCTGCGCGAGTGGTGAAGTGCGAAACAATAACAAAGCCAAACTCGAAAGTCTCGGCTCGAAGACAAACGAGGCAAACGAGTGTCGAAGAGTTCTCCCGGCATTTGGAGATCATTCAGAAGCGACAGTATAATGCGTTTCATGGCATTGAATTGATGACAATCACTTGCTGTTGTTGCCGAGCCCCTGATGTGATACCAATGCTCGTCCTTCGGTAAGTCGACCTTATCGAACAACTGGTTCTGAGCCCTCTTGAAACCACGTTCTTTTCTCTACAGCTGCACGAAAAGGTATAGTGGACGCACACCCCTCGATGGTCATCATTGGCACCTCATCTGGACAAAGCCAGGTAGAAGAGGAGTCTACTTTTGAAGTCGCTGACAGTAGTGTACCTTGGATTCAAGTTATCGAAAACCAGCGACCGCAACATGCACCATATATCCCATCTGTCAACTTCGCAGTAGTCGAAGAGGCCAACACAGAACAAGAGCTCAAGGGCACAACCGGCGTATTTGCCTTTCTTGGTGTCTTCCAGAATATCTCCGCAATTGGTCTACGTAGAATGGGGCATCACTGGTGGTTCTGAAGGAGATAGTCGTTGTACAGGACTGGTTGTACTTGTTGCTTGGGAGGGAATGGCTTCCGGATCCTTCCTATCCACCCAGAATTCTAGCTCATTGAGCCGAACTTATGCGATACAATACTGCGCAGGGTCATGCTGGATTATGATGACCGTGGTGATATCTTACGAACTCTCATTTGGTGGCACTGTTAGTTATTCAATCGTTTTGAGCGATCTCCCAATCCTCACCTTACGAGAACCTTGCACGCCTCTTCAGTGTTGAATTCCGTGGCTGCGTCCTCGCGTTGCTTCGCGGTCTGGTGGGTGAGCGATTTGATTGAGACAAAGGGGATTCCTAGGGTGTATAGCAGAATCTCGATGTCAAAGGTGTTCTGAGGCCACATTGTGAAGACGATAACCTTGCGGCCCTCGACGTAAACCCATTCGTAGAGTACACCTAGAAGGTATTTCTTCTTGGCGGACTGAGCGCACTGGTAGGCCACGTCCAGGGAGCGGAACGCGCTGTATGACGGGAGCTACGGCTCCGGGCGAGTCACGCGGTGGTAGTACTCTGTCACTCTGTCTGGGAGACTCTTCTTACCCTTGGTGGCACCGAGGGTTTGGGCAAAGATCTTCGAAGCCGCGTATCCCTTGGTGTAGAATGCGTCGAGGAGCGTGTTCTGCTCTTGACCATCTCAAAGTCGGAAGCGATTTTGTCCTCGGGCATCTTGGGGTCCACAACCTCGAGCTCCTTGGAGTTGATCTGGGCAATGCCGTCAGTATCTGCGAAGAACTGTATGTTGTAAGCATTGAAGTAAGGAAAGATAGTTTTGGTGCATGTGTATCTCTGAGAGTCCGTCGAGAACGATCATTTCCCCAGAATACTCAGGGTACTCGCTGATGTTGATAGTCTTTGCGAAGTGACCGGAGGGAGCCAATCTCTGTACCTGTTCAACAACGGATTGTAGGCCACTGAGACAGACACCGATGATGTTGTGCTTGTTGCTCTTGGAGCCCTTGATTATGATAGCCATTCTGGTGATCTTGTCGATGTCGCATGGAGACATCTGGCAGGGGGTTAGAGACAATTACTCGAGTGATCTTTGGTCGTTAAAGACCCTTTCGATCACCCTTCCTAATCGGGAAAAGCCCAATGATCCTCCCTCAGTTCTGACCAATCCCGCTCAACAAGATCTGAGATCTAGGAAGCGGTCTTTCTGTGATTCTATAAGATCACGAATCCCGTTGTCGTAGAGGCAAACAAACATAGAAAATATAAAGATATTCGGTGCGACAGCGAAGGGAAACGATGCTGGCCAAAAAAACAGTGGCAGAGAGGAAAGGCTGTTTTTGACCAGGTTCTTCCAGTGCATCCGTTTAAAAAGGACTTCTTAGTCACATTAGCTGGAGTCTGGCCAGCTGGCATGTCATATATAAGGGGTAGGTATCTGGGGGAACTGTGGCAAGACATGCTGCTCCGCTCCCCGTTCCTTCTTCGTTCTCTGGTGCCAAACATATTTATCAGTCACCAATTGTATATATAGTGCATAATCAGCTCCGAGGTATCATTCCAGAGAAAATCCGTACGCCTTGAGGGATCGATCTGGTTCGTAGCGGATCATGAGAGGACGCACTTCTCGCACGCAGAAGCGGTGTCTCTCCTCGGCCCTGTGATCAACTTTGACAGCCTTCTGGCTGGTTGAACTCTGGCGATCGAGAACCCAGAGCTGGAGCTATAAAACACGTATTCTAGCACCTTATCCCTTATCACACACCGACCATTGCAGCTCATCGAGCCGACAAGGAAAGTGTATCCAATTGTGCGTGCGATCTCTGCCGCTGAATCTATTACGACCGCAGGAAGTAAGAAGGGGGGTCGAGGGAAGTAATCACGTCGTTGAAACACACACACACATTTGCATTCACCGGTACATCCTCTGGGTGGGTTGGACGGAAACGATGACTTCTTTCCGGGTGGAAGTTGAGGAACGGTGCGGAGTGTGGGATAAGGAGATCGGAGACAAGGAGAAGAGGCAGGGAGGATAGATGCCTTAGGTTAGCACACGGGGCGAATGGTCGAGCACTCAGGAGAGAGATCACTACGGTGAGTTTTCGAGAGAAGTGTGTACTGCCCGGTGTTCGTCACGATCTATTGGATAGAAACAATGACTTGCTTCCGTGTGAAAGTTTGCAAAGGGAAGCGGGATGTGGGATAATGAAATTTTGTCGTCCAAGCATACTCAAATGACTGAAGTCTGCTCGAAGCAGATGGTAGGCTCGGGCTCGGGATCTCGGTTTTTAGATGCTCCAGCGATCATTTAGCTGCCTTGAATGAACAAAGATGTCTTGGTCACTACAAAGAAGATCAGGTGGCGACAGCGACCCGATGTCTACATGTATATGTATATGCATATCAATCAATGTAGCTGTAGTTAGATGGAAAAGATTGCCGGTTGACCTGTTGGATATCTGGCGGTCTTAGGCGCTGGTGCTCTCATACAATTCAAGAAGCAATGTGTAAAGCGAACCTCTCAGGTCTTTCGAGAGGCGTTCAACCAAGCTGGCGGCGAGCAAAGTGTAGCGGAGATATGCTGCGTACTGCTATAGTGGTAAGACTCATGAGAATGTACATACGAACGGATTGGGGAAAGGTTCCAACTTCTATCGTGAGCGATGTACAAAGACTCCAAGATATAGACTTTTTGTGGGGGTGACGAGGAATGAGTTCATGCGAGTGAGCGGAAAAAGGAGAGGCAATGATGAAGAACAGGGGCATGGACAAGTACAGTACAGTAACAGAAATTAGGGGAAGTGAGCGGTGAAACTCGAACCCCTTTTGACCCCCTCGATCATTTTTGGCGGACAAGTGCAGAAGGATTACCATGAAAGGCAGAACAACACAAACCCCCTATCATTGGAAGAACCCTGACTCTGTTGGAGACTTGCTAAGCGCTCTCTAATGATAAGATCGACGATTGCGGAGCCCGTCGAGAAGGTCGTAGACCGCGCGCTTTATCTCTTTGCGGCTGTCTGAAGGTTAACATGTGGACTTGGAAATAACTATAGAGCTATGCTTACCGAGGGGTACGGCGGCTGACAACCGAGCGTTCCACGCGCTCGTAGGTGATCCACTCTTCATAATGAGGAGCAGACTGTTCATGGAGCTTTCCAGGGCGCGCATAGTACTTGGAGTTGTAGGGGTTACCAGAGTTGACTGAGCCTTGCGAACGAACAGTCTCGTTGACGTAAGTGGTAGGGACTGGGTAGGTGTGAGTGCCCGGAGAGCGAGCAATGTGCTCGTCATCGTCGTAAGAGCTAGTGACAGACTCGACAGTTGGAGAACGGGTGGTTTCGCTTGATTCGACCGTAGCGTTGTCAGGAGGGTTCGCAAGGCTTACGAAGACAGGCATGTTCTCAAGCCAAGCAGTCGACTCGGCAGTGGGAGAGGTGCAAGAATAGGTCTGGGTGACATGGGGCTTGGGGATTCTGGCCAAAGCCTCCTCGAGGTCTTCGAGAAACCAACCGCGTTGCTGCAGAAACTTGTCTATATGACCCTCGTGCTTGGTACGCATGATCCGGTCGAAGATGGCATGGGCGTCGACGTCTAACTGGCAGCAGTCAGTATGATTGTATACTTTTCAAGAAGGTTGCGAAACCTACGGGCACGCAGCGGTGCTCCTTGAATTGGAGGAAGCAACTGTTACAGGGAACATTGTGGCAGCCCTGGACTTTGACATTACAGACAGCCTTGGGAGGTTTCTCGAAGAGCATCTTGACGACGCAGCAGCTGCAAACATGAGGGGAAGATTCCATTGTGCTGAGAGAGCAAAAGCTTATCCAGGGGTGGAAGTCGTGAGAATAATTACCTGGACTAGAAGTGCTTGTTGTTTTGAGTTGGCCGAGAAAACGCGTGGAGTGTATGAGACCCAGAACACGTCAACACTGAGGGATGCGACTTGCAAGCAAACAGTAAAGTCGCCAAGAAGTCGTAGCCATGATCACTGGAGATTGAGAACCGGCGGAGACTCTATGGGGATCAGTTGGCAGATCAACGAGCTGAGCTTGGACCTAACTCAAGGCCAACCAACTCGCGGGTCAGTGTATCATAAGTCTCGTCGTGACGGATTTTCCAGCTTGAAGTTGTCGTTTGCTTATGCAGAGAGTCCAGAGGCACTCGAGAATGATTGGGTCACCGATAAGGTCGCTGAGGTGATGGGTCTTTCGAAGGACTTCAGCTCGATTTATGGATCATCTCCACAGGATAAAGAGCTGCTTGATATTGCATGGTAGGCATGATACACAAAGGGCTCCCATTTCTGACCACAGGACCGGCTCTGCTTCCTTGTATCCGGCTTCGATACCAGAAAGATGGTCAGGATCGAACAAACATCACAACTATTTCCTGGCCTGAAACTCTTGACGAAGCCAAGATGTGTGGATCGCCATCTTTTGAGACTGGTTGCTTCGACATCTAACAATATGACCTGCGAAGGGCGCATTGCTGCAACGCTTCAAGCATCCGCCAGATCGAGGGAAAAGATATTAATCGTCACATGGAAAGCAACAACTCCAAGCACTTCATCAGATGCTCTGGAGATCAATAGACACGGTCTGCTCAGCGCAGGGTTGATGAACACCAGTTCGATGGAGGCACGATTCTCAAGATCCAAGACATCTGCACATCATGTCAGGCTCGCGCGGGTTGTGAGTCGAGGTGGAGATTGGATGTCTGGCGAGCTGACATATACCTGAACAGAAGAAAGGTTTGACATCACGCCAGAAGGGCAGACTAGGTACGGGGTAGTCTTACGATATTGCAATGTTGGTCCGGGTCTTCAAAATTCGTTCCACAGATCTTAGGACTAGGCGTGCTTGCTTCTTCAAAGCAACATCTGCATAAATGAGACTAATAATGAGTCTGACCGATTGATAACTTGCTGTCTACAAGTATGTCAACTCATAGCACTTAAAAGCGATCTTTTTCTTGAGCTTTCGAGTCTGTGGGATCATAATGCTCGTGGCCACAACCTCCACACGGCAAAAACAGCGAGCAGGGACATTGGCCAGGTAGTGCGAGATAGCATCTTCGAACGTCTCACTGGAGCGACACGAACTTTGATGCAAGACGGCAAGGGGCCAGATCTTCGGAGTCGAAATTGTTGGTAATAATCTCAAGCACTTCGCTAGGTAGGTCTCTAATAAACAAGCTCCCAATATTCCTCAATCATTTCGATCTCGTCAGAGAAATCGAGTTTCTCCTTGACTTCCTCCCCCTCGGCCTTGGCTACCTTGACCTCTTTGAGGCTGGTTTTGATGGTGCCATCTGTGGTAGCGAGTTAATGCGTCTAGTAACCATTGAAGTCAGATAAGGGAAGAACAGTAAGTACACCTCGGCGAGACTATCTCAGGAACGTCGCGTTTACCGCAGTTTGAGAATTGGTGGACAGCCCCAGAGCGGAAAGACAACCATGCACACCCATACACCAGCCAACAATCTCGAAGACGAACTCAAAGTTGCGTACGTGCAGGGAGAACACACCAAAAGCTGATGCCGAAAGGCCTGTTGAATGTCTCGACCTCTTGAGTTACGAATGTGTAGGGGTATTCATGCTTGGAGAACTTCGCAGCTGTTATACGGCTCAGTTCATGGCCGACTGTCTTGTGTTACCAAGGCTGAGATTGGCGATTCCTGGGAGAAGTAAGCAAGGACTCATCGCTAAGATACAATGAAGCTTACGTTAGTCAATGCTGTCTTCTGGGACACTTGTGGAGTCCATCCATGCTTCGACGTCGATGATGGCGAGGTAGCCCTCGATTTAGTCTTACATGATTCTACGGAAGTAGCATACCTTAAAAATGGCGGCCATCGTGCGAGCGGCAGCGGTAGTAAGGTTCTCTAAGCGAAGGGCAGTCGAGAATGCGGAAGGGTCGAGCACCTATGAGTATAGATTAAAGCTTTGATAGAGGTCGAGGGGATCGACGAGAGCGGTCTCCATGGTCTAATTTTGGGTGTTGAAATTGAGTCGTGCAATGCTCTCTACGTCGAGTTGATTGATTTTGTGCTCATATATAGCATTCCAAACGTTGTGAAGAAGTTCGATCATGGCCATGCGCTCTTCGGGGCTGGGCAAGTTGGTCATAGGGTTGCCGAGCTGACTTCTACGTCTAAGATTTGAGAGGCCTTTCACTGTAGGCCTTTGCTGTGAAGGTGGTCTGAGCTCGGATGAATGCAGGGCAAGCCAACTCACGAGCTCAACATTGTTCTGGGAGGGATTGATGGTGGAGATTGCTTTGAGAACTGGCCGATTGGCTCAGCAGCCCGAGGCAGCACAGCAGGAGGATCCGTGACAGAAAGCTGGTATGCTCTAGACAGAAGTTGAAATGTAGATGGTGGTGCAGGGAAGAGGTCGTGAAAGTCCTTCTTGGCCTCTCTGGGGGGCTTGATCAGCCTTCAGGGACGTGGCGATATTCTCGTCTCTTTGACTTCATAAATCAGTCCCGAAACGGTCTTGATCCGAAATTGGTCGGGAGCGGACGCCTTAACGCGAAGCAAGCGTCTCAGTGCCATGGTAGTATAGCACCAGAGCGCTTTCTCTTCTTTGTGCGCAGCCTCAATCCTATGGTTACCAGGTCTTCTTCGATCTCCTCACTATTTAGACCTCTCGGTACCATGGTAGTGGTTGTAGGTGGCGGGGTTGTGCGCGGTGCCGGAATCGAGGTTTGCTGTGGTTTTCAGAAATGTTATGGTTGATGTCGTGTTAGGAAGGAGTCACGGAAGCAACGCGACGAGATTTCGTGTCTGGAACTAGTCTTTGGGTTTTGAGATAGCTACTCGTTTGATCGTACAGCTCTCTTGTTCGTCTATTCCCAAGTTGATCGACGCTCTGATACTCTGGGAAGGTGACTGTGAGTGGAAACTTGAAAGTCAGGCCTTCTGTAGTCTTTGAGATCGTCTCAAAGGTGTTCTGGTAAGGAGATCGGTTCCAGGAGGCGTAGTTCGCATCCGACTGTATATAAAGTGTGGTACGGAAGTTGCGAAAGTATAGTGGCAGTGAATCCTGGAGTGTCCACCACAACCTGGCGGTTCTCAAACATGATTGATCCATATATACGTTGGAAAAGTCGCCAAAAGCATGACGGCTGGTGCGATCGTTTGGACGCAGTCTCGCGGAACACCCCAGCGCTTCGAACCATCTCACACTGCATATCATGCTGGCGCCCTGCTCAAGGCCGTGGGTCTTGATGACGACCTGCGCAGAATTGTCAAAATCATGAGGGGCTTGAGTTACTGAACCGTGTGCGCTTACCTGAGTGGAGGTAATGTAATCGTTGACCATGTTTGATGATGTGACGGTGGATTGAATTATTGAAGTTTGTGGTTGTTGGGAGAAAGAGAGAGAGGAAGGAAGGAGAGCAATTATTTAAAGTACACACCCGCCCTTTGAAAAAGCTTTGACGGGTACGGACAGGCATTTGGCAAAGGGTTTGACTACGAGTGGTAGAACTTCGTAGTCAAAGGAGCTCCAAGCATCAAAACCAGTGATAAGCAGAAGGCACGGCAGAAATAGCTTTTGTTTACACATTTTCTTCGTTGTGCCGAAGCTTTTCTCCACACTGATACGGGTCAGGCCGCATATGGCACGGAAGAGCTGTTTCGCTTCGACTCTGATGGTCTTGCATGTAGCGAGGATGCTTAGGTCGTTGCAGGCGTAGTTGTAAGTCCCCCGGTACTCGCTCGTGATTTTCCAGGTTGACGAGCCCTAGACACCTCCGTCAAACTCCTCGGTCTCGTCATTGGGGTCGCAAGTAACGGTGTCAGCCTCCCCAGCGGTCGAATTGGCGTACTCAGTGGAAAGTGCCCGTGGACATCCTGATTACGGTGTTCTCGTTGTGTGGGGCAAATGCACAACAGGAGAAAGGCATCGGCTATATATTGTCTCCGCACTTGCCAGGAACGCCTACTAACGCGCTGCACTTGATGTGTGCTCTCTGGCAATTTGTGCATGCCATGTTCTGTGAAAGCTGGCGGTGTGTCTTGATTGAACGAGGGACGCGCCTCTCAGCCTTCAAGTCCTTATCGGAGGGAGCTGTAAGAATCTTGGGAGTCTTGGTGCTTTCGAGAGACATGAGCTTCCTGGTTGCCTTTGCTCTTCGCTCCGGCTGGTCTCTGCCAGCTGCCCCACCACATTACTTGGCTGATTTTGTTTACTGTACTTTTGGATTGCCGAACACACTCACGAATCATGTACTTGTAAGAAACCTCCGACTTCAGGTGGGTAATCATTTCCGGAATCATAGGCTAAGAAGGGCAAGCAAGCTGAAAGGCATATGCGAGAGAAGATGTCGGGAGCTTGGACGGTTCTCTTCATAGCGGAGCTCATGCTGCCACTGCCTAAGCGAGTATGGCTGTGGGCCGTAGACAAGGCGCTGGACGATGCTCTTGCCGCCTGTCCCCTTGCAACCCCGTGAGTTGATGACTGTTGCGTCGAAAGGGACACCATTGGCCTCTCTGTCGAGGGCCTGGACGGGAACTGAGGCTCCGTTGGTGTGCTGCTGGTCGTTGTCATCGCTCTCGATGTCTGAGGCAGTGACACGCTCGGTGCTCTTCGACCTTGAAAGCACGAGGCCTGTTGAGGGTGGCCATGTTGGGGGTGGCCATGGGGGACCTGAGGGAGCTGAGGGGAAACGAAGGATCTGTTCGTTGCCACTTGCTGGTGGTCGTCGCTCTAAAGTCTGCGTCAGAGACGGTGTCCAACTATATAGAGTGCATAGTCAATCGAAGCTGGCCTTGTTACTTCTCTTAACAATGGGTGTTGATGCTATACGAACGCGATTCACAGGTAGGGCGAGGTTGTGAGCTAACCTTTAGGTCCTAAGAGGTTGCTCTGTCCCCTTCCTTCTTAACGCGGGGACGAGTGACATGAACTTCCGGCGCAGGAGGTTCCTCCATCCCTACCTTCTTTAGAAGGGTAAGGATACGTTAGCAGTCCGCAGCAGTCCTCTTAGTGCTTAAGCCTAGTGTCTGCGGCGAGCTTGCCGCCAGCTTAGGCTTCCGGGGATCCTTCTTCGAATTGGTTGCCATGGTTGGCGTATTTAGGGACTGTATGGGAGGCATCATTGTGGTGGTGAATAGACGATTCAGTGGACAAAGCGACAATGTGTGGTAGCGCTGCGCCTTGAATCGCGTAGGGTTTACTCCTTACACAGAGACACCACTAAGTCAAAGTCTTCGCCCTCGCTGGTGACTTTATAGGCGATCTGATCGTTGAGCTATATGCAAGGATCGCTATATAAGTAGCTTGATGCGTCTTTGGCGAGCATTAGAGCCTTGGCGCTGATAGTAGCCAGATAACTGCTCACTTGAGTCTGACATTTTCGATCATGGGCCATGGTCTTGATGAAAAATGGCTATAAATACTGATGGACAAAAGCGCTGAAGAGGGGTGGCGATGTCGTCTGTGTAGACACAAGGCGTGAAGTTTGGCGTCACACATTGTCGTATCTCTCAGATCGACCGTGGAGATTGGATCGTCATGGCATCTTGATTCTTGACACGGCATCAGGAGCAGGATATATAGTTTTGTGTGCGTAGTCACCGACGTTTGCACAGGAAAGGTATATATCTACTTTGTCCCAGTAGATGTGCTCAGGTAGACCCAGTAAGAGGTCAATGATCAGCTTGACCAAGCAGAGTCGCGGCATTGATGACTATCCTATTCGAGTGACTTCTGACCTCTGCTTCTACCATGAGTTGACCTGAGATCTGTCAAAACGCTGCTACAGATGTGTCGAGACAAGAGTATCTCGGAATCCACAGGCAGCAGTCCCGCGAGCGCTGGAAGATTCTGGGAACGGTGGCAATGACTCTCTCCACTTCCATCAGAGCGGTTGAGGGTGCCTTGATGGATAGCGGGAAAACTGAACTCGCAATGAAATCAGTGTCTATCTGCCGCTGCCGCGAATTTGCGTGTGCTGTCGGTGTCGGTGTCGATGTCGATGGACCTGATTGTGTGGTCCGCAGCTGGGCGAGAGGTGTTCGGGGTGATGTCCAAGCTTCGGGGTCAGAACTCATGGTGAGGTCGATGCGTCAACAACCATTCAACAACCATTTCAAGACGACTTCGGAACAGATATCAAACAAGCTGGCTAAGTCGTAGAAGCGAACTAGTCCGGCCATTTCGCGCTTAGACGATTTAGGTAGAGTCTTCTTGGGTGGAATCTTTAGCAATCGCTTGCTAGCAGGAACAGTCTTTCCTCTAGTAGATCCTTTGCTAGCAGGAACAGTTTTTCCTCTAGTAGATCTTTGGCCGCCTCCGCGTGCAGTATTCGGTCTCCATCTTCTGGTTATATAATCGACGGGTGTGTCAATGGTAATATAGCCATCTAGCCCAGCACAGTGACTTGTATCTCTTTTGACTAGTAATGTGTCACGGCGCAGATATCAGGCATGATGACGATGTCAGGGACGATCATCAGAGGTTATACAGTACGTGTGAGGAGTGTGCGGAAACGCGTTGTCTGCTATTTTATTCCAGGGGTTGTTCACCTTTGTCGCCTGTTATCTCTAACCTGCCGTGGATGGTCCCATACCAAAGTTTGCATATCGGCGTCGATGAGGGTGAACCTCTGTATTGAGTTTGTGTGGCAATGCTCTTGTTCACTAAGCGCTGTCGAGCGGGTGATTACCGGTGCATTGCAAGTGCACATGGCAGAGTGGAAGATGAGATTCCCGTCGCAGCAGTGTTGCTTGATCACATCCCAAGGTGCTCGGTAAAAACCCCTCCACTGAAGTACTCTTTAGGGGACAGTCGTCACTACATCCTGTGCATAGATGGTCTCCTTCTCTGTTATGCGGCCAACTGAACCCAAGAGTGGGTCGTGTTCTTATGCCTATTTGAGCGAGAGTTTCATCCACGTCGTTCAGCTTGGCCGCGTCGTTCATGTTAGAATTTCGCAGATTCATCGTAACGACCCCAATAGGGATGTGGAAGTTCTGGCCTATACGGCAGATATGGCGAGTTAAGAGCAATGTCTGCCAATATTCTCATGCTTGTGTTGAATTCGAACACTCTAGTGAGGCAAGGCTTTCTGACGAGGAAACTTGGCCTTAGCCTCCTTTGCTGCTTGAAAGCTGACAGGCACCCATGGGCGCCCTCGTACCAACCTGGGGTCATGAATGAGTGCGAACTATTATATATCTCATCCTCCTCTGCAAGGAAATTATACGTGTCGAGATTGTGAGTCAAGGCACGCTGCAAGAGTTGTAAACTGACTTTCGGCTTTGTTACGGACTTCATAGACGTCTGAAGCGCATCCACGGCACGGTAGTCATTGGTGCTATCCATGCTATTTCTTATTGCAGTCACGCCTTGCAATAAGTCTCACAGGCCAACAGTCGTCATCAGCGGAGGGGTTGAAGTGTCATGTTGTTGTTGGGCATAATTTGGATGCCCGGTCATTGTCGCCGCGGTCTTCAGAATGGGCAATCATCGCGCTTAGATGATGTCCGATGCTTAACGACCAATATGACGGGGATCAGAGGTCTAGTTACGAGTCTGTCTCACGGTTTCGATGAAGTCCCTGAGAGCAGCGGTGTGCTGCTTCAGGGCCTCAGTATAACGGTCAAGAGCTGCGATCAGTTCATCGGTGGGTGAGCGAAGAGATCAGGACACCTGACAGGCGCGCAGATCTTGGGGTACCTGACTTTGAGATCGGTTTCAACGAAGTCATGGTAATGGATATAGAAGGTTTGGTCGACCGGATGAAGCTTGGCGAAGTTCTTTCCGCATGTAAGCAATGGGCTTGTGATGAGAGCGGAGACCCCTCCGCGGCGAAAACGACCTTCGGTTTAGGTTCTCTCGAGTTGAGGCATGCCGCCGTGAATGTGGTTGATGCGGGTTGAATGGTCGGTGTCAAGTGACGAGATCCTCAAAGGGTAACAGAGAACGTTCCCCACGGCGGCGGCGAGAGGTCGAGCCACGACCGAAGTCAGGCTGACGTGGGCGAGAAGGGGTGAGCAACTGCTCGCGCACGCGGTGCATACGCTCGGCCGAAGCCACAAGTGCGCCGTTGAGCAGCGCGTCAGGGGAAGTGTGGACAGACACAGCGGCTTCATGGCGAGCACGGAACTGACTCGGTGACTCCAGCATATTTCGACATAATCCTGTTATAGATCGACGGCCTCTTCGCGAGTTTCCACAAAGATGAGCACCTTGCTTTCTCTTAGTTGCTCCGATCTCAAGCTTTTCCAGCTAAATTAGTTTCAGACCGCTGTGCACACGAGCGTTCAGGGGCATGTCCGCTATATATTCGGTATCCAATCGACTCAATCTAGGCATTTCTGCTATCCGGAAGAGAATATCATTAGAGCTGCAATGTGAGGTTCCATATCTTCTTGAGACGCAGGAAGAGTTCCTGGGCGAGGTAATAGTGCAGTTGCAACTATGAGATGTGTAAGTCAAGACATCATCCACCGACAGCAGATTATACTCACATTTCAAGACAGCTGGCTCCCTCGTCGGGTCAATGGATACACGGTCCACGAGGCGCTCGTAGACGCTGAAGTCCAGCGATCTCATGCTGGAGATGTGTCGCTATACATTCTTGAGCGCCGGTTCGAAAGCTGCTTTATGCGGCTTCTGTCCTTTGTTTGATGTCGGTAACATCTGTAAACTCCATTCGGTCGACGCGTCCAGTTAGAGAAGCTGTGCTGCCGCGGCGAGTACGGCTGCGGCTGCGATTACGGCTTAGGGTTAGGCTTGGACCACGTGGATATGTACGGGGTGCCTTGGCAGGTCGGCTCCCCAAACAACAAAGAAACCAAAGACGAGTCGACAGATCACATTCGGTGCCTTGCAAGATATCCTTTGTTCGAGCTTCTGGAACGGGATAGACAAGACACAGCCTGTAACATTGAAAGGACAGCTTGAGTCTTCTAAGTTGAGTTTTGAAGATCAGACCTCTCGTGGCCATGCTTTGCAAGTTTGCGGCACATCTTTTGGATGGGTACTTAAGTTGATGTACTTGTCGAGCAGGAATAGGCGGAGAGACGAAGCGATGGATAGATCGCTGAGTGTTCCATGAAGCAATGTGAATCTGGGTAGTGTGGTCATGGTCTCTGCTCCTTCGCACAACTCCGTCATGACAGTGCGACGAAGTGCAAGTCCGAATTGTTGACCAAGACTTCTGTTGGGGTTGTTAATTTGCTCGACTTCAATATAGGTGAATTGACCATTGGACACCATGCCAGCTCTGACCTCCGAAAACATTGATATGGTTTTCGTTGGTCTCTGTCGAGCAGCGCGGAACAGGTAGCGGGTATGTTGTGACCATCGCAATTCTTGCGATCGATCCCGTCAACCGTATATACGGAACAGCAGAGTAGGTTCGTGACAGTGAGGGAATATGACAAAATCAAGCGAGGGTCTTGAACGCCTCGAATCAAGCTCTGTGTGATGTTCTTCACCCGAACAACCATGAAGCCTTTGTCGTATCTGCCTTTGTTGCGAACGTCTCTTAGGATGGCGCCTCCTTACAGGATCGCACCTATCTGAAGGCAGATCTGCAGCAGAGCTGGCTTGACCATTTCGCTATAAATCAAACCACCAGGTCGACGTGGTCCATTCGTGTCGAACTGGAGGGCCGAATTATAGATCATGTCGCGGAGCTTCATGGGCAAGGCCTTGAGTCGGAAAGTGTGAGTCCTGTCTTTTCTCATCAGAGCTTTGACGTAATTCGCCTTGACGTACGGGCGAGGAATCTTGAAGAGGTCGTTAGTCCAGGCGAGATAGTGGTGACGTGTAAGGTTGTCTTTACGCAAAAGCTTGTACAGCTTCTTGCACGTAATGGTGCTTGTAGGGGCAGGTCGTAGGTGGTGGCTGATTGTTCGGTCTGTTCAGGTGCGGGAACAGACACTGGAATTACTCATATTAGTCCCCGGTGCTTGTTGGAGATCGCTAAATTTTCTGCAGTCCTGGTGTTGATCATCATTGATGCTCTGATGGCAACATATATATCGCGTGTAGGATAGATCGCAACGACGTTGAAGCTGTAGTGACCGGCAGCGAATGGTGCGAGAACGATCCAGGCTCAAAATTGGTGGGCTTGGATGGAGTACGGGACCTGTTCTTTGGGTTGACAATCTGGGTGGTACGGTTGCTGGGACGGTTGGTGTGGGTTGATGGGAGACTTGATGGAACGGTGGCACCAGCTTTGGCTTGGCGCTTCGCGATGTAGCGGGCCAAGGCAGGGTTGTTGTCGGGAGTAGGAGGGATTGGAGCCATGGTAGGAGTGGTCTTTGTGTTTATAAAGGACGAGGGAGCAGTCCGTTCCGGAAGCGGGAACGAAGAAGAACAAGAAGAAGGGTGAGAAGCCCGGGAGCCAAAACGTTCACGCGGTGACGGAGCTGTGGAAGTTGTTGTTGTATGAGAAAGGAAGAAACGTGGTTGGTTGTAAGGAGTGAGGAAGAGGTTGGTATTATTCCATATGCCCTTCAGTAGGCTAAGTAACGCCCCAAATCAGGTGTGGCCTTGTGTCGAGCCCTTTCCGTGAGATCAGACTAGGTTGCTGTTGCGGGGCTCCAACAGCATCGCTCATCTATCTTCTAGCCACGAGCAATCCCAGAAGACCTCAGTGAGGGCCAAGAAATACAGCAGAAGATCGAGTGGAAGCCATCTTCTTGAGGATACCATCCCTCGCATCGATATATACAATTCAGCCCTGTGCTGCTGATGGCTGGGGGCGTGAAACTGGCAGTGGTAGCTTCTAGTCCGGTCGTTAGTCTACGGTCGGCATGGCGGCAATGGATCATGTTGAGGATAGATAAAGACTGATTCTCATGGCGGTCTCTGTGTCTTGCATCTTCACGATGGTCTGATGCTGACGTAAGAGTTTCAGGACCCCGTGTTTCGTCTCCCTGCTCCTGAACGAGAAACTCCTCAAGCTGATACTTCACATCGACGTCGTATCTAGCAGAGTTTTCGTCCTCAAGTGCTTCAGGCATGTCGTTCGATGCAGCTCTACTGTGTGCCGAGGTGAAGCGCTGGTTCTCGCGGCCCTTGACGGGTTCTCTTCTGTCTCGTCGTCTAAGTTAACCTCCTCGTTCAGTTGGCAAGCTTAGAAGCCAACCTAGACAAAGGGCTTGAACAGTATCGTCGATGGTGACGTGTGGTCGGTCTTCTGCTGGGATACCCAAAGCACGTTGAGGGCGCCAACATTGGCCTATTCGAGAGCAGGGAAGAAGCTGTTGTGCAGCGTTCGTGTCTCATACCACAACTCAGAAGTAGCCAAAGCATATAATATAAATTCGAATAATGCCAGTGGCACTCAGCATGAGCTTTGGGGCAGGCCTTTCCAGAGTGCTAGTAGGTATCGACTTTCCAGCGGGTGATTTCTGTGTTTTCGCAACACAAGATCATCCGAGAAAAGTTGATTGGGCCAAAGGAACACTGCAAACCTTTGATTCGGTGTTCATGTGCGTCGCTATCGACAACGGCATGTGGTCGTTCTTCTTGAGACCTTCGGTTGTCAGAAGGTCCTCGAAACATGTGTAACAATACACATGTCCACACTCTGCCATACAATCAGTGTGTGAGGGTACGCGAGACGATTGGTGAGTATGTTTGCGATAAAGACTAGACCGTACTGTAGATGTCTGGTTGAGAAGGCAGCTCAAACATGGCGATGAGGTTGAGAGACTCATACAGGAACTCAGAAGCACTCAAAGTATATATATGCTAACACCAGGGTATTCCAGCATATGCTAACCATGACTAAATCCATGGGTGGTGGGGTTAGTGGCAGCATTCACCGCAGTGTTCCATGCTGGGCGTAGGCTGAGGCAGAGTTGGACTTGTGCGGAGGGGGACGCAGTTGTGGTCTGCTGGGGTAATCCTCGGAAACCGCACAGCTTGTGCTTTGTGCCCTGAGGCATAGCGATGTTGTCGCCCTCCACGAAACCAGATCGCAGTGCGACAGAGGAGTTGATGGAATCGACAGATGTGCTTGCTGACTACTTTCCGACCGCGAGTACTTCATCCCCGAGATTCCTCCCATTGAGTGAGCATCAACGAGCGGTTGAAGCGGTGCATCTTCCTGCACGAGGAGATGACCAGGAGTTCTTCAGCAGGCAAGGGGGGCAAAGCCTTGAGATAGCCAGGCTGCCAGCTTTGTTCCATGGTTGTGGCTTCCAGGTTGCCTGCGTGGCAACATCCTGGATGTGTTCTTCCGAAGACTGGGTTGAAGTTTTCTTGTTGGGCTCGCAGTTGTTTGGATTAGGTGTCTTGGGTGTCATGACTAACTTGGGTGTCTTTGTTGGCTTGGGCGTCTTGGGTGTCTTAGCTGACATGGATGCCTCAGCTTCTTTGCGTGACAGCGGTTGGCAAGGAAGGTAAAGCCTTAATATAGCAAGGCTGCCAGGATTGGTTGATAGTGGTAACATTGTCTATCTCGGTGAGGAAAGAGCCGTGGGCGCCTGGGTTGTCTGGTCAAAGTGCTCATGTACGGCTTCGAGGTCTTTGTATCCGCGGTTAGAAAGTAGGGAGCGTTCGGCCTCGGGAACGTGGTAGAAAGTGGGCGACTAGCTCGTTCCTCCCAATTGCGTGAGGAGCAACGAGCGGTCGAAGTGATGCATCCATTCGTAAGAGGGGACGACTTGCAACTCTTTGGCTGGCAAGCAAGGCAAAGCATTGATGTAGGCAGGCTACCATGCCTGGGCGATGCTTGTAACAGATTCGACATCACTTCTAGACGGCTCTGCCTGAGCAATCGCAACGATGGCCTTTCAAGCGTAATGTCACCATTTAGATTCCTCTTGACCATCTCAATGATGACCTCGCTGAGACCTCTTTAAAGCCGCGGCACGGCGGCTTTAGCAGCATCTTCGCTAGCGTCTATAGACTGGCTACCAGGCCTGGTCGATAGTTGTGACATCGTTCTCGACTTCAAAAAGTCCAAGAGCTTCCACCTTTTGGGTAACGTTTCGACGATGGGGTGCATGCGTTCTGGTTCTGGCGAACGGTGCTTGTCCCTTTGCGACCTCTGAAACAGGTATCATAGTCGGTGATGTGGAAGTTATAAACGTAGAGCCTGGTGGTGTGACCGATCTCAAATGTTCCAGGACGCTGCGGGCCGTGAGGGGCCATGTCATCAGATGTGATGCCAGGGTTGGGAGAGCTGGGCGGTTGTGCGAACCCACGCAGCTCCTCTGAAATAGGCTTCCTTCTCCTCAACATGTCATCTTTCGTTATGTAAAACTGGTACTCTGGGGCCGTCTCTTCGCCTAGTGCAAGAGGATATATAAGCTTTCTGATCTCTGTCATGTCCGCAAAACCTCTGCCGAGAAGTCCAGCAAAAGCTGTCTTGCTAGTATTTCTCGTCGTCATTGGATTGTGAAGTCACAGCTGTTAGATGTCTCCGAGGCCTTCAATTGCTGTCGGCTTCAGCAATCGTGTCCAGGGGTATTTGTGGTTCGGCCTAGCAATAAGCTGTTGACCTTTTTGCGGAGTAAAGAAGCTCTGTCGATGGTGTTGCCTGAGTTGAGTACCACACCGATTTGTGTCTTAATCGCGAACCTGCTGGCGAACAGCGTAGTGTAGCTTGTGAGTAGCAGCACCTTGGTGGGTAGATAGGAAATGACGACCAGATCGTCCAAAGACAGCTCTTTGCCGGTGCGATTTCCATAATCCTAGGCCAGGAATTGGCGGCAAAGGTATCATGCCAAGATTATGATGATGCTTGCGATGTTGGTTGAGAGAAGAAACAGAGATCTAAGAAGTGATCTGTTCGCATGGTTAATGTGGTCGTAGATGGAGGACATGAGTTCATAGTGGCTCTTGGCGGATTGAGAACGTGTCTCAGTGGTTCCATCGACATAACATGATGCCAGGACGCTCATCACTCGACGAAGCACCAAGTGATCCGGATGATAAAGATCATGAAGGTTTGATTGCTGAGGTCGCCGAAGTTGCCGGAGTTCAGGCAAAGTCTCATGCCAAGAGAAGACATGCTTTGCTGCAACAAAGTCTGGAGGGGAAGACATCCAGCCTTATAGAACAAGCTCTGGCTTACAAAACTGGCATTCTCTTGGCCAGCAGGCAGATGAAAAGTGATGTTACCTCTTGCCCACTCAATCTCGCGCTGCTCCTCGTCATGACACATCCGCACATGATGCGTGTCGAAGAACGGGGTGTAGAGTTGAAAGGTTTCGGTCACCGATGCTATGTAGAGGAAGAAGGGGGAAAAAAAGACGTTGCTAAACGTAGGAAACGAAAGGATGCGGGACGGAGAATGGGACTCGTAAAGCTGTCCGAACTTTAGCGTTGCTAACGCTCGCCGGACCCTCCGACGAGGCGGTATAGGTGTCCATTAATGACACATTCGAGCGGTGGGGGTGGTGGACGGCGAACTGATGCAGCGGACGAAACGGGCTCGCCATCGTCGTTGGTGCTGGCTTCTGAAACGGCAGGGGTAGGGGTGGTATCGGTGGTGCGCTTGCGCTTCTTCTTGTTGTGCTTAGGAGCAGGGGGCTTGATGTAGAAATCGCATTAACTCTGCTCGCCGTACCACTGGCAATTGGAGCAAGCTCCGTTGGCCACTCCGGCCAAACTTTTGGTCTCGGCGAATTTGAGAGGTTTGGAGTAGTTCGCGTGCTTGCCGGAGTGTGTGTTGGCGTGTATGAGTTGCTGCCGCACTCTGCCGTCACGGCCATGGGTTCGGCGCGTGTTACGAGCTGGTGCAAGGAGCTTCACAGATCTGTTAGAGCAGACTGTGTCACGAAGGGTACCTCTTGTTGCGATAAGGGCGGCGCATGAACCCTCTGAACGGAGCATGTGAATCTTGGTAAACCTAACGTCCTTGTAGACAGCTAGGTCGAATGCCCGAATGGAGGCGGGCTTGCGAGCAGCAGCGAGGGATGATTAGTTTGTTGCCTGTGCATGATATACGAGATGACCTTAGTCGATGGAACTTTGCCATGCTCAGCAAAGTTCTGAATGGCACGATCGAGAAGAGTCAGATATTAAGCGGTCGTCTTGGACTGGTCTCCACCGGCTCATTGTACCACGAACGCGAGGACAGACAACTGTATCAGAACCTCTTCGGGCAGCAGAACAGAGGTTGATGCTGATCACAGTCCGTTATTGATCAATGCGTTAGAAAAAAGGTTGAATGAAGAGCACATGTTTGCTGCATGAACCATCCGAGAGCCAAATTGAGGGGCAGGTGTGCCTAAAGTCGCAATAGGCACACCGATAGCATGTGAGGTAGTGGCAGCTCCAGCAGTAGTGGCAGAGCTCAAACCGAACAGCAGGAAAACGTCCCATCGGCAAGCGCTCAGCGGTTTCTCGAGCCTTGACAGATAAGACGGCAGCAGCTCTTGATCAAGGGAAATGGTTGTAAGGGCCCGGAAAGATTGTTGACATGGCGTTGCTCCCTCATGACGATTGCTTCTTATCTTTCACCTCAGCGGAAGTGTTGATGTCTTCCATGTGTCCAAGCAGTATCTGAGTTATAAGACGGTAGGCCGGGTCCATGTAGTCCATGTAGTCTGTCTCTTCTGTGCGATCAGAGCTTCCAAGCGCACCAGCCCACATCTCGTCATTGAAGAGGTCGTCGATCACTCAGGTGGAGTGGTAGAAGCATTGTCTACATGTCTGTTTCTTGAGCTGCACATCTACCATGTGCGAGCTCTGATATCGATGCCGTTAGTGATATGGAGGAAGACCGTTGGAGACAAAAGGTCCTGTTGGAACGCCCTCGCGCTCTCATGGCGGGTGTCTCTGATCTGTATCATGTGAAATTCCAGGAGCAAGGTATATATTAGCCTCGATCAAGGTCTTCCACGCCCATGGTAAGACAGCGTCAGGCAGAGACTCTGCGACCGCGAACATTTTGTCTGCAATCAGTCGGAGACATAGGACAGGAAAACATCTTGTCGGCGAAGCACTCGGCGAGATTTTGAGCTTCGAACATATATATATAAAGATCTTGGGCTTGTTGTATAGGGTTGTTTCCCTCGGTCTGGGTGAGGGGCCCAAGCAATGAGCTTTTCATCTTGTAATGGTCGTAGATTCTTGGTGGAGGAATGTGATAAGCTCGCCAATGGCATGGAAGGTGGAAGCGGTTGAGGCAGCACAAGAGTGGTGTGGTTCCTGAGGCTCACAGCCTTGCAGGCGGTCAAAATGCTTGTATCGTTGTAATCATTGTCAGAAATATTGATCAAGGTGAAAGGCGTTCGCAGACAGCTATATGAGGTGCCGCCAGTGTTTTAGACATCTGAGAGGGATACAGGCGGACACGCAATCTAGCCACTCATGATCTATTCGTTGGACTTTGTCGGGTGTCTTGGTGACGGAAGTCATATGAGGGTGATGGTGATCCAAACTTGTGGCGATCAAGCACAGTAACATCAAAAGGATCCACCTAGCGAACCCAGAGCCTTGAGCTTCAAACTCACTCTTGCCGTAGTTTGACTGCCATTGTGCTCTGTTGTTGGACTGCGCAAACTCACTATCAGGGGTACTTGGCGTTCAAATAGCGCCCGTAGAGCTTCAGGGATCTGAGCAAGGTCGGGTGTCGAGATCAATGTCACAAAGACATCATACAGCTCCTGGGTGACCGTGGCGAACTCTCCTCTTTCTGATGTTTATTGTTGGTGTTGATAGCTTTGTGGAATAAGGGCGGCGATGTCTGTCTGCGAGTACAGAGGGCTTGATCCAGAACTCGATACACTCTACAGAGCCGAAGTCAGGGACCGGTAAGATACAAAGCCAGAACGTTGAGCTTCAAGGTCCAGGCAAACGATGAGTATGTTGAGGCTGTCGCGCCAGATTTCTTTGAATCAATTTCCGCTCTCACAAAGAGTATGGGTTGGTAGCATCTGTCAGAGTGATCTTCTTCCTTCTGGTTATATAAGGTATTCGAAGCTGGTTTGAAGTTGTGCGCTTGGCGACGAATAGTTCTTGTATCTCTTGAGCCTCGCCAAGAATAGTTGTTGTAGATGATTTAATTAATAGTCCCAAGTAATTCCCAGGGTGGTTGGATGAGTGGTAGCGTGTTGTGAATTGACGGGAGTGCCGTTTGGGCTAAGCTTGCTCGTGAGCGCACACACTATGGTGTGCGGCGCGAGTGTAGCGGTACTTGAAGCTTGCACCGCAGCCCCCGTTGCAGAACCAGGGACGAGCATCAGGAGTATGATGCTAAAGATGACTTCTCATCTCCGCCCTGTCCCTGTGGGGGCCGACGGTGCAGCCGTTCCAGCGACACACCTTGACTCTTGGGCGAACCCGGACTGCACTAATGTGCTGTTAGTCGAGGTGGTCCTGTTAGTCATCATGCTTCTGCTTCTACTAGAGAGCGTGATCGACTTACGTATAGCTGATCTTGGTCAGCAAAGGCGGCACCTCGTCTCTGGTCACGCGGCAGATCTTGGCAACGCGAGGTCGCGTAAATCCAAAGTTGGTAAGCTTAAAGTCGGTTTGGTATGGACTGCGGCGCTTGGGGACCGTCTAGACCACAGTGACGCGAACCTTCTCGTCGAGGGTCTCAGTAGACAACGCATAATCTCAGACTCTCCTCGTTTTTCGAACCCATTTTGTGTTGCAGATCAGAGATATCCTGTAGACTCTAGTCTGATCTGGACTGAAAACATGAGATTCTTGTCCAGGGGTCGGCGCGAGCACTCATCTTGCCTGATAGGTCTTCTGGAAGCTGAATGTAGTGGTCTCTTTGCCAAGTTTCGAACGGGTTGTAGCCTTCGGAACCCAAAGGCAGTCATTGGGACTGGCAGCGACAGTTGGGACTTGAAGCGGATAGTGTTTCCTCTGTGCGTGCCTGGATGAGCTGATCGTCGCTGACGGAGACATGGCGGCGACCCTTCGGGGTATGGGTCTCGCTGATGATTACAACATCGTCGTCCTCGTCGTCTGAGACCACGATAGGTGCGTCTTGCTTTTTATCGTCGTCGATGATGTAAGACCACGGTGGATCATTAGCCACCTGGGGCTCCCGGACCTTGCGTTCGACCCTGCGTTCAATATCGGAGCTGCCACCAGCGATCCTAGCCATGGTTTTGCGCTCGACAGAAATGACGCTCCAAGAAGATTTAGTGCGCGCTGGACTCACGGACCACAGAGGCTCTCGTGGTAGGGTCATCAAGGTGCTGTGTGCAATCTCCTTTTGCATGTGCTTGTTGTAAGTCGCACAGGCGGTGTTCAATCAGGTCTGGATGAGCGAACTATGCGCTCCTTGAAGGCTTTACAGACAAGGCGGAAGGTAGGCAGATCATCAGGGTGGGCCAATCTGACAAGTAGTTCGGGCGGTAGATTGAACGTAATGGATAAGGGCTCTCCATATATATATCCGCGTCCAACACAACTTCATTGCGTTGCGAAGAGTAATGGTCGACTACGAGGTTTCCTTGGTGTCGTAGAGTTCGACGACTTTGTCCACAATCTCGTTAGTAGGGAAGGGGATGTCAAGCATGCAGACTTCGTCTCTGACGTCAATGGGGAGTTTTTCGGGTTCATTAGACAGTTTAGGTGTCGTGTCTGTTGGCGAGAAGAAAGACCTATAGGCCAAAGCTCAGGTCACCAGCTCAAGACACCTGCAGTTGTGTGAGGGTTGTTGTTTTGGGAGTTTTGGAGTGTCTTCTCCACTCGTATATAGTCTTTGAGGATTTTTCGCAGTTTGTGGCCCTTTTCAGAAGTCCGGTGAAGGAGCACGCGGGAAATCGAAAGGCAGATGAGGCGGCCTGATGTCTCTCCAGGTTATGGGAAGCCAACAACACCCGGCACAGTCGCAGGATGGACAGGAGGATGCAGACACTGGTCAAGTGAGGCCTTCAGTGTGGTGCTTTTTGGGGCTGTGTGCTTCGAAGTGACGATGATGTTGTTTGTCCAGCCAACAAGAAAGCACGGGCGACATGTTAAGTGCGCCCTGGAGTATATACAATAGCGCTCGACAGAACGTCGTCCGAGATATCTGAAGGAACGGCGCAGAGCCGTAATCGACTAGTGAATGCGAAGTCGGCTCCGAGAGGAAACCAACCTCGTAAATAGATGTTGTGAGGTATCCGAAGTCCAGTCTCATTGGAGATGATCATTTGAAAGTTGGACACTCAGATTGTTCAGAGGTACTAGCAGCAGTGACAATGGAGCCAGTAGGAATGCCGGTAGTGAAGAATAGGTCAATGGCCAGCTGGGCAAAGGGAATGCCTTGGGTGGGACGGTTTTGAGGACCAGTGGGTGAACTGGGAAGATGGGGGGCGGGGGAAGAGCCATCATTCTGAAGAAGAACACGGTGGACTCGACGTAGTTCATTTCAGCTCTGAACATTTGCTTGCATGTCAACCCAGTCGTGGCATTAGCACGTGAAAGCTGTAGAGATTCAAGGACAGTGAGATATAAGTGAGGCATAAGGGCGCCGACGGCGGTCTTGGTGGTTGACAAGATAAGTCCGTAATGACAGCAATATCGACTGCAATGGTAGAAAGCGGAACGGCTGTAGGTCGAAAACCGGCGCGCCAGGTACACGTGTCGGATCTGCAGTCATTACGGTGAGGACATGTTGGATTTGGTAGGGACTGAGGACATGATGTGTGCTCCGGTATTTTGAACTGAGTCCAGTCTTGTTGAGTTGATGAGATTCAACTGAGGTGTGGGTCAATGTCTGCAGTGAACAAATCATAGCTCTCTGAACATACACGCAAGGTCGTGCTACGTCGGAATGTCTTGGGTGATGGAAAATGGCGTCGAAGGTCGGGATGAGACAGGAGCTTTTGGATGTAGCGGCGGTGAGGGACATCTGTCAGTTCTTTTCGCATGGTTGAGAGGCGTGCGATGTCGACGTCGTCGAGCAAGTGCCTCGATGTGTTGTTGCGTCGGTTTAAATTTGTGCCTTTGCTGGATGCACGTCCGTACCGATGAGCTCCTCAAGCAGTGGCAGTGAATAAGCTCTGAGCTCGGTAACCGGAGCTTTGGGGCAGGCTTGGAGGCGCCACAGAGGGTAGGCTCTCGAGGTGTCACAAGCTTGTGAGATCCCATGAGCTTGTGAGCTGTGATGACAGTACGAGTGTCATTTATCTCGTCGAGCAAGGAGCAAAAGAATCCATCGGATCAACTCAGACAATAGCTTGGCGGCAAAAGCAATGATAGTGTGTTTGACCTCACGAATTCACCAGCCGCAAGTGGGACATGGTGCGATGACAGCAGCCATATCGGTGTCGTCCTGGTACAGCACGACGGGCATTGTGAATCTTCTCTGTCGGAAGTCGGCAGCTGTGGTTTCTCGGAGTTGCAGGAGCTTTTGCGGTGAGTGGCCTTTAGAGTCAGGAGCGGCCAGATCCAAGTGAAGAGCGATCATGGCCTGAGTATATGCGGGCAGATGAAGTTGGAGTCGATGGGGTCGCTGAGTGAACGGCCTCCGTCGGCAATGATTTGATGCCTAATATCAGGAAGATGAAACGCAGCTGGAAAGTGGTTAGTCAGATACAGTAAAAGTGAGATTCAAGAAACACCCTTACACTTGTCTGGCTGGTGCATCATGTTTGAAGAAGCAGGTAAAAAGACGTCATGCTGTTATATAGCGCATTCACGACCTCGGCGGAGATCAAGGTCGACCGGTTGGTTGGTGCATCCAGGACCCGGATATATAAGTAAAGAAGTGAAAGTAGTGAGCGATGATGCTCAGAACTTCCGGCGAGAAGATGGACGTTGATATACTTTCCCGCCCTTCAGTTCGGACGTGCCAGAAGCTTCAGTGTTTTCCAGCATGTGTTCCAGCAATCGCCAGAAACAGGAAAAGACCAACAAAGAACTTCATGATTGGGCCGAGCAAACAAGCTTACCCGAAGCTTGCATGAAAGAAATCTTGGCTTGCCACATCTGCGTGTCTAACAGCAGGCAAACAACAACTTCTCAACTGAAAGAGAGGCGCGAAAACACACCGACATTTGCGTGTCTGGAAGAAAGAAAGCGGTGAGATGGCACTTCGCGGAGCGGGTACAGAACGCTATCATTGAAATCCTGGTATCCTCATGCCATGACCCTAGACAAAGAGCGGTCGTGCATCGATTCAGTGTTTCTGGTGACCATAGGTGTGCAACTATCATGTTTTGTGAGGCTTTCGGGAATCCGGAATGTGAGACAAGGCTGTCAGTTTCGCTATCTCCATTCATAAAGGTATTCGACAAAGGAGTGATCACGCGTGGTTCCCTTCAGTTGAATCACCCTAGACTGGGAATAATTGTGTTTCGATTTGGACCTGAGGCTTCTGGACGTCCTAGGCATCAGGGATGTACTTTGACACGTACGGTCTCAAATTGGTGGGGATTCGGGAGACAGCAAGAAGAGATCGACGATTAGAAGGCCTTTTTCCTGCTCTCGGCGGGGAGTGTAGCTGTTCAGAAGATAAGCTTGCCTTTTGCCAGCTACATATCGGCGACAGTGGTTATACATGGGAGGGGTGCTGACGAAGACCCTAAGGAAACAACGATCGCTGCTTCTGCAGAGGATGAGGTAGATATGAAAACAATCTTGCATTTCAAATTCTACAAAATCAGCAGTGATGGCCAGTGGAGATACAGAAGAAAGGCTCAACACACCACGAATCTTACTCTTTTGCGTTTCTAAGGCACTTGGAGCAGTTCATAAACACTTCCACTGTCCTTGAGTGCTTGTTCCACTCGTTCCATAATGGCCAGGACCTTCTCCTCTTCCAGTCTTCTGCCGACAACTTGAACAGCCACAGGAAGGCCAGCCATCGCTTGTGCATCGTAATGCTTGTAGGCGCCTTGCGCAACGCCATTGTTGTTGATGACAAAGCCTGAAGGTAGGGCGTCCTTGGCAGCATCAACCTTGGTGACAGGAATGATGCCACAAGTATAGTCGAGAAGGTTGAATAGGAAAGTGTACCCGCAGGAAGAAACAGCATCCTTCATGCCGTCATGGGGAACAGCAGGTGTAGCGTTGGGAGGCGTGATCATCACATCCATTTCACACTTGCCATCAGTGTTGATACCATTCCACCAGTCGAACCAGATGTTCTTGAAGCTTTCTCGTTGATAGACAAGTTGCCAGTTCTCGTAAGCCGATTTCTCGTGGAGAGATTCGAGGAGACGGGCCCAGACGGCATCACGACGGATATAACGGACGTATTTAACATAGAGCCAGCGAAGCGGAGAGGGCAACTTCATCCAGAAAGTCAGTTGCGAGGCACCAGCGTCGTTCCATTCACCCGAGTTGAAGAAGCGCTTGTATGTTCTCGTACCCTCAGCATTGAGGAGTTGAGACGCGATAGCCAAAGCGTCCAGAGGAGCATGAGGCGCGGAAGGCAAAGTGAGATCGAAGACATCATGACCTTGTGCTTTGAGTGCCGAAGCAGTAGTTTCAAGTGCACGGGCACAAGCAGGTGCAGGATCAACCACACCATCAGTTCTCAGCACACCGATTCGAAGCCTTTTCTTCTCCTTGAACTCCTCGTAATCATCTTCACGCCATGCCAAAGGATGTACACTTTGATCGTACGTCCAAGGCTTGCATTGAATCAAGCTTCGAGTGAAGTAGACCAGATCCGAAAGCGTCCTTGTCATAGGTGAGAAGACACTAGGAATGCCTTCCTGGCCAGGCATGGAAGTGTCGACACCATATTTGGGCCACCTTCCAGTAGAGCAGCGAAGGGAAAAACAACCGGAGAAATGCGCAGGAGCGCGAACGGAACCGGCGACATCAGAACCAATGCCTATCCTCGAGCCACCGAAAGCGAGAAGAGCACCTTCGCCACCTGTACTGCCGCCAGGAGAATATTTTGCGTTATGAGGGTTCTTGCAACGACCCCAAACATCGTTTGTTGATTCGAAAGAGAGCAGGGTGATGGGTAGAGCAGTCTTGACGAATGGAATGGCACCAGCGTCTTTGAGTAGGCGCACCATAGCACCATCTACAGCATGAGGCTTGAAGCACTTGCCAGAGTATCCAACGGAGGCATCGTATCCACCAACGACAATAGAGTCCTTGAGCGAGACAGGGATACCAGCAAGAGGTCCTTTCAAGTTGATAGATCCGTCCTGAGTCCACTTCTCGGCCTCGGGGAACATGATCTCGGTCAAGCAGTTGGTAGCTTCATGTGCTTTGACAGCAGCCTTACCGTAAGCTCGAAGAACGTCCGCGGGTGACTTGATAGAGTTTTGTACATCTTGTACGAGTTGATCGATGGGTGCATCTAGTATAGATCTCTCGTCGGACGAGATAGAACCTTGATATGACTTTGGCAAGTTTGCAATTCGATCAGCACGCTCATCTTGCTTCCGTTGGCTGAAGGCGAGTCAGTGATGGAGCTTCTCACGAGCCATGGACTATGACATACCATATCTGTTTGTGAGATCCAAGGGGCCACATGATATTTCTGTGTTCCGTCGAGACCGTAATCGCAAAACATAGACTTTGTGTGAAGGAGAAGTAAACTGATCAAGGGCAAATTTGATCAAGTCAAAGAGGAAATATACAGAAGGGAAAGGGAGGACACGAGACTCTTATACTTCTTGCCCGAAGTGCCCGCAGGTTATCAGGAAGGCGGGGTTGCGGAGGTTGTCGCTGATACCGGCTAGAGCTGCCGGATTGGGTTTGGTGTCAGATAACGGCTGGAGCTTCCAAATTCAGCACAGCAGCATCATAGTGAAGAGCTCGAAAGGCAGAATGCCGAATAGCGGGATATAATATGTCCAATCATCAAGGTCAGTGTGAGCAAGTTTGAACATGATAAACCATTTCTACGTATCAATCGTGGTCTACTCGTGACATCCAAGGACGCCTGCTTGCAGTCCTTTCCTCCTAACTCGAGCCCTTCTCAACAAGACGTATACCCAGCAAACTCCTTGCCATACCGGAAACGAATGCAGTTTGAGACGCCGAACTCCAAGATAATCGTTTGCGCCTGGCGATCCATCATTCGAGCGGGAAATTCATGCTATCGGATCAGGTGGCGGCGAGCTTAGCGGACTTGATCTGAGATCAGAGGAACCGGGAAGGAATGCTGAGGGCGTGCGCGGTGAGACAAAATCCTCCTAGTTTATACCACCGGCCTCACCCTCACGCTTCATCTCTCCCTGGACATCCTCGGCATCTCGTTCTTGGCGGCCCTCTTCCTTAGCTTCAGCAGCACCATCTCCCATCTCGACATCTTCTGGTGCAGTTGTAGTTGTTTCCGCAACAGTCGGATCCGGGGGAGGTGTTGCAGTAGGTCCAGCACCAGCCTGTGTGTTGTTTGAGTTCGGTGCGTTTGCAGGCGGCTCAGCGACATCGTCCTCACCCATCTCGACGTCTTCTGGCTCGGCTGCGGGAGCTTGAGCGGTAGTCGAGGGGGCGTTTTGCGGCGATCGTGCTCGTTGTGTTCCGTTACTGGCGACTTCCTCACCCATGGCGGGTTGCACAGCGTGAGGATCTTCGGAAGCCTTGGCAGCCATGATAGCATCTCCAACAGCTGCATTCGCGGCTTGTGCTCTGTCAACAACCATCTGGTCTGCTTGAGCAGCAGCTGGCGGTAATGTAGTATCGAGGGGAGTGGTTGTACCAGATTCGGCGAGAGAGCCTTCGGCCATGTCGGCGTAGGGGTTCTTGTGATCCGTTATCCTTGGACGACGGGGCTCTGCTCCAGGCTGCTTCTTGACGCCAAGAAGAGCATCCATCTCCTCGTCATCCGAGTCCTCAAACTCATCATCGCGCTCGATACGAGCATCCCACTTGCGTTCAGTGTAGCGAGAGTCAGGGTTTTCATCGTCGTCCTTATCGTCGAGGCGCTGCTCACGCTCATCCAAATCTTCAGTGTCGCCTTCGTTGTCCGGGTCATTCTCGTTGGGTTGTACGACAAGCGGTGAACGTGGCACGTCGGTCATTTGCACACTGGGAGCGAACCTCGTACGTGACAGGTTCTCGAAGACTTGTAGCTTGATTTTCTCGAGGTATTCAGGACTGTTGGCGTTGTCCATGTTCGAAGGGCGGACATCCAGTTCGAAGTCGGGAGAGTAGTATTCATAGTAGTCGGTGTAGGGCAGCTCAGGGCCCATTTCTTGACCAACCAGTTGACCGGTCTCGTATGCCCATGTGCGAGCAACGTTTCGCATGGTGTAGCCACCGCCTCCAAGTACCAGAGTAGGAAGGTTGAAGCTCTTGACATACTTGACGCAGTTTGCGTGACCTCGCATGGACAAATTGAAGCATCCAAGACGATCACCACTCAGCGAGTCACCACCGCACTGCAGAACGACAGCATCAGGGCGGAAGAATTCCATGATCTTGGCGATGATAGGCTCGAAGACACTTTTGTATGCGACATCGTCCATGCCGTCGCGAAGAGGGAAGTTGACGGCGTAGTTCTTGCCATTTCCGACACCAATGTCGCGTAGCTCACCAGTACCGGGGAAGTACTCTCCGTACTTGTGGAAAGAGCAGGTCATGACGCGGTCTGTCGAGTAGAAGGCTTCCTCAACACCGTCACCGTGATGGACATCAATGTCGATGTAGAGAACGCGCGACTTGAAACGCAAAAGTTCGATGATTCCCAGGACAATGTCGTTGATGTAACAAAAGCCGGAAGCTTCACTCTTTTTGGCGTGATGCAAACCTCCAGCCCAGTTGACGGCGACGTCGCATTTTTGACGGTTCAGACGAGCAGCACCCTCCATACTGCCACCGGCGCTGATGCCACAGTACTCGAACAAGCCATCGAAGACAGGACAATCATCACCAACATTGTATTTTCCTTGCTCTTTCGCGTAGCTGTCCATGTTGTCGGGAGTGACTTTTGAGAGGAAGTCGACATATTCGTCGGTGTGGAATTGGGTCATTTCGTACTTGGAGGCAGGCTTGGCTCGCTGGGAGATGGTCAGTATGGTATACGAAGAATGCGACAGGTTGGGGGATGGCGCACGTAGATTTCCATCTTCTTGTACAAGCCGTAGTTCATGATTAGACTGTGGGCCATTCTGATGCGGTGAGGTTTCATGGGATGACCGGCATTGTAGGCGTAGTTTCCGACATCAGAATCGTAGAAGTAGGCGACTTTCTTGGGTCGGCCTCCGTTGGTAGCACGAGGAGGGTCCAGAGGAGGGCCATATTGCGCCGAGTTGGCCATGTCGGCGGCTTGACGAGAGGGCGAGGGCTTCTTTGCGGTCGCGTGTGTGTGTAGATATGCACTTCGGGTTATCGAGATGGGCAGAAGATATCGACAAGAAGAATGGCGAGATGGTTGACTTGATTGACTGGGTATGGACTTTTGGTGGATAAATGCAAGAGTGAATGGTACGCGATCTGCCACTTCCGAGCTTCGGGGAAGCATGCAAACCGAGCAAACTGCGAAGCTTCACAGGGAAAAGGTGCAAACAGAACAAACACAAGTCAAGGAAGGAGCGAGCGTCGGAGGTCGGAGCTTGTCCGTAGCTGGCCGCGCGCATCATCGTCCAGAGTCGCCGTCTGAAGCAGCTCCATCACTAACAATTCCATCTCCCTGTCGCTGTCCATCCATCACAACCTCGAGCTCCCATCTACTGCGTCACTTATCATCTGCGCATACTTAAAAAGAAGGAAGAATCACACACACATCACAACAACATCATGGACCGACTTTCACGAATGCTGGCCGCCGCCCAGGGCATGGGAGGCGGAGGTGCTATGCAGCAGGACGGCAACGTTGTCGACAACTCCGAGACTGTCTACATCTCGTCGCTCGCCCTCCTCAAGATGCTGCGTCACGGAAGAGCTGGTGTGCCTATGGAAGTCATGGGTCTGATGCTGGGCGAGTTTGTCGATGACTACACTGTCCGCGTCGTCGATGTCTTTGCCATGCCTCAAAGTGGTACCGGTGTTTCCGTCGAGGCTGTCGACCCTGTCTTCCAAACAAAGATGATGGACATGCTTCGCCAGACTGGGCGCCCGGAAACCGTCGTTGGCTGGTACCACTCACATCCTGGTTTCGGCTGTTGGTTGTCTAGCGTTGATATCAACACGCAACAATCTTTCGAACAGCTCACTCCCCGCGCCGTCGCCGTCGTCATCGATCCTATTCAATCCGTCAAGGGCAAGGTTGTCATCGACGCCTTCCGTCTTATCAACCCCCAAACTCTCATGCTTGGCCAAGAGCCTCGCCAGACAACCTCCAACGTTGGTCACCTCAACAAGCCATCTATTCAAGCCTTGATCCACGGCCTCAACCGCCACTACTACTCAATCGCCGTCGGATACCTCAAGGGTCGTGGCGGTCAAGGACACGGCACCTCGACAGCTGGCGAATCCTCGAATGGCCAAGTCGGTGGAGAGGAAGCCATGCTCATGAACTTGCACAAGAGCGTCTGGACAGAAGCCTTGACCATGCCCGACTTCAAGGCTGAGGGCGACCGCACTTTGGAGAAGCTCAACAAGCTCGTCAGCTTGGCAGAGGGCTACGAGAAGCGTGTCAAGGAGGAGACTGAGCTGTCCAAGGACCAACTACGCACAAGATATGTCGGCAAGGTCGACCCCAAGAAGCGTATGTCATGTCCACTTTCCGTCACACCTTCATCACTAACACAGTCGTAGACATCGAAACTCTCGGCCAAGATCTTCTCGAAGACAACATCGTCTCCGTATCACGCCAAATGATCGACAAGGAGGCTTCCGTACCATCCGCTTGCCGCATCGAAGCCGTGGATGACGAGGCTGATGGTATGGCTGTGGACCAAACTGCATAGACTGCGACATGTGCACACAGGCCAAGCGACGACGCTGTCCAAGACACTACCAGCAAAACCACCTCGAACAGCGAGACGACCTCGACTGCCTCATCTTTCGTGGAAATCGGCCACGAGGACGTGGAATGAGACAGCATGTCATCCATCAACCATGTATAATAGACATGCTTGCATGCATTCTCGGGGAACCCTGCATCGCGGGATTACGAAGGTCAAGACGCTGGAGGTCGGCAGGTAAACATTCTATATGCGCAACGACTGCAAGAATTATTCTCAGACTCAACTCTCCTTTTTACCCCCTTTGTCATGTGTCATGTCATTATGCAAAAGCTGGAATGCATAAAGCTTAGTTCACCTTCTTCAATCAAGAATTATCCTTCCGCTGCTGACAATCAGACCTCGACGTGTATCACCACAGCGTCTTCTCCCAAAGCTTTCAGTCCACCATGGTCGCCAACTCTCCATTTACGGTCCCGGTCTTCACGTATCACTGCATCCTACCACTCATGAAAGCAAGCCACCTCCTGTTGTTCCGCACTCCAGTGCTCTCTCAGGACTAAACGCTACTTCGAACCACATCCTGCGTCTCATCCTCCTGATGTCCTCTGTCATGTTTCCTGAATTCACCCACAATGTTCTGAACGTCATGTTTCGCCACTCTCAGCGGACATTCCGTTTATCTGGAAGCCCTTCTTGCATCGAGACGACTCGGCACCTCAGTCCCATGTTCAGATCAACGCCCTCGTTTCTCTGATGAATTTGGAAGATCTGTTTGGACAGATTAGGCTTTACAAAAGTGATCAAAGCTTATTCTCTTCGGACAATTACTCATCTGGAAATCATTCTGCGTTGCAGCAACATATTTTCCTTTCATTGAGGCAAGTAGATCATCTGTGATGTGTAGGTTTATTGGATTACTATGATCTTCGTGCCTCTCGCTCTCTGCAGACCTCGCCGTCGCGTGCATTGCAGCAATCATTTTCTTCTAGCTCATTGACATAAAAGCTCTGTAATATTATGGTTGAATGCCTGTGTATTGTACTCTTCTCTCTTTGGACCTCTCTACGTCTAGAAAAACATGCTGCATTGCAGCAACAGTTTCTCCCCTTGTGAAGAGAAGAGGGTGATACATGATATCTTGGTCAATCGACCTTTCTCTTTGGACGTTTCTTTATCTAGAAAATCATCCTGCATTGCTGCAAGGTTTTGCTCCTAGTACCTTCACTTCAATGTCTTGCCAAAATGGCTAACAAAGATTCATGTGTCCTCCTCTCTTCGGACATCTCGAGGTCTATAAAATCATCCTGCATTGCTGCAACTATTTTCCTCCAAGCACTGTGGTGGATGAGATCTCTACGATGTCTTAGTAAACTTGCTAATGAAGACCTCCATGTCTTTCTCTCTTCGGACATCTCGGAATCTAGGAAATTATTCTGCATTGCTGCAACTATTTTCCTCTAAGCACAGTGGTGGATGGGACCTTAAAAATACCTGTAATGACTACTACGCACATTTCTCCCCTTGCGAAGATCATAGGATAGTAGTATAAAGCCGTTCCTTTCCATGTAGATTCGTTAATCATTAACAGCATATCAATGGCAATATTCTTGCGATGACGACGCTCGTATACTGATTTCCATCTTCCACTTTTTACGGCTACGTCGTGTCTAGAAGAGCCGCCGAAGACGCGTCTCGGGTCGATGATACCGCGCCCCGGGTTAGCTCCTCGTCTTCTCGATAGTAGTCCTAATTTCTAGCATATGGATACAGCGGGAGTTATGTCGAGGGTAGGGTATCATCGACCCGCGACGTTTCGTCCGGTGTCCTAGCTCTCGCTCAAACGCACAAGAGGAGAAAGGATATATTTAGTCTGCGTCGGACATAAGTGGATAATAATGCTGCGGTTGCCTATAAGAGATAAAGAGAATGTGTTTCCTACCATCTTATATAAGTCAGCGACAGCGTTGAGCCAGGCGCAAGTAGTCTGTTTTCGTTTTTCCATCTACTTCATCGTAGAGTAAATTCTCTCTTCGCACTATGTGATGTTTCCTATAAAGTAGCTGCAGAATTTCCTAGCTCTCTACCCTATATCTCTCTTTTCACCGAACGATTTAAGCTATTCCGTGTTGTGGAACATTCGACTGGCTGATGTTGTGCCATCGCTAGAAGATATATGCTATGGTCGGTGGCCTGATTTCTATGATGGTTGCATGAAGAAGTTGGATCGGGGCAAGCAAGAAGGTTCTACGCCGGCCTTGACACGCACAGAGTTGGAAAGCATTTTTGACATTACATAAGCTGGCATTATAGTGGACAGAAGCGAGTAGGAGGGTATCAGGTCTGTGATCCCCAAAATCCTACAAGTCGTTCGGTAATGATTATCTTGCTATGAACATCAGTCTTGTAAGACTCGCGGAAATGGAGGCCAGGGGAGGTGGATTGATATCACTGACCTGCTCACTTCCGTGTCTTCTTTTGGAATTCATCTTCTTGCCAGCGATCGGATGTGAACCCATCCTCTTTTGTCATGTCAAGATGCGCGGCTGCTCTCAGATCGTATGGAGGACTTCCGAGTCTTTGATCAGAGAACACAGATCATGTCTAACATTATATACCACAGCACAGCACATTGTACAGGCAAGGGAAACTGACGTCCTTTACAGAGACAATGTTGAGAGCAGAAATCTCCATAGCCAAGAAGCAAGAAGGAAGAGCTGTAGCTTCCCAAAACCCTTTACTTGAGTAGCAGTCGTTCTCACACCCAATACTTCCTCACTATCTGACACATCTTCACCTGAACCGAAGGCTTGGAAAGTCAGATACAATGATACCGTGGAAAGAAAGCCTAACATTACGCCAATTTGACTACGTTGACGCGTTCATATAATTTCGGACGACCATTCGTCTCGTTTTCTTGTGTTCTCTCCTCATCGTCAGCTATTTTAATTTTTCGCAGAGATTCTTTAGTTTTTTCTGTCACCGAGGAGTGTGTCACCGCTGTGACGCATACTACAAGAGCCAGAACGCCTTGCAGGAGAGGATGTCGTGATTGCGGCCTTGATGGCATGTACATAGTTAGTAGGGCAGAGAGAGCGAATAGGAGCGAGCATCAGGTCTGTAACTCCTGCTGAAGAACGCGCATCCCCGGGTTCGTCGTAATCAGTGGTGCACATGACATGAGATCAACGGAGACAGACATATGCACATTAGTATCACTGACCTGCCTATCTCCCTCCTCTCGTCGTTGCATCGTCCTTCCTTGAAAATCTCGCAGTATCTAGCTTGTATGTACTAGATCTTTGCCTTCTTTTCTCTGCACGTTGATCTTTCTGCAACTGTCTGTTGCTCAAGTCTAGCTGCATGTTCATGCGATTTATACTTTTACGTGTCTTGCTTGCACTTTTCAACGCGAATTCTTAGAAGGAAGGTGAGATAGCTGGGTTGTGCTTTCTTTCCACCACAATCTTTTAGAGGTAGGCTACTATATCAAGGTGTTATGTAATTTAACAACGTGAATCCGCGTTCTATGTACGTACTTACGAAGGAGATGTATGCAGGGTTTAGCTTACTAACTTCTTCTCTAAGGGAGTCTCTCTACTATCAGATTTTTGCAGAACTAACAACCGCGGTTAGAAATAAGGTTAATATACATATGATGTGCTAAGATATGGAGAATCTAACAATCATTATATCTAAGGGTAAAAGAGATCCTTAATAGGTCTATAACTGCTCGCAAAGTTTGACGGCCCTATAGATAGGCTTGCGAGCTGAAAGATATATAGGACATGCAGATATATATGGATTCATGGTGTCATGGACCTGCCTGCTTTTCTTGGTGCCTGATCCTGTTCCATTGCTTATCTGCTCACTATCGAGGACGATTGTCCCCAAAGTCTTTCGTTTTCCTCCATCAATTTTCACTTTTCTTTGTCCCCTGCCCAAAACCGAGGAGGTAGGGACAACCGCGGCAAGGCACAAAGGACGACCCGCAGGTCCGTGATGCCGGAGTAAGGAGCACATCATCCCACACAAGATCAGGGGGTTCTTTCTAGAACAGTACAGTGATCGAGAACAGGAGAGGTACCAAAGATTCACTCACCCGAGTCGTTTCGTCCGCGGTCTCGATGTCAATTGCAGGCACGAAAGTTCTCTCCAAAGACATTCCCGACCATGCAGACGGGAATCAAGGTTCCTACAGACGGTCGGTTCCTGATGCGGGTCAATCAACTAACGAGGAAAGTGTCAAACTCGAGATATGTTTTTTTATAGTTCCAGCTGATGGCTTATCATAGGAGACAAGGATACTGTTATATGCATGGGTCAGTATCAAGCTAATGTGGGATGTTTTACGCTACTGTGATGCAAGATATTTTTGAAGCAGATTGTATGGCCAGTGAGATGCTGATGTCTTCCGACTCTCACTGGACACATGTTACACAGAAAATATACCGTGCATCATGTCCGGCTTTCAGTTCGTAAATAACAAAGTTTTGAAAAACAAAGACAGCTGCGGACTCCCATAGATTTACGCCGTTGTGATGCTGATTTATGCAATGACACAGCTATGGAGCGCGACTCATGGACTGGATTAGGGTGGTTGTAGAAAAGAAGCAATCAGAGTGAACCATTCCGACCTCTTTCCCTTGCCAGATAGCCAGCTCGCGCTGTGGGATGTCCTTTGGCAAAGAAGGGCAACAAACGAGAGGAATGGGATAGAAGAGAGAGTTGAAAGAGTTTACAAATTACTCTATGCAAAAAGAAATAGACAGATCGCGGCATCCCAATACCAGTGCGCCTGTGCTAGAGGAAAACAATTTGGTACAATTACCGCCCAAAGTCGCCAGTGTGTTCAGAAGAAAGTAGGCCGCACCGATGCATAGTTAAGGTACCATCTCATCCTTCTTTTTCTTTGTTTTTGGGATTCTCATGGGCTGCTTCGCTATCGCCGACTCATGCAGTACCGTATGTCTGGTGTCCATGTTCTCTTGTGGTATTGTCAATGTCGGCACCAGGCATCAAAGTCTCTCTAGCCTCCTCGGCCTCTTCTTCCAGATCATCTCTCTCAATGTGTCTCGATTGATACCATACGTATCCAACAAGCAAGACACCAACTACAAACGCCACAGACAACAAAATGATGTTTACGGGGATGGGGTTATTGTTGAAAGCGTGATGAGTCAGAGCGTCAAGACCTTGAGCAGAGAAGTTGAAGAGACCGGCAAGACAGATGATGAGACCGTAGACCTTACCGAAGGTAGCGAAACCGAAGACCTTGGCAGAATAATCGGAGACAGCGGTGTAGTATAGAGGACGGTAGATGACGAAGAGGATGATGTTGCCGTATGCAGAAGCAGTGTTGGGAATGACACCGAGAACACCGATAGCAGTCGCGATAGTGACAAGCAAGGCAAGAGTAAACACAGTGCTGGTGTGGTCGAGGACCAATCCTATAAATGGGACTGCGATAACACCGCCAAGTGGAAGTGCGATATCGAAGAAGGCGTTGATGTTCTCTGCTTGTCCAGGACCAACGAGGTACGAGTACTGGGTGCGGATAGTGGCGACAAAGTAGTTGATTCTTGTCATCTGGACGATGGTAAACAGAGCGATGAGGATGAACCAAGGTGTCAAGATTTGCTTGATTGCAGGCTTGCCGTGGAGAGCGCCCCAAACACCACTGGTAGCCTCAACTTGATGTTGCTGAGCCTGCTGTTCTTCGGCACCCTTGCTACCAAGGAGTTCAGTGATCTCGCTGACAACGGACTCACGACGTTCTTGGCGAAGGAGAGCGCGTTGTTCATCGCTGATGTCAAGATCTGAATCCGAGTCTGATGGGTCCTCGGCTTGCTGAACCAATTCTCCTACGGTCTTGTAGCTGTTCGATGGCATGAGGAATATCTGTGCGATGAGAATCAAAACAGGCACGGCGAGGTAGATCAGGAAGAAGCGCTTTGTGTCGAAGCTTCCGCCAGTGGATTGGAAGACAATTCGGTATACAAGGAAGACAGCGGAGCTGGTGTCGAACGCACCGGTCAAGAGTGCGAGAATCGTGCCGGAGTGCTTGGGGAAAGTATTTGACAGTTGGAAGCTGGAGATGAAGATGAAAGGTCCACCGAGGGCAAGGAAGAAGTAACCAGGAATCCAGAGGTCGAAGTTTTCGCGAGCATCCCATGCGAAAGCCAGAAGTGCGGATCCGATAGCGAGAAGGAAGCAACCGATGATGCCAGCAACTCTTGGACCATAGCGATCAAGGATCGTTCCAACAGGTAAAGCGCAAACATTTGTGCTTACAGCAGCGACGGTGAACATCAAGTTGAGCCTCAACTCTTGCTCATAACACACCCAAACGCCTTCTTCAATCTCCTTCGGCGTACACCTCTCAGCGTACACACCCTGCTCGATCAGAACAGGCTTGATAGCAGCATATCCAAATACTACACCAGCTGCGAACAGACAATAGACGCAAGCGACGGCGACCTGAGCTATTCTCTTGATTTTGCTGACCTCAAACGCAGCAACAGGCTCTTCATGCGCGACGTCCGGAGCCCAGCCGCCTACGGGATTGAAGCTTAGTTTGCGACGCTCGGAACCAGTAGGTGATGATGCTCTTGCGGACAAGTCGTTCGGTGAAGTTGTATTCCAGTGATCTCGTAACGTCTCCATACTGCTTCTTCGTTCGAATAGCGACATGATTAGGTCTTTGGTGTGACTTTGATTTTATATTCTCCAGTGGTATGCGCTGACGTAATTTCTCTCGCGATGTTCTTTCCCCGCAAAGGATGAGGCACGCGATCAAGTTGCCAATGTTGTGACGAGTCAGTTTAGGCACCTAGGATGAATGGATGACAAGAGGAGGGGAAGAGAAGTTGTTGCGCAAAGCTAACTGAGGCCACTACATTGTTTATGATATACGATAGCTGAGAGGAAGAAATTTTCCGGGAAGGAACTGGGCAATATTGTGCATGAATCCACAGGTGTGGTTCTCCCAATGGATAGGGCACGATAAGAGGCAGATGGGAATCTGCATGAGCGGAGTTGTCCAATCACGACGCTCGGATCACGCCGAAGCTTAAACTTTGACTCGATAGAAATTCGTGAGCTTTTGGCAATTCAACAATCAACAAGACAATTCGTGGTTTCTATTAGGAGTCGAGTTGAAGATGCGCCTATCTTTTGTATGTCCTCCGCATTAACCCGTCGCGATGCGAGAACGATTGAAACGACTGTGAAGTGAGGATCGCTCTATGCCGAAGGAAGGAACGAAGGAGAGAAAATGCAAACAAAGGAGAAAATAACACATCTCCGCGCGCAAAGCGCCCACCTCCGACACCACAATCCCTGCCATCGCACACATTTTTTTCGCACAGGGGCAGTATACGAGGGTCTAGCCCGTCGCTCAGCTCTTCTACCGGCAATTGTACCTCCGGAAGAGTCTTCGACATGCTCAAGCCGCTTCGATCTTCTTGGGCAGCAGACCAGCTCTCTTGCTCTTGAACCACAAAGTTGGCAGCAAAATGCATGAGCACGAGAACAATATACTAGAACATTTCTCGTCAGCAATCGCTCCGAAAAGGTATTATCTTCAAGACTCACCAAAGCGCAATGCATAAGCCCCAGATCGCCTTGGTCTCAAGGCAATTGATTCTGGTCGTGCCAGCCCAGACGTACAAGCCGATACTTCCACCTTGCTTGATGTTCTGTACCAAGCTTTGCAGCCAATACGCAACACCAGTCGCATCAATCTTGCCGTCCACTTCGGCGATGGCAAAGCAGTTCAGCAAGCTCAGCGGCTTACCCAGAGTAACAGAGACGACGATGAATGCCAACAATAAAAGAGAGTCGATGGCCGTCATGATAAACAAGCCCAGATTTGCTTGCGCCATGTAGAAAGGAATGCTAATCAAGGTGTACAAGGTAGCAATGCAGGTCTGTATCATGTCAGTGAGGGATTTTGACAGCAGCGATACCAACACATACGATACTTAGAGTACCAACAATCTCCTTGGGAGGCTCGATGCCACTACCGTTGATGACAGCCACGAAGTTCGCAGTCAGTCCGACAATGCCAATCATCGCGATCAGACTCAACCCTCTAACGCAGAGGAAGGTCTCGCTGAGAGGCAGAGCTCCATAGCTTGGGATAGGCATTATGTTGATTCTTGAGGAGATTTGAATGAGTGAGTGTTGGTTGAAAGGGTTGACGATGCAGAAGGACCAGCCTGAAATGCGAGAGATCAAGGTAGTGTATAGAGATGAAGAGAAGTTGTCGCAAGCGATACAAGACTCGAGAAGAAGCAGGAAAAGCAGAGCTGATATGTCAAAGAAGAAGAAAGCAATGAAATTGGGAAATGCTGTGTTGTCGAATTGTCTGAGACTACAACAAAAACCGCGAAGCCAAAGGTCTTAAGTACTGACAGCTGAAGGGCACAGCCTGTTCAACATTTGGGAAGCTCAGACTTTTCTCTTGTCTCTTGCTATTCTCGTTCATCTCGTCTGGCAAGGTGGAACACGCTGTCTCTCTTCACTTGACGCTGTCTCGTCCAATGGGAGGATGTCTTGGCACGGCGTGTATATGGAACGTTGATCTATTTGCTTGCGACGACTGGATTACAGGAGTCTGAACACTCTGAACATCTTGATGCATGATTGTTTGCATGTTGAAGAGGCTGAGTATCTTCGTGGCGGAAGCTTGTCGACGGGTGGATGTTTCGCACGCATGTTCCGGTCGAGGCGCTGGTCGGATCATCTCAAGCGATTGACGACCTACAACCACCCATTGATAGATTTGACGAATCACTCTAGACGGAACAGTGCCGTAATCTCAACAGTGCGCACACTTACCAGGTCGCAACTAGCACTCCACCAATGCTGGAGCGTGCAAGTAGTGATCGAGCGCTTGACATAATCACATCGTGAAAAGCCAGGGTGGCTCTCTCAGCGAGTCACACAATCTTGGAGCCACTCTCGACCCGAATCACACCTCTCTCTTCTTGCCGGCATGAGCATGAAATACCTAGATTGGAAACGTATCTATACTTCGAAAGGGTAGTATTGATCCAAGCAGCTCAAGCTGCAAATAAAAAGTTTCTGGTCGAGGTATCTTCCAATATCGGCAGCAAGACATCGTTGAATGCATACCTTCCTAGCGGCGACTCGAACAAGCTGTTACGGATTTACAGTGCTCTGCGACACCCCAATTTCGGGAATCGTCTCTACAATCGAGCGTAGGGCACGCGGAGAATTGACGTGGAGGATTCTGTCTCGTAATGCTGACACCTGCTTACCTCGGCTTTGTAAGCTCAACTACATATACTCTCACTTTCACGCAGCTTTATCACACCCTCCATGATTCGAAATCTACATGAAAACACAGATCTACATCATGTCGAAACCGTCGATTGTGCTTGTACCGGGCGCTTGGGTAGGACGAGACTGCAATGATATCGGGAACCAGTTCAAGAGCTAACTTTATAGCAGCACGTCCCTGCTCACTTCAGTCAGGTCATTGAAAAGCTCGAGGATCAAGGATACGTCTGCGTGGGCGTCAATCTACCCACCAATACCCGAAACCCTTTGGTGGATGGCCGTCTACTTGGCATCGAGGACGATGTAGCAGCCATACGAGCAGCGGTCATTAGCCAACTCGACGCCGGCAATGATGTAGTCGTAGTCACGCACTCCTACAGCTCCGTCCCCGGTACCGCAGCCCTCACCGGCCTCAACCTGCAAGCTCGCAAAATTGCGGGCAATACCAACAGGGTCGTCGGCGTAGTCATCATTTCCGGATTCATCCTTCCACCCGGATTCAACAATGCTCACCATCATGAACAACCAACTTCCCCCCCAATACCTCCTCGAAAACAACACAACCTTACCTTTCGCCGGTCCCGGTGCTATCAACATCCTCTACAACGATATAGACCATAATGAAGCGCTTAAAGCTGTGTGGAAGCTGGAACCACAATCTCATGGAGTCAATACGAGTATCATCCCTGATCAAGTCGGCGGGATTACTGGGATCCCTGTCAGTTATCTGCTTTGTGAGGATGACAGAGCTATACCTTGGGTTATGCAGAATGCTACTGTTGAGGCTTTGAGGGAGAAAAGTGTGCATGTGTATAAGGAAATTGCTAAGAGTGGGCATAGTCCTTTTTTGAAGCTGCCTGAGGAGACGGCGAGGTTTATTCGAAAGGCTGCTGGTGAGGATATCGAGACTGGGTTTTCTCAATTTGTTGGATAGGTATGAGGACTAGTTTATGAGTTTTCAGCAAGACATGCATTTTGTGGGATTGAAGTGCTAGGCGTCAATTTCTCTATAAAAACCAGGCCATCGTTAGCGAAAACCTAAATCATGAAAACAACGATCGAACCTCAGATGCTGGGTTGAGCAGATCTCGACAAGCCCATTCTGGTATAATGCAGCGTAGTGCGAATGCGAATGCGGAAGCAGAAGCAAAGAAAACAGCAAGGTCAGTGACCCTTCTGATGATCTCGAGGCTTTCTACTCAAGACAATTAGGGTCGGTAAGTCGACTGATCTCAGTCCATACTCGAAGTGGTAGATTTCCACGGACCTGGTGCCCCTTGTTTGCTTGTCTCCTTTGTCTCATGGGTCGTCGGATGAGTGGAGATGTCTTGTTTCAAGACCTGTTCGCTGTCCATAAGATCAAAGCCTTTGGCAGTAGCCATATGGTCGGACTGTTTGGCAGTCACACCACGTTTATATGTGCGGTCATGGTTGAGAATCGAATTTGCTACCAAGCCGTGATGTACAGGATGGTTTCAAGCTAGTATCGACGGCTGTAAAGATGGAGACAATGGGATCATTGGTTTTCGAATGGGATAGATGACTGTCCATTTGATGGATCAACGAAGCCTCCTCACTGCCCATCAGGCAAGCAAACGAACAGACTCTTCAACTTCTCATACACAACCTTCTGCTCCTCCATCGGCGCATCTCTCTTCGTGACCGCCCTGCCCAAACTAACACTGATCCAACACCCCTGCGTCTTGAGCACTTTCTCCTCCGTTACCAACCTCTGATCACCTCCACATACACTGATATCCTTCCCACTCAACCCCGGAAACGCAGGATACAGCCTCGTCATGACAAATCGGAAATTACTCTCTTGGTCACAAAGTCCAGGGTCTGCGGCAGCGAAGTTGACGTTCAGAAATGTCTTAGGGGGCAGGTAAGGTGGGCCGGAAGCGAGGAGAGTGTTTGTGAGGTTTGTGGCTAGGGCGGAGTAGAGGCGGGAGTGCAGGGGTGGAATGGCTTTCCAGGCGTGGCGGTGGTTGGTCTGGCCGGAGAAGACGATGGATGGGATACCGAGGATCGAAGCGTGGGTTGCGGCTCCGACGGTGCCGGAGAAGGGAACGGCGATGCCTGAGTTGTCTGTGTCTATTAGCATCTAACATAAACAAGTCCGAGGTAGGCATTGACATACTGCCATTGTTAATGCCAGAGATAGCCAGATCAGGCCTCTTTTCACCAAAGCGCTCGGGTCCAGAAATGTTGATTCCATAATCCATGGCTGAAGCAGGGAATGAATTTACATAGGTGATGTTGGGATCAGTTTGCCACATTCCCGTTGCAGGGCTGCCGAAGGGGCATGTATGGTACTGGCATTGGTGTTCCAGCGAAGCAGGAGGACTCATTGAAGACCCAGTGCCAGATTGATCAATAGCTGGAGCGGTGAGAAGAACAGCGTGGCCAGATGCCTTCAATGTTCTGTAGAGAACACGTATGTTGGAATCAGCCCAACCATCGTCGTTGGATAGGACGATATTGACGGCATTGACTGCGAGAGGAAGGATGAAGAGTCCGAGTGTGAGATACATCCTTGACTATGGTTGTTGAGATGAAGGAGAGAATGGTGAAGAGAAACAAAGTACCTGATGAGGAAACAGGCACTCGGTGGAACCATGGTATCACGCAATTGATTTGTGGTTGAGAAGCGCAAGTTTGAGCGTTCAGGATGTTTGCGGAACAGTCATCCGTTGATTCTCCGACCCACGTGGTATACACGATGAAAGGAGCGAGGCTGCCGCCACCTACTACATTGACATCCTTCACCAAAAACAACACATCGTTTTCTGAGCCTTCGGAAATTCCAACGATCACTATCTTGAGATACTGAGATACAGATTCAAGCAGGATCACTCCAATACTGCGCATCACTTCATCTCTGGAAAAAGGTTTGACTTCTATTTTTGAAGGCTGTCAGAAGAATTAGAAACAAGGAGGGACAAGACTATACGAAAGTTAAGACAAAACGACATCATGCGGCGAATACAGTCTGCAAGCAACAGAACAACATCGTCTACCCAAAGCGCCGGATACTGAACAAGAAAACCACCGTGCGTCCCAGTCCATCTGATCACACTTCACTAGGTCGATGGCGAAGGACTGGAAACAGCAGCTCCAGACAAACGAGATACTACTGCACCAACCGCTGACCCGACATTCGAAACAGCACCTCCAACTCCATTGAGGACATCAGACAGCCCTCCATCAACACCTGTACCGATCTCCGAGATCCCGGTAGCAGCGCCAGAGCTGATGTCAGAAACAGCGGAGGCAGCTCCAGAGCCAACATTCGAGACAGCGCCAGCTACACCGGAGCTAAGGTCAGAAACAGCTCCAGCAAGACCTGCTCCGACATCCGACACGGTACCAGCGACTCCAGAGATCACAGCACCACCCGCAGATGTAGCGGTTGCCTCGACATCAGTGACAACAGAGGCGACACCTGAGAGGATACCTCCAACGATTGATGTGGCGGTCGCTTCAACTCCAGAGATGACAGAGCTTGCGTCGCCTACAACGACGCCGCCGACCGAAGAAGCAGTGGATCCAACCCCAGAGACGATAGAGCTGACATCACCAGCGAGGGACGTGACAGCAGATCCGACTTCAGAAACAATAGAAGGAACGACTGAGACAACTACACTGCCAACAATCGACGTAGCAGTGGCTTGAACTCCGGACACGACAGAACCAACATCGCCAACAACGACAGATCCAAGAGAGACAGCTGGAGAGGCGATCTGACTGACGGCGGTGCCAGCAAGATCCAAGATCTCCGAGACGCCAGAGACGGCCGCACCGGCACCTTGCGCAACTCCTGACACCACGGGTACAACCACGCCAGTGGCGATAGCGGGAACCTCAGAGAGAACACCGCTGACGGCAGTTTCAACAGCACCACCGATGTTGCTAACAACACTTCCGACGGGAGTAAGGATGGGGAGAAGGGCGGAAACAATGGGAGAGATCAAAGGACCTGTGTTGACGCCGACTCCAACTCCAACACCTACACTCAGAGGGACTGCAGCGACGAGAGCGGGTGCGAAGAGACCGCAGAGGATGACCTGGTGAGTCATGATGATGACGAGGCTTGATGATGGAAGATGGAGTTGAGACGGGGAGTGGCTTCAGAAAGAGCAAACGAGAGTAAGAATGATGATTGTGGTAGTAGATGAGAGATGAGAAGGGAGGTTCAAGCTGCTTCTTATACTTGACAACGAGCGCGATATGCCACTTCAGCTTGGATGTTGCAATACCCGCAGAGTCACAGACACTCTCCCTTGCACCTAGTTCGAGACCTTTGCCAATACATCAATCTACGTACGTAGAAGAGCCTGGAAGTAGACCTCGATTGTGGAGCATCCTGTCCTTGTAGCTTACGGACGTATACCAAAATGGTCGACATTGCCAGACAAGGTCCGAAAATGGAAGAAGAGTCGTTCGAAAGCTCTCTAGATCAGTACCTGCACCTCGAACCTGTCCAGTCAAGGTGAACTTGCAGGACGAGCAACGGCTGTAGTGCAGCAAAGCATGTGGAGTCGGTCAATTGTGTCTTCTACTATCCATCCAGGTCTCAGAGCTGTCATACAACGGCGAAGTGACGATCTCAACAGATGGCACCATGATTGAGCACCTACGACAACAGCAAGTACGATGGCCGACACAGTCGGACAACCATCTTGATCGACTTCAACTCTGCTCTGACAGTATTTTTGGTTTTCAAAGAGCGTCGATGGTCACGATGCTATATCAAAACCCCTGCAGTCGAAGTCAAGAAGAATGATTAGATCCGGGAGCAACCGAACCCGTTGGCGCTTGACAACGGCTGGGGTTCTCGTATTCGTATGCAGCTATATGTACTATAGCTGCCGATGTTATTGCATTTAGAATCCAAAGGAGTAGACCATATAGTCAGAAGGATCTGACTCGGTCTTTTCTGCGGTCTCAGATACTGTGTTGTCTTGGTACTAGGTGGAGAAACGGAATGCCTAGACAGGACCTTGCTGATCGTCAGGACGAAAGATGGGAAAAAAGTCTCAACGACCTCGCCAACAATGCTTACTGAACGAGTCACATCTGGACGTCAATTGTCGCTCTGCTTGAGATATATCCGTAGGCCGGACTGAAGCAGAGAAGAATCTCCAACGAAATGACACAGGTCCCGAACGTTCAAAGTCTCCCTATCATCTTCTCGGCTTTGCAGCATCAACCCGCTGGTCGTCAATTGAGCCGAACTCACGAGAGTAGACGTTTATCCCTTGCATCCGAGACCTCTTTCACCACGCTACTGCGGATCCCTGTAGTCTAAAGTCGAAGTGACTACTTGAGCATGAGTTCGAAGTCCCCGCTCTCCTATCTCATTGGTTAGGAGCGTGAATGTCTGACACAGTACTTCTTGTTTTGTTGGGAGAGATGTTTATACAAACTTGACCCAAAAATCCCCTTACATTCTTGGTATTTTGGGCTGGCAGCAAGAAGTTCATATCTTTTGCGTAGTTTGAGCAGACTCATTGCATGGATAATGTTGCCCCCATCTCCGATTGTGGTAAGATAATGAGAAAAAGCAAGTCTCGGATCTTGATCCATGTTGTGTAGAGCCAAAAGAAAAACAAGGAGACAGACAAAAGCACATAGAAAAGATTTGGAATGCAACTAAGTGATCCGACGTGGAGTTAACAAAAATGATGATCTCCGAGATCCAATCGTCTGAATAGTGAGCTTTCCACCGGGCCCAGGAGAACTGTACCAACAGAGTCTAGAGATAAGTAGTAGAAATCGCCTGGGTGTCGGAACAATATGAGTATCGCGCAAGCCTGCCATCCTAGACGAGAGCTTAGACCAGCCAGTGCGACGCAATACTGTCGTGTCAGGTATAGNTAGACAAAGACTAAAGGAACAAGTCGGACAATTGGAAGGAGTCTGGGAGGTCAGTGACACAGGCCCACGACATCCTGTGCCACACCTGACCTGCTGCTCCCGCCGGTACGAACAGACATATCTCGGTATACTGACCTTGATTGAGACGAGTATCACAGACCTGGTCTACCCTTTCCGCCTCCCTCTCTCTCTTTACCTGGAAATCGCTATGACATTGCTTTGAGACAGAGACAGGTAATAGAAGACATGCCTGTGGTGTAGACATGCCAACTTGTTCGGATGTGGTGGCGGTGTGCTTGATGAAAATGAATCAAAGTTGTTGATAACCTAATTCACCAGAAGCACATGAGATTGGAGCAACTACGTCTTATCTCGAAACCCGCCGAGTTGCCTCGCAAAATCCCCATCACAGCAGAAGGTGCACGTAACATCACAAGTCGGTTTGTACATTCTACATTTTTTACGCTCTGTGTTCACCAGTTGTCGCATCCAATGTGATATTGCGCAAAATCAACCAAGAGTTCAAGTATCAAATGCTCACACAAAATGAGAAAACCAATGAGCAAAGTAGACAGCAGCAACCAACCCACCTTGTAGCAAAAAGCGCAAAACAAACACCCTCCTACTCAAGCTCAGTCGTATAGAGCTCTTTCAGAGGGTGGAAAGCAAACCCGAAGGTTTTCGTTTCCGAATAATTTGGAGTGTCAAGACTCTTGGTCAAATCGGCGATTTATGATGCCGTGGATCGAACCGATGACCTGTGGGCAATTTCTCAGGGGGTCGCCAAACACGAGTTGACGAGTGACCGCTGGGCCACCCCGCCTGGCGATAAAGCGGAGTGGTGTTGCTTGGAAGAGCGGCGATGGTTGAGTATATAAGGGTAGCGCGCATGTTACGCGTCTGATTGTAGGCGCAGAGATGGCGGGTGCTGTTCTTCACTTGCAGTCTGCGCATTTTCCTCTGCACTAGCATGGTGACTTAGCATGCGGGGTGACTAAGTTCGCTCGATCAATGGTCAAGGCGCTGTCATCTTTGCGCAGCAGCAAGCCACACACGACTCGCGAAGGACTACAGTGTGAACTGCCTGTAATTGGAGCCCATGGTCATCCCGTGATACCAAGCAGTGGACGCGGATAAACAAGACGACCAGGTTACCGAGACTCAATCACAGCATCACGCTCCTGAGCACAGCTTTTTACGCCTTGACGTATCATACTCACGTGTCGAGATACCATATTTTCTCAACGTCTCACATACCTCCCTGCCTCCATGCCTCCCATTCTACGGTTCTGCAACCGGGACTGGTGTAGAGATGCCCAAGATGCGGAGAATCTCAGGCAAATTAGAGAAGTGCTCGACAGGTAATTCTGAAGTTCGATGCAACAGCATCGAGAACATAGCTCGCCAGATCGAGACGCAACAAGCCGAGGGCGCCTGATGGCCAACCATGATGTGCAACGCGTTGACCAGTACATACATACCGCAGTCAATATCATTGTTCTGGCGTGGTTGCTGCGGAAAGTCAGCGAAATCGTTCGCGTGGTTACCATGATGAGTGCTGTGAGTACTTACTGTGGGGGGATAGATTGCAAGCCAGTCTTGATCCCATTCCGAACCAGTTGCACGAACAACTGCGATAGCAATTCACCATTCTCCTCCGATATCTTATTTTCGCGCTTGAACACGTATCAGCCCATGGACACAGCATAAGGTTGTTTGTAATCATTCATTGCAGGAAATAGCAGAAGTGGCGCAAGATCGTGACTTGATATAGAGCTCCCATGAAGCTCAAGCTCCTTCCATCTAGGAAACTGACTGGAAGATACCAGGCAAGTAGTATCTCACTCGGAATATAGCAGATAGAACAAGGCAACTCGGGACAAGAGCAAGCATTCGAGCCACTGAAAAGTATGGGATAAGAATCATCGGAACAGAACAATATGACAGGTCGAGAGGAGTACATCTGACCATGAAGAATGCAGACAAACTCCAAAGTAAGACTTTCCAACGATTTGCATCACAAAATAACTCATCATCATCAAGTCGCAACACTTACATCGCTCTTTGAGTCCGGTCAATATGTGGTCACTTGTGTAATATCGATTCAAGGTGAAGAAAACGAACAGGTCACCAATCCTTGCACTCGCCTCTCGATTTCTAGTCATGCTTTCGGCACCAGATCTTGATATCTTCGCTAGTCCTTGGTAGAAGTTCCGCACCGAAGTTTTACAGACCTTGTTGCCTCCTCGTGTCTTAGGGTCAGATCAACGTATCGTCTAGACTTGATGCGGCAAAGAGTTATCCTAGAATCCTCCTAGATAACATATGCTCTCCTCGCATTAAAGCATGTTCGAGTATCAATCGTAGCTCCTAACAATTAGAGATAGTATACACGAGATCTGCGTCGTCTAGACGACGACTAATGTCGAGTTCGTTGTTTAGAGAATGCAGTGTTTCAGAAGAGTGATTGAAATACTTACGGAGGCAGAGAGCAGAAGAACAGAAGAACGATGCGGATCTCAACGGGAGTACACACCACGGGTTCGTTACCGAGATTGTAGGATTGAAGAAGCTGTAACATAGCAGTATCGAGGTCTCGGACCAGCCCGGAAAATTCTAGAGACACCACATCATAGACAAAGCAAATGAGACTTACAGGTCACTGATTCCGATCTCTCCTACCACCATTTCTCCTTATGTACACTCTTAAGAGCACGTCTCGTACTCTTACTACTGCAGTCGATAATTTCGTTGCAAACACAGACCTGATTCCCTTCTTCCCACTGTGTACTTTCTTTGTCCTCAACCAATTGAAAGGATCGTCTACGGGTCGCAAGAGATGTAGGGGCTGGACTTTTGGTCTTTCTTCAATAAGGAATGTCTGCAGTCTTCCATTTATATTTCGAGAGAGAAACAGGCAGGCACCCGAGGAGCTTCTTCTCGCAACCAAGAATAAACTGTGGCAAGGGAGCTAACATAGTGAACATAGCCAAGTTGAGCAGTTACCGACAAGGCAATGGGTACGATCTATAGTGGCAAGGTAGTCCACAGATTCTATCACAGTGTGTGTCGGTAGAAGTGTATAAAAGCGTCATTCCAGCAAAGACTCAGACTTCTTGTTTACAGAGTTGTTACTGCATGGTGTATGAGTGGCAGCGTGGAAAAGGAATTGCATTGCGCAGCTTTCGCCTACCATCTCCTTCATCTATGACCTCTTTATCGCGGAAAGGACGGACAGAAGATAAGCAGGTTAAAGATGTCTTCGGCAACACTTTACTCTCTTGCACGGCTCTTTCGCCTTCGGTCGAAGTGTAAATTCCCATCAGCGCAGTTTCCAAGTCGTGCACCAGATTAGAGTATCACAGACCTCGCCTTCTTCTCTGCCTCCTGATTCTTCCTCTCCTCCTAGCCCATATCATGATTTTGATGTAATAGCAAAGCGATCAATTGCAGATACGAGAGATTCTGTCTTAGACATATGTCATAGAAGTCAAGGTATCTTATATTCCGTCGGTAAGGGACGAAGGTGGCACTAACAGCCCTACAGATTGCGGTGATGAGTAGTTCTATGATCAAGAAGACCACTCGAGTGAACCAGATGTTTAGAAGAGAGCGAAGAGAAGCATTGAACCTGGATAGCGTACCTGTGATCTGTCGGATTCGATAGCCCCACACATCTTGTCAAATCACTGGTACAAAACTAACACATTAACCAAGGACCAAGATCAAGAGAGTCCCTTATTAGCACGATTAATGTGGCCGATGATCGCAACTACCTAAGAGTTTCTAACTACCGTCTCTACACTACATCTCCAGGAGAGGCGACAAGAAAGCAAATCAGGTCAGTGATACACCCCTGCTTCTCATCTCTCGCCAGCACGAGGTCACATATTGCCGAGAGAGACATCGTTTTTTCTCCTACTCTAATGTCCGTAATCGTCTACTAAGGGTAAGAGAAAGGAAAGATTTCGAGCAGGTCAGTAATACTCACCGCTTGCCATCTCTCCCATGCTGCACCTTCATCTAATAGGTCATCCGAGCAGTGCTCCCTGTTCGTTGCAATCACCCATTCCTAAGAAGTATCACAGACCTGCTCACCTCTACCCCAGCTCCCGATCAATCAATACATCACTTGAACACAACGCATCAAGAGAACCACTGTGGTACGATACGTTAAGTCGTGGTATTCGGTTTGATGCAAGAAATCGGAAGGAGCAAACGACAACGTCGCTTTTACACCACAACGCCTCCAGCACACAGCACTAGATTACTATTAATCTATCACATGGTATCCATCAGCAATATCTGCCAAACAGACAAAGACCTTTGCAAGATATCACAAAGAGGATCATGATCTCTCCACACTCTTCATACCTCACACTTCTCGGATGACTACGGATGTAGGAGGAGAAAACGTATCATGTCGAATTCGCCACTTCCTGGCAGTACACATGGATCTTCCCAATCTTCTGGATATCAACATCGTAGGAACGAGACTCCAAGTACACAGAACCGGAAAGCAGAAAGTGATTTCCCAGCACATGACGGGCCACATGGCGACGTTTAAGCCAGAGTCTCAATTGTCCATGTCATGTGGAGATCCGCGTACAAAAGTGGTGTTTATACCCATAGCGTGGAGACGAATTCATAAGTACGATGGAAAGTACACCAGACCCAACGAGTTGTGGACGTCATAGTTTAGGACCTTCCATGTTTCCAGAAAAAATTGACATGTGCCACGTGAGATTGGAAGTAAAACAATCGTATCGTCGCCAGTGGATGAAGAATTATAAAAGAGAGTCAAAAGAGGAGTTGAAAGATAGAGCATTGCATTTCGATATTATCATAAACTGTTCGCAATGGAGTAGAAATAGCGAACGACAGCAAGACCCGCCCAACTGAGCAGAGAAAACACTCGACCATTGAACCTCCCTTTTCATTTGCGTAGCGCCGAAACAAACCATCAAGCGCCCATCATCACGACCGTATCAACAGACTTCCGCCAAACGAGCAAAAGCGCTCGTCTACTATCATTGTCAATACCCAGCGCTGCTACTAACAGGTCCATAGGTAGTCAGAGGCCACAGTCCCTCTCCAATCAGAGGTAGCGGTCCTCCACTGGCATCAACAGGCATGACACCAGCTGCATCGACACCAGGTGGTTTTTGACCAAGCGCAAGAAGAGCATTCGCGTTCTGAACGTCGAAGCCAGGGTAGCCGGTCCCCATGATGCCAAGCATGTCGTGGGTAAAGTGACGCCAGGCGACGGGGCCGGTCATCATCTGTTGGGGTTGTTGTTGAGGTGTGAGGGCAGCGGCGGTGGTGGCGGTTGTAGTGGGGGAAGTGTAGCTGTTGTTGGGTGAGGGAGAAGTGAAGGCTTGGAAGAGGTTTTGTGTTGTCTGGTCGTGCGGTGCCATCTGTTGGGGTACGTTCTGATTGTGTGCATGAGGGTTCTGATGAAGGGCATGACCAGCGTTGTGGGCGGCGAGTTGGGCGGTCAAGTCGGACTTGATGTCGTCACCATTTGTGTATGCGCTGCTGTCTACAAAGGCAGGGTAGGCAGGAGCCGATCCACCCGATGGGTCAGGGTAGGCGAAGCCATTAGTCTGGTAAGGCTGTTGGGCTTGCAGAGCATCATCAGGGCCGAGGTATGAAGCGCCAGCAGCTGTGTCGGAAGGAGGAGCGCCGTTGGGATCAGCAGGAACATACGCTGGTGCGTAACCTGCGGGTGCGTTGTAACCATTGACACCATCATGTTGGCCGTCGATAAGAGCAGGCGAAGAGCGAGCGATGTTGGCAGAAGCAACAGCAGCGCTTGCCGTCTTTGCTGCAAGATGGCGATGAATGTTGTCGATGGAAGCGTTAACGATGTGGCGAACGGCATTCTGAAGCTTGGCACCGCTGCCCATCAAGTGGCCGATATCACCAATGATGCTCAACCATTGCTCCATGGTATCCTTGAGAGCATTGAGGTCGACCGAGGTGATGTGGTCCTTGCGCTGGTTGTATGCGAAGAGAGTGACGAACATGGCAGAAAGCCAGACAGTAGCGTTCAGCCAGGTCGTGTCCAGGGCTTTCAAGGCGCGCATGCTCTGGGCAATGTGGAGCAATTTGGCACTGGCATCTAAACAGACATCCAAGTTCTTGTTGTTGACATCGGTGTTTTGAGTGCGACATACTGCAGGATGGTGGACGAGAAGGTTCAGCTCTTGAGCACCAAATTGCAGGTACAGCGAACAAGCTCGGTCATCTTGAGCAGTCTCGGGACCACCGGAAAGTTCAATAGGGATGCTCTTCAGGAAGTAGTCCAAATCACGCTCGAGCTTTTGAATGGTAAGCTCATACGAGTGAGGAGGAGCGCGAACCGAGTAGATGGAAGTCTGGACCTGGATGACAAGGAGGACTTGCTTGAAGTTGTGGCATGCGACACGGTACGAGCACTTGTGCCATTCGTCGATGCAAGAGGCTTCAGTACCCGTGTTGTCGTCGAGAGCCTTGGGGAACTCGACATCAAAGTCTTCGAGACGCATGGCCAGTGGACGACCAAGCTTGTTGCTGATGGACGTATGGATGACGAGAACACTCCAGAAGACACGCTTGCGCATCTCAATCTCGTGCTCGCTGACTTCAGGGTTGGTCTTTCCCCAAGCACTGACAGATCTGTGCAGACCCATCTCGGCGCAGAGGTTGAGTGTCAGAGTCGACATGAACCATGCAGCTCCAGGCTTAGTAAAGTTGCGAAGATGCAGGCAGATCAGAGCGATGGCCTGGATGTTGGGCAGGGTGCGCTTGGCCATCAGATCAGGGAGGAAGCTGGCAGCATAACGGTAGTGATCGGCCCATTGGGTGGGACGGCTGTTTCTAACAGATGACTGGAACAACATCATGGCGATGATCATGTGCAGCTGAACAGTCTCACTGATATCTGGCTGATAGACCTCGTCCGAGTTGAGGCGGTCGACCATTTCCAGGACGTCGGGCTTGTGGACGATTGGCGCATGGCAGTTGACCGAGACAAAGTACCACTCGCACAAGGCCTTGCACTCGCGGTATGAGGGGAACGATGGCGGAGGTGGACGGTCTTGCGACGACTTGAAGGCGATGCTGAGGAAGTTTTCGTACGACGTGGGCGAGAAGGCTTCATCGTTGTCGTTGGTGACAAAGTCGACGAGATCCAGCTCCATGCCAAACAGAGCAACCGATGTGCCCTTGATGGGCGACAGCCATTCGTTTGCGCCAGAGATGCCAAGGTAGTTGTCACCGAGAGAGTTGTTGCGATAGTCGGGCAGGGCGGCAGTACGAGCTCTTGCTTTGGACGGGTCGAGATGGGTGTCGGCGCCGAGGATGGACGACAGATCAAACATCTGGTGCGGCCAGGCATAGGCAGGCTGGCCTCCACTGCCGTTGAAACCCAAGGGCATGATGGGAGCAGGACGAGGGTCTTGACCGGCGTCTATCAACTGCTGGCGCAAGTCGTTGATGTGCTGCTTCAAGGCCATGTTCTCTCCCTCAATGTGTTCGGTATGGCCTCGAGAGGTGGCGCGTCCCGTGATACGGTCCGTCGTCTTGCATTCGAGGTTGTTGGCGATGCATGGTGAGCATCCACCTGGGCGAGCGTCACATCGTATCTTTCTGACCTGTGTTATACCGTCAGCGACATGGACTCGGGTGTGATACGGGGCGATGATGGCTGACCTTGCATCGGTCGCAGGCTTGACCGGTTCGCGACGTCGTCGTCAACTTCTTCCGGACTGAGCGTGAAAAGTCGCCATTCTCGGACTTTGTGAGCTTGCCTGGCGTGCCTTCTGGGCTGCCTTCAGACGGCCGCTTGCTGCTCATCTTCAACTGCTCCCAAGACGTGGACGGTATTCGCCGTGACCTCCAACTCGCGGTACAAGCCGTCTATGAAGAAAGCTGATTCTGGAGTCGCGACAAAACTTATGAACTCGAGCAATTCGACTCTTGCAACTGTCAGTCGAGTTTGTTGTTGCAATGCGGTGTGAGATGCTGTGACTGTATAACGATGATATCGCGCCTCAAAGATGACATGGAATTTTCTCTCTACCACTGAACAACTGAGAGGACGCGATTATGCCGATTGCCGCACGTGATGACGCTCGGACCACCTCCTCCATCACTGTTTCCTTCCCTCACTGACTCTACCAAATACCATCGCAATATTAGAAGCACCTTCTATTCCTATCAAAATGTCTACTCTCGAAGTCATCGCTCTACCTCATTTGCCGCAGTACCCTCTCTGCGTCGGTCTGTGGAAAAATGTGAAAAATGCTTCCTTCCTTCGCCAGCAGCTTTTGGCTGGCAACGCCGATTTTGAATATGCTTTCCTTGATGCCTCTGTTGTACGTCGCTCTTACCAATAATACGTGAAGTTTGTCTGATTTTGGCAGGTCCTTTCTCGCATGCAATTTCTCGCTGCATCTTTCCGCGGTATCAACGACTTTGCCAGCAACCGCATGAAGAGTCACAACGTCCATTCAGAAATTGTTTTTTCTTTTTCACCAAACAACAACGTGAGCTCCTGTCAGATGTAATAACCAAATTAAATGCTGAAATTCATTCAGATTGCCGAATCATTCCGCCGCTTTGGTATCTCAGACTCAACCCAACATGTTTTGGCCATCAAGGTCTGCTCTACCCCGGACATCACCGCAGAATCTGTCAGCCAGCATCTCCAGCAGAACATCGAGGGCGAGCAAGTCGAGGTTTCAGACGCCGCTTTGGCCGAAGTAGCTGATCAAGCAAGACTTCGCAAGATCTACAAGCTCAATGTTCAAGCAAAGAAGGGCGCCGCCAATGGAGCCGCTTCAACCACGTCTGAGATCAAGGAACTCGAGACTTCCATTCTTGGTGTTATGGCTCTCAAAGGATCATGAGCTCCATGTTGCATCTCTCACGCTTTACCGCTGTTAGCTCGCTCTCAGGAGACGAAAGTCCGCCGCTTCTTGTATACCGCAACCCCTTGCGGAATGATCCCACGCATCAATGATGTCCTGGTCGAGACTCCTTGCCAGAAGTCTTGTCGCGGGTCGGACCACACGAGACGTCGCCACCACCCATCAGACCAAAGCAATTCCACTCAGCATTGTGTTGCTATGGCATATGCTCGGGACATCCTTGGTCAGTCTCGGTATACAAGCGCACCACAACATCCGCGACAGGAGATCTGTGCCGGTTCGTCGGCCAGAAGACAGATCTCTCGAGCCAACTTATTAGGCAGTTTCGCGTTCATATGCACTTTCATGTTGGAGCATTTTGACTTGGCCAGAATTTGTTTTCCGCAATCATCAATCATGTTTCCTTGCAAATGTCTTCGGTCTGACCACGAACATTGACTGATCTCTTACCCACTTCTGTTGCGTTTCAAATTGATCTCTTTTCGATGTGCTCTTAGCGAAACCATCCATCGCCAATAAACATCCTGCCTTTCATTGAGAAGACTAACAAGTCATCACTACTTTAGCGTGAATCTACATGTCCGTTTACGTTTTTTTTTTATGTTCAAATCATCAGTCTTTGCTTCTAAATTTCTTTCCATAATGTTTATTTTTCCTTGCTTAATCTCTAGGCGTCCTTATCTTTGTTCTCGCTCCATCCACTTTTAATATGGTATGCTAGTCTATTATCGTCCATGTCTATCTCCATTTCCCTGCTTGCTCCTTCGTCTGCATGTATAAAGTTCGACTTCTTGCCTAGATTTCGATCCTATTCTTGCTCTAACAGCACAGTGAGAGAGACGACACTTTCCGACGTCTGCGGCTCTTCGATACGTTGCTTTTACGCTGCAAGATCGGGGACAGAGGGGAGGTAGAGAAGAAAGGGAGGTCTGTGATGCTCGTATCTTCCTGGGCTTGGTCGTGAGAGAAGATGAATCCTCACGTCTTCTAAGTAGCAGGGGCGATATCCGATTCATTGACCTGTCTTGCTTCATCTCGTGCTCTGCTTCCAGGTCAACACTTACCTTCCTTAACGGCGGAATTGACGAAGATAAATGGGTCGGCAGGAAAGTACTTTTCAACAGCCGTCTTGACTGGAAGCATATGTCACTTTTTTTTTTTTTACCAAACCTGGAGTAAGTAGCAGGTTATGTTATCAGTACTCAAAGATGGCGAAATAAGTGCATGACTCTTCGCCTACATACTGGGCTTTAAATCACACCTCTATCGCCGGTTCTTGGCTCATGTCTCGCGCGTCCGGGTAAAGCGGGAGTCCATACATATGTCACAACTTTTCTTTCTACCATACTATAAGTGCAACTCTACCCTCCCATCACAAGTAAGCTGTCCGGCAAAAAGCTGGCCTGGCGCCTCATTCTCCACCTTGACGAGATTCACGACATTACCGCCGAGAGCGAACGTGTTAGCATGGACGATATCGGCTTTCGCCAACACGAAGCAAGCGGGCAGGTCTGTGATACTTGTGAGTTGGAAGGTATCACGACTCTTGTCTTCACGAACAAAAAATTGCTGGAGACATCGCAGTATGTGAAGTGGAATGTAAGCTCACAGACATGTCTTGCTTCTTGCCTCCTCTGCGTCTTAACTCATGTCCTAGGTCGAGGATAGCTTCAACAATCGGATCTCAATCGGCTTCTATAACGGTCATCGTGGTCTTGTTAACGATCTTGTCTGGAGAACATCCAGCATGCTGTTCGAGAAACATGAACGAAGGATCGGCGAAAAGACACTTTTATACTGGAAGTTGTCTGGTTGACGGTCAAGAGTATGAATTTCGATGTATGCAGATACTGGTCTTTTGTTCCTAGCTCATTTCTAGCAGTTGCTATTCTTGTCTTCTTGATTGGCTTTTTTCTGTTTATGCCGATATGCCTTCAGCCAGAAGAACTTACTAGTCAGTTCTGTGCAGATATTCTGACACTGTTAAGTATCTGCTCTCTTATCAATTCGCTGTTCCTTCCACCCAAAAGGACCAGGAAAAAATCATGTGATTGTATCGGAATGCGGTCCAGAGCCATGATGCCGCACAACAAGAGCTGCAAGACCGAACTACGCCTATCAAGGTAGTCATGACCCACGCGTTTCCGGAAGACAACCTGGAGTTAATGCAAGCGCAAATCGCGTCCGGAGATTTGTCGAATCCTCACCAAAGCTATAGATCGTGTGCGTCCAGAATCCAAAGCAGATAATGTGGCAGCAGCCCAGAAGAAGGCCATCGAGGCATGAGGAAGCGAGTTTGTCACACTTGTGATCAGCCGAAAGTGGCCAGTCAAGCAGGGAAAATCTCCTTGGGACACCCACAGCATAGAGAGAGAGGTCAATGATCCTAAGACTTACGTTACCCCTCTTTCTCGTACATGAGAGATATGGAAATAGTCCTATGAATAGAAGCAATGAAACAATTTAGGAGTCCATGGACCTGTCTTTCTCCTTTCGTGTGCCTTAGCTACAGTTCGCAAATTTCCCATTCGGAGGCTTGTCGAGGTATGCAACGACTCCGGTCTAAGATGTTGGTGGTGAGTATGTCATCTTCGGTCAAGTTCGTCTCCGATGATAATAATTGATGGGCTGTGACGGAGTGGTTAAATCTTTGATGGAACATATAGAGCAAGAAGACAGGCGTATTTGTGCTATATAAACTCATAGTTTTCCATTATGACTACCTTTTCCTTCCTGTTCTTATGCAAATTTCTTTTTGATAGGCAGTATCGTTCTTTGCAACTTTCTCTCATCTTTATGTTTACTCGCTACACTGACAAGACTTGCTAATTTTGTAAGCTATCAAGTACAGTATTTCCTGAGAAAGTCATTACGAAGTCATACAAGACTTCAAACCGAGTACTACAAAAGCATCGGAGAGTACACCGGTACAGTTTGCAAGTTCCTGATCATACCTCTCCTTACATCGAGGATGATTTTTCCTAGAGAGAGGCTTTGCAAAGTTCGAATAGCTAACATAACTTACAAGGAAGCAGGTCTATGATGCACATTCCTTACTCTCTCTACTTCTTAATCTACAAAGAGTTTTCGCGCAGGTACCGTAAGATTAGTTCACTTCCCGAGATTTGTATCTACTATGATGTGTCACAGACCTGCCTTTCTTCTTTGCCTTCCGTACCTCCTAGATCTGTTCTATCATTCGAGGTTCTTAGGATACTTTGGGACGTCTAGTTGAATGTCGAATTGTAAGCCGAATATCTGGTCCGATGGAGAACTATAACAAGAAGCGGTCGAGATAGGAACAAGGCTTTATGTAGAATTGATTGTACGTAGACAAGTAATTTTCTCCGACCAATTTTAGTTCGCATCTCATTAGGCATTCTGAAGGTTGCCGAAGCACCCTCCAGAAATTGCGGTCCAAGACACTACCCTGGTTTGCAATCACGTTATTCAGTGCCCACCTCCAGCTACAAGTCGGGCTCATAGATAAGAGACCTACGCTACATGATGGCTTTCTCCTCAATCAATCACTGTATCAGCGTCTCAAGGTTCGGAGACAAAACGTTGCAGATATCTTATGCAGGTTGCCGCTGCAACCATTGCCAGCTGAGGGGATGCGTGAGGAAGGGGCCCAGGTCAGTGATACATTTGATCTACCATCGTGTAGACCCTTGAATTGGGCACTAGTGGTAGGTCTTTGTGTCAAACCGTAAACAAAGCACTAGGAGAAAGTGTTCACAAACCTGCCTTCTTTCTTAATGCTTTGTCACCTCCTCATCCGCGTCTCGACCATAATGTTGTGACACGCTTGTATAGGCAGCTTCTGCGCTTACAAACTTATTCTCGCAAACAAGCCTGCGAAGGAAGGCTTTTACTAATATGAAGAGGGCTAGGATGCTCGAGAAATATATTTATATGTCAACAGTCAAGCTCGAATCTGTTTTAGAGATCTGGAGAAGTGCAAGAGTAGAGATTGGAACGAAAAGCATGAGAGTAGTGTGTCATTCAGCACTTCTAGGCAAAGCTGAAGGTTGTGACTGGGAAGCTAGCTTTGATGATGCAGAGGTATCAACTCCTGTGTTGTGTTTTTCTTGATATGTCTGCTATCTTCTTATTCGAGACCGCCGAAAACTGACGATCGATATGCCTCGTCCATCAGGGACACCTGCTTGGTGTGGACTACCAAAGGTGAATGATTTCTGGGAGTTGGAGCGAGGAGGGAGACATCAGGGCCGAGACACGCTTAGTTATGATTGCCGGACCCCTTCGCGGCATCACAGCATTGATTGACATGAGTTGCTCACCAGCACAGGGAAGAAACCGTTTCTTAACAGTATACATTTCCACAGAACCACCACTTTCTCACCCGGTGGTGGGGTGGTGTGAGGGAACGGCTGCTGTGTTCCGAAATGTGTTGCTCAGTCGCTACCAAGCACTACCCTACAGACGTTGGTTCGAATCCTACACCGGGGCAAATCTTTTTTCTTTTTGCACTTTTTGCCGCGCTCACTCTGATCGCCTCGCTCATTTGCGCCTTTGTGCCCATATTTGTTGCCATGCAATCACGAGATGGTGTGCGTAAACTGGTGCCACGATCGTATTTTCGTCCATCTTTCCATACCCTCTGCGTTTCGTCTCAATAGGCACGTCATCTTGATTTGAACCTGAAACTTCGAAAGCATGCACACACATTGGTGTCATGCTCTCAAAAGTCTGAAATTACGGAGCCTTGAGAAAGACTTAATCTTCGAGGAACATGTCGTCATTTATCAGTCACTCTGCGGGCGACGTTGCTCGCCATGACTTACGATGACATTGTGGTAATAGTCATCGGCTCTACGTATGAATTTGCCGTCCTGAAGGGTTGGCTGAGCGGACTCCATCTCAGTTATCAGTTGGCGTTTTTCTGCTAGGCCTGGCGCCCCGACCCCTATGGCGGTCGTAGCACGCGTGCTTTCCTATGGCACGATTGGAGTACATGAAAGTTAAGCACGGAGGTCTGTGATACTTAGCAACATATTCTTCATCCCTTTCCAAGCCCGCGAGGTCGGGTTTAGCGGTTAGATTGGGTTTTTAGCAGGAGGAAGTCAGAGTGAAAACGATTCATCAACCTGCCTTCCATCCTTCTACCCCAGCTTCCTCGGGTGGCTCTGCTTTTTCGACGAAGTTCGACATACTGCATTCACAGCACCACATGAAGAGGGGAGAAAAGGGACGTGGGTATGGGTGTACTGTGCCAATCGTGAGAATCCTACGAGACTTTATAGAGATGAAATGTCAAACGTTTCATCCACTTGAGATGTTCCGACATAATTCATCTCATAACTTGCTAGACATTTGCATGTCGGTTCGAAAAGCAAGTCTGCATTATAGTAAGATTTGCTCATACAGATCGTCCGTCCTTGTACCTTCTGTATTTCGTCCAAGAGTAGATGAGAAGAGGCTGGTCAGGTTCAAAGCGATACATAAGCTGCATCACTCGAGTTCGAACGCACTTACATTGGAGAGTGGCCCAAAAATGTCTCAGGGTGCCAACTGGGAAGTCCTTCATAATCTGCTTGCCTCTCAGCCCATGAGGCATACTCTGCTGAAGCCCTTGCTGCAGTACCTGGAAATGCAATGGCTACTATGCCGCTGCCAGTGAGTTTCGAGCTGTGGTGAACGTCAACAGAGGGGAGGAAGGAGGTAGGTCCATGATGCATCCCTTCCAGCCTCTCATTCCAATCTGGGTACTGCAAAAAACAAGCTCAGCATTGACTTCCAGAGAATCCTCTGCTCATGGACCTGGTGACTTGATCTGACACGTCGTCTGCACGTTCTGATTGCCCCGGTTCTCACTTCGCGTCAAGATCTACAATGATGTGGATCTCGGTTGGTTCGCTCAACACATAGTTGACACAGTCGATAACGATACACAGACCGATTGTGGCTTTCCGTGTCTTTTTCATACCCCTGCTTCTTCTTTCCTTGTGCAAACCTTTCGAGTTTGAAGACACGTCGAAACAGAAGCGTATACACGATCATCATGAGTGCGCTTCTGCAAAATACATGAGACTTAAAATACTACATGTAGTGTCTCACAATCTTGAGTCTTTGCGAACACATAGTGATCTACGGGTTATTCCACAGATCTTCCGCGAAGAACCCTCTACTCAGTCGCGACCGGCGGGCAGAAATTGGGATGATTTACTAACAGATGCGGTAGACTAGGGCGTGCAAAGAACGATAGCAGGTCAATAATGCCGGTCCCACTTTGTTGTTCTCCACTTCAACCTCCCTATCATTGTTACAATTTCTATCATGTTGCATGTCTCTTATTGCGAGATATGTCCCCAGGATCATTTAAATGATAGAGAGCGTTTGCAGCTCTGGCAATAAACAACGCTCCGGAGCAATATAGTATGTCATCTGCGCACAATCTCCCAATGCAAAGGGATTCTGATGCAGTGAAGTCGTCTTGTCACAGGGTTCTATTTGGCAGAAGACTCGAGCCTCTTTCGGGTACGGTGATCTATCAAAGCGATGTAAGAAATAAGAACATAGATACGATACCCATAAATGATTCTGTGTCGCTTTTGGATATCGAAATCAAGTGAAGCAAAGCGCATCAGGCTGACTAGAATGGAAGAAGTTATTCTCGATGCACAGGCACTTCGTGACAGTCACGGTCCACCACACCAAGTACCTGAAGAGAGTGAACTTCGCCATACAGACTGCTGTAGTCACTTGCTTTCTTAAAAATGAAATGAGATCTTTTGCAATCGATAGACAGGTAGATTGTTACTTCACGGGCAACACCTACACACAAAACAACCACTTTTTCGACTCGACTTTTCTTGAAAACAGAAATTCCTTTCTACCCAGCTCATTAGCTACTGTCTCGACTCTTACGAGACATAAAACACACGACTACAGCAAATTTGCTGCTATATACCTGTTCCACCCGACACACACTTTTTACCCGCCTATTCTACGTCGACAATCACCACCCCGACAACCATCATAATGTCTCAATACACTTACACTTCCACCTCCGTCACCTCAACCATACCTTCCGACGAACAATCCACCTCCGTCATCTCGACTATACCTTCCGACGAACAATCCACCCCCACACGTAAGTGGACAGGTCTGTGATACTGACACAGGCCCCCTCAAATCTTGTTCGTCGTCGCAAGCTGACTGAGATACTAGGTGCACTCAAAGTATCACTGACCTGATGCCCGCGTCTTGCTCCCTATTCTGCATCGTTTCTTGGACATGTATTTCTTGGTACGGTGGGGATCACCGCTTAGACCATACGGTAGGGAAGATGTCCATTCTCACATAGGCTTCTTTCGGGAGATCTATTATATACTGCTTTGTAAGAAGATCTGGAGTCTGGAATCTGGAATCTGGCAGTCGGCAGTTGGCAGAACTCTAGTCTGTTTTTGAGACTGAGGTCTGAAGCTTAATATCGCTTTTAGTCGTCGGCTGTCTGTTATGCAGGTCCCGGATCGTCTTCTGAATTCTCGCATAGTATCTTTCGAGTCGTACGTTCAGACACCAAGGCGAAATTACATGACCCTTTGTAGGTAGTGGAAGTGTGGCAGAACTTATCTGGAGATGGGAGCTCGAGTAATAGTATAAACATCTGGATCAGCAGCATACCGTATGAGAGATAGCGTCAGAGGCTGACGGACAATGGGTCGGTGAGAATGTGGTGGTGTAAGTTCGGTCGGGGGTACCATGGCGCCATCAAGGACGAACGTGCCTCAAGCAGGTCCATGACACGCAAGATGAACGCTTAGCTCCAGGATTGCTGCTTCTGCTGTCGACGTGGCTAGGCTACTGGGACTCTGGAGTGGGCGACAAGCGTCACTGACCTGATCGTCTCGTTCGAATCTGAGCGACAGCAAAGGAGAAGATCAATCAAATCATCCTCTTGCAGGGGAAGAGCTTTGATCGTGTCGCGTTCTGAGTGTATGTTCACATGTACAGCCAGAGCAGGTGCATAGTTCGTAACAAGTATTGATAGCAAGCTCAAAAGACCTTATCAAGGGTGACCGAGATGCTGAACCGACTGTGGGGTGGCGGGCGAAGCTACAAGTCCGACGGTGATTACACATGCGACTCCAAACTGCGAGATTTCTCTCCAAGTGAGATACTCACCCTCAAGCGTTTAGAAGTCGAAATGCGGAGCATACGAAGTTTATGGAGTCCACTGTGATAGCTACACTGTGGATTAAGCTTTCTGAGGATTCTCTGGTCCTCTGAGAACAGGTCTCCGCCAACTTGCAAATCCAGAAAGCAAAGTGGACACCAGATTCAGAGAAGAGCTAGGATGAATCCACGAGACACTTCTTCACCACTGTGTGCCAGTGAATCCGACTGTCCAAAGCGTGTTTATGGAGGTTGCTATCGGCAACACGCAGATTTCTTTGTTTTTGTTTCCATCACCTTGACTCTCTTTGTCACGATACCACCTCGCGCACAGCGCCTAGGTCGCAAGAGTCTTGCACTCGTCAAGTATCCTGATCTTACTTGTACTGTCGTCAAAGCAGAGGACGTCGTGTTTGTTGTTATGGGAATAAGCAGGTAAGGCCGTCGAAGGATCGTGCCCTCTTTGCCCTACGTAATTCAGGATTAGGCCAAGGGCGTCAAACAATCTTGGCGGCGTTGGCGTTCGTCAGATTTCGTTTGAGTGAAGTCGTTCTGTCGCTGTCGCATGTCAGAAAGAAGAGCGAGAATGTCAAGTTTCGGAGTTCGGTCTCCGTAACGCGCAGGAGAAGGCTGTTTCGTTTTGTTTGTCGGAATGAGACCAGGGTGTCTTCAGCTTGCGTGAAGCCGTACTAGCCGTGGTATGCACGTTGCACAATGGGTGTCAATAAGATTGGCCGAACACAGGCGCATTCCTCGGCACGGCGTCCTCGCCGCTGAAGGTTGTCGCGACCTCCGAAGACAGCGAGTTGCTGCTGCGTATCTCAGAAAGAACGTTGCACCTCTCCTTTGAAGCCACGCATGCCTCATTTCACGGGGATTTGCCAGTCAGGAGTGCGGATCAAACAGCTGCCGCTTCAGCTTTCGTTTCTTCGTGCAGTTTGAATCTGAATGACCACTGCCGTTCAGCTGAACCGGCAAGCCACGTTCAATAATGGCATTTCAAAGTGTTAAGTCCAGATGTCGGTCTCGCAAAGTATACCGCCACGATGCGTGCCGGAAACGGGAAATCGAGAGCCAAGGTGAGCCAAAGGCTTGTCCTGACTTGGCTACCTTGGCGGGCGTTTTCGAAACGTGGACAAGCCCATGATTTGTTAAGGTTCATTGGATTTCACGCAAGGGAGACAGGCAGTCTTGCACGCTCTGGGTAAGGATTGTGATATGATTTGCGAGATTGGGGATTCGCATATTCTGCATGCCTTCTTGACATGTTCTCCAGTGGTAGACTGGTAATTGTTGCTCCGAGTAGAAGGTTTTGTCGGTCGGCTACTGGAGAATGTTCGGAAGTCCGGCTGCGGCTGCCCCCCGAAACAGGCTCGTCGCACGCCGTTGGCCAGGTTTCCCGGCTGTCAGTCTCCGATGACGCTGATTGATGAGAAATTCGCTGCAAGACTACGCGGCCACACACAGGAACGGTTTCGAGGGGCTGGCCGCGACAGCGATTGATCCATTGATTTGACGGGAGGTGTTGTATTGACTTTTCACACCCTTTGCGCGACTTTTGCATTGCGTGGTGAGTCGCGGCTGCCCTCTCATTTTTATTTAGGCGCGCGATAAGCCCTCTGGTTTCTGCACTCGTAATCCAACCCTTGTCCCTCCAACAAACAACCAGGATCACTGGGAGGCCAAGAAGGATCCGTCGATCACCCACCTTCTTTGGCTATTTCTCACACGACACCAAGCAGGGCAGGACTCCACCAAACAAGATCAGGCACACGACCACTTTCCCAGCCTGGTGCTTTTCTTCTTATACTTCTCTCTGTCCCGTCTTCCGGTCTGCCCTTTTGTGCCCCATCTTTTTACGACTGCTGGAGCGTTTGCACATTCACTTCTCGACTAGCCATGCGTTTGATCAACATCTTGCTGGCCGCTGCGGCACTGGCCATTGGTTCTGATGCACGCCCTATGAAGGTCCCCACAGACAACATCCCCCGCAAGAGAGATGCCGACTTTGAGAGCGTACGGACTCGCCTTACCAAGGATCACAGTGGTAAAGGAGGTGATCCGAAAGACAAGTACTTCCACGAATCAACCTTCCACCCTCACATGGACGGCCGTTTTGGTGACAGAGTTTTGGGCTACGATGACCGCCGATCAAATCTCACTGCACTCATGCGAACATATCTTTCCACCATGAATGACATTGGCGCTGAAACTTGGATCATGCACGGAAGTCTGTTGGGTTGGTTCTGGAACAGGAAGATCATGCCCTGGGATTCGGATGTCGATGTTCAGATGACCGAAAAGTCAATGGAGCACTTGAGCGACTACTATAACATGACTGTTCACCACTACAAACTCCCTTCATTCCCGGAAGGTCGCGACTACATGCTGGAAATCAACCCTCATTGGAGAAATGCCAGTACTACCGACAAGCTCAACGTTATCGACGCTCGCTGGATTGACATGAGCAACGGCTTGTTCATCGACATCACCACACTCCACCGCAACACTACCGCCGAGGCTCTTGGTATTGAAGGCGCCATGATGTGCAAGGACAAGCACAAGTTCAACTTCACCGACATCTTCCCTCTGCGTGAAAGTGTGTTCGAGGATACTCCTGTCAAGGTTCCATACGCCTACACCGATCTTCTGGCCGAGGAGTACGGCACAAAGGCACTTGTCAAGACCACTTTCGAGAACCACCACTTCGACGAGGACAAGATGGAATGGATTCCTCTCACGTAAGTTCACATCCCAACTCTCTTTTGTTTTCCAAACCCCTATCGTATGCCAGGCAAGGCAGGGGCTTATAAACAAAACAGGCAACAACAACTTCAAGGCTCTTGAATTATTCCTAACATTTCTTTTGTGATAGCAACCAAGCTCTTCAAGGCGCAACGACTGGTGGTGGCAGGCCCAAACACAAGGTCGTCTACGCAAAGAATGGTGGCCATCTCACAGGTGCAACGAGACCAGTATCGGAAGCAAACAGAGTTCCTGCATCCGCAATCCAAGGAAGCCCTCGACTCAACAGACCGATAACTCATCCTTCCGATCTGGTTTCATGACGATAATTGTGCATTTTCACTTTCGCGCTGCACATACACACTCATCTTGAGTACTCACGAATTGCGCTTTTCAGCGATGGCGTTCTGGAATATCTTGTTTTACGCCGCAAAGCATTGCATCTGCTGCTTATTTTTTCTACACCACGATACCACATGACGCAAATGTCGATAGCATTATTGTATTTTGCATCGCGTCTTCCTCTGCTTTGCATAGAACTAGCACAGCATCATGAACATACAAAAGACTAAATTCCTCTACATCTCGCTTGTCTATTTCTTCCATATCGCAATGGTTTGACCAAACTCAAAGTTTCGATGGTGTAGCTCTCAAAGGGCAACCGACAGAAAAACGCCACCGGCATCTTCTACCCGCAAAAAGCCCTGTATACGTAGCTTTCGTAGGCCGCGCAATCGCCAGCGTGTGATTGTGTTTTGCTGTGTCTGCTGACAAGCGCCTTGACATGTCCGCTTGCATGCATGCATAATCTTTTCTTTGCCTCGCGCACGCCTTGCATGAAGACCGACGTGTCCCTCTTCCGAAAATCGATTTTGAAAATCGGTCTCTGTTTTTCGACGCCGGACCCCGTCGCCGGGGCTGTCGCGTGCCTGTTGGGTGAAAATCGGGGATGGCATGGGCGCGTCACGCGTGCACAAACAATTCACCCCAGATCGGCAGGCATTGTTGCTGCATCGTTCTTTCCATTTCTCCAAACCTCCACGACGAGAATTGCAAATTCCAAAAATATTGCAGTTCTGCTTGCGGACATGGCAAGAGGTCCAGATCCTCCATCTGTTTCAGCTCTTCCCCCGCGGAGTATACCTCGGAGTTGAGCACGGTAAAGGGCATCTATTGCCGGTTTTACGGTTTCCGGTTGAAAACGGGCTGAGCGCTGAGGAGAATGAGACAAGCAATTTGAGAGATGGACAAGCTTTTGGCAAGCCTTTGGTGAGTGATTTGATGTGGTGAATGGATAATGGTGGCTTGATGAAGGTGAGGGTATGGGGAGCCGGGAGGTGAGGTGAGACAAAGATATGGTGAGACTTATGCGTGGATGACTTGCGCCTTTGCCTGGAGAGGCATTGAAGCATTGTTTGATGCGAACAGTGGACTTTACATACGACAGAAAACTGCTGGAGAGACGATAGCCACTGTGTCATCCGACAGACTCGGATCTGGTCAAGCTCGGACATCGGACTATATCTTGGACTCGCATAGGAGCATCGCACCCCAACACTTGGATATACTGGACCATGTATGCTCTGCTCTGGGCTCCTCCATGTCACTGCATACTAGAAGGAAGGATCAACAATCAGCCAACAAAGGCGAGGACGAGGTCTATGATGCAAAACTGTGGTCCATAATCTCCACGGCCATCAATCCAAAGTCATGATTGGAAGCGCGACCGGAACTGCATTTGGTTCTTGGTGTATCATGGACCTGTCTCCTGCTCTGAAGTATTGCGTTCTGTCTATCTTGGCCAGGTCAATCCAACACTCGCATGGATCTTACTGGACAGTGGCCACCATTCTCGCGAGTTTATCAATGCCGTCAAATCGCGTTGCAATACAAGTGCTGTTTGTCTTTCGTGCGACTGTCTTATATTGGTGGCCCGCTAAAATTTACTCCCTGTCTGGCAGGCGACTCACATAGATTGCTCTTCAATCATCGCAGAAGAAGCCTCATTGCTTCCTTCTAAAGAGGCAACGAGATACAGCGGCATATCGTGTGCGCTTGCGCTAACTTTATGTATTACCAGCCAGTGGGGTAATGGTTCTTATTTGGGGCATACGCTCCAGCACGATGTTTTGCGGGCGGAAAACTGTCGGTTCCGCCTCAACAAAGCACATCCCCGACGGCAAAGTCTGAGTTGGAGTTTGCCGACATCAACCAAAATGTGGCAAGGAACAAGGACATATTCTTACTCTCGGCCTGTGCACTTTCACTGTGGATTCCTCAACTAGATCTCTTTGCCTATGGCTGCATCTGTGAAGCAGCCCACAGTTGTTGCGGGCCCAGTGCATACTTCACACGATGTCGAAGACGACGCTATCGAGCTGACCAGCTACTCGGCTCCAGTAGAGCGGATGTCTTTGCATCAAAATTCATTCTCGCTTCCACCTGCGGATGGAGGTAAAGATGCTTGGATGGTTCTTGTATCTTGCTTCTTCATTGAAGCTCTTACGTGGGGTGAGGAAGATCTTCCTGGATATATGTGTTTTTGCATCTTGCTGAAATCATAGGCTTCCCCTTCGCATATGGCGTCTTTCAAGACCACTATAGTCGCTTGCCCGAGTTTGAGGGAAACAGCTCGTTGCTTCCTGCTATTGGAACCACGACGACTGTGAGACCACGACCTCTTCTCATGTGTACAAGCACATGTTGATAATCTTTACAGGGCATCATGTACTTCGGAGCTCCAATCGTATACTCAATTTGCCGACGCTGGCCGCGCTTCCGCAAAATAAGCGTTATCGCAGGGTTTGTCGTGATCATCGCTTCCTTGATCGGTGCCTCCTTTGCCACTACACCATTCCAGCTTCTAGCTACCCAAGGCATCTTGTACGGTATAGGTGGTGCGGCACATTACTTCCCAGCCTTCCTCTACCTCGACGAATGGTTTTTCGCTCGCAGAGGTACTGCTTATGGAATCGTCTGGGCCGGAGGCGGTGCAGCCGGTCTCGCACTGCCTCTGACTATGCAATGGATTCTATCCGAATATGGCTTCCGCACAGCACTTCGCGTATGGGCAGTCACCAGCATCATTCTCGCCACGCCCGCAATGTTTTTCCTCAAAGGTCGACTACCCATCCATCACGCCTCCACCGGTCCTCAAAAAGTCGAGATCGGTTTTCTCAAAGACCCAGCTTTCTGGATATTCCTTTCTGGCAACATCATCCAAGGCTTAGGCTACTTCCTACCGACTTACTATATGCCTTCTTTCGCTCGCGCTGTAGGACTCAAACCTATCGCCGGCACCATCGCCGTTTCCCTGACAAATGTCTCTACTATGCTGGGCTCGGTCATTGCAGGATGGTTCGTCGACCGCTATCACGTCACCACAGGCGTAAACATCTGTATCCTCGGCACCTTAATCTCCATCTTCCTCTTTTGGGGTTTCGCAATCTACGCACCTATGTTATACATCTTTGCCATCTTATACGGCATTTTCGCCGGCGGGTTTGCATCCACATGGGCAGGCGTCATTGCCCCCTTGAAACACAAATGCCCAGGTGTAGAGACAGGAATGGTGGTTACGCTTTTTGCGGCTGGGAAAGGTTTGGGTTCTGTAATTTCTGGGCCGTTGAGCGGTGCGCTTGTTGATGCTGATGGCTGGAGTGGGGGTGGGGGGTTTGCTTGGGGTAGTGGGTATGGGTTGTTGATTTTGTTTACTGGGTGTACGGCTGCTGCGCAGATTGTGGGGTGGTTTGGCAAGCAAGCTGGGTTTGTGAAATGATGGATCCTTCGGACGGACTCATTTCGCGACAGCGGTGCGACCTTATCCACAGCAACTCTGTTCCATTTCCTGACCTCAAAGAGTCCTGTAGTATCATGTGCGTGCTGACCATCTTTGCTATACGTGGCATCGACGTGGTACACATGTGTTATAGGGTTTTCCAATAATCAGTGCTGTATAAGAAGTGACATTCGCGTGCTGCCCTGTTTGGGCTGCAGTCGATCACTGGAATTGCACAAAGGGTCCTGACACAGAAGAATTAGGAGTGGCAGTATCGCAATATACCTTCCGAGTGCCGCAAGGCAACATTAATGCTATGAAGAGGTCAGTGTCTCTTCACACCCCCTCCTGACCCTGCCATCACCCTAATTATCCCTAGCAATCCTATACCAAGATTTTCCAGGCCCAGTGACTGGGGAAACCAGGTCCCGCAAGAGGATCACTGACCTGATGGACTCCTTCCCCTCCTTCTTGCCTCCTCTCCATCTCTCCTTCCCGTAAGCGGATAATAAACTGGCTGATTTACACACGTTAGACTGCTCGGAGCCAAGAACAGATGCATTTCGAGAGGAACACTGCGGTGTGAACAATCTATACACACTCGAGGACAAGCTATATAGCGAATTCGTGAGCAAACAGATTTACGCAGAGGTAGAAGCAGAAGCTATCGTGACCCCGCTCAATTTTTTTGGTCATCTCAACTCTATACCCTTATCGAATTTTCCATTTAATAAAAGATTCGCACGAACATGGGAGGAAAAGAGTCAGGATTCATATCTGCCAAGTGTTTACTACGCGATGCTTATAGAGGAATATATTGTTGGAAAGTAAAACATCAGCGATAGACGATAAAAATGATAAATGTATAGGTATATATCAGGAGGAAGATGCACGAATTTTGAAAGGATAGCAAACGACACTATAGCTTTCTTCCAATACACGTATAAGAAGAAGCGTTGTCAACGGGGGCGTAATCGTTCTCAGATCAGCCCTTCCTCTGATTCCAGAAACCGTTCTTTTACAAAGAAGTGGAGCATCGATGTCTCCTTGGATGAGCAAGATACAAGGAAAGTACTTGTGATGATACAAGCAATGACGATCTAATAGTAAGTACTACCAGAAAAAGCGAGCATCATCCATATTCTTAGTGCAATGTAAAAGTTCGAAAAGACGACTGTAAAAGCAGAAGATATGTTTGTAGTTCGTGAGGACTTTCAAAGAAAGCGAGCTCCATTCGTATTTCTAGCGATCAATTATCCTCTTCAAAAAAAAAAGGCTTTGTGCTTTCTCGCAATTCCATCTTGCTACGTTGATGCAACATGAAATCGTTAGATATTCGTCACTCATCCGAACGATAAATTCCTCCTCCTCCTCCCCCCTCTCACCACTTCTTACCCCTTTCATATACTTCCCCTCCACATCATCCCAACGGACCCTGCCCTACCAACAAAGGAGCAAACACAGCCCCCATGACAGGCCTAGCAGCAAAATTGATACCTCCAGGATAATCTCCACTCTCAGTCTCATACAAATCCGTGAAAGGTCTGTTGGTCGTGGTCTTGCCAATCCAATCTGCAATCTTGGAGATGAAGAGGGATTTAGTGGAAGGAGAAGCGATGGACGCGACGAAAATTTCCCAGTCGAGTTTTGTGTAGGTGTGGCGGGTATCTAGCGGGACTAGGAAGGAGAGTTGTCAGTGAGAGGTTGAGAAGAAGAGGGAGCGATTATGATCATACCGCCGTATTGCATGGCTACTGTTGGGTAGAAAGATGATTGCATCTCATAGACGCTGCGAGGGACAATGTTCGTGCCAACCCAAGTATCGGCGTAGAGGTTATAAAGCAAGCCATGGGTCTCAGGCATACCATATGCCAATGTTGTGTGAGCCAGAGAGCCATTCGTAGCTGGAGCAATTCCCAATCCTTGCCACTTGGTGATATAGTCATGAGCAATGGAAGTAAAGTTCTCAGCGTCAGCGGTGTGGCCAGTGAGGTTTGCGATCACAGCCATGGCTTCGATACCTATAATGCCTTTGAGTGCGAGATTGGTTTGATTAGCCAATGAGCCTGCAAAGTCATCGGTGGAGATTTGGTTTGAGGGGATGAGTGAGTCGATTACGAGGTAGTCGTTCCATTGCTTGAGAATCTCGTAGTGTCGATTGAGGTACGCAGTGCCGCCGCTGACTTTTTGAGCGACTGCGAGAGCCATGACAATCATGTTGCCGCATTCCTCGAGAGGTTGATTTTCAGCGTTACCGTCATTGTGGCCGGTGGCATTGGGAAAGACACCCAAATCGTGAATCGCATATGCAGCTGGCCAGTTGCCAGCTTCTTGATTGATGAACAGTGGTTCAAGCAGCAGGCGACCCAAGTCCGGGTTGAAGTAGAGGAAGATGGGGAAGGCAGGGAAGATGACATCAACGGTTTGCATGTCACCATTACTGCTGATCTCTTTCATGAACAGATGATACGACTTCGTAGTACCGGCGAGCTGAGTAGTGGCGAACACTTGACGGACAGCAAGACTGGTGATGGTCAGGTAATCCTGTCCCGCATTTGCAAGAGAGTCCGTAGCGACCTTTGTGTCAATACTGGCAGCGCTCGTCTGAGCGTTGCTCCAGTCGTTGTAGAAGAATGAGACAAGGTCAAGCTCGCTGGTAAAATAGCTCGTCCAGAGCGGAGGCAGTTGCTGAACTTTGTTGGTATCATACTCGAATTGAATGGCTTCGTTCTGCGCCAGGGTCAAAGTGAACAAGGCTGACTGAGGAGTGCTCCCAACAGAGCCAAAGTCAAGAGCAAAGGCAAACACGGGCCACTGATTGCTGATCGCTCGGTAATTCGTGTTCAAGTCATTGTCAAGAACACCATTGTTGATGAAAGCTCCACGCACATCCGTGTCAACACCGCCGTTCGAGTAAGTCAAGCCTTCGTGGCTGCATGCATAGATCCAATTTCCCCAGCTTGCCTGATCCGAGTTCTCGACGAAGACTTGCTGTTCTTGACGATAGAAGCGATGGTAAGTAATGCTATTAGCTTGCGCAACTCCGGTAGCAGTGGCAGATGCCGAGACAGATGCTGCAGTCGTAGCCTCGATTTCAGAAGATATCTCCACAGTCGATGAGGCGTCGGATGAGGCCGCCGAGGAAGCAGGAACAGTGACTGTTTGCAATGTTGAATATCCACTTGCTGACTCAGCACGTTTCGAAGCAGCCGACTTGATGCTACCAAAGTCCCACTCTGCAACGGCGGACCTGTCTCCAGATGCCCATTCTGCAGACACATCCGAGTACAGTTGGACCTTATGGTCAGCGCCATCAATAGAGAAGACCTCAACATTCATGTAAGAGGCGGGTATCGATTGGCGTTTGAGGTCCGTAGGCTCGACAGGAGATAGAAAGGTCACATTCAACCCGACTTTGCCGTCGACCGACAGCGAAAAGACAGATTTTGTTGAAGTGTACTCGAAGCTGTTCTGAGTGGCCACAGCAGGACCGTTCGGAGCACCCATCCATGTGACTGCGGCACCTCCGTCTACCTTGATGAGACCTTAGACTTGTCAGTGTCTTACTACAAATGTAGTAACGGGCATCTTACCTGTCCAGCCAGTGACTTGGCCTCTGCATGGGGTCAGTGAATGGTCAAAGGGTTACATGATCATGAGACCTACGCCCAAAACCTTGGCCATTGACCGGCAAGCTGCTAAGTGTTAGTGCAAGTAGCTACGCTAGCCCATGCATTGCATACATATCCTCCATTGCCTCCATCGCTACCTGCTTGCTGCCATGTGTTGAGATATGGGTTGGAGACGGCAAGAGGAATTGCTGGTGGCCTTGTTGGTGAGAAGGATGACTGCGCTAAGACAGTAGACGCAAGCAGGGTCAGGGATGCCAGAGACAACATTTTGTCTCAATGTGATGATGATAACAATGCAAAGTGATGAGGATTGGTGTTAACAATGAGGGTAACCCCGTCTTTTTGAACCAATCTTCAATACCAACAAAGAATGGTATGAAGATGAGTGTAGAAGATCGGCATAGGGCATGATCAAGAGGGAGCATGCGGAATGTATTGTCCAATTAGTTTTTTTGCATATTCAACGGTCATACTTATGTGCTGTCATCCGGCGCTGTCGTGTTGTGTAGCTGCCAAGCTAGACCGCCTACCATGGAAAAGCAACGCCAGGAAATTGGCGACTGATTTGCTCATATGATGTCTTGAGTCTTGACTAAAGGTCTCAGCAGTCGAAGTACAGCAGCAGAGATTGTGATGCATCTTCTGATCCATTGCTTGAGAGAGGGCAAAGTCTCGGACGAATGCTTGTGGACCGGGGAAAAGAGCTTATCCCGAAGTAGCGGTCTCGAGTGCCAAGTGACGGCATCTTGTTAGGAATGAGGTGCCGTCTTCTCCTGAGGCACTTTAATTTCGCAGCGAATGACTTGAGTCAGGAGCTCATGTTATAGGCATATGAGAAGCATGGCTCAATGGCGACGAATCAGAGTTTTGGATGATCGACGACATGGCGGAGGTAGAGCGGAGTAACGAGCTTGCATAAGGCATGTGACCAGAAGAAAAACAACAACAGGCGATCGACGGTAGCGACTTGGATGGTGATTACTCTCCGATGTTGCACTGCAGTGCGCCAGTGAGATTGTATTGTGGAGTTGGAGATCAGAGACTGGTGTTGATGTAGGAGCAGACGTCTTGGATGTCTTGGAGTTGGAGGCTTTTGGGCGGACAGGGTCACAAGAAAGCTTGAAAAATGCTCGGGCCAAGACATTTGGCCAGCCGAGGCATCCACCACAAAGAGACGCGTCGATCTTACCAAGCTCTTTTTATCACCACACATTTCAACAACGCACATCATGGCAAGCCGCGGAGAGCTGCTCTATCCTGAGAGTGACCGGGTGTTCCTGGAACCTTATCTACCTCCACCTGACCGTCAAGTGAAAGATGCAGGTGTGCCTTTCGTCACACTCACTTTCGCGACATCGCTTGATTCGGCTTTGTCTCTGGCTCCTGGTGTGCAAACAGCTTTGTCGGGTCCACAATCGAAAGCCATGACACACTACCTTCGCTGCAGACATGATGCCATCATGGTCGGTGTTGGTACGGCAATCGCAGACAATCCCAGTTTGAATTGCAGGATTCAAGGTGTCGGTGGTTATGGAGGGGAAGGGTTGGTAGGACAGCCAAGACCTGTTGTTGTTGATCCTCTTGGAAGATGGCAACTGACTTCTGAGACCAAAATCCTGAAGCTTGCCAAAGAAGGACGAGGCAAAGCGCCATGGATCCTGACCACAAAGACACCAGATTCGGAAAATGCCAGGCTGTTGGAAGAGGTGGGTGGATGTTACATTGTTCTCGGGTCACGCACTGGAGCATCAGAAGAGAGGCCTTCAATGACTTGGCTCGATATGCTACGAGCAATCGGTACGAGAGGTATTGGAAGCATCATGGTTGAAGGCGGTGGCGTGATTATCAACTCTTTGCTATCGGCAGAGAACGCGGAACATATCAGCTCTGTGATTGTGACTATCGCGCCTACTTGGCTGGGCCAGGGCGGTGTTGTGGTGTCTCCACCTAGAACAGAAGGTAGCAGTCTTCCAGTTGCTCGGCTCAGGAAGACAAAGTGGCAGCAACTAGGTGATGACGTGGTTCTTTGTGGAAGTCTGGGCGCTTGAAAGACGCATTGCTCGTTGAAAAGGGAAGAAGCAATGGACAGACTATGGCTTTCGCTATTCCTGCATTGCGGCCAGTCGAAGCATTTTCTGTAGTGAAGGCGTCGGGGCGCGTCTGCCTTGGGCTCGTCTCTGCGAGTTTCGCTTGGTCGTGGCTTCCTGCAGCTTCGTCTTGTCGCCATCACTTGGCGCGCAGCACTTCTTCTCAATTTCTCAAGCATCTCTGCTGTTCTCAACAACACAAGACTTGCGACCCCGATCATCCTGAACAATCCAAAGATGCGCAGCACCAAGGAAGTTGAACAGATCGAGAAATGGGGCACAGGCCTTTTTGAGAACGCGGCCGACGAAGCCATCGTTCGAGAGCTTACCAGAGAGTCTGGTTTTGCAAAAGGTCCTGAGAACTTCCTCTTCCCTTCGAACGTTGAAAGCTATCGCGAGGAACTCGACCACGGAGCTCTGGACAGGATGCTCGAAGTTCGTCTGCCCATGGACCTTAGCACCGAGAATACAACTCAGGACAAAGACGAGATGTGGACCTGGCCTCCCAGCAGATGTGCCGGCTATCGTCTCTGCTTGCTCGGTGCAGTCATGATGCAGCTTGGCTGTAGAGTCCGTAGCGACCTGCGCCTGTCTATGGAAGAACTTCACACAATCGTCGGCTTCTCCCGAAATGCTCAAGTACAACTCCGCCACGCTCTCAACGTCTACGTTGATGGCACCCCCTACAATTTCCGCGCAAAGCCTCAACCCATCGGTACCAACTCAGACGACTGGGCCACAAACTCTGTATGGGGTGATATCGGCGAGTCCTTCATCATGACCGATGTTACGACGGATCCTATGCTCAAGATGATGATGAGACAAATTCTTGGTCCTATGCTAAAGTGTGTTGCCGCCGGCGACAACGACCATCCCCACGACGCTTGTGGTCGTTGTGGCAAGAAGAAAAGAGAAGATGGCTCGCCTTGTCAGCCCTGTTCGCAGTGCGGTCAGAGGCGTTATTGCAGTCGCAAATGGTATCTTTTGTGCATCCTGAAGAACGACATGACAAGATGCTGACCACACTTGAAGTGAACTTGCCCATCGCCCCCAGCACAGATTGGTTTGCGAAGATCCCTTCTACCGGTCCAGCGGCAATGTCTGGGCACAAGCCGTGAGGGAATCCAACAAGACCAAGGACAGCCCGGCCAACGACACAGGCCATGAGGACACCAATAGCACCGTACGCGACAGACTGTTGACCGCCTATACCTTGACCTCCCCCTTCGCCCAAAGCATACATGACGATCTTGATGGACTACCCATATGCGGGAACTGTGGTATTGAGGAGACCAAAGAGAGCTCCCTTTCTGTATGCAAGAAGTGTTCGAAGCAGCATTACTGCAGCAAGAAATGCCAAAAGGCCCACTGGTCGTCGCATAAGAAGCTATGTCAGACTTTCGCCACCACTTGAGACGGTCGGTTCATGAGAGACATCACTTCCTCGCTCGCGGCCCATTCCGTACTTTGTCTCTCCAGAAGCCCAAAGCCCGCTGACTCACCAAATTTGCTCAATCACGCATCGTTACCGCCACCAAACTCGCTGCTGCCTCTTTCCCCATCGTACCCTTTATATACGAAATACTTTAGGATCCTTTTAACAAGCAAAAAGCCGTGGTAGTGTAGTGGTTAACATACCCGTGGTCTTAACACGTGCGCAGTCATTCGTTGTTACTCAACGCCGTGTCAGTCTAGATCCGAGGAGGTCGGGGGTTCGATTCCTTCCCATGGTGCTTTTCTTTTTTGCTGATTGTGTCGCTCATACATGATATTCTTGTCTTGAGCATTGCGCCCGAGCGCTTTTCTCTTCTCCTTTTACTGTATACTATAATCAGAAAAATGAATCACAACGCTTTTTTCAGGTCACCTCTGCTTGTCGTCTTTCTGTACTTTGTAGGACGGTTGGTAATAATGATTCGCATCAGCATGTGTTGCTCGCTTTTATTCGACCCTCTCCACGGCTCGACGAGGTCTTTGTTTGTCGCAACGATGTTTTTTTTTTTTGCGAGCAACAAGAATGCCTTTCAACACATAATCCTAGAGTATCACAATTTCTTCAGATGTGAGTGCCGTTGGTTTTTGAAAGATTTGCACTCTTCTTTTTTTTTTCCCCCCGCTTCCTCTGTAAGGGAAAAGGTACAGTGGGAAGCCAGGTCTGTGATACTGAATTCTCTGCACGTCTTCTCACGTCCTGTTTATCTCGTCGTATCTTTTCCTAGTCTGACTGCTCTGTCGTGAGAGACGTGAAGATTGCGAGGTATCATTGACCTGTATGTCCTATTTTCAGAGCTCCTATTTTGGACATCAGATTTGTCTATTCTAGGAAATCAATTCGTTTGAGCGAGGTCCACTCATGAAGAGTGACCACTGTGCAGTGTTTGTAGATAGAGGCGGAGGATGGCATTTCTCCTATTTTTGTGTAAGGATAATTGATCTACTGTCAAGTCAAGTCGCTGTTGATATTTAGGTTTGACTATTCGATTACCAACTCATCCATCGTTTTGTTGGACACTGCTGATGATGGGGTTAGGAGTGTAATAAGGTAAGCTATAGTGCAGTTTGTAGGTATGTATACTCTAGTACCCTTCGGTTTTGCCAAAGAATCATCTCTCATTATCGTCTGTCCTATGTTGACTTGTCTACGCCTGAGCTCGCAAGTTAGAGTGGAAAGGTTCGAATTTCGTGTCGACTCGTAAGAAGTAAGAGGGGGTATCAGGTCCGTGATGCGATAGATTGACACCTCATTCCTAGCAGGTCTGCTGATGAGATTTTGTGTCTTGAGCTGCGAGTGCGGAGATGTACCAAGCATGTAGGTATCACTAACCTAAGTTCTGGTAATGCGCTGCGGCATAGTAGGACCAGTTGTAAAGTCTAGCGCGAAGCATTCAATATTGCTCTTTGTGTAAGTGAATGAAGCGTGTTTGATGGCGTAAGGTGACAGCAGATAATTTGATAGTCCTTTTATAAGATTGTGCACCGTGCAGTACATCTAATCGCTAGGAAAACCCAAAGTCCGACAAAATCTGATTGCACTAGGGAGGTCAGGCCATCTGAAAGGACTATTCTGAGCGAAGGGATATCCATTATCCTCTGAATTTCGATTACGTTGACTAACTCTAGTAAGCGCGACGTCGTGACTCTCGAGAGCGATGTAATTATAGGTAGCGTCGTTGATTTTGGCTTCGAGGCCTTTCCATTTGTGATCTCCATATATTACGAAGATTTGGACTAACGCAATGGGCGAAGGGCGGCGCATATGCTGAGAGATCATTCAGTGCGATAGCCTCTGTTGTTGCCAGTGGCTTGGACTGATAAGTCTTGACAATTACATAGTTTTGTAGTAGCCGTAAGGTAGCAAAGAAAGGTTTCACCACGTACGCAATAATTTTCCTTGCAGATTCTGTAAATTTGGAGTTCTTTCTGCACAGTCAATCTCATACAGAATGCAAAGATCAGATGATGGCATAATAGTTTCTTGTGGCCTTCATGCTGTTTTGATAGTTAAATGGTCCTGAAGGTTCTTACATGTTCAAGAACAAGTACAACCATCAGTCGTTACCACTTCATCTGACACCGGTGACTGCAAACACAGTGTATTGGGGAACGGAAGCTCAGATAATCACCAAGGTAGCTTGGGTGGTAGGACAAGTAATCGATCAGGTCAATGATACGCAGACTTCCAATCGTTTCCTGCATATCTTTCTTCTACGGTCCCTGCCGAACTTCTGTCCGTAGGGAGCATTCTTGTTGTCAGGGAGTCACTGACCTCCCCGTTTTCTTTTGCTGCTATCTCACTCTCTCCTGTACGGACCAAGTCCATATTGTACGTCTTTCTCTCTTACGTGGGTTGCTTTGATGAAAACCCATCATACGACCGGGGGTGTGTCTGTTGCGTTTCTTACTGGTAGTCTGTACAGAAGCGGCAATATACACTCCTCAGTTCTTGTGGGTGTCTCTCTCTGCTTTCGTAGGAGTTCTCGACTTCGGCTTCTCCTCTCAAGTCGCAGAGATCATACTTGAGTGGCTGTGCATCGGTCACGTATGAGTGTTCAATTGCGCATCAAACACTATATGTCCACAATGTCGCTAGAGACTCGAAGTCTGTATCAAGATCTTCTCCAACGTCATTAGAGTGTGGTCAAGAATGATTGGGCAACAAACTCTCGGCGAATCCTCATACATCTTGGGAGGCTAGAGATGAACATAATACGAGAAGAGGGTATCAGGTCGGTGATTGTGTGACAAAGTTTCTATCTCGCCTTCGGTGGACAGAAGTAGCTCACACAGTTCTTGGATACTATTTGCCTTCTCCTAGTAGGAGTTTTGTTGTTGCTTTATGGACCTGATCATCTTCCCTTGGTGTATACCTCCCCATGATGGTCTATCTGATTGTGAAGTGCATCCTAACAACTTTTGAGGCTTTTCGAGTACTTCCACCTATACATGACTCGAGATGAGATTTGTTTGACAGCCAAAATACAGTACGTTACTGTTTTATATAGTACCTATTGGCGAACTTCGGATCCGCTCCGCATAAGACAATATGCCGACATCTGCTGATTTTTGACCTACGAAGACCCCGAAGCTTCCATGTTATCTCAAGCTCTGACTTGGCCGTGGTTATACGATCGATTTCTATCAACACATACTGCTATCAACCCATACTGTTGTTTTTCCCGTTTCCAAATACAAGTTTTGTCTGGCTTATAAGCCATGAAATATGCTGCCATATTAATAAAAGAAGTATGGAAATGCATTGCTACTAGTAATAGGAACTGGCAATCATGTGAATTGCGTCTGCATCACAGCTCTTCGCGATAGAATAATACGAATATATGAATGCTAATGGAAGCAAAAGATAAGGACTAGGTCTGTGATGCCAACTTTCGCCTTCTAATCCTCCACTGAGCATCTATCTTAGAAGATGCATAACGCCGTAAATATGTCTTCTCTGAGAGGTAAACTCTTTAGAGTTGTTTCACGGACCTGCTTTGCTCCTGTTCTTCTCTATCCCCCTCTGCCTGTCTAGATACAGTCGAATACAGCATATCTAGTGAAGTGTCTCTGATGGAGTAGTGAGTCATTGACGCACTGATCATCCAGAGGTTCTGCTATCTTGTATACCCTAAGTGGGCTTACCCGTTTGTCGATGTGAGTGGTAGAAAGCAGGCATGAATGCCCCTTTCCTAAGATCACGAATATGGTGCAGTTTTCTGCCGTTGAATAATGCTCCCGCCATGCACACCGCAAAAGATCCGATTTTCCCACGTCTTGTTACACACGCTACTTCTGTCTTGGGTAGAAAGGACACCTGCATAAGAACAACAGTATCCGTGGTCGATTGGTTGACTATAAAGCCATTCCATCGCTATCGAATGTTACCAGAACCAGCGGATTGGAGAGAATGCGGCCAAGGAGATGTGCATGAGCACCAACAGACCCGAATCATGGTTTTGGCGAAGATCTGAGTGGTCATCAGTACACCTTCACGAGCCAGCAAGATGAGCCACCAAGTCACTGGATCCGAACGTAAGCTCTACTTGTCCAGAACATGTCACCGGATGATAGAAGCTGGCTGTGGGACGCAGTTTCACAGACCTGAGTAGTACCTTCACATACCCTCACACTTTCAGTTCGAGACGGACTCAACCTCATAGACAGAACTTCCACCAATGGGGGATTCGACATCTGTAGTCATTGGCGCGGGGAAAGTTGACAACGAGCAAATCTAATCTGGTCGTGGGTCTTGTAGTTGTATCTAATGTTCCCATCGCAGAGTCTAATACCAGTGTGGCGCGAGTGCTGTCAGTATCAAGCAAAGTCTTCATACAAAGTCTGACTACCTCACACTCACTATATGTATTCAAGACTCACTATATGTGTTGCAGGTCCTCCAAATTTGCAACCTTCGATCAAGATGACGCAGACTCCAATCTGTAGGAGCTACTCGTACCATCTAATCTCCTCCATCAAGTATAAAGCCATGGGCCATGATGAACGGTTTAAGAGTTCAAACGTTATCGAATTTAAAGTTGAATTTCGACGTGGAAACTTACCGAGGGAAAGACCCTTACTTCCGCGTCTGTCTCATGACCATTTAGAATCAGGGAAGTAGGCGATCAGGTCAGTGAATCAGAACATATGACCTGAAACCTGCTAGTGGTTTGATGCTCAGATGCTGAAGCTTGTAGTTCGAGATGGATGATGGTGCTGGGGTTGACGGACCCGATCGAGTATTCGACCTGCCGTCTCAATCGTGACGATAGACACAGGATGACTGGATCCGAGTCAGAAGCTTGGACTGCGTTGTGCTGAGTTTTGATGAAATCCAAGACAGCTGATGGTGAGACGTCTTTTATACGATGATTATGATGACGATGTGGTTTGGTTCTAGTGACATTGAACAGAGCGGTGATCAACGACAATGCTTGGTAGCTTGTCCCAGAGGCTGCGACAATGCTGGCAATGGCACGATCAGGATTCGGGCAGAGACCGACAGTAACCTTGTTCTCTTTTGTGCCGCGATCTAGTCAGCAAAATCAAACTAGAGATTGGCATCACATACGTACTCAATTCCATTCACTGTGACTTCACTACAAATGGTTGGCACCGATACGCGTGCTACAAATTCCTTGATCACAACAGACCTTTCGAACCACACCAAAGACGCATATCAAGGATTCGGCTCGCGAACAATTCAGGAGCGAGAAATATGATGTCTCAAAAAGGCATCACCACCCCTCGTCAGGGACCAGAAAGCAAGTCGTCATCAGGTCAGTGAAGCAGAATTGCCTTGACAATTGCTATTAGCTGCCTGGGATATAGCGGGAGCGAAGAGCTGGGAATGAGTGTTAGCGCTGCAGCTCATGGACCCGGTTGATTGACCTTCCGTGTCCATGTCAACTTCAGTTGGCCCGATGCTGATAACCCGTAGAACGGCCAAACGACAGACATTCGAAGTGGCGGTCACCAATGCGAGGAAATAACGAAGCATTGATTGGCACTCGGCTGATTCTCTTATACGACACTGACGACAGCACCAATGACGTCAAAGCTGGCCATTTGGCAGCAGTCAAAGTGAGCATCTCCTTCAGTTGGAGCATATAAGTATTGGAGAATGTGTCTGAAGAAGTGAATCAGGGGGTATATTACGGAAACTGCGATCTGGAAAATGCCAAGAAATAGAAAAATGCCAAAAAGTAAAAAGAAGAAGAAATGAGGGCAGTGGTCGGAAGAGCGCATCTTATGATGACTCGGAGGTCAGGAAGTTGCCCACGGCTTCGACAAAAGCTTCAGTCTCTTCCAGATGAGGGCAGTGACTGCTCTCAGGGAAGCGGACCCATTTGACCTTGCCAGGGATCTCACGGAAGAAAGGTTCCATGGTGATATCTTGAGCTTCATCGTAGTTTCCGTTGATCAATAGCGTAGGAACATTGATTTTGTGAAGTTCGGGTGTAATATCCCAGCCTTTGAGAGATCCGATGACATTGAACTCGGAAGGCCCGTTCCTGGATTTTATGTTAGTAAAGGCTGGATATTGTGCACGTTTGGAGCTTACATTGTCATGTAGACAGTATCATCGTCCTTGACTTGGTCCAGAGTTTGAACAAGTTCATCCGGGAATGGGACGACACGGCAGACATGCCTCTCGTAGAAAGACATCATAGCGGTCTCGTACTCCTCGGTGTCAGTCTTTCCCTCTTCCTCGCATCGTGTCAAGGTTTCCTGGATGTCCTTCGGCAGTTCCTTTCGTAGCTTGTCCGCTACTTCGACCCAGGTAGTCAAGCTTGCTGGAGAGTTTGCGATTATCAGACGGTACAATCCAGCCGGTCGTTTCGTCGCGTAGAGAGCTCCAAGCATACCACCCCAGCTCTGCCCAAAGAGGTCAAATTTCTTGATACCGAAGTATGATTGCAAATTCTCCAGCTCGGCAATGAAGAGATCAGAAGTCCAGAAGTCAGTGTCTCCCTTCTTCTTGCGGAGATGCGTTGAGTTTCCACAACCTATCTGATCATACAAGATGACTGGGCGAGAGAAAGGTGCCGATGAGAGATGAGCACAAGGAAGGATGTAGTTGTGAGCCATTCCAGGCCCGCCATGCAAACAGATGAGAGGAGTGACATGCTCAGAGAGCTCTCCATACAGGGCATACCATGTCTCAGCATCAATGTCGGTGCCTGGGACCTTGAAAGCGATTTTGCCAGTCCTTGAAGGTGACGGCAGAGTTTTAGGCAGTCGTGCCGCGGTACCGGCGGAGGGGTTCATGTTTTGAAAGTTTTCGAAACCTGATATTGAAAGTGGTATATCAGAAAACAGAGAGGTGCCAAGCTAGCTATATATTCACAAAGAAAGGACGAGTCAGGGCCGTCGAGATGTCATTAGTTTACCTTTGTGTTTGGCATTCTCTAGGGCAGCGATCAGCACTTGGACGGAAGTAGAAGGTAAAGAGCGGCAGCTGTCGTCAGCGAGCGAGCCGTTTTGCATGTTTGGTGAGGCAGAAGGAGAACATTATGGTTGTACAACTCCGATGCCGGAGATATGGCGATAGTGTAATAGGTGAGGTTGGGGACCATAGGTGCTTGTGATATGTATCTTTTGGTGTTGAGGGCAGTGACGAATGTGGTGAGTGGACGAATCCGGGTTGTGCAAGGTATGAGCTGCCTAATGGGGAAAGCGTTGTCTTGGCGGAGATGTCGCATTTCGTTTCGGAAGCGGCTTTCGTTGGCAGCTTCCGTCGACAGCTTCACTCCCACTTTCCTCCAATCCCATCACACCCAAGTGCGCATCTGCTACATCGCCATCACACAAGAGCCGCTTGCCTATCCCCGTTGATTGACCTTCACCTGGTAAGTTCCTGCAGCAAGCGCACCTTCCCCGTATACACCAATCACATGATGAGATTAAACTTATTGGAGCTGTCCTATCTCTTCGGAGACTGAGGAGTCAACTTTTACCTTATACGCAAACACCTGAAACAACCCCTCTTCCACCACACATCAGTCACGCGCCCTCACTATCAAATGCATCTGGACTGACGCGTAACAGCACTCTATTTAGTATTCGTTTCGTCTCTTTCACCTTCCTGAAGAGTTTGCAACCGCGTCTCAGCTAGAGCGGTCAGCCTGCGCGACGTCTACGCCTATCTCGACCTCCCTCCTCCTCCTTCCCCATCTGCATATCACATCATACAGCCATGTCTGCCGACCCTCGGAGAAGACCGGCCCCTGCTGCTCAGAGTGCTCCCCCGCCGCCTCCTCCACCTCCTCCACCAGCAGAGGCACAGCCAGACTCTTCGGTCCAAGCCTTGGATGGCGCAAATGACCAAGACACGGCTCAACAACCAAAGGGTGAAGAGAGCTTCAAGCTGCGCTTCTGTACCGTGTGCGCCAGTAACAACAACAGGTATGTTGACTGTAGTCATGTCGTGACCCGTGTCTCTCTTTTCTCGACCTCTGTGCCTGCCTTGTCAAGACGGGCCATGTCTTCTCTTGCTCTGCCTCTCCCTCTCTGCATAAACGTATATACTCGCCGAAATACAAAGCAAATGCCTTTCCATCACGTCTCCTGCCTTGTCACCGTCATGACACGTCTTCTCGCTCATTCGCCGTACTAATACGGTGACCAGATCGATGGAAGCGCATCTTCGCCTTGCTGGCAGCAACCAGAAATATCCCACAATCTCCTTCGGCACGGGCTCGCTAGTCCGTCTGCCCGGTCCAAGCATCACACAACCGAACATCTACAACTTCAACAACACTTCGTACGATAGCATGTACCGCGAGCTGGAAAGCAAAGATGCCCGCCTGTACCGCGCGAACGGTATCCTGCCCATGCTCGACCGTAACAGAAACATCAAGTGGGGTCCTGAGCGCTGGCAAGATTGGAGGATCGGATACCCTCGTGTTGGCAAGCGCTACGCCAACGCTCCCATCCCTGGCGATCCTGTCTACACGAATGATATGGGCGCTCAGGGTACCGAATCAGGCACAGTCGATATCGTCATAACCTGCGAAGACCGCTGCTGGGAAGCCGTTGTTGACGATTTGCTGTCAAGAGGAAGCCCGCTCAACAGACCTGTCCATGTCTTCAACGTTGATATTAAGGATAACCACGAAGAAGCCCTGGTGGGAGGAAGAGCCATCCTCGAGCTTGCTGATGAGCTGAATGCTGCTGCACAAGACGAGCGCCGCATCCACGCTGAGAAGACTGGAAGTACCGACAGCTTCGACTCTGCTACCGGAAGCTCAAGAGATGGCTTTGATGCAAGAGTGCCCATCATCCTCGGCGAGTGGCAGGAGAGATGGCCTCATCTTCCCGCTCTGTGGACATTGGCTTGGTTCTAGAGGGAGACTGGAGGACACGAAGAACATTGCATTGCATCAACATTTTGCGAGAAGAAGCTGATGCTTCCTGATGAGATAGCTTTATACCCTTATACATTACAATCAAACATCATCCAATACGCAAATTATCCATCTCTTAACAACACCCTCTACATCAAATCGGCTGTCAAAGCTCACAAGGGTACTGATGTCGGCTGGGAGAAGGAGAATGTTCTCTGTTATCTCACAGGACAAAATCTCATACCAGGACTATTTCATGCATTGCAGCGAGCCAGAATGAGGCATCTCTGCTAATTGGGACATGGCGGAGCTCAGATCATCTTGGTGAACATCCTGGTTGCTCCAAAAACATCTTGTATAACAGCAAGCGCATGTTGAGCCCGTGTTAGCCGGGAGATTGTATAGCATCTCACTGGCTAAATGCTTCTACCAGGAGTACTTCCTGTATTACTGCAAGCTCGCATCGACATTTCTGTCAGCCAGGGGATGGTGGATTTCAAAGTATCTCGGTGGATGTTCTGGTTGCTCGGAAAAACATCTTGCGTCACTGCAGTGTTCAACTACCATCTCTAGCACCTGTGAGATAGCATGTTTCAAGGCCTCTCACTGGACAAACTCTCAAATCAGAATTGACATTTTGTATTGCTACAGTCTCTTTTGGACACCTCTGTCGAGTAGGAGATGACACACTTCAAGGCTTCTCACTGGAAAGTTGCATTCTTCGAAAAACATCTTGCATCACATCATCTCCCTGATATACTCGTTGTCCGCTATGAGATCCTACAAAGCCACCATTGTCTTTCGACTCGAGTTGTCTTATCCGCACTTCAAAACCTCTCACTGGCCAATTGCACTATCCGAAAAACATCCTGCATCACATCAACATCCTGATATACCTTCTATACATGAATGTGGTATAAAACCATCCCACACCTAGTGTCGTTGTCTTTACATCTACCTCAATTTCCTTGCAATGTCGCTCACACGGTCCTCGGAACAGATATACCAGATTGCTCACTCCTCTATCTACACGACTTTCTAAACGTAGGAGAGCCCGGGCCCGAGCCCGAGCGGACGTCGCGAACTAGGTCGATGATGCCGAGTCTCTTGCCTATTCCCGCACCTCGCAGTCGTATGGTGAGATACAAAAACGAAAAAGGAGAGGCAGAAGCCGGCACAAGGAGATCTAAAGAAGCGTCATCGACCTCGTTTGCGACCTTCCGCTCGGCCCTCGAGGGCGGGACCACGAGAGATGATAGAATTGAAGATTAGCATGGGGTTTACAGCAGTTTGCAGATATTCTGCAAAGTAAACGCAGAAACGTAGAAAGGTGGTAAGGGAAGACAAAGAAGTGGTTTTAGAGATGTGTGAAGTAGGTTTTATAAACAGGGAGAAACATTACTCCGGACGTGTGTTTTTTTTTTTCTAAAATGAGTCTGCTGCAAGGCATGATGTTTTTCGAGAAGGCGACTTTCGTCCACAAAGAGAGAGCTGTTCTTGCTCTCTCATCGAACAGATTGCTAGTGCTGAAAAAACATCATGCAGTGCAACAGCTATATGATCTTATAGTAAGAGAGATAGAGAGGTCCAACTAACAGCAGGGCCTGGGATTACTTCTTCGATGTTGGCAGAGTGCAGGGAGGAGGTGGAAGCGAGATGGCGGGCGAATATGAATGCTGTGATGGCGAGGATGAGGTTGTGGGGGTGGGTAAGGAAAGCTGGATTAATGATAGGAGCGTCTGCGGTATCTAAGGAGGAGATGGTCACGTTGCCTCTACTGAAAGTGGCGAGGAGACCTATTGTCAGACTGGCGAAATTGTGGACGCCGTCGTTGGGGCCGATGGCGAAGGAAGCGCTGGGCAAGGATGTGTTAGTCTGTTTGGTGAGATAGATGTGTGGGGTGGATGTTCATCACTTACATTGGTCAGTCAAGCTATTATATCGGTGCAGAACTCCAAATCGTCCCTGGTCCAAAAATGAGAGAACTCATTGACGGCATGAAGTTCGAAGGAGCTCCTACGTTCGTCACACCATTAACCTATGTTGGACTTTGCGCAGTCAGCTTCTAGTGCGTTTGACCTGAAACATGTAAGTAGTAAGTTATGCATGTCTGTCTGCAAGCTTGCGAAGGAAAGCAACTGACAGCCGAAGACGACCCGTATACAGATTCATGCATAGTATCATGCATGGTAAAAAGCCACCACGGCAGGCGCTCAATCGCGATTCGCCAAATGCACAAGGGCGCAGGATCACCCATCAGAACTCAAGAATTTTAGCGAGGGCCACAATGCAAGATCTGTTCGATGTTCTTGACCCTACGATAATTTTCGTCTCGCCACTGATGGTCTCAAGGTGGAATCTAGACTGCAAAGCACGATAAGAATAATACAAATGTGTTTTTTTCTGCTGGTATGGAAGGTCGAAGATTGAAAAGAAAACGAACCCGAAGGGTATCTCACCAGCAAAACCATAAACGCCCAACATGTCATGCCCGTCGTCACTTCCTAAATCGAAGACGCCTTGTTTTTCCTGTATCTTATCTCAATTCTCCACGGATACCGGTGCCTCTTTCACGTCTGCGTCTTTCGCGTTCGCCTCTGCCACTTTCTGCAGCGCGGTCGGCTTCCATTTCGTCGTCTACTTGTCTTCTGGCGGCGTCCATCTGTGCTCTGCCTGGAAGACTTTCCATGACAACACTGGGTGCGTGTTTGATGTATCTCAACTCTTCGTGGCAGTGCTCGACTAACAGGTCCAATTCTTTCTGCGTGACATTGTTCTTGTGGAAGCCAGCGAGTTCGGGGTATAATCGGCCGTCACCATGCTCCTTGCCGATGAATGCTTGTGGGCGTGGTACGATGTGCATTGGCAATTCTTCATTGAGAGTCGCACCGACGGCAAGAGCAGTTTCGTGAGTCCATGCGCGAGCGACGTTGCGGGCGGTATAGCCACCTCCACCGAGAATGAGAAGAGGCACACCGGCCTTCTTGACGAACGCAAGACATTCACCGTGAGCGCGAATGTTGAGGTTGAACTGACCAAGACGGTCACCACCGAGTGAGTCAGCGCCACATTGAAGAACAATAGCTTGTGGGCGGAAGTGCTCTAGTGTGCGACCAGTGATAGATTTGAAGAGGTAGAGGAACTGATCGTCGTCGATACCCTTGGGAATGGGCACGTTGAGGGCAAAGTGATTGCCGATGCTCTTCTCGTTGCCATTGCTGTTCAGCGCTCCAGTGCCTGGGAAGAACAGATGTTTCTCTCTTGAGTCTTCGTCTATGATACCGTAGCGGTGAAAGGACAGTGTCATTACTCTGTCGCTGCTTGCAAATGCTTCCTCGACACCATCGCCATGATGAACGTCGATGTCGATGTACAAGACACGTTGATGACATTTGAGCAGTTCGAGAATGGCAAGAACAATGTCATTGATGTAGCAGAAACCTGAAGCTTCAGACTTGTGTGCGTGATGAAGACCGCCAGACCAGTTTATTGCGATGTCAGACTGATGATTCGTCAAGGCCGAGACAGCTTCCATGGTGGCACCAGTGTATAAGAAGAGGTATTCTTGCATGCCATCGAAGACGGGACAATCTGCACCTGGTGAAGGAGATAAATTGAAGGGACCGAGCTTAACAATCTCTCCAGGGTAACTTTGCGGGATGCGATCTTCGTATACTTTGCACAACTCATCGAAAGTCTGAGGCGACACTCTTGAGAGGAAATCGACATAGTCTTCATCGTGAAATGCAGCGACGGTCTCTTTGCTTGCAGGAAGAGCGTCATAGTTGTCCATGGCGAACTGAAGACCGTAACCCATGACGAGATGCTTGGTCAGAGTCAAACGCCATGGCTTCATGGGATGTGTGCGACCAAAGTGCATGTTCTCGACGCGACGGTTGTAATGGTATGACACAGTGTAGCCTTGAGGGCGCTCAATGCCGTTGTCTTCGACTTGTTGCATGATCTTCTCGCGCAACGTCCTTTGTCTTTCGGCATGTTCCTCCTCGCTGTCGTTCATGGGTGGTGTTGGCGGAGCTCCAGTGGTGTGACCTGGTCGTGATTGACCATTGGTGCGACGCGGTGGATCCCATTGCTGGACTATGGCATCGCGCATGTTCTGGCGAGGGACGCCATTACTTGGTCGTCCCGACATGGGCGCGACTGGGATCTGACCAAAGTAAGCTCCAAGCGATTGTCTCTTTGGATTGGCGGGCGCGCTTCTCAGCGGGATTCTGGTCGGGGCTGCGTTGCTGCTTCTATGCAAGACAGAGTCGATGCGTCCTTGGATGTCTCTTAGGTTGTAGGATCGACGAACATTTTCTGCGTAGTCTTGGTCACGTCGAGAGTCTCTGTAGCTCACCGGCTGGTCGACATGGTCATCTCCTTCGTAGGCAAAAGACGAGTCGTTTTCGCTAGAAAGAGCCTCTTGCTCGTCCTCGGCATCGTCTCGAGCTTCGAGAAGGTCGTCTCCACATTCGTCCGTCTCGCGCCGAGTCTGCTCCGTGATGCGCAATTGTGCTTGGCGCGCCGCTGCTCGCATCTTGTTGTGAACCGGTCAATCTGTGAATTATGCTGTTAAACAATACTCACCAAAAGATATATCGACAAATCTTCTGATTTAGGAGCTGTGTTGAGGGTTTGCCAACATACTTCTTTTCTTTTACTTTTAAGAAAGCGCTGTTTGTTACTTTGCTTCCATTCACTTTGTGACTCTGTTTGTGAAATCGCGACTCGCGACTTCTCCCACCTTCACTCGACCACCAACTCGTCAACCAGCGTCATCAAAGACCATCCACTCCAGCTCGCTTTCCATCAAAAAATGGCTGCCATTGGCACTGATGATGCCGCGACCGTCTTAGATCAATTCTGTCACGACGGTAATCCACCCTTATGCTTACCTCCAATGACTCAAATGCTGACTTTTCGCCCAGTCGCAAACTTGCCGGCAGAAATAGCTCATTTACTGGAAGAAATCCAAGCAAAAGATCAACACATCCAAGATTTGCGCGATGTCATCAATTCTCGCGACAAGTCAATACAAAATTTCGTCAGAGCTCAGGGCGGCCATGTCAAGAATCCCAAGGAAGATGGCCTCAGTAAAGTCATCATGGCGAATTTTGATCGCATCGAGATTCTGCAGGCTGAGAAACTGGGTCTAAGTGAGAAGGCCTTGAGATTGGTATGTTCTGAAATGTTCGACACCAAGAGTAAATGCTGATCCTTTCAGCTTGACCGAAATGTGAGAAGGTTTGACGTCAAGTTGCGCGATCTTGTAAACAGCGAACAAATGCCTCCGGACCCGACATTGCCGTCCTTGTTACAGCCTGAAGCAGGTAGCGTTGCCACGAGCAATGCCCCAACAGGTGCTATGGCTATCAATTCGGCCCAATCTGGTGGTGCGCCTAACATTGCGAATGCCGCCATGGCTCGCATGGCAGCTGTTAACGCACGAACATCATCGCCTCTGAACGCACAGAATGCCCTACTCAGCCAACCGCATCTCAACAGTCCATCAGCGAGGTCACAGCGAGAAAGCAGCGCCGATGCAAACAAAAGACGTCGTCTCAATAGTTCTATGACTGGTAATATCCCTACTACAGCTTCTTCACTCAGGCAATCGTCACTTGGCCCATCCACTGGAACTCCCAAGGCCGGTACACCCATCCCCAGTTCAAGTCGTGCTGGATCTGCCCAACCTAACAAGAAGGCACCACATAACAAGAAGATTGCGCCACATCAAGCATCGGCTCCTGGTTCGAATAGAAAACGCATCAGGTCCGGTAATGCAGCCTTGAAGAAGGGAGATCGCAAGCGTCATCTCACATCACCAACACCCTCCTCATCACGAGGCAGTGTCAGTCCGACACCATCAACGCTGCCAATAGGAATTGACGGCACTGTGGAATCTCGGTCAAGACTGCGCGGTACACGTGCGGCTTCTGCTGTCTCCGACGAAGAGGGTGAAGACGCTGAACCTGATGCTGAGGGAGAAGAAGACGACACTCAAGTCTATTGTGTCTGTCAGCGCGTGTCATTCGGTGACATGGTTGCCTGCGACAACGACGACTGTCCTCATCAATGGTTCCACTGGGGTTGTGTCGACCTCAAAGCGGAACCAAAGGGCGAATGGCTATGTCCGCATTGTCGTGAGCTTCCTCGCAGCAAGATTGTGAAGACTTCAGATAAATGATTGATAGTGGCAAAGGGAGGCCAATAGCGTAATACGTCCTACAGTAACGATCAGATGTTCTTCTCGAGCCCGCGTTTCCTTCTGCGGTCTTGTTATGTGATATCAGATCTACCAAGCATAACGTACATCCAGCTTATTAAATTCTCTCATGGATTAAATGCTGTCATACCGAGCTATTCCGAGCACGATCGCATTACTCACGTGGTTTTCAGTGACAGGGAACAACTTTGGGTCGCTCTTGACTCTTTGATGAGGCTGACTCGCAAATAGAGGATTCCTAACGCGGAGCTGACACGTTGTCAACAAAACGCCACGTGAACGATCTAGATCCCTGATTTGCATTGACAACAAACTCTACTCCTAAACTGCACCTCCAAGTACTTTTCGCCACTGCCTTCCTCGCAGGGATTTCTCGTGCTTATATCGAAGACAAGACATGAATTGACCTGGTACCAAAGCTGGTGGAGCTGTCTCTTCTGGATCATCACGCAAATCGTTTCCGTGGGCATGCGATTCCGATCCGGGCCCTACATTTAGATTAAGTGCCGAAGCCGAGAGCCTCGAAACTCACAACACCAACGAGGGCACGTTCATCGCTACTTCCCTGTTTGTGACGACAACAGGTCCAGGAACTTCTTCCAAATAGCTAGGCATCCCCATGTCTTTCTCATCCAAACCGCGAGACTCAAATCTTGCGAGTATGCATGCCGTAAGCCCTGCAAAGGAATTCCCTTCCTCACACATCACGAAGACTGCACGACAGGGAATATTGTTCGAATCGAATACTGGAGATTCACATCTGGATGAGCATTTGGGATACATTAGGAATGCAGATTGGGCCTCGACATCTCTTGGACCTTTAGAGTCATGGCCTCAGGATCTCATACAGCTTTGTCAGATTTCTCTACTCGACCCAAACCCGCGTTCCCTCATTCTCGGACCAGACCGTATACTGTTTTACAATGAGGCATATTCAGAGCTCTGCGGGGACAGGCATCCTCACGCCTTGGGACAAAACGTCATTGAGGCGTGGGGCGAGGTGGCTCAGGATCTCATCTCCGGGCCTTTGGAGACTGCGGAGCGCACAGGGCGACGAGTTCAGGTGGAAGACCAGCCACTGGTGTATCTACGTAATGGATTTCTCGAACGGGTCTATGTTCGTTGGACCATTGTCCCACTAGCTGGATACGCACAAGGCGTCTACGTGTCTTTAACGGATTCGACGGAGACAATGCTAGCAGAGAAGAGACGAGCTGCCATTCGAGCCCTCAATACTGCTTGGAACGGTGTCCAGGACCCTCTCACATTTTGGCAAAGCATTCCGCAAAGCTTAGCCTTGGATCCGTTTCTCTTTCCTTTTGCCTTTCTATACACTGCAAGCTCAGATCCAGACTCAGAGTATTGCATTGATACATCTCCGGAACCAACCCAAACGATGCGGTTCAAGCTAGAAGGAGCAGTCGGGAGTTCAGAGATCACCTCGCACTTACCCGGCGAGCTGGATCCTGGTCACTTCGAGCTTTTATCGGATCTTTCAGATCCGATACTTTTCCGATCTAACGAAACTCCCAAGCCCACATGGTCGCTGTCAGCGCAAGACTGTATACTGTGTCCAATAAGTTCAAACAGGTCACAAAAAGTCATCGCATACCTGTTCCTCGGAATCGATCCAAAACGGCCATATAACGACGCATATCGGGAATGGATGAATGAATTTACTCGATGTCTAAGCAACGCTGTGACCTCTGCTCTACAATCAGAGGAGCAAGCACGCAATCAACGTCGCCGGGCAGCTGCAGTCGCCTCAGAACAACACCTCCTTGTTACCGCACTCGCAGATCGCGACAAAGAAGTAGTGGCTGTGAATGAGGAACTTCAACGTACCCTTGAAGTCGTGGATATGGCCAATGTCGGAGTATTCAATTACGATCTTGAAGGCCGTCTGATATATGCCAATGACGCCTTTTGCAAGATGACAGCCTGTCCACCCGAAATGATGCATGGAAAGGAACTGGTTTTTCTGGATCTGACTTATCCCGAGGACACCGAGTATCTCATGCCGAAATGGAAATGTGCAACTAGCGGACGATCTTGCACTTTTGAAATGAGATACAGGGGTCCCAAAAATGAAGGCCTCTGGGTATTGGCTGCGGTGGTACCAGTACTTAAAGATGGTATTGTCACAAGCGTATCTGGATGTGTCACTAACATCCAAGACACCAAATTACGGGAAACAGAATCTGCACAGCGTTTGCAAGCCCTCGAAAGAGCCAAAGCGTGGGAGCAACGATTTGCGAATTTCGCAGAATTAGCGCCCGTCGCCATATTTTTTGGATCTCAGAGCCATCACCATCTTTCTTACTGCAACCGCGCATGGTTCGAAATAACCGGTCACCCGGTGGTAGCCTTTGAGCAGATCGATTGGTCGATGATAGTCTACGAAGAGGATCTTGAGCTCGTCCGAAGTATGTGGACAGAGGTCATTGCTGCTAACAAAGCAGTGAGTACTCAGTTCAGACTTCGACGCAGGTGGTCGGATGGAAATGGAGTGGTCATCGGCCCTGTGTGGGTGACTGCATCAGTGCTACCTGAATACAAAGAAGACGGGTCCATCAAAGGCATCATCGGCACTATGCTCGACATTTCAGCTTTGAAATTCGCAGAGACGGTGCAACACATGAAGGCGCAAGAAGCTTTGGAAGCCAAGCGTCAATCGTCAAACTTCATCGACATGGTATCGCACGAAATCCGCAACCCTCTCTCCGCAGTGTTTCACTGCGCGGACGCTGCTCAAGACACATTGGCCGATATGTTAGACCTCGCGAGTCGTCTAGCTTCTGCCCCAAAATCAGAATCTGGAAACCAGCTTCGAGAACTCATCGCTAACGCTGTCGATTCCATCAATACTATCATATCCTGCACTCAGCATCAAAAAGGGTACGCCTTTAAATCAAAGGTCTTAATCAATGACAAATGTGCTAACTCAATCCTTGCTAGAATTGTCGATGATATCTTGGTGCTGTCAAAGCTTGACTCAAATCTTCTTCAGATCACACCCTCTGCCGTCAAAGTAACGGCTCTGCTACGCGATGTTGAAAAGATGTTCGAAGCCGAGGCCCAAAGGAGCAATGTACAATTACAAACGCAAGCACACCCGTCTCTCGTGGAACTGAACGTCAGCTGGGCCATGCTAGATCCTGGTCGAGTTCAACAGGTCCTGATCAACCTTCTGACGAATGCAATCAAGTTTTGCAAGAAGAAACAACTCAGAAAGGTCACCATACGCGCTGGTGCATCCAGGATTCGCCCTTCGGAGAACGTGCTCCCAGATATTGACTTCGTGGTCGCACACTCATTGCACGACTCGGTCTACGACTCCGCCGAGTTTGAATCACATAGTTTCTATCTCTGGTTTACTGTCGAGGACACTGGACGCGGCATGAGCGCGGAGGAGAAAACACGTATCTTTGCTCGATTCTCGCAAGGCTCGGCTCGCACGGAAACTGAATATGGCGGCTCTGGTCTTGGTTTGTTCATCTCGCGCGAGCTCTCGGAGTTGCAAGGAGGCGAGATCGGAGTTGCTTCTACACTGGACGTTGGTAGTACGTTCGCCTTCTTTGTCAAAACACACCATACCGATGCACCCGCTTCCACCAAGGGTTTGCCCATCCAGCTCAAACAGAAAATCAAGAAATCATCTGCCGACATCAACATTCTCGTCGTCGAAGATAATGCGGTAAACCAAAAAGTGCTCCGCAAACAACTCACCAACCACGCTTACACCGTCGCCGTCGCCGACAACGGCGTCGATTGCCTCGACTACCTACGTACCACAAAACACTGGCGCGGCAACCCTTCCTCCGCCCCCGCCCTCTCCGTGATCCTCATGGATATCGAAATGCCGAAGATGAACGGACTAGAAGCGACGAAGATGATAAGACAATATGAGAAAGAGGGGAAACTGATGGGTCATATTCCTATCATTGCGGTGTCGGCGAACGCGAGACAGGAACAGACGAGTATGGCATTGGAGGCGGGGATGGACGATAGTATTGCGAAACCTTTTAGAATCCCGGACTTGGTGCCGAAAATTGAGAGGTTGGCTGGTTGGATGTGATTACAAGAGGGAGTGCGGCATGTCAGATGTAACTGTCACGGATGGGGATGGAGTTGGTAGAGGATAGAAGGGTTTCCGAATCTTTTGCATTAGTGGTTGGAGAGGACGGATTATGCTAGGGTGGCATTTTTGTTTCTTTTTTGCAATGTTCATAATTGTATACGGCGTTGATTTGCATGGTTGGTATGGGACAGGTGGTTGGGCACTTTTGTCATTTTGTATCTTTCTGTAGACGTTTAGATGCATCAATAGTGTATCAAACACGCGACATAAGAATAAGATCTTTCTTGTACCCCTCCCAAAGCACTTTCTCAAGAAGACCTATCACAGAGCATTCACTGATGCCATCATCTCCAAACCCCAAATCCCAGTCTTGTACCATCTGGCCAACCAATTTTCCAATCCAAGCACCATCACCCAAAACTCTAGGGTTGGGGGTGAAAGTCTAGAACTATTTGACATTCCTGTAAGACAATGTAGACTGGATACCGGATAGGCTCAAATGTCCGCGAGTCAGCGGATCCAATGCCGGAATTGTTGCAAACGGTGTGAGTCTAACATCCGGGTGACAACGGTGGATGGGGTTCTATTGGGTAATTTTTGTGCTTGGCGTGAGTGAGAAGTATGGAGGATAGGATGGATGGGAATGGGAGAGGGGAAAATTGCTTCAGTGAGATGTAGAGATGTTGGAGTGGTCATGGAAATTTGCTTATAGAGGGCAAGTGATGGTGGAGGATCTTGATTTTATGATTGTGAGATGCTTGTCTAGTGGCCATAGTTGATATTAGTAATTAGAGTCTCTTGATGGACCATGATTGTAACAAGGTGATAGTCTCGCAAAGTTGATGTCTCGTCGAGATTGACAGCATGATACATGGTCTGGGTGATGCAGGTATCGGATACAATGACCCCAATTGGAAGTGTTGAATTCAAGGCATGTCGAGGCTGCACTTGCTCTATCAACACTTGTCATTTCTGTCAATTCCATCACAAGGCTTGTGGTATACGCAACATAACCTTTTGACAGTGGTATGCAGGTTCGGGTACTCTTTTGCTTCCGTGAGCATTTGTCAGGTTTCTCAGAATAGAGTTTCAGGTCCGACAGCGATATGCTTTGAGAATCTCCAAGTTGCGGCTATGCTTACCTTGTTGTACGAGATGCTCCATGCATACGGACGTAGGTAACTGGTATACAGCTATTTGGGACCATAATCACGAGTCAGGAGGATGCTTAACTCAGCCCTCGGTCTTCACCGATCAGGGCCCATGGAGTCATTCGCTCGCACCGAGAACGGTGTACCTGAGATTACTCTGGCTATGTCAGAGGCACTTGTGGAAGGATCTCGGGAGTTGTGAGTAAGGGCAGGTGGTGGACGATGTGTACACTTGCCGGACGTTTGTGGTTGCAACGGGGCTGTTAGAGTATCCTCCGCGGCGGAGTCTTGGGCCTGCTGGTGATTAGTGAGGGTGGAGGATCTAGAGTTTCGATATGCGAGAAGTATATCGAGTTCAGCAATAGCTCAAGTCAGATATCAACATTCGTGGGGTTGTAGAGAACTACTATAAGAGACGAATTAATGGTCGATGAAAGACGAGTATTTCCTGGTGCCGGTAGTTGACAAGCCGAGAAACAATGTTGTAAGGGAGAAATGAGATGGTAAGGCAAGACAAAAAGACGATGGCATTTCGTAGGGAAAGACATCTGGCAGGGAAAGACATTCGCAGCCCTGATGATGGTGGAGTCGATGGAATATTTATGCCAACTGCTCTTTTGGCTTACTGATGCTGCGAGTCATCTGAGACATGAAGATTTCTCATGGCTTCATGACTTCAAGCCTTCATCGTCACCAACGCAATATTGCGCCTCTGCATCACTGTATACCAGTGTCTGTGATGTGATTCGATATATGTCGATGGAAGAAGATACGATCGTGCAAAAGGTGAGAAACAAGGAAAGAACCGTGCGGCGACGATCTCCCCAAGCAACAACGACCATCCATCAACACCACGGCTTCAACTTCCCTTCTCACAATAATCTACCATGGATCGTACAGAATCAAAGAAATCAATAGAACCCATTCCCACGTGGTAAGAGCGATCTAGTTCCTCAGCTGCGCCTTTCGCATGACTCCCAATTCGTGAGTTCCGGGGAGAAACGTTGAAGCCGAACAACGGATAGATAGAGTCGCTCACTTGTGTGCAACGGGTCTCTGATTCTACAAGCCCATTTCAATACCGATACTTCTTGGGGATCATGGCTGTTCATTGTTTTCTGGGTTGATATATACTGGGTGCCTCGTCTGGTATGTGGCAAGTTCATCTCGAAATCTTTTAACGACTTATCCCTTCAATAACATTATCGACCTTCAACAACATCTATCTTAGCTTCTAATCTGCCATCTTCTCTTCTTGGTCCTCTTTCTTTCTTCCAGACGACAAACATCATATCAGTCATGGCCGACCCGTCAACCGGCATGCAAATCCCAACAGTGGGAAGAGTGATCACGATCACACTCATGATGCTGACGACCATCGTCCTCGCTTTCTGCATCACCCGCCGCACAACCTCAATCAACAACTGGCGACGCATGCAAGTACCTCAATGGCTAGTCCTCGCCATCTACACCGACAGCTTGCTCTTCATCATCACCACGGCCATCCTCACAAAATCCTACAACATCAACGAGGACGTGCGAATCTGCGACGGTGCGATCCTACTGTGTAAGTAAACCTCCGCTTCTACAATTGTCAATGATTGGAATGCTGATTAGAAACAGGCATTCTCTGCTATATGAGCACAAAAGTCCTCCTCTACTATTTCTTAGTGGAGAAAGTATTCATCATCCGAAACCCATGGGAGTCTCGCCTCAAAGACAAGTTATACCTTTTCAACGTCTTCGGTGTGATATTGCCATATGTGGTTTTGGTAATCCTCTCATTCGTCTACCGTATCGCCTACATCGGTAAAGATGGCAAATGCGTCATTGGCATAAACAAGGATATCCTATTCCCTCTGACCAGTTTTGAGATCGTGTTGAATGTAAGTCATACACCCTTCCCATCCTCCTTCTTACCAAAGAGACAAACAGTATACTGATGAGTATCCAACAGATATACCTTACCTTCCTCTTCCTCGCACCACTCAAGAAATTGTACGGCGGCGAAAGCACGCAGAACAGCCAAAGCGAATCCAAAATCGCTCTCAAGACAATGGCCATGCGCACTTTCATCGGCAGCTGCTGCACTTTGATCTCCACGGCCGTAAACCTCGGCGTCCTCGCCGGCCTCGAAGGAGAAAAAGGTTGGATCTGTCTAATGCTATGCAATTTGGACATCCTGTTCGCCGTTTCCGTATTGCACTGGGCGACCTCTCTCGACAAGAGAATTTCAGATACGCCTACCGTGGCTACGAAAGACGGAACGGTGATGACAGAGGGAGAGAGGACGACTAGACAGGGAAGTTGTGTGAGTAACAAGGGGTTGAGGAGTTTGACGGGGATGCAGAGAAAGGGCAGTGTTGCGTTGACTTGGGAGGATATGGAGTTGAACTCTTATGATTTCGCGGAGGACAAGTTGGGAGAGATTAGTGAGGAGACTACGGAGATTGCGCCCAAGGATGTCAAGGATGTGGTTTGAGAGAAAGATGATTGCGGCATGATCTGACGCCTGGAGCGCGACATGCTCGCTGGAGGATTTAATGTATAATCAGAAAAGCGTTTGTAGTGGAAAGGTGGCCTTGATCCCTGGTGGATCGGCCTCTTTGAAAATGTGTTTCTCATATTACATTTTGCCATCTTCCCTGGTCGTCTATTATGCGTTTGAGCCTGCGTTCTTGGTTACGCGCAGTCTACGCGGTATGGTCTTGGTTCCTGCATCGGCCGTCCAACGCGATGGGTTTGAACATTGACGATATTTCATGCAGGGCGCGGCGTGAAGGCCTTACGGACTGCCAGTGTCTCTGCTTCCTTATCGAGTCCAGAGTGTCCTCGGTAACGGTGTCTCCTCAGTGTTTTGACAAAAGGCCTTGGGTTTCTCTAAGTGTTCTTTGGCAGTATCTGCAATTGAGCTTCTCAAGTGACAGTCTTTTGAAGCAAAGAGTTTCCGTGCTGGCGAACGATGCCGTCAAGAGTGTTTCTGATTTGCTTGCAGCCGTCAACACCAACAACAATCATAGCTTCCAGACGAGCGAGCTGGACTCTAGTCTCCATCATCAAGACACTGATCTTGTCATCCGTGCCCAAGGTTGCAACAGTACAGAAAGGCAGCTCTTGCTCCTCCATGCCGTTCAGATCGAGTAGAGGGTCGGCCTGTTCGTCGTTGGAAGCGTATGAAGCGGTGCTGCCGGCCGTGCAAGCTGAGATGTAGTCGGTCATGGGGATACCGGCGTCGATGAGAGCGAGAGTGGAGGCGTTAATGCAAGCGGCCATTAGCGAACCATCCTGAGAGAGGATGTGGAGGTTGATGGTGATTGTGCTGTGCGGGTATAGTTGTGTTGACAGGGTGTCTGCGAAAGCTGAAGCGATGGTATGCTGCATCTCGCTTGTTCGTCTGTGTATTGCATCAGTACCTTGTCGCATTGTGGATACAGTCGTAACTCACTTGTCGCCCTTTCCACGTCTCTTGCGCTCGACACCGCTGAAGCCAGCCAGACCAATCTCAACTTCAATCTTTGCTTCGGCACCGCCGAGACCTCCTGCACGCCTTGATTCCGTCGGGCCAGTGACTGTACAAATGACCTTCGTGTTGCCCATTTCAAGGTAGCTCGATCCATCGGCCGCCGCTTGTGTCGACATTTGTCCGTGGCATCGTCGCAGCTCGTTCCATCTTCTTCCGTCCAGTCGCAGATGCGCGAGCGTGTATGATGATGTGTCTAAAGGCATTGTTGTGTGTGTGTGATGTGTTGGTAATGCGACAGCTCTATGAGAATAATTAATCTTCAATTTTTGTCGTCATTGCCATTTACAGCTTCGGCTGAATCCCGGCTTGTCGCGTCTTCCGCGCTTCTTTGGTGTTTCCCTCGAGTGTTGCCTTGGTCTTTGTCCAACTCGTTCTTTCCAACACTTTCGTGATTCGACGAGATATGTTGACATGATGTTGACGCGACTTTGCTGCATGTCAATCTCACTCAGATACCATATTCCACCCTGAACAGTCGACTTTCCTTGCTTCATACACCAATATGCCTCCCTACCTGAGCGCCACTCGCTCTCACCTGCGTGATCATAAACTTGATCGCCAAATCGAAGTCATGGACGAAGGAGATGCCAGTGATCTCGACGACCTCGATATTGTCAAGCACACTTCCAAACAAGTGAATTTGCTTGACACCTTTAACAACTCAGACAATACCGACAGTGATCTCCTCAATTCGGATGACTCTAAGAAAGCTGGTCGGAAACGCCCGAGAGATGATGATGGCGACCGAATTGTCTTCGACGAAGATGGAGAGGATGACGCTTTCGAAAAGTTCAAATCTCGCAAGTCTGATCAAAGAAAGGTCACTGCTGCTCGTAACAAAAAAGCAAAGGCCAAAGCAAGTGCCATGGTTGGCAAGAAGAAGCAAGCTCTTCTCGAATCAAAAAAGCCCAATCAGCGCAAGTTCAAGGCCAATGACATCTACGCCACTGACTCTGAAGATGAGCTACCGGAGAGCACCTTGCCTCAGTTCCTGCAAACTCGAAAGTCGAAATGGAACAGAGACCGTGCCGAGATAGGCGAGGATGTCTTCTCCAGACCTCCCAATTACGATGCTGTCTACTTTACCGATGACGAGAGATTGGAAGAGTTGCAGGAGCGACCCATGCTTCGGAATGTTGAGCCGTCACAAGAGTACAAAGATATTGAGTTGAAGGACTCACACGGTGTCATTCCAGCGCCAATTGCGCAATGGCTGCGAGACTATCAGGTAGATGGTGCCAAATTTCTGCACGAGCTCTTCGTCTTCCAAGAAGGTGGCATTCTAGGTGATGACATGGGCTTGGGCAAGACTATCCAGGTCATTGCGTTCCTGACGGCTGCGTTTGGCAAGACTGGAGACGAGCGCGATGTCAAGCGAATGCGAAAGATGCGACGTGAAGGTCGTTGGTATCCAAGAGTTCTTCTGGTCTGTCCCGGATCTTTAATGGACAATTGGAAATCAGAGCTTGATCGTTGGGGGTTCTGGCATCACGACACCTACCACGGAGCCAATGCGAGTCGCTCTGCTGTCTTGTCTGCTGCGAGGATGGGCAGACTTGAGATCATGATCACGACTTACACAACCTATCGTAATCACCGCGGCGAAATCAACATGATCGAATGGGATTGTGTTATTGCTGATGAATGTCACACTATCAAGGAGCGAAGCTCAGAGATCAGCAAGGCCATGAACGAAGTCAACGCTTTGTGCAGAATCGGTCTCACTGGTACTGCTGTTCAGAACAAGTACGATGAATTTTGGACTCTTCTCAACTGGACCAACCCCGGCAAATTTGGCACCATGGCCGAATGGAGACAAAGTATCAGTGGTCCACTCAAACTTGGACAATCTCATGATACCACTAACGCTCAGCTGGCCATCTGCAGAAGAGTCGCTGAGAAATTGGTCAAGAATTTGCTACCACCATACTTCAGACGTCGAATGAAGTCTCTGATTGCACATCAGCTGCCGAAAAAGACCGATCGAGTGGTCTTCTGTCCTCTCTCGGACGCACAATCTGAAGCTTACATGAATCTTGTTGACAGTGACAAGATTGACTACATCCGACGTTCGTCTGATCCTTGTGACTGCTCGTCTGGCAAGAAAAGAGGATGGTGTTGTTACCAGGAGATCCCTGATCGCGGCAAATGGCAGCATCACGTCTTTCCCATGCTCATGACTCTACAAAAGCTGGCCAACCACCTCGCTCTTCTCTGCCCTCAAAGCAAAGACTCAAAGGAAATGCAAGACAAGGAGTTGGAGAACCTTCAGTTGGCACTCCCCGACAATTGGCTCGATATGTACACCAACCGTGATCAGATTACCAACTACGCCAAGTCCGACTTTTGTGGGAAGTGGAAAGTGCTGCGCAAGCTTCTCAAGTTCTGGCACTCAAATGGCGACAAAGTGCTCGTTTTTAGCCACTCAGTCCGTCTTCTCAAAATGCTTCAGATGCTCTTCAAATCAACTACAAGCTACAACGTCTCCTACCTTGATGGTAGCATGAAGTATGAAGATCGCACGACAGCCGTCGACGACTTTAATGCCAACGAGACACAATTTGTCTTCCTCATCAGTACGAAAGCTGGTGGTGTAGGTCTGAACATCACCTCGGCCAACAAAGTCGTCATATTTGACCCGAACTGGAATCCGAGCTGGGATTTGCAAGCTCAGGACCGTGCCTACCGTATGGGACAACTCCGAGATGTTGAAGTGTTCCGTTTGATCTCCGCCGGTACTGTTGAAGAGATTGTCTATGCCCGTCAAATCTACAAGCAGCAACAAGCCAACATCGCTTACAACGCATCCACAGAACGTCGCTACTTCCGTGGTGTACAGGACACGGCCGATAAGAAGGGTGAGATTTTCGGTCTCTTGAACCTTTTCAGCTACGAAGGCGAGAACCTTGTCCTTCGTGACATTGTGAACAAGACCAACATCGCCGAATCCAAGGCCGGCGTCAGTGTAGTTGGGCTCGACACATCCCAAGACGCCGACGATGATGAAAATGACGATACTAACAAGGGTGATGATGATGCAATGTTCCAGCTCGCCGCCGAAATCACTGGCGAAGGCATCAAGAAGAAGAAAAAGCATGAGGATGAATTAGACACGGAAACCAAACGACAAGCTCGCGCTGTACAAGCAATTCTCAACATGGCTGGTGTAGAGTACACACACGACAACAACGATGTCATCGGCTCATCCAAGATGGAAGCACAACTGTCCAAACGTGCCATGGCTGCTGGTACGGACTTCGATCTATCCAACGAGTACGCATTTGAGAAGTCGCAGGATGTCAGAAACGATCTTGAGGATGAGAAGAAGTTGCCTTACAAGTACAAGCCTCCCGAGTTCGTCAGGAAGAGATTGTTCTGCTCGATGGCGGAGTTCTACGGTTTTGCCGATGCGACGGAGTTTGCACTTGTGCTTGAGGGGTGGAGCGAGCAGAGGAAGACTGATTGTCTGAACAAATTCTACAGACACAGGAGAGAGGTTCTAGAGAAGGAAGATGAAGATGAAGGTGATGAAGGCGAGAAGTCTGCTTACTTTGCCTAAACCGCTTTTCTTCCTTTGGCGTTATGCGTATCGGCGGAGGGGGTCTTTTACAATATGCGAGAGCCACGGGCATTGCAAGAATAGACGAGTCTAACAAAGCCGAGATATCATAAATGACAACATCATATTCTCCAAGCCATCTGCTATCATACTGCTAGTCAAACGCTCTACAGCGTACCGGATACTTGTAAAAGAATCAATTGAGTGATATCCAACCATTGTAGCGCTCTTGGCAATAATTCCAAACAAATTTATGCCAACTGAAAACAGAAAGGTCGATTCCTACCTGAGCGGGAAGGAGCGATCAACTCATCGCTCGACCGCTCTTTCCCCCCGTGAACTGCGAAGTAAATCGTTCCTTCTGCTCTAGGAATAAATGCTTGGTCGATCCTTCTGTTTTCATCTCTCTGTTTCCCCTTCCTTGTTCAGGAAGATAGTGAATTACTACTCCATAGACTGACATGTGAGATGCTTGAGTTGAGTCATTTTGAGTTCTCATCCCTCGATCCAAAACAAAGAACATCCTTTTGTGCGATTAAACACACACATGGATCACCTAAAGCAATATACCAACAATATAACCCTGATCTTCAAGCCTTATCCAGCGGGAAAAACAAGCAGAGAATGAAGAAACGATACCTAACGAACCAAACAACGTTGAAGAAGTGAAAGTGAGAAAGAAGTAATTGATGATATAGTAAAAAAAAAGAATTAGAAATGAAAAGTAATTCAAAGACCAAAAATTAGCAAAGGTTTATGTTAATGTTGAAGGAAAAGAAGAAGAAGAAGAAGAAGAAGAAGGAGCAGTGAGCAAAAGAAGAGGATAGTAAAGTATTGGTTTGCTCGAAAGAAAAAAAAAAGAAGAAGGACCGATTGGACGACAAGAAAAAGGAAGAAAGGACAGAGTGATGGCAAGACCGGAGATGAAGAAAGGAAGCAGCGACTTGATCACTGAAAAGGAAAGGGATTGTTGGCTATTTGCTCCTTCCTGCTTTCCAGTCTAGAAGGTCATTCTCCTGGATTGTACGGAAGAGCTGATCTACGTGCAAGTTTACCTCAAGCTGGAGCTGGAATGCTGCTGATTGGTGTGAGAAGGTTACAGAAGCAAGAGAAAGAGATGTTCAGACGAGCGGATAGATTTCTCAAAAGCTTGTGATGATGGGAGAAACAAGACTCATATGCATGGGAGAGTTTGGAAAACGAGACAAGGGGTATACTCCTCGAGCGATGAAGCAAGCGAAAAGGGAGAAACAAGAAAATCAAAACAGGCAACGCTAACAAAGCCAATCAACCAACCACTCCAGCTGCAATGCATACTGACTACCGTACACTCTTTTCCCGTACCGGCATATCCTTTTGCTGACCTCCTCCACCACCACCACCACCACCACCACCACTTCGTTCCGAGGCAATCGCGGCGGCTTTGACATTTGTATCTCTTTCTTGACTTTCCGCGTGTACCTCTTCGGCTAGCTCTTCCTCGAAACTGCCTTCACCTTCCTCTTCGACACCTTCGAGATGGTCGCCCCAGCCCTCGATCTCGGATAGCAGGCGCACGTATTCCTCTGGCACGAGACCTTGTTCTCCTGATTCAAGATCCATGGCTACTAACCAGCCTTGTCCATGTCGGTAGCCCACTTGGATGATTTGACCTTCGCGGAGGGCGAGCTCGTTGCTGTTTTCCGGTACGAAGTTGTAAAGTGCCAAGGAGGGGCCGGCAAAGGATTCATCCAGAGAAGTTGAGGTAGGGCGGTGCGCGTGGCCGTCATGGAGGTGATGCAGAGGGCCGCCTGGCGCATCTGCTGGATCACTGCTGTCGGAGAAAGGTGGTTCGAGGGCTGACAGACGGGCGTGGTGGCGGGAGGAAAGGCCTTCGGGAGAATGTGTGTAGCGGTGTGCCGGCAACGTACCTCCTGTGCTCTTGTTGTGACTGCTGCTCTCGTCTTCCGTCTCTTCCTCTTCCTCATCGTCGTCTGGGCCGGCAGCGAAGAAGCCTTGACTATCAAGACCTGGTACCTGGTTGCGCGGCCCGCGTTTTGTGGTGCTTCTGCCCCTGGACTCATGCGCCGACTTGCTCTTTCTATGATTCTTGGCCAGCTTGCCGGTACTTGTAACATCATCGTCACTAGCGTCGTCGTCGAAACTCGTAGATGGCAATTGATCGCCTGCGCCAAACTGAGCACCACCATCACCACCCCAAGGACCTGCGCCCCAACCACGAGTATCCCAGCTTCCGATTGGAGGATCGCTAAGACGTCTGCTGGATGAGAAGGCGGACGTGTCGTCGGAGCCGCGGCTAGCGGGCTCTGGCGAGGGACCAAAGTGTAGAGGGTGGTACTGGGGGTAGGCGAAGTCACGGACTAGAGCGTAGGACAGCGAGGACGGGAAGATGGGAAAGACGGAAGATGTGGGTCTCGAGCGCTGAGAGTTGTGACTGCGCGTCGACATGAGACTGCGACGAATGCTGGCGCGGTGGTTGTTTTGAGAAGAGTTGTTGGAAGTACTGGTCGGGGTCGGATTGGCCGTAGGTTGTGTCGGGGGAGAAGTCATGTCGGGTTGTAGCAGGCCCGGCTGTTGTGGTTGCTGCTGCGCCTGCGCTTGTGCACTCTTGGTCGTGTCGCTAGTCGACGACATGACCTTGGCCGTCATTGTGTGCTGTAGTCAAAGCCCCTGTCTTCCTGCTCTTGCGCTTATTCCCCGAAGGCTTCAGGATCGGGTCAATTGGCTGGTGATGTCTTTGCACAAAGCTCTGCTCTGTTTTGGTTGGACGCCGTGCGGCAAGAAAGAAGGCTGATTCCGACACAGACGTGTATAGTGCGTGCGTCTCGTGGTATTGTGTCGACGTGAGAGCCGCGTGTCCAGCAGTCGGGTCTTCTCTGATCAACTGTCCCGAGTACCTGACCCTTGTGAACCTTCAAAAAGCCCCCCACGATGCAGGAGCGGAGAGAGAAGGGGGGATATATGCAAAAAGGCCGAACAACAGAAGGATGCTAGATGCAACGAGAAAGAGAAAAGAGGGAAATGACTAGCGACGTGATGCGCAAAGTTTGGCGTGTCAAGAGGCTCAAACGAGGAAGGAGCAAAGGCACTCGTGGTCGTTGGTTGAAGACAGAGCAGCACTTGAACAGCAAGCCGTGAACCACCAAGCGCCAAATCTGAAAATAGCCCACCAAGCCCTGTCACCACGCAATAACTCCACATAACAACAACTTCTCCTTTGACCATGACTCTGCTTTTCTACCATCAATCACTTCCATCCATCTCTCGCTCTGTATCACCCAAAACTGCTTCATCTGTCCACTCTGGCTAGGCCTGACTGCTCCTGCCTCGTACCCTCGCCAAGAGGGACCCTTTTGTTTCACTTCCATGCCACAAATCCCCGTATCCGGGTCACAAAGGAAAAGCATATCATCCATCCTTCTGAAACATTCTTCTACCTGTCATTATGATAACCTCGCACGTGTTCTCTTCTCTTCAACCGCTCTTCATGACTACTACTTCACATGTGTTCGTCACTCGGTTGGACTGAAAGCTGAAAGATGACTATCGGTACGAGCACACGCGTTTCAGACTTTGACCATATATATATATTGCATCCGATTTGTACTTCCGAACGAGTGCATGCAAGACAGGGCAAGAGGCCAGTCTCATTCACCGCTTCTTGTCGTCTGATATTGTCCTCTTGTGACTGGCCTCATGCAATACCTACATAAGCGTGCGTCAAGTTTCATCTGGATGCCGCATCCAGACCTGCAATCGTTGGTCGAGATGCTGCAAGTACATGTCCGTGAGATAGACTGCACCCGAAGCGGTCTTGATTGTTGATGTGGTCGGCATGTTCAAGGCTGGTTGGTGCACGTCTTCTTCACAATATCAGATGTCTACCGGTCAGCAAGGCGAGACGATGATCCATGTACGAGATCCAGTGGGAAGGTGGAAATGGAAAGAGATGTCAAGTGTTTTTTTGGTGAAAGTTTCTTTGCTTTTCTCATGAAACCCATGCTTCCACTCTTTTGGTTTTCAAGAGCAGAATGGGTGATTGTTCAGAAAGACATGTGCACTGCCTGAAAGTTCGCCGTGCCCTGACATGTTGCTTTCTTCTTTTGATTCGACACAGCCCCCCTGCGCTTCTTTCCTTTGACCGTGCAAGTAACATCAACGCCCAGAAAAAGTTGTGCAAAAGTCGTTCATCGAAGTCAGTCCCCAACCGTAACAATTGTCTAGTAGAACCCTCTTTTTATTTGTAGGAGAATTTACATGACAACACCGGAGTTGGAGGCGATACGCTGCAGTATGTGTTAGTCTTGAGTGTTCCTTTGTCGTCCAGGGTGGGATATCTCTTACAGGCCAGAGCTCAGCGGCCTCCTTTCCGACGGGGCCAGTGATGGCGGAACCCTTCATCTCACCCTTGGGGTTGACGATGACACCGGCGTTGTCCTCGAAGTAGAGGAACATACCGTCGGCGCGTCTCCAGGGCTTTGACTGTCTGACGATAACGGCGGGCATGACCTTCTTGCGGAGCTCAGGCTTTCCCTTCTTGACGGTGGCCATGACCATGTCACCAACACCACCAGCGGGGAGACGGTTGAGGCGAGCACCAATACCCTTGACGGAGATGATGTAGAGGTTACGGGCGCCAGAGTTGTCGGCGCAGTTCATGACGGCACCGCTGTGTAGAAATTCGTGTTAGCCGCATGTTTCTTCTTTTCCTTCTTTTCTGTTGTGCATGTTCGGATATGTCGTGTGTTTGTATTTTGAGGAGTTCAAGGAGTGTTCGGAGGACGATTGCGAGAGCGTTCGGAGGGTATAGCGATGCGCTGATGAAGGAGCAGGTGAAGAGAAATATTTTCGACGTACACAGGCAGACCCAAGGTCATTCTCAGCTTGTTACCGGAGGTGGAACCACGGCTGTAAAGGTCATTCTCGTCAGCATTTTCTCACTCATTCCGCAGTCGCCGTAGCTCGGTGTACACATACCCGCGACCCATTTTGGCTGTTTATTAGTATGAACGGTGGGAAGTTGAAGGAGAGGGTGTCGCTTCGTTGCTGCTGGTTGAGTCTGCGCCAAAGTCGAGAAATCGCCAGCCCGCCAACCGCCAAATTCTGTGCGCGGCACTTGCCGCGACTGTTCCGACCCACCAATCCCGATTAGGCAATTGAAGCTTTCGGCTTTCTCGACTAGGTCCCTTCCACAAGAACATCACTTCTTCCATGCATCAAGTCACTAACAAGTTCTTTCGAAAATACTTCAATTCATTTTCTGAAAAAGTCGCAGTCTGCTGCAGTCTCTTTTCTTCTCGCTCTCCCCGGCTACAATGCATTGCAATCATCCATCTACCCACTTTCCTATCCAAGCAAATCATCCATAGCTCCGCCAGTCTTCTGTCCACCGTTTTGAGGAGCAGCCGGACTGGCAGGAGTTGACGAAGTGGTCGTTCCCCAAATGCCAGCGCTAGCCTTTTGCTTGGCCATGTCTGCCATGGTAGGTCCCTTGTTGCTAGGTGTACCAGACTTCTTGATGTTAGACCCAGACAAGAGTGCAGCGAATGCATCTCCACTGGCCTTAGGCTTAGGAGCACCTCCGATTGGTGACTTGACACCAGGAGATGCCACTGTCGATGCTGGCTGTGATTGAGCAGCATTGACAGATGTGAAGTAGTTGGGTTGTGCGGCTGAGAATCCGCCTGCTCGTGGTTGACCTGCCGACATGGGTGAGGCAATGTTCTGTGGTGGTGGTGCTGCGGCACCGGTAACGGGAGATGTGGTTGAGAAAAGATTGCTGAAGGCAGCGTTGTTGGTGCCTTGTCTTGGCTGAGGCTGTGCGAATTGAGTGTTGGGTGTTGCTGTGGACACTGGAGGTGCGATGGCTGTGTAGTTAGGAGTGTAGTTGGGCTTGGGAACTGCTGCGAGTGCAGGGGCTGGGGCTGCTGCTGGAGCGGCAGATTGGAAGTCGTCGAAATCGTCATCATCAGCACCACCAGACTGAAGAGCACCGAAACCATCATCGGCAGGCTGTTTGCCGTTGGAAGACATGGCAGGCATTGAAGGTGCTGCAAGGGTGGTCGGTTCATCGCCAAAGTCGAAGAGATCGACCTCGGGCTCCTTGGGTTTAGGAGGCTCGGGCTTCTTTGCTGCCGCGGTTGATGTTTTGGTTCCAGTTCTTGATGGCTCTGCCTTCCTTCGGGGTGGTGCAGCAGCACCTCCCTCATCGTACTCGTCGTATTCGTCAAATCGGTCTTGACCTCTGCTGCGACTCTGGCTTCGCTCTTCCCAGTCGTCTTGAACTGTTTCACCTCCAAAGCCACCACCATCGCCGTAAACCTGTCTAGTAGCTCCACCATATCCTCCAGGGGCGGACTCGCTACCGAAGCCACCGTACCTGCTGCTGGAGGTGGACATTGAGCCTCCAAGACCAGCACCACCCTCAACACCACTATATTTGTTTTTGTTCTGTCTGGCCTTCTTACGCTCAGATCGAATTCTGTCGACGTCGCTAAGAAGCTCGGTAAGCTCCTTTGATCGGTTGCGGACGTTGATGCCCTGGTCTTTGCCGTTCTGGTCAATGTAGTGGAATTGACGCAACATCTTGATGAGGGAGAGGTGGGATCGGACATCGTCGATAACTCTTTCGGAGCCGTTCTTGATCAGGAACTCGAGCAGTTGGAGGGCCTGTTACTGTTAGAGATGATCCGGAGGTTGCGACCGGCAAGTGTACCTTGTAGATCTGTCGCCATTCCTCGGCAGTCTTCTCGGTGAAGCGTTTGTAGATCATGGGCATGATCTCGTTGAGAATTTGACTGTAGCCTAGTCAGAAATTGAGGAAGCTGTATGTGGGCGCATGTTGGATCGTACTAGTTGAAAGTTCCGCTGGCAATGTCGTTCATCATGGTCGTGGATGCTCCCCAGGGCTCGTTGTTGGTGGCTTCTCGGACCTAAAGACTGGTTAGTGATCTAACCCGTGTATTGAAGTGCATCCCGAGCTGACCTTGGACTCCATCTCGGTGTAGTTCATGACAGCTGAATCGACATTAGTGCCCAGCCTCCTATTCGGGCTCTATACCACAAACATACCATTCTGCACTTTACGAACACCTGCCTTCAGGTCGTAAAGTGTCAGATTGCTGACCTGATTCTTCAAACTATCGAAATCCATCTTGCGCCGGGGTTTGGTGTGATACTGCGCTTTCCGTTATAGAGATGACACGCTGTTGGTCGCGCTCAGGTTATATTGACGTCGCGGCGCCCCCGGATTCGACGGAGATGCCAAGTGTTGACAACGCTCTACTCTTGGTTTTCAACTTGTTGTAAACAACCAAGAGGCTTTGGCACCCGCGAAGACAATACCGAGTTCACTTATCAAGGAGCACTAGGTATTTTACATGCTTGGTCTTCGTCAAGAAATCAGTTATTCACAGCACTGACATACCACAATATTCAAATCTATGTGGTGTTCAACATGTCCTCTGGATCATGAGCTGCAAAAACGCGAGCACCAGTCAAATACATTGATGGGCTTCATATTGCTGTTCTTCCGTAGGATCAACAGATACCTAATTAGTACAGCACGAGCAGACCTTAAGCCTTCGAATTAAATTGTATGGAACTATCATAGCTCTGCACTGCCAGAGGGCTTGATTGTGGTTGTATGGGCTCCAAAAACCATGTCACCAGCATGACCCTGTTCCAGCAACCGCCCCAACATTTCCATGACGAAAACACGAATGCAGAACACGACCTAATCATATCAAGCTCGAAGACTCGTCTGCGTACGTGATATCACTCGTTCGAGAATATCGGATTGGGCATGAGCTTCAATTCTATGTTTGATTGTTTATCCGTGCATGGTGGCTTAGCCCCTCCTCTCTGTTATGAGCTACCTTAGGTAAGCTTCGAAGCTGCGTGGAAGAGCTGGCGTTTCGAACTGGTGAATGAGAAGCTCAACAAGAGCCACGCCTTTGGTCAATGGATTCGAGCAAAGTGAAGATGTAGTAACTGCATTAACATGCCACCGTCAGGAGATTAGAGAGCTTGCCTGACCTCGCTGAAACCCCGCAGAAGTGATGAGAAGTGGTGAGAAGATCTTCAACAACAGTGATGTAGTAGGCAAGCGGTAATTCCCGAAGCAGCCCCTCCTTCAGATTTCACTTGTTGCCCCGCCGCTTCTAGCTCTTCTTCCGCATCATCTTCCACATGTTCTCTCTCCGAAAGACCCCAACCACTTTCATCAACAACTCCTTCAAACAACAAAGCCGACTTTTCTCAGCTTCATCCGCAAACATGGTTCAAAAGGTTTACTTCGACTGCACCTGGACCGGTCCTCAGGTCAACGTCGACCAGAACGGCAAGCCCACCAACACCGACCGTGAGGTTAAGCGTAAGTTGAGAGCATAATCCATCATCAATTCACTGCAGAAAGGCTGACCCAACCCACAGAGCGCTCCGGCCGCATCAACTTCGAGCTCTTCGACGACGTTGTCCCCAAGACCGTCGAGAACTTCCGTGCTCTCTGCACTGGCGAGAAGGGCTTCGGCTACTCTGGCTCCAAGTTCCACCGTGTCATCCCTGACTTCATGCTCCAGGGTGGTGACTTCACCCGTGGCAACGTGAGCGTTTCCGAGTCCATCGACCATTCCACTCCATCTCTAACAATCCATCACAGGGCACTGGTGGCAAGTCCATCTACGGTGAGAAGTTCGCCGACGAGAACTTCAAGCTCACCCACAACAAGCCTTTCATGCTCTCCATGGCCAACGCCGGCCCCAACACGTATGTTTACATCTATCTGAAGCATCAATCAGGCCTCCCAGCTAACATATCCCCTCCAGCAACGGCTCTCAGTTCTTCATCACCACCGTCGTTACTAGCTGGCTCGACGGCCGTCACGTCGTCTTCGGCCAGGTCCCCTCCGGTGATGTCGCCTCCATGTCCGTCATCAAGTCCATCGAGGCTTGCGGTTCCTCCTCCGGTGCCATCCGTGGTGGCGGTTCCCCTCCCCAGATCACCGCCGCTGGCGAGCTCTAAGCGTGTCGTCCATTAATCATGGCAAAATAGAATACGAGACATGAACTTGCACAGAGAGAGGAAGGAAGAACAAAGAGTCAACTCTTTTAAGCACCATGATGTAGTTTTTTGACATTTAAAACGAAAGCAAAAAGTGCATTTTTCTCCTTGCTTGATACTTCCCACCATGCCGCCGTGACGAACCACTTGCGACAAAATATTGCTACAATCGACCTTTTCTACTGTTCTTGATGTCTATTTACAACCAGCACGAACGAGAATCAGACCCGCCGATCACTGTCACTCTATTATCGTCGACACACTTCTCAACCTCAACCCCGCACAGCTGGTACTGTATACCAATAATCAATAATGACGTGCGAGGGTGCTTCGGTCGACTCAACACAACAAACCAAACGGTCAACCATTTCTCACAAGACAAAATCCATAGATCCGTCCCTCACCTCCCATCGCAACGATCAACAAAGACAACCCCTTCCACAAGTTACCTCGCCTTGTTTCTACACGGAGCGAAAACGACTTGATCACTTTCAACCCGAACGGCCAGATATCTTAACTGTAAGTGGTTGTGTGATTCTTAGATGATGCTTCCTTGATTCTGTAACAATAAATGTCGAACTTGAAGAAGGCATCTATCCTAGATCCCGAAGGTAGACGAACATAAAAGTACCCCAAAGCGCGAAAGTTTGCCGGAAAGGAAATATATGGGACTGTGAATGTGCATTTCTTGCTTTCCTTTCCGCAGGGTTTGACTGGGATGATGGATATTGAATTTTTTAGTGTTGGAGGGGGAGCGGTGAAGGGCTAGCGATCTCAAGAGTTTCACGTAGGTGCGTGGCTTGAATGTTGAAACTCAAGGAGCGGATGAGGTATTGGATTTGGGGAAGCACATAAAGACCCAGTGTGGTTAGAGGGTGGGACAAGAACGAAGATGGAGAAACAGGATCGGAGGTAGGGTAAATAAAAAAGAGAGGTATGAGAAAAGGTTATTGCTATTTCAAAAGAATGATCATGGGGGTAAGTAAAACCCTTTCGCTCGCTCTTGTTTCATCTGTTGAAGGAAGAACTTCTGGGTACTATAACTATGTTAAAAAATGGGAAAACTGAGGAAAAGAGGACAAATAAAGTAGAGTAATCATAGGGGAAATCACTGCCATTGCCCCTTTTGTTGTGGCCATCCTTGCCAACGTGATCTCATCCCACTCGCAAACGCCTTTCCACGCGTGTCGTTTATGAGTCGGCGTCGTGGAACTCCTCGTCGAAACCTTCGACACTATCTTGACGGTGAATGACGGGTTGCAAAGGCTCCTTGAGATCGCTCATGGTGTTCAAGGGGGATGCCTTCTGTTGTACGGGCTGCTGAGGTGCGGCACCACCAGCGTGGCCGAAATCAGCGAGGTTGCTGGGTCCTTGTGAGACAGACTGGAATTGTTGTGGTGCTGGCGCTTGTTGCTGGGGAGGCTGTACCTGCTGTGGTAAAACAGCTGCGGGAGCTGGGGCGGAAGCTGCTACGGGAGCTTCGGATCTAGGTTGTGCTTCGGCTTGAGGGGGAGCTTGAGCTTTCTGGCCTGGTAGGATGGGTGCAATAGCAAGGACTTGCTTGACAATCTCATCAGGGGTCTTGCCGTCACTGTGATGCATGTGTTAGTGATTTGACGTGGACGTGGATGTTGGAGGAAGACAGGACTAACATGGCGGCATCAATGACCCAGTCCAGGTTCTCTTCTCCGTCCAAATCTCCTGGACCATTGCTGGCGCCAGCTCTCGTCTTACGGAAGAGCTTAGGGTGCCACTCTCCATGTTCTCCACGCTCTGCTGCCTCTGCGCGCTGGCGATCCTCGATAAATGACTTCTCGTCGGTAGCGGTTCTTTGGTCGGCAACCTTGATGGCCTTAGTAACCTTGTCCCACAATCTTTGCGATTCGCGATCGGATTGCTCCTCGAGAGGGCGGGCCTTGGGGTATGAGGGTTTTGCGTGAGATGCGTCGAAAATGAGCTCTTTCTTGCCCGTCTGCTGCGTGTCAGAACGTATTTACCTCTGTCGGGGGTTGTCCACAACATACCGTCAGGTTCTTGATGTACATCTCCTTGTCCCAGTAACCACTGAACTCGAACAGATTCTTTCCACTCTTGGTGTCCTTGATATGGCCGCCAATAGCATTGTATGTTCCAGTCATCCACCCCTTGACCTTGAAGTCAATCTCGGCTTCCAGACCCAACTCCGGGCAGCGAACGTAGGCGTGGTCACCGAGCTCGTATTTCATCTTACCGAAAAGGATTCCTCTGGCGTACATGTTTGGCTGGGTAATGAAGTATCGCTCGTTGCGGTTCAACAGACGCATGACTGCAATGCCTTCCATGAAACTGCCGACAGAGTTGCCCAAGAATCTGCTTCGGGGTTTGAGGGTGCCATCAACGCGGATGTGGTGCTCGGGGGCCATGAAGAAGTAGCTCGACTTGGGAGGGTGGTGAGATGTTTGTTCCGAGATGTAATAGCCACGAGTGTTGTCGGGGTAGTCCCAGTATCCGGTAAAGGTTTCGCCGAGAACGGGGTTCAAAGGCTTCTTGACACCACTGTGTGTTTGTTAGCTGCTGACCGCTGCCTAGAGCTGGAACAAACTCACGGAGGCTTGATGTGCCATCCACTGAGGTAGAACTTGGTCACGGCGACAAAGCGCTCGACTGGGTCATCGATGCCGGGTAGAGTGAGCAGGATTTCGGGGTGTGCCATGAAGTTTGTGATTCTCTCGAGCATAGATCGTGGCTCGAGGATGAAGGTGGGCAACGTCACTCTGCTGAGGTCGGCGCCCGGTCGCAGCTGGCTGATGATGTGTGACAGGACTGTTTTCTTCCATTTAGCTATTTGTCTCGTTCGGGGTGGTTTAGGCAGCGCATACCATTGCCCTGGTCCTGGTCGACGACAGTCTCATCGTCGGCGGTAGTGTCCGGGCGGTCACCCTCGACGGACGATCTGTTGCCTGCGGTGTTCCTTCTCAGTCCGAGAGTCATTTTGTGAGGATGAAAAACTGGTACGAACTAGCAGCCGAATGGCGTCTATGCGAATGTCCAAGAACCATGGTCGTATTTTATTAATGTCCCCTTGTCACGCTTGTTGCGAAGGAAGGATCTGTGCACGCCGCCGTCGGGGCTTTGTTACCAATGGTGGATTTATTGTTGATCAAGGTACTTTTGTCTTGGTCTGTCACTCGTTTGAACTCGCTGTTTTTGCAGATAGAGCAATGCGTTCTGTCGTCGTCACTTAAAACGTTGGCCCTGTTACGTAGGTATTTACAGCCTTCCAGCTCCCTTGACCATCCGCTTGTTTGTTCCTGCCGCTCCGAGGGTTTGACTTCTGCCTACGTCACGGAGCCTTGGCAATAGCTGCCTTTTTTTGTGCTATTCCTCAAGCTTCAATATCATCGAGAGAGCAACATGGCGTAGAATGAGGCTGCATATCCCTCGACTACAGCGTACTCTGCAGCGATGCCCGATGGCCCATCATACTGGAATACGTATCAGATCCTAGATGCACCTGACAGCAGCTCCTCAAACTTGGCACAGGCAAGAGCTCTCGGATTGACCCCTCATTCGCCGTATCCCGTATTCGTCGTCGCCTCCAATCCAGACTCGCAATAATTTCCTCTCTTATGGCAATCTTGTGTGTTCACGCACGCTGTTGATTGCAACTCCGCTGTCCGAACTGTCGTGCTGTCCTTCGGGTAAAACATGTCCGCATACCGAATAGTCTCGTCGGCAGTTCGGATGCGCAGGCTGCCGGCGGTGAGAAGGCAGCTCGACTCGTGCCCCTCTTGTCACATGTGATTTGCTCGAAGCCTTGAATTTGCGAGCATATGATTGGAATACGTCTTTTCATGGGCATCCTTCTTGTACTGGTATTGATGTTGTTCATTACTTCATAAGCTTCATACTCTATGCTGCATCAAAGCATCATTCCTTTATGCCTTTGAAGGATCGCTAGAGACGGTCTTCTCGACCAGCTTTGCATCAAACTTCTTGCGCTGCTCTTGGAGTTTGCCCATGAACCCATCATCAGCAGTCTTGTTGCCTTCGTGGTCCCACTCTTCAATGTGTTCCTCAATCAAGCCCTGGCTGTTGAGCTTGAAAGTCAACTTGCTGTTGACAGTCTTCTCGGTACCCTCCTTTTTGAATGGAATAGGTGACTTGAAGACGTAGTGCTGTGTCAAGTTCAACTCGAGCTGAGAAGGTGTTGATGATGCAAGAACTGCGACCTCTGTACGCATATTAGTATCGATCAGGAACTGAGAAGAAAGGTGGCCACGAACCCTTTGTCTCGCTACGCGCAAAGATCTTGGGCATGCCGTTGAACTGCGACATGATGCTCTCCTTGCCCTTTGCAATGCTGACAGGGTCGTGGAAGACGGCAGTCTCGGCATAGTGGGTGTAGCTCTGCTCATTGGGCTCCGCCTGGTAGAGCTTGAGGATATCGGTGATGAACTTTTGCTCCTCAGAAGTGGCCTCTCTGGTGGCGTGAGTGCCTTGCGAAGATTGAGTGAAAGCCATGTTTGCGTGAACGTGTATTTGATTGCTGATATTGTTTGTGAATTGGAAGAAGTTTATTGAAGAGCCTCTTTGAGCACTTAAGAATGGTCTATGTTTTGATGACGGGCACCATGATGGCGAGCAAACGTCATGATTTGGGAGATCGACCAAAATGGCATGGACAAAGAAGCCTCCAGCCTTCTAGACGTCAGCGGACTCCTCCTGCAGTGTTGGATTTGCTGGACCCTCTATCGGTTCATACCACCCTGCAGGTTTGTCCAAACAACATTCAAAGTTGTGAGATGCTGTGCTCTTGTATCAAGCAAAAGAACAGCTATGTTGTAGTCAACAAGCAAAAGGTATGGACGACTAGGGGATCGAACCCTAGACCTTCAGCATGCAAAGCAGACGCGCTACCACTGCGCCAGACGCCCATTCATGAAGAAATATGTTGATTGAGAAACAATAATAAAACGTGGCTGCTCGTGATGAGCATGAGCTTCATGCTATCACCAGTCCGAGCTTCTTCACCTTCTCAGATCGTCTCCGTCACCACCGTACCCGCTGGAAGGATGAGGCTCAAGGACACGCCGCTTCTGACACTGAAGCTGCCAACTTGAATACATACTACAATCACGCCTTCAAGCACCTTTCCATATCACGACTGTAACGAACATCATGACTCCAAGCATCAAAGCGGCCCTCATAATCGTTGACCTTCAGGAAGACTTCTGCCCACCGGTTAGTCTCCACCAATCTTTGAGCTCAGACCCGCGGCGTTACCCAGGCGCACACCTACTCCTTGAGTCGAAATCAACTAGCAAAATCTTCTGCTTGTGCAAAGACATCGCGGTCGTCGCGTACTGTGACCTGAATTCTCTGACATGTTGCGCAGAAAGGCAGTCTTGCCGTGACTGATGGCCGGTCCATTGCTCCCGTGATCAATGACCTCCTCAAACTACCATGGACTCTCCGTGTAGCGACAAAGGACATGCACCCTAAAGACCACATCTCTTTCGCATCACAACATCCTCCGCCGAACAACAAACCCTTTGAGTCGTCCATCACTATCGCCAACCCTCACAATCCTGAAGAGACCCAGACAACAAATCTATGGCCAGATCACTGTGTCGCTGGCTCACCAGGTAGCGAGTTGATCCCAGAGCTTGATGTCAGCAGATTAGACGAGGTTGTGGAAAAGGGTCAAGACAAGAGAGTGGAGATGTATTCGGCCTTCTGCACACCTTTCCTGAATCCAAAGATCGTCGAGACTGGTTTGGCAAAGACGTTGAAAGAGAAGGGCGTCACACATGTCTTCTGTGTTGGCCTAGCAGCAGATTTCTGCGTCAAAGCTACTGCTATCGATGCGGCCAAGGAGGGCTTCGAAACCGTCGTCATCCGCGAAGGCACAAAAGGCGTCGAACAAGGCGACGAGGCAGACAAGAAGCTTGCACAAGAGTTGAAAGAGAACAACGTCAAGATGGTCAGCGTCGACGGACCCGAGGTCGCTAAGGTCAGAGACCTGCAGTAGACTTGCAGGGTCCAAATCATCAAAACTAGGTATGTGACCGCTTTCTCTCCACCCCTCACTCCCTCCCCTACTAGCATGATGTTTTACACAAAACGAAAATCAAAATCCCTGAGGGCTGTTATGATTATTACTCTGGCGGCCCGAGGATTACAACCTTTTACTCTGATACACTATCAACCATATTCCTCTCTCTCTCTTCTTTCCCCTGGAAATGGATCAAGAGCTAACTCGCTCACAGTCAGATCAAAATTCCACGCCTAGCTCCTACAATGTCTGTGTATATCCGGACCCAACAGCTATAGCCCATCCTTCGTAGGTAAGGCTCAAATTCGTGTACAATGAGGTAGGTCGCTTGCAGCATCGATAAAGACATGAGGCCCTGCGCTGCGTGGCAAGACTCATACGTTCAGTAGCTACCTCACGTGCTCGTGGAAAGTGTCCCAGGAACTCCATAGTCAGTCGTGCTCGAGCCTAAGCTCTGTATGAGCAGTTTCACGTAAAAAGATACTGGGACGACTACTCAAATTACAATTTCTTCATCTCTTCAAAAAGTCTTTTGCGGTGACTCGTGACTCTTTTCGTCAAACACAATGTCTCGCAACAACATCACATCGCCTGGCCTTCTGCTGTTGGCCGAGTCGGCGCCTCCTGAGATTTCGATGCCCATGTCAACCACAGGTGGAGTGTGATGGGCTGGTTTAGAAGGGTATGGCGAAAAAGAGTACGCGTGAGTTGTGGAGGAGGTATAATCTTTGATTGTGGTTGGAGGAGGGGGTGGAGAGTGCAGTATGGGAATGTCATGATATCCTTTCATACCTTCTTCTACATAGTCTGCTACATAGCTAAAAAATTCTCACGCATCATCACTCTATATCAACCATCTCTTGATCTACACTTCCCATCCCCCTGATAACCTCCTCTTGCAATACTCTCACAGCCATAGCAGCACCCCTAACCTCAGCCTCCTCCCTACTAACACATTCTTCCACTTCAACAACTTCTCTCCCTCCGACCAACACCTTACACCCCCACCCTCCTTCTCCATCCCCCTCAGCCACATACTCTACACCATTCATATTCGCCAACATACCCAATCTCTCCCTCGGAAACCCAACAGCCACACCCTCTTCCAAAAACCTATCCATCAAGTCCAGCAATCCTAGTTTCTCCACAAAGGCTTTGCAGGCGGCGAGACTGCCTTGTGAGTCCATGTAGATTGCACCGAGCAGTGATTCGAGAGTATCAGACATCCATTTTGGGGATTTCAGGCGTAGCAGGTCGGGCCATGGGTATTCGTGTCCTTTGTGCAGTTGTTGCAGGATCTGTTCGCGCAAGGGTGTATACCTGTGCAAAGCGGTTTGACGTTGTATATGCACGCTACTGCCACAGCGTAAGAAATCATAGAGGTGATATTCATGTCCTACGTCCTCCAATTTCACCTCTTCGGCTGCAGAAGAAGTAGACATGGCTTCCAGGCGAGGAACACAGAGGGAAAGTTCCAGACCGCATATCCCCAAGATATGAGCATTTGCCAGTGCTTGTCTCATTCTGTGCATTTCGTGATTCTTTAATGCTGGTTTTGCGGCGAAGATTGAGGGGACGAGGATTTGGTCTAGTACTGCGTCGCCTAAGAATTCGAGGCGTTCGTAGGATAGAGCTTCGGTAGAGGAGAAGGAGGAGTGGGTTAGTGCTTCGAGGAGTAGGGAGGGATTGACGAATTTGTAGCCGATGAGTTGTTCGACTGTGCTGAGGAATGGCGGAACGGTAGGAAGAGAAGGCGTGTTGCTGAGCAGGATAGACAGACATGATGAGTGAGGGAGCCATTGTTCGTTGGGTAGGAAGATTCGGATGCATGCGAGTGCGCCTTCGAGACCTTTGTCGATGTAGGAGGCGCCAATTAATGCTTCCACAACATCTGCCAATGTCTTTGTGCTCCTGTCCACTTTCTTCTCTTCCTTTTCTGCGCCATCGGCGGGCAATAGTGGTGGCTTCCAATGATTTCCAGTGAACTTCGTTGTGGAGATATATCTATCTACCCCACTGCTTAAGCAAGCACGGGAGAGCGATGCATTGCCATTCGTCCTTCCTTTCTCTGCGGTAAGGTAGCTTTCTGGCCATTCGGGATGCTGAGCCGACAGCTGTATGTGCGTGCAATATTTCAACACTGCATCACCAAGGTACTCAAGCCTTTCGTAGCTGGCAGTGAAATCGGCATTACCTGAGGTGGTGGCTTCGATGATGAGTTGGAGATTGGTAAAACCAATTGGTGCCAGGAGCGTGGTTTGAAGACGAGCGGCGAGAATGGCGGCTTCAATTTTGTGGAGAATGGAAGGAATACACGCCGCGAAGAAAGAATACATGACTGGCAGGACATCGATTGTGCATTGGGAAGTCGCAAGCTGCTCGCGGGTCAGTTTGTTCTTCTTTGATTCCTCGGTAACTTGGGTCAGGAAGTCGCGTTTCTTGGGGAATTTGGTGACTTCCAAAATCTGTTGAGATTGACCTTGTATACTCTCAAAAACAAATGTTCGGCCAATTTGACCATTGAGGCGAACGAGGCCAACATCTGCAGCCGATCGAGCAGTAGAGAGCACTTGACTCGCTGGCAGGCTTTTTCTGCTAAGCTGGGCTCGATCTTGATTATCCAATGGTTCGAACATTGCGGCGTAGTTTCCTTTTGCATCTGCGATATCAACAGGCGACAACACTGAGAGCAGAATAGTTTCGGTATCTCTTCGTTTCTGAGCGATTTCATCAACGCTTAATGTGCATGGTTGGCCAGGCCCAATCTTCGCAACACCGCTGACAGACATGCTCAAATGCAATTGAATAGCGTCAATCTTCGGACATTCAATAGGTAAGAACATCGCCATCGAGATGCTAGGCTGACCCTCAATCTCAAGCTCGACTGTATGTCTAAACCAAGAGTTTGCTTCACCTAGTGACCAAGGATCAACTCTCTTCGCGACTGGAATCAGACCAGGTCGATTTTGACGTGCCTGGTCAGGAGTCTGGATATGAGGTGGTAGCAAATGATCATTCAGTAGGCCAGCTTGATGCAATACTACACAAGCTTGGAAAGCCGCATCCTTCATGGCTGCTCTTTCGGTACGCCAGCCATGTGCACTGACAGCTTTTCGATACTTCTTGTTCACACATGATGGTAAGAGGACATTCGCAGTGACAAGAGCTTCTGCATCTGTTCGACAGTCAAATACTGGTCGATGGTCGACATAGCTGGTGGTTTGAAGCGTAGCGCAGAAATGGTATAGATGCGACTTTGCATTGTCGAGAGTGAGGAGAGCGCCTGTGCTGGGTACTTCATATTTTCTGCCATCCGCTTCGTGAACTTGCTCGAGTTGTGCTGCCAACTGAGCATTTCTGTATTCGTCTTCATACGCTGCTTTCATGCGATCTTCGAGCTGATTCCATTTGGTAGGTTCACCCTTGATGTCATCGTCCGCCAGCAGGATGATGTATTTTGAGTCCTTCTTTCTTGCTCTACCACGTCTTTGAACAAATGACACGAGGTTGAGAGGAGCGTCAAAGCATATGACTGTTTGGCAAGAAGATATGTCAATACCTTCTTCAAGCACACTTGTCGCAATGATCAGATTCTTCTTCCCTATCCGGAAGTCGTCCAGAGTCTGTTGCTGTGCTTTCAAGTCGTTGATGTCACCAATGGTCGACTTTTTCTTGGATGAGTTCGAGCCTCCAACAAACGTGCCGATATTAAATAGTTGTGACATCTCTGGTATGGAGGCCAGATATTCTGCCAAAGCTGCAACAACAGCCCTTTGCTCAACAAAGATAATTCCAGTAAATGAAGGACCAGATTCTTTTCTCAGTATTTCCAGAAGCACCTGAAGTTTTGGACTTGCAGTCGAGTCCGAGATGGCAGAGTCCACACGTAGACCACTGACAATCTGTGCAAGATGGCCTTTTTCCTTGTCCGAAAGTTCCGGCATCCACGAAGCATTGTTTTGTTGGATACCTGCGAGGAACTTGTCACGGCAAGCTTGGATGTATGTCTCCGATGCTGATAGGCTGATGTCTCTGGCGATGACTTCTGCACGCGTTCTCAGCGCTCTAAGCTGATCTGTGCAATAAGTCTTGCGCGACATAAGTATCTCGTTGACACTAGTTTTCATGTCCGGACCTCCAGTTTCGATGAGCTCGACAAGGTATGGATCTTCGCGTATCTTGTATTGATGGATGATTGTAGTCAGAGTTTCTCGCAAAGAGTTGGGAACGTCGGGTGCCTCCTGACTTTGGAAAGACATCTTCATGAGCTCTGGGATATGTACGTATTGCATCAATTCTGATCTGTGCAGTCTTGGTGTGATGGCGTGACTGTCCATGTTCGTCTCAAGTACTTCTAAACCTCCAGCTTTAGCGTTCATCACCGGACTAGCACTGAGACCTAGGATTCTTGGTACAGATTGCCCGGCATCTTTGGCAGGCCGATAGAACTGCTGCATGATCATGTTAGAAGCATGCTTCTTAGTGCAATGATGTGCTTCGTCGAAGACACACAGCGAAAGTCTCTTCATGGCAACGAATCCGTGGCAGAGAGCATCGTAGAGGACACCGTAAGTGCTGATGATGATTTTCATATCCTTGAGAACGCCATCCCATACTGTTTGATCGGTCCATATGTCGACGCCATCCTCGCTTGTGAGGAGTCTTGTTTGATATGCCGGCAAGTTTGTTTTGACTGACTTGTAATGTTGATGACAAAGGGCGACTGTGGGGGCCAGAAACCACACAAGTTTGTCTGGCTCGTCCAGTTCCAGTTCTGCTCTTGTCCTAGCAAGGGCTCTATGGCACGCGGTGGCTTTCGTCAAACCTTCTCGATAGTGTCTTCGTTGTTCTTGTAAACGATGACTTACATGTGTGTTTTACCAGCTCCAGTGTTTAGCACAACGATGGTGTTCCTCTTCAGACTCTCTGCGAGCATCTCGTCTTGGTATGCACGAAGCTTGAAGATTTCATTATCGTCGTCGTCGAAAGATCTGACATTGATGGTATCTTTCTCAGCTTCCGGTACATCGCTTAAACCATCGTCTTCGATTGTTGGCTTGAAGAAAGCATCGTCCTCAATACGCTTTGTATCGCTAACGTCCTCTGCGAGAGAGGACGTTGGCGAAAATGGTTCTGACATTGCTTCACCGTCTTGACTGACCCCTAGCTGTTGAAAGCTAGCGGTGAGTGCTTGATAAGCATACATATTCGCGAAGACACGTCACAGACCAGCTATTTACGTGCCGCAAGTCTGCAAGGTGCTGTCGCGGCAATATGAGAAAGATGAGCTTTGACCTGCGCGGAGAGAATCTGCACAACACTGTGAAATCGTGCATAATTATGCACTCTTTGTGCCTGCCATGGAAATCGTATAACCAGCTTGAAGATAAGCGGACGCTTGTGTGTAGCAGCTAATGGTGGGTATATGCAATAGATTCAATTCGTAAATTTGGTATATACAACAAAAAAAAAAGACATCATAATATCAAGACAAGTCATCAACAACTTCACGTTTTTCACCAGTCACCAGCAAAGGTAACGGTCTTGAGCTTCAAGAACTCGTTGAGACCGTACTCGTGGTTGAAGCGACCCCAACCAGACTTCTTGACACCACCGTGGGGCAGACCAGCTTCGTCGTGTACAGACATCTGGTTGATGTGCACAGCACCACTGTCGATTTGTCTGGCCAGTCTAATACCTCTTTGCAGGTCCTTGGTGAAGATGGCACCGGATAGACCGTACTCGGTGTCATTGGCGTAGTTTACAGCTTCCTCATCCGAGTCGACGGTAAGAAGTGATACTGAAGGACCGAAAGACTCGGTGTAGTAGAGGTCCATCTCCTTGGTCACATCCTGAACAACGAAGGGACGAAGACGATGTGCGTTTGTCTCCTTTGAGTTGATGTCGCCGTAGAGGAGCTTAGCGCCCTTCTCAACAGCATCCTTGACAAGCTTTTGGTTCTTCTCGACAGCAGGTTTGGCAACCAGAATGGGAGCCTCTCCAGAGTCGGGGTAGATCTTTGCGATAGCGCCCTTGAGAGCTTCTGAGAAAGGCTCAAGGATGGATCTGTGGACAATGATGCGTTCGGTAGACATGCAAATTTGACCGGCGTGGACAAAGGCACCCAGAGCGCACTGGAAAGCGGCGTTCTCAATCTCTGCATCATCAAGGACAAGAGCGGAAGCCTTGCCACCCAGTTCCATCAGACAGGGCTTCAGGTTCTGACCAGCTTTGGCGGCAATGATGGCACCAACGGCAGTGCTGCCAGTGAAGTTGACTTTCTTGATTTCGGGAGCCTCGATGAGGTGGTTGGTGACAGCGGCGGCGTCGGTGGTGCGGTGGTAGAGAACGTTGAGGCAACCAGCGGGAAGACCGGCCTCGTGGAAGACACTTCCAATGGCCCAGAATGAGCGAGGCGAGAGCTCGCTTCCCTTGAGAATGCAGGTGTTGCCAGTAGCCAGGGCGTAGATGACGGCTCTCAGACCCAGGATGTAGGGAGCATTCCAAGGAGCAATGCCCAGAATGACACCGTAGGGCTCTTTGAAGACCAGAGCTCCACCATCTTGAGTCTGAGGAATCATACCAACGATGCCACCGATGCGGCCAGCGACATCTCTGAACATCTCGACTGTTGTGGGCAGATTGAATTGCTTTACAATGAAATCAGGGGCACCCGTCTCTTCCATTTGGTATCCGGCCAGCTCGTCCAAGCGGCTCTCCATGATGTCTGCAGCCTTCAAGAGGATCTTGCGGATCTCTGTGGTCTTCAACTTCTTCCATGACTTCCAGGCGCGTTGGCATGAGTCTACGGCTTTTTGGGCGTCTTCGACCGAGGCAGAAGAGCAGCTCCAGAGCTTCTTCTCAGTCTTGGGTGAGTTGACATCGAAGGTGGTTTCGGTGACGACTTCCTTGCCGTCGAGCCAGAGGGGACTGTGGAGAGCGTATTAGTCACTTTCGTCTTCCTTCTCCCGCGTCTGATGGCTTAGCACTTACACTGTGTAGTCTGCCATTGTTGTATGCTTCAATTCCGAGTATGTGACGAGCGATATGAACAGAAAAGACCCCTGGATAAATTCGAGGACGCGATAGTATTATCAATCAATCAATTCCTCTCGGCGTTTAGCAGTAATGAGACAATAATCAATGAGGCGGGATGGAAGTGGGGGGTAGGGCAGACTCGACTCGTTCGGCTTGACACTCGGCATTCTCGCCATCCATGCCCACTTACCGATTGTCTCTCTTGGACATGCCGCGACGGCATCTATTGATCATACATAACAACTTCTACGCCCGGCAGATATTTCGAAGAACAAGGGAAGCATTAAACTTCAGAGGTCGTGAGGAAAACATGCAGGGACGGTCCGTGGCGGGCTAAGGATCGTCCGATTTTCCGAGAGCCTCGATATGCGCCCGTTGAGCCTTGGCTGGTGCTGTGCTTGAGTCTTCGATATTGATCATGAGACAAACACATGAGCAACACAGAACTTGAGCGACATGGATAAGGCATCAAATGATTCTCTTGAAGGGTATCGTTTCTACTATATCTACTCTTTAGAGTGATCTAGCTATTTCCAAAATGGTACCTTGGCCAGCCAAGGGCCAATTCCAAATATCTTCCCATCATCATGAAGGTCATGTAGGTATTACAGTAAGTCATCCAAACGTATCAATAGCACATCTAAGAGCGCTTGCCGAAGGCCTTGTCGAAGTTGACGAGGGTGAAGCGGTACTTGATGTCGTTCTTCTCAAGACGCTCAAGAGCAGTCTTGCAACCCTCCTCGCTGACGTCGATGGTCTCGACCCAGGACTTGATGTTCTGCTTTGAGGCGAGCTCGAACATGGCCTCCATCTCAGGACGGTTACCGATGTGAGAGGCTCCAATCGAGCAACCGTTGCCGGCGAACTGCTGGGCCATGAGGGTAGGGATGGGCTTGTCACCGAATCCGACCATGTGGAACTTACCCCAGACCTTGAGGGTGCTGAAGTAGTCGTCCAAGTTGAACTGATCAATGGCGTCGGCGGTGTTGATGACGAAGTCGAAGGCGAACTTGTAAGGCTCGTTCCAACCCTTCTCCTTGGTGCAGATGAACTCCTTGGCACCCATCTTGAGAGCATCCTCCTTCTTGCTGGGAGAGTGCGAGATGGCGTAGACCTCAGCACCAAGAGCCTTGGCCCAGAGGAGGGCGAAGTGACCGAGACCACCGATACCGATGATACCGACCTTCTTACCAGGGCCAGCACCGAGGCGGACCAGAGGAGAGTAGACGGTCAGACCAGCGCAGAGCATGGGAGCGGCGATCGAGGTCTCGAGGTTGTCGGGGATCTTGAAGACGAAGTAGTCGTTTGCACGGATGTGCGAGGCGTAACCACCTTGCGAGATGGTGCCATCAGGGTAGGGTGCACCGTAGGTGTCGATGGAGTTGGGGCAGTAGTTCTCCTGGTCAGCCTTGCAGTTGTCGCAGGTCAAGTCGGCACCAATCTGAGCACCAACACCGACTGGATTGTTGTTAGCATGGTTTGTTTACAGATCGAACTATGGGCTGGACGAACCTCTGTCGCCGACTTTGCAGTTTGAGACCTTGTCGCCGACCTTGACGACCTTGCCGATGACCTCGTGGCCAACGCAAAGAGGGAGGGGAGCGTCACCCCAACCTCCAGTGATGGTGTGAAGATCGGAAGCGCAGACACCACAAGCCTCAATGGCAATGTCGACATCGTGCTCCTCGAACTTCTTGAGCTTGAACTCGCCCTTCTTGAAGTCAGACCTGTGAAGCGAATGTCAGTATTGCGTTGCTGTGATTGACAAATCTCCGTGTAAGTTACTCACCACTTCTTGTGGTCGTGGATCATGAAGCCCTCAGCGGTTTCCGGGTAGCCCATATTTGCGGTATTTGTGTTGTTTAAAGGTTTGGGAAAGAGGTGTAAGATAAGTTGTATGTGAGAATTGAGCAAAGAGGAGCAGCTCGAAATCCTTTTGTAGCCGGGAAAATATTGGGGCAGAGGAGCTTCCTCTCAACACAGGTGGGGGTGATCTCATACAGTAGCTACAAGCGCATTCGACGTAATTGATCAAGCCGTTTCTGTCACCGCGGAAACTATGGCTAAGATAGGAGGAGATGCTCGATTTCCAGATCGCATACTGAGCCGCATCGTAGAAGCTCTTTTTACATGACCTATCTTCTTTCCCATCTCTTCCATCAATTGATGCTCTTGAGCAGTTCAGAATCTGTTATTCTATGTACCTACCCCAATCAACAGTCCGCTCGTGGCTCGTTCGTTATCGGAAGAATTGGAGGGGCACATTTTGCCTGATTTCCTCCACCAATGAACGATGATGTAACGGATGGATTTCTCAAAGATGTCATTCTGACTTTGTGAACAGATGCAGCCTCAAATCTTCGATCGACAGCTTCAATGAACATGCTTCACGGCCCGGCTGGGTTAACCACTGCGGCAGGAAGGCCGGTATTGCCCCAGTGAACTCCAATTCGCTACAGATCAAAGCTGACTTATTCCCACAATTCTGAGGTTGCCAAAGAACAGGCAAAAGTTGCTGGAGAGAGACTCCGATGAGGCGAAAGAGGGGCATTATTTGTGGAGTTTTGGCGGAGCACGGCCCGTCATGCGCAGCGAGCTCCTTGAACTCAGCTCCACGTGGTTGCAAACAAGACAAACTCGTTGTGAACTTGCCAGCAGCAGCGACCCAAGCACAAGCAACGTGCTCGACATGAAGACCTGCTGGAGAACAGATTCCCGCTGAGGATAGCCGTCGAGTGACAATGAGCCTGCTTTCTCCTGGTGTATGTATGTAGCACGCGCTTTCTCGAAATGGAAAGCCGAGCACTACTTGCCAAGATTATCTCGACTGACTGACAGCACGTTTTTCGACCTGCGAAGGATGGCATCCTAACCTCCCCGACTTATTGAGGCTCAGCAGTGGCTGACCTCAGGAGGCAATTCTGGTGTTGGCGTTCGCCGCGCTCCCAAACTCTTGTCACGCTGAGTGATCCACGGACTTCGATTTCTCCGTATACCAAGAGGCTTCACCACCTTTTATCCGTCTGCATCGCAAAGAAGTCCGGTCGGGAGCACTCATGAATCGCAGAACAGAGTCGAGAACTTGTCCTGTTCTTGCAGCAGCAACACAAGGGCCGCCTGCTATGGTGACCCCGGATCTGCAGAGCCGCAAGTGCGGGGGATTGAGGGGTCAACCTTGGAGAGCACTTCGCGCTATCGGATGTCCAGAGATGGGAATCCTATCTTGCGGAGATCTCTTAGAGCTAATGCCGTAGGTCAGATGAGCTGAGGTTCGCAGTCGTATGTATGTCAAGGAAAATTTCTGGATGTGAGAAGCAGCATCCTCACTTTCTGCATACTCAATCTTCGACATCGGAATCCATTTTCCACCATGGCAGAAGCACTGAGAAAGGTCGACTCCGCTGTTGCATCCAGAAGCTCCAAGATTGGTACAATGAAGGCGCTGCGTATTCACGGCAAAGAAGACCTTCGATTGGAAGATATTCAGACCCCACAGTGCGGCGATGGCCAGATCATGATCAAGCCAGCTTGGTGTGGCATATGCGGCACTGGTGAGTTGGGCAAAGCTCTTCGTCGATTAAAAACTGATACTGGCAACTCAAGACCTTCATGAGTACATGGGCGGCCCGTCATTATGTCCAACAACTCCGCATCCAATAACCAATGAGACTGTACCTCTGACCATTGGACACGAATTCAGCGGCGTTATTGAAGAGCTTGGACAAGGTGTTTCGAACAAATATGCAGTCGGACAAAGGGTCGTTGTGCAGCCTATCATCTATTGTGGAGAGTGTGGATCTTGCAAGGATGGCATCCCAAACTGCTGCGACAAGAACGGATTCGTCGGCTTGTCTGGCTGGGGCGGCGGTTTGGTATGTGTCGTGTTCTCAGGCAACAACTTCTGCTGATCTTGCTAGGCCGAACACATCGTGGTCCCGGAGTATTGCGTGGTACCCGTGCCTGACAACGTATCGTTAGAGCTTGCGGCCCTAGTAGAGCCATTAGCAGTCGCATGGCATGCGGTCAATATGTCTCCTGTGAAGGAATTCAAGAAAGGACAATTTGCCCTGATCCTTGGTGGAGGACCAATCGGTCTTTCTGTCATCCAAGCACTCAAAGCTCATGGCGATGATACCATCATTGTTTCAGAGGTCTCGACGAAGCGCAAAGCTTTTGCGGAGGACTTTGGTGCTGACTACATTCTGGATCCAACAAAAGACGACATCCCAGAACGATGCAAGGAGATTTGTGGTGGTATTCGCGGCGTCGACTGCGTTTTTGATGCGGCGGGTGTCCAAGCTGGCCTTGATGCTGCAGTCCTTGCGATGAGGGCCCGCGGCACACTCGTCAACATTGCGATCTGGTAAGTGGAGCCGAAGTTGTAGGTATCACGAATCGTGCGCAAATTCGTGGTGAACCCATTTATACTCGACGAAGCTCATATTGATCAAATTTCAGGGAGAAAGACGCAAGGATCATTCCTAATCAATTCGTTTTCCGCGAGAAAACTTACAAGGTTGGTGCGACTTCATGGACATGTCGTTGCTTTGACTGACTCGTTGGCAGGGCGTAGCTACGTATGTTCTCGGAGATTTCGACGAAGTTCTCCAAGCAATCAGCTCTGGCAGAATGAAGCCAGAAAAGATGATCACGAAAAAGGTCGAGCTCAAAGACGTGATTGAGGAAGGTTTCTTGACCTTGTTGGCAGACAAGGACAACCACGTCAAGGTTTTGATCAAGTCAAACAATGTCGAGTAAGCGGTTCAGGAGCTGGCGAACTTCTTGAATATTGACTCGATCGCGATGGCTCGGCCGAGAAATAGAGGTGAACGCGGTCATTGACATTTGGCTTGAAGTGCAGGAAACCGGCTCTGTACATGTAGTCATGAGGCTCTGAGAATTTTGGTAATGTGCATACCGTCGTCACAGTCTGTGACGAGTTTCCCGTCAAGGAGACGTCACGTTTCTTCGACTAGGTCGATTTTGAGTCTCATACGCGTCGTGTTGGAAGTGCGTGCGTGGAGATCTGGGCCTATTTGGATCGACGGATGTGCTCGGATGATCCGCGGTCACTGCAGAAAAGCAATATCATGGGGTATGACCAGTAGCCGAAGACCGATCCAAGGGAATAACCAAACATCAAACTCAATCACAATATTGTCCATACCATTTTGTTTCCAAGGCACTGGGCGTGTTGGCCTGCCGAGAACCTTGCTCGCTCCGAGGGACCATCAAGCATCGCAAAAGCCACTGCCGCCAGTGGCTGTAAGGCTGTGAGACGCCATAAACAAGGGTTGTGGTTTTAGAATTGTTTGCATCTCACGTTCCTGCGCGACCGATGAGCTGGCAGCATCATGCAGCTGACCGAAATGAATTGATGTCAGGACAAAACGATTTGTCGACAAACATTGGTTTTGTGAGCGTCGAGTACGGAGCAAACTCCACGATATTGCTCGTAAATGTGATAGCAGAATTGAACACCCCTTCAAAGTAAAAATTCACATGTGCTTCCTCACTCTAGATCAAGCACTCGGCTGACTCGACGTAATGTGGCTTCCAATGCTGGAACAAGTGTCGAACGAGAGAAACCTTTTCCTTGAATCTCACAAACTATCCAATGCCATCTGCCAGCGCAAACTCTCACGCACACAACATTGACGGACATGCGGACTTGCGAAAGTTCAGATGTAAATTGCAAATGAGAGCTCAACACACACACGGCAGGGGACTTCATCGATCGTGCAGGAAGTTGGTATGGTGACGAAGGTGATTAGAAAACTGCCACGACCCCAGATTTGTTTGTGGCTGATGCTGTGGCATCCCGTCCCAATGTTCTGGATCAAATGGCTGTGCTCAAGCATCCCTGTCGTGGATCATCCTTCGCCCTTTCGATATCAGTTTCGCAACACACTGATTCCTCTTCACGTAGAGAATAAACCACCATCGTCTTTCAGAACAATGTCAACCGTTGAATAGATTCCCTGTTTATTTGTGAATGACGCTCAAAAGGCACGCGGAGAATAATTATGAAGTAATTTCCATGATTTCCAGGGTCCTCTGCCGCTCGACCTAAACTTTATTGGCAGCCACAATCGTCCCTGCGATGACGCTTCAGCCCAGAGTGACGTCTTTTTTCTCGACATTCGCAACGTCCGACTGCAGTTGTGTCACGCAACTGCAAGTTTTGGGCCGAATCGTCACTCACGAGGGAAGCACATATTAAGAGCTTCCTTCCCTCGCTGTTTGACAAGATCATCATCAAGCGACTCACTCTCACAACCACCAACAACTTCTATACCAACAACCCTCCTCTCCTCATGAGGATTACCCCTTCCCAACCTTCTCTATCAAGTTGATCTTTTAACCATCATGGGTATCTTCAAGGGAGGCGCTCTTCGTCTGTTGCAGACTGCACTTTATGCACTCACTTTCTGCTGTGCCGCCATCATTCTCGGTATCTTCAGTTACTTCCTTGCCATTCTCGCGGATAACAACCTCGACATTCCTACCAGATGGAAGGCCGTTGAGGGTATCTCTGGTGTTGCAGTCCTGTACACTCTCGCTACCACTCTTCTCACCTGCTGCCTGGCTGGTATCGCTTTCCTTTCCATCCTCGGCCTGATCCTCGACCTTCTTTGCATGGGTGGCTTCATCGCCATTGCTGTCTTGACCCGCCGTGGTGCCAACAGCTGCAGTGGCTATGTCAGAACTCCTCTTGGTAACGGACCTTCCAACGGCCGTGCTACCTACAACGAGGGCAACATCACCTACTCCCCCAACCTTGGTACTGCTTGCAAGCTCAACACTGCTGTCTTCGCTGTTTCCATCATCGGAGCTCTTCTGTTCTTGATCACCGCCCTCATGCAGCTCGCTCTCATGCGCCACCACAAGAAGGAGAAGAGATTCGGACCCGGCCCTGACAACGACTACACTTCCGGCACCACCAAGAAGCGCGGTCTTTTCGCTAAGAAGAACAACACTGCCCCTACTTACGACCACGCCGAGAAGGGTGTTGCTCCCATTGCTGCCGTCCCTGCCACCACCCGCACCGTTCGTCCTTCTCACGATACCGCTTACTCTGGTAACACTGCTGTCGGTGCCAACCCCACTGTCATCCAAAAGGAGGGCCTTACTCACGATGGTCACGCTCCTCACGTCGGTTACAACCCTCACGAGCGTACTACCGGTACTACCATGCCCCACTCCTACGACAATGAGCGCAGCACTGGCACTATCCCTGCCAGCAACACCGCTATCCCTGCCGGTGCCATCCCCAGCGTCCACGGTGGCTACTACACTACCCCCACCACCAACGCTCGCGACTTCTAATCTACTCAAGGGTTGCTCACCACCTACTCCCCTGTACCATTAACTTGATACCCTACAAACCTCCCACCGGCTTGTAGCTGAATGTCTCTGTCTTAATGTTAATCTCGGCGGGCTTCAGCTAGGAGCGGTGGCTGTACTTTTATCATGAAGCGATGACTTGTTTTTAATGTTTTTCTTTTGTCTCTCATGCTCTGGTTGGAAAGGGGTTCTCCTCCTGAGTGTTTACACAATATCAGATATCCTCTAATACCTCCTAATCAAAATACTTCAAACAATACTTGTCCTGCCTTATTCCATGTGACATCGTAGTTCATGATCATTACTGCCTCAGAATGCTGTTCACGTCTTTGTACTTGTCGCTCTCTTGAACCTTCTGAATGCAATCTACGTCACGTCTAACCGACCCTGCTATCAACCGTATTTATCACAAATGTCTTGATGCTGTGATCAACAATGATTGTTAAGAACACATGCATAACTCATATGTGATATTAAAGAAATATCACGTCAGGTTTTAATATTGACCAACATGTACCGTTCTCTCTGTCACTTTCCAGAATTCGCGTTTCCAAAACCATATTTTGAACCTTACTCCACAACAGCAACAGTTAACCATACAAGGGCCATGTTTTGTGGAGTAGAGAAATGCAAGAAAGGTATGAACAAAGCATTAGGACTGCAGAAATAGCATTGGGCGAGAAAAAGTGGAATCAAGTCTCCGGAATATTGTCAGGGGTATCACCCTGCTCCGAAGCATACTACCCAAAGAGGAAAACGCATCAGACAGCATGTATATCACAAGTGTTCAAAGGAGGAATAGAAGAGAATGTGATGGTCTGGGTTATTATGGGCTAGCAGAGATGATGCATGTATGGAGCATTGAGCGAAGTGTGTATCCTCGGTGTCTTCCGGTGACAGAGAATTAAGAAGATGAGCATGGAAAGCAAGGGAAAGTTCAAGATGTGTTCCGTCGGTGTCGTTCATGCGCGAGTGTTTCATCTCTCAGACTCTTTCATTGGATTTGGACAGGGGTGGAATTGTTGCTAGGTAGTGATGTTGTCGTGCTTGCCGACAGGAAAGCGTTCGTACAGCTCAGGTGACTTTGGCGGGACTGTAGGCTTTCCGGACTTGGTCGATGACTGGAAGCTGTTAGCATGACTTCAGAATAGTGAAATGCGTCTTATCAAAAATCACTCACTTTGTCTGATCCGCCGTTAGAGATGCTTTCAATGTCATCTTCCGTCCAGTCGCTCTGTGCATCCACCTCGTCCACAATATCCCACTCGCTCTCAGTCTCCAAGGTGTTACTGGGAACGACATAGCCATGGTGAGAGAATGGCATCTCCTTGTCTGCATACTTTCCATCGAAGGAGAGCCACAAGTCCAACTCACAGGCGCGCTCAATCCAGCTCCCGTGGTGTTCACCCAACTTCCAGCTCTTCCGGGCCTTGTCGATGGTCTCCTGCGCTATGGACTCATCGACTAAGACATTGGCCACGACACGCAGTACTCTTAGACGAAGGTACTCGGGAAATTCTGCATTGCTTAGGAGGGATTCTGCGGCATGACTGATGGTGTAGGTCACTGGGTTGAGTGGCTCATCCTCGAATTGATTGATGTTGGTAGAACATAGCTCCAGAAGTGCGTCGTAAGAGGCACGGAAGAATTTGTCCAAAGCTGTCTTCTCGTCATCCATGACGGCTTGGTGGCTTGTGCGATAAGTGGATAAGATGGGATGAGACGCGATACGCCGTGATTATGTGTGAAAATTGGAAAACGATTGATGAAAGTTCGGCGAATTTGCGAATTTGCGAGTTGGTAAGTGAAAGTGGACGTGAAGTGAAAGTACAACACTTCAAAGGACTAAGAGTGCCATGAGCAAATCCCAACCTACAAAGATATATCTTAATGTCAACTGTCGGCGAATGCAAATCTCAAAGGGACGATTTGGATGGCGAGGCCTAATGATCTGATGCCGAGATATCCTTTCTTAGAAGTCATGTAATATTCAGACATCGCCGTCTTAACTGTGTTTGGTGTTTCAGGCTCCTGCTCTCTGGTAGTTGTCTACTATGCTTCGTTTGAACAGCATCCTCTCGTTAGTTGTTTGTTTAGGTGGTCCAGCACTAAATCGACAATCACTCAACACTTGTACCACTGTGACGACTTTCTCACAGCAATCTCACTCCCCAAACCCAAGCCTCTCTACCCACCCCATATCCAAAGAAAAGTCCCAAATGCACATTAACCTAGAAACACAAAACTCCTTCCACGACCCGACGTCCCCAAACTCCGCGCCAAGCCTCCAAAGCCAAACGCCAAGACCACACAAATCCTCAACCTCAGGCTCTCAATTTTCAACCACACTTTCCAACAACCTGTTTATTCTTCTCTACAGGCCAAAAGAGATGTCTTGAGATCATGTGGAGAGCAAAAAGCATGTCGACGCCCGTGTGATTCGAACACACGCCCACGAATGGATTTGATATCGAGATGATTCGAGTCAAACGCCTTAACCACTCGGCCAGAGCGCCAGGATATGACGGGCTGGTCGGCATTATCGTGTATGATTCTCGCAATCATGTGGTGGAGGGAAGCTGGTGCAAGTGTCAGGCATTGGCAGGGTGAGACGTAAAGAAAGAGAGAAAGATGGAGAATCCGACGCATGTTGAGAACGAGAAGTCAGAGTAGAGCAGGAAAGTAAACCCCTAAACTGAAATGGAAGATTGTGCAGACGAGAAGGAGCGATGGTATGTGCATTAGGAAACAGCCTAATATGAATTCAGATCGTTGTTTCCTTAATTGTTTTTATTGTGTTTGCTCCAATGTTGATAGTCCCTCAGGCTGCTGAATCATTGATATGTACCAACTCTTTTGTACAAGGGAAAAACGGGGTTCGGGAAGCAAGAATCTCCAGATATCAAATCTGAAGCTTCAAAAAGTCATACCGATGTTTTCGTTTTCCTTGACCACAATCACCAACCAATCGATTCACGAGATATTGTAGACAATGGAATAGGAGTATAAAGTAAACAAAGCAGTGCTATTTTTATATACAAGTAATTACATTAGCTAGAGAAAAGGACCGTGTAACCTTTCGAGGTATATTCTTCAAAATTCTTCAAAACTTCCTCCCATTTCATTTCTATACCATATCATCTTTCTCAAGTGTGAATTCACCGCTTAGGCAACGGTGACAAAGGCGCCAAGAGCACATGCGTTCCAATCATTGAAGGCGTCTATTCATCGTGTTAGAATGGTCAAGTATAGATAGAAATAGTTAGGAACTTACTGAGGGTAAGGGAGTCACCAGTGCTGAAGGTGTAGGTCAGGGCCTGACCAGCGGCACACTTGCCCGACTCAATGAGGTAGGCCTTGCCAGACTCAGGGGTGAAGCTGGAAACAACCTTGCCATCCTTGGAGACGTTGATCTTAGCACCGTCAACAAGGGACAGGCTGTAGGCAGCAGTGATAAGATCGGCAGTGTTGGGGAGAGAGAAGTAGGTGCTGCAAGTCTTGCCAGCATCAGCCTGGGGAATGTCGAAGACAACGTCAGTCTTGGTGTCGCGGTTGACAGTGATGTTGTATCCGTTAACACCGTTGACACGGAGAGCGTGGGGGTACTCGTAGGCACCAGCCTTGAGGTCAAGAGGGCACTTGCCAGCAGGAGTGGCCGAAGGGGCAGGGGCAGAACCGCTGGCCTTGGAGCTGGCGGGAGCAGAAGAGGCAGGCTTGGAGCTAGCGGGAGCAGAAGAAGAGGCCTTGGAGCTCATGGCAGCGGAGGAAGAAGGAAGGCAAGAGGTGGGAGCGGCAGTGAAAGAGACAGTCTGACCGTTGACGACGTAGCTAGTAGGGTAGGTCGAGGGAGTAACGGTGATGAAAGTTCCAGGGCCGTTGGGGCAGCTGCTTCTGGCAGGGTTGCAGCCATCGAAGAGCTGAGTGGCACAGGCGGAAGCAGAGGCAGCGCTGGAAGGCTTCTGGGTGGTGGCAGGAGCGCTGGAAGGAGCCTTAGGGGTCTCACCCTTGGAGACAGTGACGTACTGAGTAACAGTGACAGTCGGGGGAGGAGCGCAAACACCGTTGGAAGCAGCAGGCTGAGAAGGAGCAGCGACAGGTGCAGACGAGGCGGGTGCAGATGAAGCAGGAGGCTGGTTGGCGGGTGCGGAAGAAGCAGGCTTGCTTGCGGCAGGAGAGCTAGGAGCAGCAGAAGAGCTGGCAGTTGCGGAGTAAGGGATGAAAGAAGAGATCAGACCACCTGAGGAAGCAATAGGGTTTTCTCCAAGGCATCCAGCGTACTCAGAAGCACACTGAGCCTGGTTGGCGGAAAGACCGTTGACGCGAGTGGTTCTGCAGGTGTTGTAGGCAGCGTAGCAAGCACCCTGGCAAGCAGCGTTCTCAGAAGCACACTGAGCCTGGTTGGCGGAGAGTCCGTTGACGCGGGTAGTGCGGCAAGTGTTGTACTTGTCGGCGCAATTGCCAGTGGCGCTTGCGGAAGGAGCAGGGGCGCTGGCAGTAGGTCCAACAAGGACAGGCTTAGTGACAATAGCGGTAGTAGGGCAAGGGACGGTCAAAGTAGTGGCCGAGGTGACAGTGATGGTCTTGCTGTTGATGGTGACAACAGTGGGAGTGGGGCAGACGGTCACATAGTCGGTGGTGTAGACAGTGGTCGAGGTCGTCCAAGCAGTAGGAGTGACCAAGGTCAGGGAGCCCTTGACCTCGGTGCAGACAGCGTTGTTGGGGTACGAATGCGCGGGATTACAGTAGTAGGACACACTGGCTGAGGCAGAGGCTGAAAGAGTGACCAGGGAGAGGGATCCGGCGGTGGAGATGCACTTGGCTCCGTTCGGGTACGAATGGGCAGGGTTGCACATGGCAGCCGATGCCGAGACCGAAGGGGTAACGAGAGCCAGGGAACCAGCAGTGGAGATGCAGGAGACTCCGCCGGGGTAGGAATGAGCGGGATTGCAAGCGCCTGTGTATAACTGGGTTGCGGAGGAGGTGGTGTTCATGGGCCAGGCAGCAGCGAGAGTGCCGAAGAAGGAGAGGACCGAAGCGGCCTTGATGGAGTTCATCTTGAGCGAATGGATGAAGTAGTGATTGACTGTGAAAGGAGAAGCTGCAAGATGCTGATTGCTGATGATGACAAAAGAGATGATACTGGGATGAGGGAGACTTCTTATATACCACTTACAGCACCTTACCTCTGAAGAAGACTTCGACCATCATGAGTATCATTCCACTGACGATTGGCCAACCGGAGCCTCGCACCGAACGTTCGTATCGACAAGACTCAACCGCTTGCGGTACACCGGCCCAAGTGCAAGAGAGCGGAGAAGGTGGATTGGTGGCATTCCCGTATTCGTGAAGGTGGGATCCAGAAAGCTTCTTTTCCCATATCAAATCCTGGTATGATGTCAATCGCCAGCTTTCTGCCCAGCAAGAAAACTATTTCTGTCGACATTTTGGTGCATTGGCTTTCTCATCGATGGCTTTTTCCCCAGGTGTTTTTTGGTCTACCCTGACCGTTGCGATTAGGGTTGGTCGGCTTGGTCTCGAGCCGAGGGACCTTGCTGAACTGTAATGCTAAAGATCCTATCTTTAGATCTCTGCAAGCAAACATTTGGCGAGAAACTCCCACAAAATTAGGATAAATCGACTTAAGCATGTCTTAGTCTCGTCATGGACGCCATCTCGCAATTTAGTCGGGCTTGGACATCTGGAAATACGACCGGCTGTAGGCGGGACGAGAAAATCGCGGGGTGAATATCGCCATCAACCAGACGAAAATCTGGTAGATGTGGAGGATGGTCGAGCGACGGGCCGAGGAGCGTGGAGGAGTTGCTGTGCAGGAACGTGTGGCATTGGTATCCAATTGGAGTCGTTTGTGGCTTCCACTCCTCTCTAGACGTTGTGCTTCTGCAGCTTCCTTCTTTGTTTCTTGGGAAGCTGCCGTACTCTTGCAGAGTCTTGGATAAAGCCACTTTCTCATGACGTGGGGCATGTTCGTGATGGTGGATCTAGGATTTAGCTCACGAGACTGTCGCCCAGGATATCGACAGTGCATGTCTCCATCGATATGTGGTCTTGGTTAAGCATGGCCTGATGGGTGATGAGTACCCATTTTCACGGGCTCAACATACTCAGTCCAGTAAATCGATCAGGTTCCTGAAGATCATCATGCTTGGTTGCCTCGATGAAAATACAACCTCTGCTTCTATTGAACTTTGGTAGACTGTGAAGTCTGCCACGCTTTTCGCCAGTAGGAGCTACATCTGTCAAAACGTGCCGCTTCTTGCACATCAGGTACGATTTGCTTTTTGCCTTGGTCATTCTTGGTGTATGATTCGGCAACACTCACTGGCCGTCAAATGCCTCACCTGCTCTTGCATGCCTCCATTCGACCGCCAGCAGAGGCCGAATCAGATAATGCAAATGAAGCCTCGGGGAGGATTATTTTTGGTCCCCCATCTTAGACACGATCGAGCCTCCAAACACCGTGAGACATCTCCTCCATCGTGGCAGTGTGAGAAAGAAGCTCTTAACGACAACGGCAAAACGTCATGAAACCCAGCGTTTGCAACGCAGTAAACGCAGACTTCCTCGTTGTTCCTTCGCGAGATAGGCGTTGAGCAAGGCGATGAGGCGTGAATCAACATATTCGTACCGCTACGATGAGGTGAGAGACCATTTTGGTGATATGCTCGATCGAATGTGGCGGCAGGTTAATGGTCCATTGTGGATTGCTCTGAACACGAGGTGGGCGGGAAGTGGGCGAACACGCGAAGCATGACGCGAGATTGCCTCGGCATGTCCGCAAGACACGACTTTTGGCCATTGCCGGATGATTTGGCTGTACCATGGTGCGCTTCCGAAATCACGTCGCTGATGTGACCCTGTTTATGATCATGGAGCAATATCACAAACGCAACTTCGCCTCTATGGTCTCACAATCAACGCGATGACACTTAACACTGGGCATTGTAGAGCTGACGAATTTTCCGTGGTGCGAGACATTCGTTCGAGCGAATGATGCAATAAATGCATGTCATCAGAAATATTGGTCGTAGAGTGTGTTGTTCTCGAGCAAACAGCAAGGGAATTCTATTTTCTGCATAGCGACGACATCTAGCAACAAACTACATTCCAGCTAGTCCAGCCATAGCTTTGTTACCTTGAGGGTACGGGTGACTTGTTCTGATACCACAGATGCACACTGGACCGAGCAGGTCGCTGTCAGGATTCCTTCTCAGGGTGATACCAGCAACATCCAGCATGTCCGATCTCGGCCGGTATCGGCGCCAGCGGGATCTCGTTCAATCAAGCCTCTGAACCAAGGTTGCTTCTTCCCTTCCTCTCTTTACCCCTCTCAATAAAGAGTTCACGCTTCCATCCAAACCATTTAGTCATGCGCTTGGCAATGCTACGAAGCATGACGGGGTTGATGGTGGGTGACGGATGTGGGCGATGAACCACAATCGTTCTGACACCCTCGCCCCTCTCTTCATCCTGCCTGAGCGTGACGGCACTGCCTTGACTCTGCAAGATGGAAAATCCGGCATCAATCATGGCGTTCAGAAAGTGCTGCCATGAGAAACAGCGTTGAGACTCTTGACCGGAAGACGGGAACATGTGATGGAATACCGCCATGTTGTCGTGCTTGACGGCAATAAGACTGGGTGGAGTGCTCGATCTGGAAGGTGAATTGGCAGTGGTCGGAGGTGGCTGAGTCGATTCCTCCCATGGCTCTCCTTCATTGCGTCGCTTTGCTTTGATCCTGACTGCCAATGGCACAGAAGACTTGTTCTCATCACCCCACATAGTTTGCGACTCAATAGGCGAGACAGGCTGATTCTGTCCTTCCATACGACGCTTGTACTCTTGATGACGAACCTCATCTCTTTCGGCCGCGATCTCGGCAAGACACTCTTCTTTCTTGCTAGCACTCATGAGGTCAAGGTCCTCGTCGATGCTGCTTGACTTGACTCCAGTTCCACGCAGCTTCTTGGCCCATTGTGATCTGAAAGCCTCCCAGAAACGATCCAAAGCTTCACGAGATTGAGTTGCTTGCTGTAACCACTGCTCGTTCTTCGTTCCTTTAGGCCAGAGATGGTTGGTACAGAAATTGCTGAGGTGTCCTGCAGTAGTATCTCCCATCTCTTTGTCTTTGGGGGTATTGCTCTTCTTGATCCAGTCTGCTCGGATGTTTTCCTCCTCCACAGGGAGTTTCAGAGTATACTCGCGGCCGTGTGAAGGACGACACTGGATGTTGTTGCTGATAGAGTTCAGCACTGCCATGTCACTTAGCTCGTCGACCAGGTTTTGGTCCATGCGACTAGCTTCCTTTGGATCGGTACGACAGAGATAGTCGATGACAGTGAAGTTGAGAGAAGGGTCCATTGTGAAAGGGCGATATCTATCATGGCCCAAGCAGCTGATACTCCAATACAGAATGTCATCTGGGAACCAGTCTTTTCTGTCAAACCTCCTGTTCAGGTGGCGGGTTCGACCACTTCCAGAAAACTTGAAGTTACGCTCAAAGCCACGCTGATAAACCAGACTGCAATGGTTGATGAAGACGGCAAGCGTTTCGACGCAAAGGTCTTGCACGTACAGGATAGTCTAGGTAACACGAGCGGTCAGCGATTTATCCATGGTACAGGCCACTTCCATTAACATACCTCGTTGTAGTAGAGCTTGTTTGCTTCAGACGGAAATTCGGTCATCTTAAGCCAGGCTCGTTCCATCTTGTCGCATTCATACAGCATCTGACGCCAGTAACATTCCCTTATCATAGGGCCGACGAAGACCTGATCGACGATATGAGGCCAGATGTCCTCGTGTCTCATTGTCTCGAAGAAGAGGGCATTCTTGTATGTACGTGCGTGTAGCTGAACATAAGCGGGGTCCGTCTGAAGCTGCTCAAGGTGATCTTTGAGCACACGGTGTCGTGACCTGACAAGTTCGATCGTTTCGATAGGATCGAATTTCGGAGGACTGGAGAAAGGTCTGACGGATTCGGTAGACCAAGCGAATGTGGAATCGAAGCGAGAGAAGCTGGTACCGATCAGATGAGCCCACTTGGGGTAAAAATCGATGACTGGGGGCTCATTGGCCTCATCGAGTAGACCGGTGACAATTTTGCGCAGGAAGGCCATCATTCTCTGCTGAGCTAGGAGGATGTTGTGAGCCTTTGTAAAACCAATAATTTCGTAGCGATGTGCTTGGTCGGCATTGTATTCGACCATTTTACCAAAATCGGGTCCTTGGACAACGACACAATGAGGGTTGAATGTTTGCGTGACGATGCCGAAACGTTCGGCAAGGTCAACATTCAGGTCATCGAAGAGGATCCATTCTTCGGGCTCATGTGAAGTTCGGTGGTGCAGTAGCGCGAGTAGGAGCGATGAGTCTTCGGACAGCATGTCGGAGTCGAGGTAGGGCAGGAGCCAAGTATCTTGATAGGCGGAAATCATCTTCTTGACTCTGCTCTGGTGAAGAGCGCCTGCGAGCTTGGCCTTTACCCTTTCATCACCCAGACCTTCCAGAGACTGCATGAGTTCTGAGGTGTAGTCGCAGTTCTCCGGGCTGCTGCGCATGTGGAGGAGATGTACAGCAGCGAACTTTTTGTTAAAGATATCGACATTTTCCGACAAGAAGACAGAACGCTTCTCGCGAGACTTCTTCTTCCAACGTGTAACGAGGTAGTCGGCGTGTTCAGCGATGGTTCGTCGAAGGAAATCCAGATCTTGACGAGCGTCAACCACAAGAGATGTGATCAGCTGATGTGCCTCTTTATCATTGACTTCGATAGTGGCGGGAAAGTACTGGTGGCAGCAGATTTTGCATCGGCAAGTGAATGGGATCTTTGGTGGATTCTCTGGGTCAAGAGCTTCTCCGATGGCAGGCTTGCGCGTGTTGCCTAGACTGGGTATGACCATGCTTTGTGGCTTGCTGCGCGTAAGTGAGTGACGAATATCCCACAGTGGACCACCATCTTCCTTCTCCCGCTCATGCTGCTGGTTGAGGATTTCCCTCCAGACATCTGTAGTTCCAGAGGGAATGTGCATTTTGACCATACCGGCCTCGGGTGGAGGCATTGTCAAGTGCGGACGGACGTGGATTTGGAAATGGAGAAGTTGGAGGGAGGATTATGGTAACGGGTAGAAAGAGTGAGTAAAAGGCTGATGAGAAAAGCGCAGAGACAGGACGATTTCGGTTTGACAGAAAGTGCAAGCACCAGCTACGCGCCGCCAGCCTGCATGAGGAAGCCACGACCGACCCCGACACGGCCAAAAGAGCAAGTAGGAATATACCTTGACTTTCGATTGGAACAAGATCACCACGAACGCATGGCAAAACCTTCAGTGGATGCCACTTGATGACCTTCTCTTATGTACAAAGAATATTAAAAACCAAATGGGTATACCGCCAGATAAAACAGAGGAACGCCAAGCACCAAGCTATCGGATCACAAATATGGGTCGACCTCAAGGCGGTAATATGTGTGCTCCCTTCTCTTCTGCCACACTTTGTATGCACGCCAACTTTCAAATAGGATAATCATGAACATGGTCAGAGACATGGCAGCCATGATCAAACCGATAGGCGTCATAGTTACGCCACCTGCCGAGAAAGTGTTGCCGTCAGAGGTGATGTACATGTTGTTAATCTCGTCGCAATGGAAACCCTATAACAAGTGATCAGCACATGGATAGAGAAAGAAGATGCATGAAAATTTACCGATGTGAAAGGCAGCCGGATTGCTTCCGAAACACCGAGCACATTGTCTCCTGCATCAAGCGCAACGACACGCACAAAACGCGTTACACATTCTCCAATGGTAACCTCAGTCTCAAATCCTTCTTTCTGAGTGGTACCAGTGTATACCCAGTCGGCATATTCGGTAGCACTCTCATCATTGTGTTGCAGAGCATAAGAATCGACTTCGGTTGCTCCATTCCAGGAAACGAACAGACTGTTTCGCTCGGAGTTGTAGACAGCCGAAATCGGCTCGCTTGGCAGGCCAATCCAGGGGTATCGCATTACATGGTAAGACTGGACTGATCCGTTGAGAATTGCAGCCTCTGTGCCAAAGTGGTCGTCACAGATAAGCTTGCCTGAAGAAGAGTAAGTAGACCATACTGATCGCGCGCCCCAGCCAACCACAATACTCGGATCTTGATCAGAACTAGTCGCAGGAACGACTTGGAAACTGCCTTGGCTGTCGGCAATCAGATCATTGGGATGTAGGTATTCTCGGACAATACGAGCTTTGTAGTCGTTCTTGTTGACCTGACCGTCAAGACGATAATCAGTAGGATAGGAAACGGCAAGGAGTAAGCCTCTGGAACCCAGCCCTGAGTCCCACGTATCATCATTTCTGTTGTCGAACAGACTGATCAATTTTGTGGTTATACCAGCTTTACTGGCACCGAGCAATGTAACTAGGCTTGGGAAGTCATCGACCGAGTGGAACCTTGCAAGATGCTGTGACGAGAAGTCGAGAGCATGGTCATCGGATGTGAACATGTTGCGTTTACCGCCCAGTGTCCAGATGATCTCGCCAGTGTTACCATCAACGTAGGTTATCGAATGAGTATACCGAGCTGAGACCAGGTAGTTGCCCAGATCGTCCTTCTCCACAGAGTTGAGATGGTACCAATCCCAATGCGTGTGGTTGGTTGATCCTTCTGACTCGTATCGAGGCTCATGGTAAGACTCGGAGGTATCATGATAGTCTGAAGCACGCCATTCGAAGATCAGGCTATTGGTCGCAATATCGATCTCCTGAAATAGACAGTCCCAGATGTACTGCAGTTGTCCACTCTTCTCTTTCTCGTATGGCTGGTAGATACTAATGATTGCGGTATCATCTGAAGTCAGACTCAAACTGTGTAGGTCGGCGCGAAGGTCATTTAAAGCCGATATCCTTGCAACCAGGTCGTAGGATGAATTGAGCAAATAATAGTCGCCTTCTCCATGACCGCCAATGGTGTCGTCGCCTAGCCAGTACGTCAAGTGTGGGGCGCCTTGGTACGTTTGTACATCAAGGTTGTAGGGTTGTCCGTCCGTCTTTTGCATCCATACAGGTTCTCCTTCGTCGTCGAGTATGACCATTCCACGGCTCTCGTTGACAGCGGTGCCTCGAGGCGTAAGGAAGGTCATCAGTCCATCGTGACATTCTGGCGAATCGACTTTTCGGGCCACAGCGGGTGGTGTCAAGTCGCTAGACTCGAAAGTCCGATAGGGGTAGTGGCCATAGTCGTGCTCCCAGGCATTCAAGTCCGTCGGGTCATAATCGAAGCCAACGTCATCTGCTAATGTGTGGCATGCAAGGAGTAAAAGCTGAACCAGCAGCAAAGCAGCACGATGCATATTCCGGACCTTCCGACGGCCAGAACAGTATCCAAGATTTGTTCGATCACCCAAAGCAAGCACGCGAGGCAGGCTTCAGTCCAGGACAGCGTTCATGTTGACGGATAACAGTTGACGATAACAAAGTGTTCGAGAACACTGCAGCAGAGGGCAAGCAAAGGCTTAAGGAGCCCTATCGCCCCCATCGTCCGCGCCGAGATGATGCTTGTATTTCTTGGTCGTAGAGTGGTTGGGCCACCGGTGGAGTTTGCCAAGCCCACCTCAGCCGCATGTTTTTGTCGCTCTTTGTTTCATCTTGAAGCCAGACGAAATGTCTGCACTGTTGAAGTTATCATGGGATACACCCTCACTCGTGAGAATCGATTGGTATACATGTCAAGCTTTACAAGGCTGTAGAAGTTCTCCAGACATTGAATACGAGATCCTTCAACGCAGATGCCAAGACTGTTGCATCTCGTCATCGCAGTGCACGGTCGCTTCGTGATCGATTTAACAAAATCAGTTCATCAATTCGGAGTGTTCCCCTGATGGACGTAATATATGAGACATTCGGTGTCGCGAGATTCAGGAGTCATCTCTATTGTAGTGTCCATTCAAAGCGGAGCAGATATCACGCCAGCGCAAGGCTGCGTACTTAAAGTGTTCAATTAATTCTAAATGGCTAACGATCAGAAGCGAAAATGTGCGTTTCAACAGCCGTGAATACAGAGTAAGTCCAAAGGGTCTCTTGAAGGTCCGTTCAAGCGCCGTGTCTGGCCTTGATGATATCGGCGGCCTTCTCAGCGATAGCGTAGACGGTGGCTTGAAGATGAGTGCCGGGGATCATAGGCATTATGCTGGCATCGATAATGGTCACCTTCTTGATACCGTACACTTGCAGACCAGAGTCTACAACACCACCCAGGTTTCTTGGCATCATGGCACAGGTGGAAGCAGGGTGAGCGAAGGTAGGGTAAACCAGGCCAGAAGCGATTTGTGACTTGAGCTCGTCGTCAGTCTGGTACTTTGCACCAGGGGTGAGCTCAACAGGTTCAAAGACCGAGAGGGCAGTAGTGTTGTAGATCTGGCGAGTATAACGAATGCTGGCAAGGAGAAGGTCGACGTCCACAGGGTTCTTCAAACCGTGGTAGTCGACGATTGGCTCGCCGGAAGGGTTGGAAGGGTCGATGTAAACTGTACCACGACTGGTAGGCTTCTGGAGAGCAGTGATAGCGAAGCCACCGCCCTGGAACGAGAACTCGTACATGGAAGCGGCATCAGAGCTGAACTGCTCGACTTGAATCTTGCGTTGAGCTTCGTAACCAGCAACCAGTTCAGGATAAGCAGAGTACATCTCGGGAAGATAAGCAGTGGCATTCTGGGCGGAAAGCTTCTCCACGATCGACTTGTAGTTGTCAGGGGCGATCTTGGAAAGAGGAAGGAAAGCAGCACCGTTGCCATGAGCCTGAGTGTAAGGGCCGGTCTTGTTGGCAACATACTCATCGTATGAGGTGGCGTTGAATGTAGCGTTATTGGTAAGAGAGTTGGTGTTGATGGTTGTATCATTGGCCAAGTTGTACATCAGGTACGCGGCAGGGTGGTCCTGGAAGTTGTTTCCGACACCGGGAAGATCAACCTTGACCTTGACACCTGCTGCCTTGAGAACACTGGCAGGTCCAACACCACTGAGCTGCAGGATCTGAGGAGTGTGAATGGCACCAGCTGCAAGGATGAGCTCCATGTCGGCGTATGCAGTGTAAGTCTTGCCGGTATCTCTGTCAAGCAGCTTGACACCCTTTGCAGTCAGAGTGGAGAAGACGATTTCCTGGACCTGAATACCGGTAACGACCTTGAGGTTGGAACGAGTAGTGATGGGATCATAGTAGGCAGAACGAGCGGAAGATCTGGTCTGGTACTTGGGATCGGTGGATGCAGCAACCCAGAAACATCCGGGTTCACCCAAAGCTCCTTCTTGCACCTTGTTGATGTTCATCTCGTCCATGGCATCCCAGAAAGCAGGCATCTCAGGGTACTGCCACTCAGGAAGAGAGACTTGGACGGGTCCAGTACCGTAAGCCGAAAGATCGTACGTGTAGTTGTACTTCGAAAGAGTCTCGGCCTTGTTGGGGGTGAAGGTACTGCTCTGTCGACTTGGTCAGCAGTGTAACGAAGCAAATCTTCCATCCGACATACCTTCTTGAAGTAGGTGAGAAGGTTATCCCAGTTCCAGCCGTCGTTACCAAGCTCACCCCACGCGTCGTAGTCAGGCTGGGTACCTATCAATCATGTCAGCAGATTATTCTGGTCCGCATAGTCGATTGATTCACCTCTATCGTATCCCATGCCGTTGACAATAGAACCACCACCAAGAACTTTTCCGGCGTAGGCAACGAAACTCTGGTTCTGAAGGTTTACCTGAGGAGCAGAGTTGATCTCGAACATGTCGGGATCGTTGTAACCAGTGCCATAGTAAGGCCACAGAGTCTTGGTCGAGTTGTCGTTGTATCCATATTCGAGGACGAGCACAGATTCTGATCCCGGTCAGTCGAAATCATTTCTTCCAGTACAAGAACATACTCTGTGATTTCTCCGACAGTCGGTTTGCAACAACCAGGCCAGATACACCGCCTCCGACAATGATGTAATCATACGTTCCAGTGAGAGTCTTTTCACGAGTGGTGATACCAGACACTACATCCGTGGAAAGAAGAAGGGCGGAGGATATGACCGCTGTCAAGCGAGTCATGGAAGAAAAGATAGGCGCCATTATGTTTCAAAAGAGTGTAGGTAGGCAAAGAGCGAGCCTCTTTCTTGAGGCGTAGGACGGACCAAAGTACTTATATCAACCACTCAAATATAGCGGTCCACAATTCGATATGAATTGGCCTACCTGCTAGCAATGCGACCGCAGGGCTTCGGTAAAGAGAACCTTCTTAGTAGATGAATCTCTAGTAGCTATCGGCGTGTCGAGGTCCGTGACGATCGCGTCGTATTTGGCGCAATCACTACCGAGGCGATTGCTCAGCAGTCAATCATCTGTCGGTACCCCGTCGGTGGGAGACGCCAGACTCGTCCATCCTTGACATATCTTCGGCTACAGGGTCATAGAAGATGAAGGGACGTCGAGAAAAAAGCCACAAGAATGCTGATCCTGTTTGGGAAGGAAGGCGCTGTGGGGGACGTTGCCAAGAGCTGACCCTCGTGGGAGTCTGAAACCAGGAACCGAGCTTGAAGCTGTCCCTCCTTCTGCTTCTTCAGCCTCATCTCAACCTCGCGGCACTTTTGAAGCCTTGGAGTTCTCTCATTCTCACGGCTTCTCTCACCGCAACACGTGGAATACTGCATCCTCGAATAGATGAAGTGCACGGGTAAATGCTCGAAAGTCGTGCTGAGGTGCCGGAAAGCTCTGTTCGTTTGACGAAACCTCCGCTCGAGCTTAGACCAAAGGTTGCTTTAGGGCAGTGCACTACTGGACGGAGCAATCAATCAGTGTTCTCGCCTTCTGCCGGAGTGTGCGGCCCATCAACCACAGACACAATCGTCTCGCAATCCTATGGCGTCCTTTTTCTCTTACCATGGCTCGGGTATCGAGTGCGTGCGTTGATCCCGCTATGACTTTCTTTCTGCCAGAGCTTGGTCCTTGCTACGGCCTTATGGACCGCCGCAGACGGCATGACCGACACCTATCGAAGAAACTGGCTGAGATCCTTGATGGTTTCGAAGAGTGTTTAAGCGAGGACCACGGTATCTTTGCAGCCAGACGCGATCTAGGATCATCTAGGTTGGAGTCGGACTGACTCGAATGGGTCATTTTTCGGGTTGATCGATAGCTTGACTATGGATGGTGGCTGCCCATGGCTACAAGAACGTGGACAAGCCTCCATCTTCAATTTATCTGCGAACCTTGCCAAGTGTGAATTCAGGGCCGCCTATTCATCTCGGACGTTCTGCCGGTGTCTTGTCTGCGCTCGCCTTTCAAGTCTTCATGCACTCTGACTTAATCTCATGATTTCCCCTTGAAGCCTTTCTAGAGTTTGGAACCTGCAGTCAACGGTCATGGAAAGCCGGCGGAATGCGATTGTTATCCCGGAAGTCATCTTTGCCATCTTAGCTGGGTCTATTGTATTCTGGAGAATCATCAACAATGTAGTCTTGAAGCGATTGTTCAGGCTTGCTGACCTGCTCATCTTTCTGGCCCTGGTAATGCTCATGTAATACTTTATCATCGATCAAGAGCTGACTTTTGTAGGTGAGCAATCTCGTGGCACTGTCATGCAGCTCTTTGTCGACGCAGTATGGCCTTGGAAGACACATATACGACCCATCGATTACACCAGAAATGCTCACGACATGTCTACGATGGATCTGGATTGGTGAAGCAACGAATCTGATTTCCATGCTCTTCGCCAAACTCAGTATCGCTGCCTTTCTTTTGTACCTCGATTTCGCACCTGGATACAAGATCGCCATGTGGATTACGGTTGGCATTGTTCTGGTTTGTAACGGAGCCGTCGCGCTTACCTCAATCTTTGCGGCTTGTGACCCGATCTCTCTCAACTGGAACATGCAGCAGCCAGGCCAGTGTTGGGATCCTATCGTCAACAAGATTTGCACCTATGTCCAGTCAGGTAATCACACCTTTTCCCATATCGATCCTGATGTAGGCTAATCAGTCTCAGGTTCTAATATTGTGACCGACATCTTGTACACCTCAGTACCAATCTTCTATCTGTCGACGGTCAAGCTGGGTGCTAACGTGCAATGGGGACTACGTATTGTTCTATTGTTCGGACTGATGTATGTTCTCCTGGTCATATGTGTCACAGTGCAAAGCTGACGTGAAATAGTGCGACCGTCTGCTCCTGTGTAAAGATCGCAGTCGCTGGAAAGATGTTCAACACTCACGATGCTACGTGTATGTTCTCTGACCACTGCTGACACTCTCATATACTGACAACTCAACAGGGGACGCCGTCGATCTGTCCATCTGGAGTACCGCAGAAGTCAACGTGTGCATCATCGCCGCTTGCCTACCACCACTCCGAAGCCAATTCGACTCCTTCCTCCGCCGATTCTTCGGTATGGCCTTCAACCGTTCAACAAATCGCAGTCGGCCAACCTACGGTTCTCAGTCAATCGCCCTCCAAACACAGAGCAAATCCCACAGAACCATCATCGAAGTCGAAGCACAAGATTTCGGCAGCGAAAGATCAATCCTCCCACCCGACGACGTAGAAGATGGAATCATCAGAAAGACACGACAGGTGCAGGTCAAATATGAAGAGCAGGGACGTGATGGAGTATATTCGCCAGATCCGTATGATCGTCGATAGCAAAGGGATGCTTTTTGGATAATGGGGCGCTGGGCGTTCTGGGAGGGATAACATACCACATGATACATCTGAGATGTCAAATATCGACGAAACTTTTTGAACGGCATTCAGCCAGCCTCCAGCCTCGTCACACCCGTTTTGCGGAGATGACTTGCGAGTGTAGTGATGACGAAGCCACGAACTGCTCGGCCGAGCTCTCGACAACTTTACTGACATGGAACATAGACAGAATCACCATGAAGAGGAAGAACTAAGGTGCGCAACAGGTGAAGTCTCAAAGATCAAACTATTTTGTTCATGTATATACATTATTCATTATAGATAAAAGGCCCCAGAGGCCAAATTGTCCAAGCTGCCACAAAAACCTCAAGGGTCTTGATGATGCGGCTATCCAACGGTATGCCGTGCGATGCGTGGGTTCGGCCCTGAGCTGCGGCAAGAAAAAACGTTTCTTGACGTTATCGCGAACGGCCAATTATTGCCAGAGTGATCGGCAATAACAGTATTTCCCAAAACAACACCCGGATGGTTTGCCTTTGGCATTTGCAAGACATGCGTTGTTCTGGATTACGTGGCCCGAGAGGCCGATCATCCGTGGCATACCGAGATACGGTATTGTGTGCGCCGGATGGCCTGATGGCGAATATAATGTTTCGCCATGAGGTTTGTTTTGTGTGTGGAGATTTTGAGGGAGAGGAGCCTCATGTGTTTGAAAAGTAGCGGAACGTCATCGTACGACTCTTTCACTCATCTTCGAGAATGAGCTTCTTCTCGTCGAGGAAGGGCACATGCTCGTGCTGAGCTTCGATATCTTGTGAGTCCTGGGTAGGAGTCTTTCTGAACAATCTTGCGACGCCGTTGCAGCACGAGCGGACTGCGGGGATGGAGAGGTAGATAACAATCGTGCCGAGTGCGACACCAGTGGTCAAGGCGGCGATGATGGCGATTGAATAGATCAAGCGCATGACGAAAGAGTCGGCAGCGTGGCCAAAGAGTGGCAGACCGAAGAAGACGAAGGTGATGTGGAAGCCGCTGAGCATGGCAGACATGAAGATAGAGGCCGTGTTCTCTTTTGAGGGTACGTCGTCAGACTCGTCATCGAAGGTAGTCTGTTTAGGTTCCATGATAGCTCCAAAGCCATAGCAGACAATGAAGGAGAAGGCAGTGATGAAGCCGACCGAGATGAGGAGCTCAGCAGCTCCCCACAGAAGGGTCATGGCAATGTTGAAGATAGGCATGTCGGAGTTGTATGCAGGAAGAGGGTCGATGGTGTGGTTGAACATCTTGTCTGGCGGAAGGGTGATTATATGCTTTGAGAAATGTGGTCGTATGATATGACGAGGTGTGGTGGACGTTGGAATGATAAACAGAAGTCAAAGGAAAGTGGATGGGAGAGTTTGCAGTAATGAATGAACGTGGACGAAGACCACAAGATGTACGAAGGATCAGCAAGCGATTTTGAATAGTATACCAATAGTGACTTATTGATTCCATGGCGGTTCGGACGGTCTTATATCAGCCAGCCACGCCGTTGTACATCGGTTGCTTCTCTTTGCCAGGAGAGCTTCCGCCGTTGTCGACGTTGAGCAGTTACAACAGGGGGAAATTGTTTTTTGCTTATGATACGGGCATTCTCTGTGCCTGTCGATTCGGAATAGAAAACCCGCTCCACTTCGACCAGGATGACATGGATAGCACGGCTTTCAGAGTTGAATAATTGCAAGTCATGAAGGAGGTGTGTATACAGGGGTACAAGTCGAGGTGAGGCTGTTCTCAGCCAACAAAGTCTACAGCTGGATGATGCGGGGAAATATGCGCCATTACCGCTCGAAAAGGAAACGGTCCGTGCAAACTGCCGGTCACATGTTTTCGGCTTTCACAGCTCCCGTCTGTCGAGGCTGTCGGACTTGTCATTTTTCAAGTCTCGGTCATCTGCGTTGTGGCATTCGCAATCTCACTACTGTCAGCTGCCGTCAGCTGTTGTCTTCCAATTTGTTCGAGTCAGGCCTTTCAGCTTCTGGAAGGGTTATCGTCTTTGGCCATAACCGCGGCTGTGAACTCTTGCTTCTCGACATGGCATGAGTGTCGACATTGTGCCTAACCATCTCCACGAACTCATACGAAAATTCTTATCCGTGACAGAATCGAACAGAAACGGTTTATACGAGGTGAGACTCTGGGGGATAGCGATTGTGTTCCATCCCCAACAACGGACAGCCTTGATCCTTAACGGTACGAGAAGCACAACTGCCTGATAAAAGGTGATGAAGCTTGAGAGGTTGTGCGAACTTGAGGAGTACAAGATACCAAGTCTTGCCCAGGCAGGTACGATGACGGCAGGAAGATGTGTTGATGTTGGGAGAGACAGCTGAGAGATCGTCGGCCAATTTGAGGACGTTGATATCTAATGATGCGTCGTATGCATGCGACGTCTGCGTGCGAATTGTACCTGAATGATCTCCACGCCGTTGAAATATCGAACGAGCATGCTCAAAACTTTGCTGCGGACACCCGTTTACGTTGTCCGCCACGAACGGCCCTTCGGTATTTGGCAACATCTTCGAGCGTCTGCCACGCATCTGTTGCTTGTGTGTTCGATTCTTCAGCGACGACACATGTTGACCGTTCGCTGTTTACCGTGATCATTTGACTCGGCAGATTCAAGACAGCGGTTGCGACACTGGATTCTGGAAACAGTATTTGGTCGTTAATCTCGGCTGTTTCGCACGCTTGGCCTTGAGGACTACACGCTTGATGTAGCAGGTTCTCTTGAGCACCAAGCCGTGAGCAGCCAGGACTGCTCCCAAGGCCGTCAAACGACTGAGCTAGACGTCAAACGGTTCACGATCCGACAACCATGTGTCTTCAGGCGATGTCAAGCTCGTAGCACGGCAGTTTCTCTTCAAGGTCACTTTACGTTCATAATCCATATTTCTGATGAGCACACAGATACCTAGATAAGCATCTTCATCTGTTGTTAACGACTCCATGATCACTCGAGGTTTCATCTACAAGATCACAACAGATTTGGATACCCGAACGAGGCCATGTCATGCCATACCATGTTATCCAATACGACCTCGAGAAACGGCTTTATCATCTGTTTTCCACCAGATTCAACCTGACCTATATGTGGCTCTTCCAACCTCACTGTAAGTGTGAGTTCACTGAAAAGTGGAAAGACCCTTGCAATGAAGAACCACCCGCAGCACAGATCGAATTGCATGATTTTCTTGGTTGTTCACAAGCAGTCGTCTGCAGCTCAGTGGGCAGAGAAGCCTGAGTCAGAAGAAACATTGCAAGTTGTCAACGAATGCCAATTCTCATGCCAGCCGAGGCATATGGAAGAGATGCGAGGACGGATGCAGGTCCGTCGCACCTCCTCTTCCGGTGGGATGAGAGCAGTATCACCATGCTGTGCGTAGGACACGTTCTGCGTACTAGTTCAATTTCGCCCAAAAAAGAACAATCGCTTCATGAACGAGCTCAGCAAGACACTCTCGACTACGTTGTCTTACCAATATCAGACATTCTCATGGTTACAGCAAGCCGTGAAGGAGCATGTCTTCGGAATGGTTTACAAAAAAGAGGTAGAGTGCGGAACCATGCCGCGAACCTTCCTTCCACCCCGCAGTCCCTAACCCCACCTAAAGTCGATCCGTCTCTATAACGCGGGGCAAAACTCTCGGCCGACGTGCAACCACTGCAAGAAGTGGAGTAAGCTATCGTGCTGGAGTTGAGCACAAGTGCCGGTTTAACGGGAAGAGGAGCAGCCGTGGAGGGGGTGAATTGGCTATAATAGGAGCTCAAGTGCTCCTGTGATCTTTGCAATCCTTGTGATACACGTACAGCCATTTTCCATTCAACAAATCGCAAACATGTCGACTACCGAGACTGTGAACTTGGAAGAGACGACGCCAATCATTCCAAAGACCTGCAAGGCTGGCGTTGTAGTCAACCCTGGTCCTGACTTCAGCGTATGTATCCATCATCCTACTTCTTCCCGTACCACGAAGCCATAGACATTGACACGAGAAAAGATTGAAGTCCAAGATATCCCAGTACCTGAGATCGGCCCTGAGGAGGTCTTGATCAAGCTCAATGTCACCGGTCTCTGTATGAGCGATGTCCACTTCATGATGGAGGACTGGGGCATGCCACCAATGTCCCAATTCGGCACCAAGTGCGCCGGCCACGAGGGTGCAGGTGTCATCGTCAAAGTTGGAGAGCGTGTCAAGAACCTCAAGGTTGGGCAAAGAGCAGGACTCAAGCCTATCCAGGATGTTTGTCACACTTGCGAGTACTGCAAGACAGGAAGGGAGACCTACTGTCTGAGTTGTGTCATGACTGGTCTTCATATTGATGGTGAGTTTCATCATAGGGTATATTTTCACTTCCGTCTTTGCTGACATTTGAGCAGGCTCTTACAAGCAATACATCGTCTCACCTGAGCGCTACACATCACTCATTCCTGATGGTGTGCCAGACGAGATTGCTGGACCTATCATGTGCTCTGGTAGCACTGCATACACGTCCATCAAAGAGTCTGGCCTTCGTCCTGGTCAATGGGCTGTCTTCCCCGGTGGTGGCGGTGGTGTCGGTATGCAAGCCGTCCAGCTGGCCATTGCCATGGGTCTTCGAGCCATCGTCATCGACACTGGAGCTGAGAGAAAGGAGACTTGTCTGAAGTACGGCGCAGATGAGTTCATCGATTTCAAGGAGGTCGAAAACCCAGTTGAGAAGGTGTTGGAACTGACCGGAGGAGGTGCTCATGCTGTGTTTGTTACTGGTAAGTATGAATGGCTTGACAGAAGGTCCAGTGCTGACTTTGTGATCCAGCTGTTCAATCATACCCCATCGCCCAAGGTTTCCTCGGCCACAGAGCTGGTGCTCAAGTCATGTGCATTGGTCTTCCTCCTGCTGGAAAGTACAACATGGAGGTCAACCCTTCAGCACTCGCTTTCCGCAACCAGTCCATCAAGGGTACGCTCGTTGCCGGTATGGCTGATGTTGATGAGACCATGGACTTTGCTCGTAGGGGTAAGCAGATATTGGACGAGCGCTGACCAAATTACGGACTAACGCGATCAATAGGAAAACTTCGCCTCGAGCCTACCGTCGTTGGCCTCTCCAAGTTCAACGAATCCGTACAGAAGTTGAAGAACGGACAAGTCGCTGGGTATGTCTACTTGCTTTCGTATCGACAGAACTCTTTACTAATGCACCATGATCAGTCGCATTGTCGTCGACTTCAACAAAGAGTAAACAGGAGCAGTATTGGAGACTGTATGAAATATCCTGGCCGCCAATTGTGGCAATATTGGAAGTTTTGGCCTTTGACTTTTGTTCATACGTATGATTGTATAATGAGCTGAATGACACATTTGGTAAATCGTCGAATACATTTTGAACAACTGCTACTTGATATCGTTATGCTGGCTCGCGCCGTGCCTAGAGGTATTGACAAACCTCGCTTCAAAATTGCTGATGCTTGACGTTGCCTTCACGTTGTCAACAGCGGACACGGCCAGCAAAAGCATTGCACAATCCGCACAAATAAACAAGCATATCTGCATCTGGACTTAACCGACTCATCAGTTGCGGAAACGAAGTCAAGCACCAAATAAGAATCAAGCTGACAAAAGATTTTGATTTAGAGCTGGTCAACAGCAAAGATTATCAAATAAGTGGATAAAAAGGGAGGTTCACAGCATCCATCTCTCAATGAAGTGCGTCTAAACCGTGGCTAGTAGATCCATTTTATGCTTCATCCCATTTCCCCGTTCGCGTTTAGAACTTGAGGGTGTTACCGGCAGTGCCAACAACGGCAGCCTTGACCTTGGCGCTACCAAGAGCGGTGTAGGTGTAAGGAACCTTGGTAAGAGTGCCAGCAGGAGCCTCGTTCTTCTCACCACCGAAATCGTTGTCCTTGACGACAGCGTAACCTTGGTCATCAGAGTAGAGAGAGGCAACAGGCTTCTTGGCCTTGACGAAGACGTTGGACTCGACGAGGACCTGAGCACCATCACGAGTGTCGACAGCGGAAGAGAGAACGTTCTCGTAGTAGTTGTTGAAGATGTGGCCGGTACCGAAGCGGATGGAAGGAAGACGGGAAGAGACGTTGGAGAAGTAGTTGTTGGCGTAGGTGACGTGGAGGTGGCCAGTGTCTTCAGCGGCGTTGTTGTCAGAGTGGCCGACGAGGGAGCCTATTGAGATGAAAATTAGCCAGATGGTTCAAGCTGTGAGTATAGACAAAGACTTACACTTGTAGTGATCGTGGAAGAAGACGTTGGAGATAGTGACCCACTCGGAAGCGTGAGTGACATCAAGAAGACCATCATAGTAGTCCTTGCCGTGGTCAAGGTCGGAAGAAAGGTCGAGGTGGTCGGCCCAAACATTCTTGGATGCCTGGATACCGATAGCATCACCGTTCTTGGCCAGAACCTTGCTGCTCTTGAAGTTGCGGAGAATGACGTTCTCGACCTTGTTGACGAAGAGACCGATGTTCTCGAGAGCAGAGTCGCTGTTCAGACCGATGATGGAAGTGTCGGAAGAAACTCTGACCTTGTCGTTACCAGTGATCTTGCCAGAGATGTAGACGACGGTAGGCTCCTTTGCAGTAGCAGCCTTGGTGAATTGGGCGAGGGTGGAGACAGTAGTGGTAGCTCCACCTTGGCCACCAGTGGTACCTCCATTGGTAGAGGCATATCCGACAGGGCCAGAGGCAACAGCTCTCTTGTTGACAATGTCATGAGGAGCGGCAACAGCCAGGGAAGTAAGCGCCGCCAGGGCGAAGGAAGGAGTGAACTTCATTTTGAGAATAGAAAGAGTGTAAGGGTAAAGTTGAATGGAAAGAGTGTAAGGGTAAAGTTGAATGGAAAGTAAAGAGATTGGTTGAAAGGAAGGACAAGAGAAGCTTGATGAGGAGAGAGTTCTCATCGGTGCTGGTTCACCATACTTATATATCTTTCCAACCATGCTCGGCTCAGAGAAGCCCTATGCTAAGAAAATAGTATTGTGGTCGGCCATCAATCTTCCCGTGCGTCTTGTTTCGGTGGTGTGCTATTAGCATTGCATGCTGTATACAGTTTTAGGGCAAACAGTCGCTTGCCGTAACATGTTGATGGTGAGGTTCTTGGACATTCGTGCCCTAAAAGCAACCTTCTGCGGTGCATTGCAGCAAGATCAATTTACAATTTATTCAGCGTCTGAAAACATTTGCTTCGCCACGCTGCCAAGCTTGTGGTATAAGAAACAAGCATGTTGGTGTCCGAATCTCAAACATGGGTCGTGTTTCGGCCAAGGCCTCGCGTGAGTGCCCCTTGCGCTGATCGATGGCATCTCATCGCGGGGTAAGGTGTGACCGAACAGGTCGATTGATGCAAACTATATTGTCGAACCAGTGAGAATGGAAGGCGTCAAGACCAAGGCGAAGGTAATTTCACTTCCTGGCAGGTGCGATGTTAGCAGTGCGAAGAGTGGTGGAAGAATCGCAACGCGATGTTGAGGAAGTCGCGCCAAGACGACCGTTCATTGCACGCGCCTCACGCATTGGGAAATTTTGCACCACGCTCTGGAAAATGGCGAGCATCATCTGATCTTTCTCGCAAGTCAATTGAACGACAAAATGGCCGAACAACAATCATCTACCGGAAAAGTACATGCACTCATTGATTACGAGGATCGCTATGTGCAGCCTTTGATTCTGGCCGCTCTCAAGGCGCGCATGCCTGCCGACGTTTTGGTCTTGATGCAGTCAATCTCAGAAGCACCTGCCTCGAATGCCAAATTGCTGCAATGGAAACAATATGAATCACTGGATCTGGATCATGTGATGGAGAACTCTCAGACTAGTCTCATGAACTCGTACATTATCAGGAAAGCTCTGATAAGAAAACACTATCTGTCTACCACTGTCTCTCATTGGTTGAGCAAGAACCCGGAATCCTGCTTGTCAAAGAACGTCAAGCCTAGTGTTGAGTTCGAATTGGATTTTGCCGAATTTCTGGATGATGCCTTGGTTGAGGCATTCGAGTTGAGAGAAAGCTTTGAAAAGAATGAAGAGCTTGAGGACTCTGAAAAGCAGTGGTGGATCTTGAAGCCTGGAATGAGTGATCGTGGGCAAGGTATCCGCCTTTTCAATTCCGAGGAAGATTTGACTGCAATTTTTGAATCTTGGGAGGAAGACAGCGACGACGAGGATGCCGAGCACTCAGGAGATGAAAGACAAAATGACGACGAGGAAGATGAGGGCAATGGCGTGATGACCTCGCAACTCCGCCACTTCATTGCGCAACCATACATCCACCCGCCCATGTTGCTTCCTGCACATTTCGCTTCCGCAGACCGAAAGTTCCACATCCGTACTTACATTCTCGCTGTTGGAGCACTTAAGGTCTATGTATACAAGCCCATGCTTGCGTTGTTCGCTGGAAAGACCTACACTGCACCATGGGAAAGCGAAGATCCCAACGAAGAGCTTGCAAGCCATCTCACCAACACATGCATGCAAACAGGTGAACGCGAAGGCAGTGTTCATGCTTTCTGGTCATTGCCCGACGACGTCCCTGGTCTGCCATCGCAATGGAAGCAGAGTACTTTTGACCAAATCTGCAAAATCACAGGCGATGTGTTCGAAGGCGCTGCCAGAGGCATGATGGTCCACTTCCAACCTCTGCCCAACGCATTTGAATTGTTCGGTGTCGACTTTATGCTGGATGCAGAAGGTACACCGTACTTGCTCGAGATCAACGCCTTCCCCGACTTTGCCCAGACTGGAGATGAGCTCAACAGCATTGTGCAAGGACTATTTGAGGAGGTTGTTGATGTGGCCATTAAGCCGTTCTTTGGTCTTGCCACACAAGAGGAGCAGACACTGGAAAGAGAACGCATGGCCCTAGCATTGGACATCAACTTGGGCAGGAACTGAGATTCGGTCGACCATTCTATAGCGCTCGTGCCCGAAGAACAATGTTCATGTCGGACAGTTCCTTGCAAATTAGCAAGCCGCGAGATTGACTCTGTCGATGGTTAAGGTTGACTTCGCAACGAAGCAGCTCTCGGAGATGACTCTATCTTGGCAATCCAGCCCGAGTTTTTGGCCATACCACGCTCATCAGCATCAAGCTCTAAGAGGTCGAAATGTTAGTGGATGGATAGATCATTGCATTGCGGATTTGTGTACAGTATTGGAGGCGTGTCATTTGCAAATGTACCGAACAGTCGTGAAGCGATTCACGCATTCGATCGTGCACCAAGAATATTACACATTACCGTGGAGGTGTACAACAGCACGTCGCAAAAGAGAAAGTTCATTTCGGTTACAGTTTCCATCCACCTCTGATACAAAAGGATGAAAAGCTCGACCTCACGACGTTTTCCTTATCTGCGTTAATGTCGCTCACCATCGCCAAATTTTACTTTTCTTCCGTGTCGATGCTGCTTGCAACCCATATCGACATTACCGCTTACCACTCAATATCACTTTTATCTGTTCACGCTACTTGTTATCCTTGAACCTTGCATCCAAAATACCATATCCAGCTCTCTATCTCCTAAGAAACTGCAGAACCACACTGTCAAAAGGCACAAAGTATTTCAAAAATCGTATATCACACAGTGAGAACGTAAAATCATCGTGCCCTTTAATGGCTACTTTGGTCGGTTTGATGGGAAGCTGTGGTGGAACAAAAAAAAGTTGGTTATTTGCAATGATGCAGTGTAATGTAATGTATCAATATGCGCGATGTAGTAGTGAAGTGTTTGTAACCAGGTCTTCATCCCTGTTCTCGTTAAAAACCTCGTGGAGGGGAAAAGAGTAACAGGTCCTTATGATGAAGCGGGCTTTGGAGCATCGACATCGTATGCAGTCGATGTTGGCGATGTTGATGTCGAAGAGGATGAGTCAATTGGCGTTGTCGATGTCGATATCGGATCCGACAAAATCTCAAAAGATTCCTCAATCACCACCGTCTCCTCGACACTCAAAGCAGCAATAGCTTCTTCAATAAGCACTTCCCTCCTCGGTTGCAAATCAACGTATCTAGGACGTTGAGAACACAAACCTCTTCTCCAACGCTGCTCTTGATTCCTCCTAACATATTCCTCCGCCGCATTTCTCCGCATAGAAAGTCTTTTGACCAACGCCTCCGTATCTTCCATGTCCATATTCCAAGCTTCCTCGATTTCAGCAACGTTTACACCAGTATCCGCGGCGAAAGCTATAAATGTTCTTGCTCTTCTGGTGAGAATGTGACGTTCGAAGCGGTGGCACCAGATGGCCAATTCCACGTATTTGGCCCGTTGTGTGGCGCGAGTGCGTTGGGTGCATGTTAGTTGGCAGGCGAGCATGATGTTTGAGAGAGTGGTCAAGGCCATGTCTAGGAGGTCTTGTTCGCAGATGAGGATGGAATCGGGACCGGTTTGGTAGGAGAGCCAGTATTCGTAGCGCTGGAGTAGGGTGTAGGCGTGGCGGTATTCGGGAGAGGTGTAGACGGTTTCGGTGTCGTAAGAGGACATGATGGCGAGTTCTTTGAGTTGTGGTGGGTGATTGGCTCGGAAGCTGTGAGAATGTGATTGCGCGAAGATTTGATGGGCGCGGTTCGAGATTCGATGAGTTATGTTGGGACGGCGTTCGTGTACTCGGGAGCTTTGAGATGCTGGGATGCTTGAAGCCAAGTGCAGGAGTTCGAGATTCGATGTTTTGACAAGTTGTATTCGAACAGCGCTTGTGTGCAAGAAAAAGAGAAGAAGAGAGGAACTGGAGGAGAGCAGGTACTTGTACCAGGAAATCATACCCATGAACGACTTTTCTGAATCTTGCTCATGGTGGCTGATTTCATGGTTGCTCGTGACCTATACCAACGAAAATTTGCTCGCTGCTGCCCGGCTTTTCGGAGCTTGGAGATGTGTCCCTTCAGATCATTTCAGGGCGCGACCTCTTGTTGATCCTCGTACGGAGCCCCTGCCTATGCCACTGCCAATACTACTGCCAGCTCTTGGAACACCTCTTCCTCGACCACCCTGACCTCCAACGCCGACATAGCCCGAAGATGTCGAAGAAGCGGACGATGGTTGCGCAGTCAAGCGACTCGATGCTGTTCCGACTCTGCCCCTGAGTCTCGAGCCACGAGTCGCCGGTGGTGGAGCAGCCTTTTTCCGTTCCTCTTCCTCAGCGCGTCTTTGTGTGGCTTCTCTTCTGGCCTGGTCTTCGGCGGCGCGTCTTTCGGCTTGTTGTTGTCGTACGAAAGATTCGTTTTCCATGTCTTGGATATCTTGTGTGGCTCCTTGCCAGTTCGGGTTGAGAAGTAGGCGTTGATTGTGTTCGGTCTGTGAGAGAATGCGCGTCCATGTGTCAAGAAGAGTCGAGGCCGAGTGCACTGTGCGATTGACGTTCTGAGTGTGTCAACAGATGTGTCTTTGAAGTATGAACAGAGATAGCATACATCCATATTGCCCTTTGCTTTCTCTAGACTCTGCACAACATCTTCTATGACCTTGTTGATCTGTCGCACACTGTCCAGCTCTTTGCGCAAAGCAGCCTCTCGCGACTCTGATGTTTCTGGGCGAGGAGCGCTGGGCTTGGAAGGGGTAGGACCAAGATCGATGTCCATGTCGTAGTCAATGTCTTCGTCTTCGTATGGGATGTTGTCGTATTCGTCCTCTACGTCGTCGTTCAAGCGCAATGCGCCTACATCTGGTGGTTGCGACATGTTGGGCTTGAGGAAGTCACGTTGTCGCGAATGCCTGATTGAGAAATGTGATGATGGGCGGAATCAAGGTGTTTGCTGTTTGTTTGCACTGTTGATGTCTCAGCTTCCACGTGATACATGCTCACGGCCGATCTTTGTTCAACCGACAGCAATACAAGGAGCTGACTTCTCGGCCAGTTTAGTTCCACCTTTTCTTGAAGAAAGACAAAGCAAAATATTGTCGACATGTGTCCTTCGTGCGACACGCCTTCTATCGACGCCATAGCATGAGAATAGTCGGCACAACTCGCAATCCAACACCCCGTCGCCAAATCAATGCTGCCGAAATAATCCGAGTCCACTCTGCGCGTGTCATATACCTCACTCCATCAAATCTGCCTGCGCTACAAACGTGAGCCAGCTTGCTCGACGTGCTGGAACAGTCAAGAGGGGGAACATGGTCGAGGACAGTCACAACAACAGGGTTCGCTCGCCTGTTACGCCGTTTGAAGAGATGGAAGCAGTCGAAGCAGTCGAAGCAGTCGAAGCAGTTGAAACGGTAGAAACATTACACTCGTATGACCAAGATGGGGCACGAGCTATTGGATATATCACGACATGATATCCTTCGAAGTTGTTATGCCTTGGTCCATTGATGTCCCCACCAGGCCGAAGTAGCCATGTCAGTCTCGTTTACGCTTGCACTCCACGTAAACCATAGCATCAGGACCACAACGGCCTCGTGCGAGCTCGAGCCTATTCAGCACGTTTCGTATATCTTCCTCCATTGCCTGTCGTGGCTTGAAGGGATTTCAACTCTCAGTTCCTGGTCTTCTTAATTCACTTTGGTTCATCTCCTCCTTGCCCAACTTCTCCATTTCTTGCAACTCCCTTCTTCCTTCTTCATTCTCTCCACTCCACTCTGCTCCTGAGCCTCCCAGATTCGCCTCGCTCAAAGTGACGTGTGGGCAGATTCGAATACATACAGCAGTCTCCAAACGAACATACCGCGACGCAAATCAGAAGATCTCAGAGCTCCGCCATACAATCCTGCTACGATCTCAACTCTTACTGCCACCTCATTTCCTTCACTCGCATAGCTCTCTTGCCTTTCTGGGACACCTCAATCAAGGTGTCGACATCGCCACATTGCAAAGCGCGCGCCACCAAACCTCCGAAGTGAATACGACAGACATATAAGCCTTCCGACGCTTCGCTCTCCTACTTCAACCCTCTTTGTCTTAGCACACTCTCTTTCCTTCATCAACCACTCCGCGCAGACAGATTTGGCAGGATCCATATCACAGCGCGTTCAGATCTCGACCCTCAGCCCGAAGAGAGACACAGATCTCCACTCCAACACCGAAGATCTCATACGACTTTCACATGTACTACACTCCTATCCTTTGGCCGTTCAGATCCGACTAACGTCTGTATATTAGATTTGAGATCTGTCCGTCGCTCCACCCTGCCCACGATGGCGCTTTCACCAGCCCAGCTCAAGATTCAGCCGTTGATCCAATCGCTCGTCGCCGCATTCCCAGCCAATGCCACCCAATCAAATCAAGATCTCTTCATATCTATCTATCTCGAAACTAAAGACGACGGCACACCAACTATCGAGAAGATCAAGGCAATTGTAGCCGCGCTGGCCTCGGGTGATTTCCACTTCCCAGCTACCGTCAAGATCTGGAAGCCTTTGCTGTACTTCGTCCAGCACTTTGCGTGGCTCTACTACCCCGTACGCGGCTCCAAGAAGACCAAGCACAGACTGTATGTTGGCAAGGTCATATCTGCACTGGGACACGAGCAGCACGTCTGGGCCGAGATCTCTGGAGGCAACAGTTGGACGTTGAAAATGTACGTGAGTCTTCACGAGACCCGCGTGGATGGCAAATCCACTCTGTGGGCGTGGAAAAGAGGCGATCGTATGTGCATGACATGGTACTGGCCCCTCCAGAAGCTGTTCAGACTCGGCGACTTCCCCAAGAAGGACTTTGGCGACAAAAAGGAGGAAGATTACGGCACGACGTATGCTCTTANGTAGATCCCAACACCACGACTGGCCAGAACTTGGACCGTACACCTGCTACAGCCCCATCCTTGGTACGTTCTGGTGAATGGGGTTTGAGGACCTTGTCTGCCGCAGAACGAGCTAGGTGGCCTGCTGGTTATACTGTGGGCCACCTTGGTGAAAGGGGTTTGCCGCCCTTGTCTGCCGCAGAACGAGCCAGGTGGCCTGCTGGTTATACTGTGGGCCGCCTAGGTGACAGACCACGTAACGGTCGTCGTTAACACACTTCGCGTACGCATTAGCATACCGAGTGTTGGGAGAGGGTCTGCATGAGATCTGAGAGGAGGGTTTTTGAGACACCATTTGAGAGACACACACCTTCTCGTCCTTCGAGGCCAGGGGTATACGGAAGAAAGGTCCAGGTCTATAGAGATCAGGACTTTTCTGGCGAGGCGGAATATGATATTCATGAAGAACGAGATCTAGGAGGGCTGCTGATACGCAGAACCTGCGAGTATTCAACAAGGCAAAGCTCAAATCTTAGCAGATTTGGGGAAGGGCTTTTTTGACATTTCACGATCAACACGGAATGTCCTTTCGAGACAAAACTCTTTATACTTGAATTTAACATCTACTTTTCATTAACAACTTTAAGGTGTTAGCCTCACGTAATTTCATGTTTCATTTGTTTGATATGTAATGCTCTAAACCTATTAGTTAAAATTGTTATAGACACAATGGATACAGTTAATGTCATAATTAGAGCGAATTCTTAGCGAATAGGCCGCTTAGGTTAACTTAACCATCAAATTTAGCTTTACATAGCGAATTCCTATAGTAATTAGAATAACCTTAATATATCTACCTATATAGCGTATTTTGACGTACTTTATAGTTTGTTTAGTAGCTAATGTTATCGCGTAGCTCTAGCTACTATTTAATAATAAAGAGGATCCTACTACTATTACTAGTGCCCTTAGGATCTACCTAGTAACTATCTATCGTGCACGTTAGAACTATACGATATATAGAGCTATCTACCGTTTAAGACTAGTGTGCCTTAGTAGGCTAGCGAAGCTAACCTTAGATTAAGAGTATATAAGTATCTAAGGGTGTTTTAAGCATAGTTAGAAGTCTTCGAAACTAACTAGGTTAGCGAGTATTAGATTACCTTAACGGACGCCCTACTACTTACCTCGATAAAGTCGCTTCCTTTATATACGACGACTATAACGTAGCCCTTAGCGAGAGCGGCATTTAGAGGTTACTACGTAGGAGTTTAAATAAGTCGTGCAACGGGTGCATAAAATACTCTAGCTAGCGTAGGGAAGTAATCCTAGAGCCTATAGAATCAATCGAAGGTAGAGACGCGACCTTTACTAGTAAAAGCGTGCTAACAGTATATGGCGTAGTAATTGATTAATTAAAGAGAAGAAGAGTATCTACGGGCGCAATCTGTTAAGAACGTCCTACTCTGCTAAGGCGTTAGGATGCTAAGCTAACCTTGTTATCCCCTTACTTGTTACAGCCTATTATAGACCTATCTGTAACAGAACCTTACCGTATTGTAATAGAGTTGCAACTCCTCTAAGTGTGCTAGGACTGCACTATTTTCAACTCTCCTACTTAGGACTATGCACACATTACTGCATGCCTAGTAAACTAACAAACCTCTTAAATGGAGACTTATTTAATGGCTTTATAAGGCCATTAGCAACCATGTTAGTTGTTCCTACAAACTTAACCTTAAGCCTATTCTTCTTAAGGAGATCCCTCTAGTAATGGTAGGCTACATTAATGTGTTTTGACCTATTAGAGATTTGTGCATCTCTTACTAAACTAAGGGCAGCTTAATTGTCTCCTCTAATAAGAATAGGGGAAGTAATTATGTACTTCATTTTCTGTTTAAGTGTTAGCTAGAATGCGCTTTCTCCTATAAGATAGGCAGAGCCTATATCTCTTAGAGTAAGTGCAATCCATTATGACTGTTTTGCTACTGCACACATAGCCATGTATTTAGCATCCATTGTAGAAGTAGCCATAGATTTCTACTTCTTGCTTATCTAACTAATAGGACCATCTGCAACTATAAACACATTCCTAAGAATTGATAGTCTATTAGATCTTATAGAAGCAAAGTCAGAGTTAGAGTACCCTACTAGCCTAGACTAGTTCATCCCCTTAAATGTGAGCCCTTAATCTTATGTTAATCTTAGGTATTTAAGGATATGTCTTGTAGCAGACATATAGAATTCGGCCGGATCTCCTAGGTACTAGCTTAGTCTCCTAAGAGCAAAAGAAATGTTAGGTCTTGTTAAAATGGCAAGATACATAAGCTTCCCAATTAATGTCTAGTACCCCTTTTAATCGGTTCTTAGATTAGCCTATTCCGCTAGCCTAATGGAGTTATATCCATTTATTAGGGTGCTTGTCTTTCTTGTCTTATCTTGTTGCATATTGTATATAGAGAGAATCTCTCTAATGTAGTGTGCTTAATCCAATTTTACAATCCTCTTCTTTCTATCTCTAGTGACTTATACTCCTAGGATCTTCTTAACTTCTCCTAGGTCCTTAATCTTAAAGACTTTTCTAAATTCTGACTTAAACCAGTTAATACTCTTAATTGACTTTAAGGCAATAAGGATATCATCAACATAAACTAGGAGAATCAAATTCTTATTAGGATGTGTTAATAGGTAGGGGTTAGCATCTAATTGTACAAAGCCTAGCTTTTGCAACTTAAGAGTACACTTCTCATTCTAGTCTCTTGCAGCCTACTTAAGTCCATACAAACTTCTATAGACCTTAAGACATTAGCTAGCAGGTACAGTTATTCTAGGAGGTGCCTTCATATAGATGTCTTCCTTTAAGAATGATTTAGTAAAGGCGTTATTAACATTAACAGAGTAGCATTCAAGATCCTAGATTGCAACTATTGCAAAGAAGATTCTTAGAGTATTATGTCTTAGAGTAGGCGCAAAGGTGTACTTATAATTAACTCCAAATTTCTGTAAGAATCCTCTTGTAATAAGCCTCGCCTTAAGCTTATCTAGAGAGCCATTAGTGTTGAACTTTGTTACAAAGACCTATTTGCTAGAAACAATGTTGCAACCTATAGGTGGAGTAGTAATCTTAAAGGTGCTATTTGTAGCAAGTGCATTTAGTTCATTTTGTATTGCTTCTCTCTAGCCTTCTCCCTATATCTTATCTACAATTACTTTAAGATAGGTAAGGGGAATAGGAATATTTATTCTTCCTTATGCAACAAATGCTACCTCTTCATCCTCTTATAGTGAATAGGATTCTTAGAACTGTTGCAGGAGATAGTTAGTTATCGACTAATAATCTTCATCTTGCAACACATCCTTATCTATTACTAATAAGGCTAGAAGGGAGAATAAGGCCTTATAGTGCTTTGCCATTTGTTCATCTTCTAAATAGTCCATGTTGCTCTCTTCTCTAGACCTTTTCCTATTTTAAACTTGTTTATTAATGTAGGGATTAGCAATGTACTTATACTAACTCCTATTAAAACTAGGTGGTTTAGTGATGACAACATTAACTCCTGGCTTCTCTATTGGTACAGCTTCTAGGGGACTAGATGTGTCCTTCGTTCCTGCAACTAGTGTTATTATAATAGGTGTTATTGCAATAGGTGTTGTTGTAATAGGGGTTGTTGCAATAGGGGTTTTAGTAGGCTCTTCTATTATAGCTTCCTTCTAGGTAAAACTTCTTGTAGTTCTATTAGATGTAGGCTGTTCATCTGCTCCTACTAATCGTAGTCTCTAGGTAGGATTATCTTGTCTTTTATCTATATCTTGTTGCAGAGTTTAGTTAACTCCTACTAATTTTGGATTCCCTTATGCTATAGTTTGCTCTTGCAGAACTTCTTTCTTAATCCTAGGTCTGCTACGAGGATTTCTCTCTGCTGCTATGCTAGGAGAATGCTAGCTCTTAAAATTAAGCTCTTCTAGCGTAAGCTTCTCTTGCTTAAAGAACTTAATGTTACTAGTCTTAATTACATCCTTTCTGTTAGGTGCCTAGATAAGGAATTGCTTGCTAGTGTCTGCAACATATCCTAGGAATGCACTAACTCTCGCTTTGTCTATAAGCTTGTCTCTTCTAAAGGATTATGGAATTGATTCTCTTTCTATATAGGAATGAACCTTATAACCCTAGACTCTAATGTGGTCTATGTTTAGGGTTCTTCTAGTAAAGGCTTCATATGGGCTTATAAGGTGATCATTAATGACTAGTCCATTTAATGTCCGATTCCTAATGTAGATGCCTGCCTAACAGGCTTCTACCTAGAATTCTGCTAGTAGACCTAAGTCCTTAAGGAGGGCTCTTATATCATTTTCGATCTGTTAGTTTTCCCTCTTAACTAGACCATTCTGTGTTAAGGTGTGTAGGATTGTTGTCTAAGCTTCGATTCTATACTGTTCTTTAAGTCTAGAGAAATGTTTCACCAATTCCTTTGCATTGTTAAGTCTAACACTCTTAAGAAGATGGCTAGACTGTCTCTTAACTTAAATCTTCTAGGTTGCAAGCCTATCGGGGCATTCCTTTCTCTCCTTAATAGGGATTATCTAGGACATTCTTGTATAGTCATCTTTAATAACCATTGCCTAGGTAAAGCCTTCTCTAGAGGTAGGGAATGGTCTACATGTATTAATAGATACCCTTTCTAGGGGGTGTTCTTTTCTAGCTAATACTTTGCCTTTTAACTTGCGGAATTTTGTTAGTGTGCAAGTCTAGCATGTGTGCTTAACAACTTTAACTGCTTTAGCCATAGTTGTAACCTTATGTAGGTTTGCAATCTTTGTAGATCTAAGGTAGGCAAATCTCCGGTAATATAGCATATAGTTGTCTATATCTCTCTTGTTAGAAGCATTAGCATTAGAATTAGATTCACTTTTAGCTTCATCTTCTTAAATTAAAGGAAGAGCCTTAGGTGCAACTATTATAGGTACTGTAACGTCCTTTGCAAGTGTTACAATATCTCTTTTAAGCGGACTATCTAGTTAGGATTAAGTTGCTATAAAAGCCTGTAGATTTGATTTTTTCTGAGCTAGCTTTAGTAAGATGGAATCTAGAATATAGATTCCTCCCCTCTCCTTTGCGTGTAGAATAGTGTTACTATCCTTATTAAGGTAGTACATGTTCTGCGAATTAAAGCTGCCTTTTAAACCGGCTTTACACAATTTTCTACTAGAAAGTAGATTTACTCTAAGTTCAGGAACGAGCAGAACATCTTTTAATCTAAATCTCCCTCCTCTACGGTCCATTATATCTATAACTCCTCTCTTTGTTAAAAAGAGCTTCCCTCTACTAATAGCGATCGTTGTTCGCCTTATGGTTATAGGAGGTTCACTAAATAGAGAGGAATTATTAGTCATGTAGGAACTTACGCTAGAGTCGGATATCTAGCTGTCTGCTATTATAGTACTAACATTTTCTTTACTAAGGTTTGCATACTTAGTCTCTAGTTCTCCTTAATCACTTCTAGATAGGCTGTCTAAACTAGAGTTAGTTAACTCTAATTTAGCCTATGTTATAAGATGAGCCTTTATGAACTTGCTTCCCTATAACTGTTTAACGGTCTTCTTTAGGTACTCAATTTCTTTATTTAGTCTTGCAACTTCGTTTCCTTAAGAAGATATCTATTTACTTAACTTCTTGCTGTCTAGATGTTCTCTTCGAAGCTTCCTACTATAGGCCTTAACTGTAGAGATATAGTTGTAGGACTTTATCTAGTAATTAGGTGCACTACATAGATGACAGCTTAGTCTATCCCTCTGCAACGGACTCCTTACTCTAGTAGGTGAATTTCTCTTCTAGTAAGATGGCTTGCTACTCTAGTAGGGCTTCTTTGCGTAGTAAGCAGCCTCTAGATTGATAGTTGCTTATACCTCATTTAGGATAAGTAGAACTTCCTTAGGGTCAACTTTTCCTCTAGCATTAATTCCTGCTTTGTATGCAGCATACTCGATAGGTAGTGCTGCAAGTAGTTGTTAGATTCTAGACTTAATTGAGTTAAGGGATTTCAACTTAGGTCTTTGTTTAATAACCTTCTTGCCTAGGGTATTAATTTGTTGCTAGGTAGCATCAATTGAAGTAGATGCATTAATCTTAAATGTGGAGAATTTAACTAGGTATTGTCGGCCTATAGATGCTAGTCTTATCTTGTACTTCTTCTAGAGTCTCTCCTAGATGGCTTTAGAAGTCTCTTCCTCTTCAACCAATTTAAGGTTAAATTCATTTAGAGATAATCTAATGTAGTATCTAGCCTTTGCATCCTTTTGTCTAAAGAGTGCGACATTAGTTGTTCCACCAATAGGTGGATCTTTAAGTAAGATGTTCTTTACACTATCTATAACAGATGCCGGTATAGGAGGTGTTGTAGGGGGTGTTAATGTACTCTCTATAGCCTAGAAGACTCCTTTAGCTTTAAGCTAGTCTTTTATCTGCATAAACCATTTGTCTATATTGTCCCTACTAAGGGTTGCTACCCTCTAGTGCTTAGACATTGTGTAGTTGTCTGCTAAATCCATCTTATAAAGATGTTGTAGTTATAGTTACAATTAAGCTCTCTTTCTATTGTCGTGTTACAATTGCTATCGTGTTAGTTATAAGTTAACTTATTATATGCTAAAGGTGTGTATTAGCAGAAGGGGTTAGATTTCTAAAAGTACTCGACTAAGGCGATATTACCTAAGTAGGTTTAGTCGTCTAAGGGTGGAAACGGGTAACTATGTGTCTCTATTTCCACAGTTATGTAGGTGACTAAGTATCCTAGTTGCCTTAGTAATGTGTGTGTATAGCTGTGTATCCTTGTTGCTACAGCAGTAATAGGTGACTAAGTTTCTCTATTGCCTTAGTGGTGTAGGTAACTATGTATCCTAGTTGCTATAGTCTCTCTCCTCTTGTTTATCTCCTACTGTCTTAGTAGAGCCTTAACAAGTTACATAGGTTCCAGGATTATGCAAAACCCGGGCTCATAACTAGTTTAAATAAGTCGTGCAACGGGTGCATAAAATACTCTAGCTAGCGTAGGGAAGTAATCCTAGAGCCTATAGAATTAATCGAAGGTGGAGACGCGACCTTTACTAGTGAAAGCGTGCTAACAGTATATGGCGTGGTAATTGATTAATTAAAGAGAAGAAGAGTATCTACGGGCGCAATCTATTAAGAACGTCCTGCTCTGCTAAGGCGTTAGGATGCTAAGCTAACCTTATTATCCCCTTACTTGTTATAGCCTATTGTAGACCTATCTGCAATAGAACCTTACCGTATTGTAATAGAGTTGTAACTCCTCTAAGTGTGCTAGGACTGCACTATTTTCAACTGTAGGCATAAATAGTCGAGGAAGATATTAAATAAGAAGGTAATAGAGAGGAGCGAGAAATTACGTCTATATTACTACGCTTAAGCTATAGGATAACGTATAGAGGACCTTATGTTTATTAATAAGAGCGCTGCAAATAAGCGTACTAGTAGTCGTAAGTATAGATAGTTAACCTAAGGGGCTAGATGTATTAATTTTAAGAAGGTTAAAAGGAGTAAGATATAGTTAGTCTTACTAGCTATAACACTTATTAGTCTATTAATTAATAGTAGGCACTTCCTCTTTACTAGCTAACTTACCTCTTAATTTATAATAAGGTCTAATAAGTGTAGTTTAATTTATAGACTAATAGATAGGGGAATAAAGAGAGCGTAAGCTAGAAGTAACTAATATAGTTTAGGTCTAATTCGAACCGTAGTCCTTAGCTTACGCTAAGCTAAACTACCTATTTAGCCTCTTTAAGCCTTACGCTCCTTCTTCTTTCCTTATCCTATAGCTTGTTAATTTAATGTTATTAACTACGCATTAGTCCTTATTAGTAACTAATAAAGGGTCTATAAGCGTACGGCATAAAGTAGCCTTAGCGTTCTTAGTAAGAGCTAAGGACTATAATTCAAATTAGAGCTAAACCGTGTTAATTTATGTACTATTACTTACCTTTATAGCACTTAGCCTACTTATTAAGCTAGTACTAGTAGTACTAGTAACTATTGTATTTAGTCTTAATTTAAAGATAGATTCTAGCGTCCTACTTAGTTACTAAATGCTACTCCTTTAAACCCTATAACATTAACACTATTAACCCTACTAACTAGCTATCCTTAAGGCTATCCTTATAGTAGTACTAAAGGCTACGTTAGAGGAGGACCTAGTCTAAGAGGAGGACATATAAGAGGTAGCTATAGTAGAGGGGGTGCTACTTAGATAGTTAAATACGCTACTCTAAAGACCCTTAATAATGTGCTCTATAAGGAGGCGGTTAAAGCTACTAAGGAAGTAGCTCGTACTAAGGATGACGACACTTAGCTACATGCTCGTAGCTTTAGCTATACCGAACACACATAGTAGGAAAACAAACGAGTCTATACCGTGAACTTTGGAAAAAATGCAAGTTTATTTCATGTTGCCCATTAAACGTCTAACATTAGTTAAAATAGTAAGGGAAAACAGTGCTAAGACCAGTCTCTACGGGTTCAAAGAAATTGGACTACACATCCGGTAAAGTCTAGCACACGTCCGGTAAGAGCCCCCCTCGTTATTCAGCGACTAGAGGGATATATCCAGAACAAGCCTGATATCCACTTGTACATGAGTGAACTCCAAGTTGAGGTAAACATGACCTTTCTCTTCATGGCCCGCCCTTGATGTTCATCAAGGAAGGCTCGCTGCTTTCCAGTCAGGCGTTTCAACGCTACACCAGTGGCTACTTCCCCTTTCGTGACATCCGCGTCCTCTTGTTTATATTTTCTTCATCGACACAACTTTCAGACATGCATCAACAAAAAACAACATAATTATGGCGGCCAGATTCGCATTCAACCCGCATGCGATTTCTCCAGACTCGAGCGAAGATGAATCCAGCAGTAGGGACGAGGGTACAGACTCAACCGAGTCAGACGAAGAGTAAGGTTAGAAAATCACTATCCATCAGCTCGAGGCTGACTGGATCTGTAGTACCGTAGACGAGATCGTTCATATCAATGGGGACATCACCAACGCGGCGAAAGCCTGGAACATGCCAGAGGAAGAACTTCATGAGATGATCCAAGCGACTCAACGTGTATCGGATACTATCAACGTCGTACCAATCAAGAGGGGGGACATACCAGATCCACATGTTTTGCAAAGGACAATGGACAAGGAGGGACTCCGATTGAGACTTGATGGCTATGACAAATGGATCAAGGCCAGCAAGGAAGAGACGCCTTGTTCATTGTTGGATCTTCTGGTGAACGAATATCGATCAGGAAATCAACAACAAACCAACCATGATGCCCTTCTTGGGAGTTTCTCGTCCGTCCTCTTTTCAACGCATTCTGCGGTACTGGAGGCAATATTGGAAGGCAACATCTCGCAGAAATACTTCACAGACCCCTCGACCAGATCTGTGTTGGATTTCCTTTCGGCAGAGTCAGCTGCACACCGAGTGAGACCAGGTATCTACTGCAACGCCATCGGTTCGGCAAATACTGGAGAGTTTTTGACTATCGAGGAACTCGAGAACACACTGAGATTGATGAAGATCTACCTCGATGGAACGGACGATGACCAAATCAAGAAGATTGACAACGCCATGTCCCGACAGTACAAACTAGGAAAACGAAGATATATTGAGAACAATCGAGCTGCATGTCAAATCCGCATCTTCATCAACGCGACCAAGGCAAGGATTGCCGTGATTGCAAGGAGTCTGGATCCGCGTTCTCCCCTACCCCTTTCGATTCTGGAGTTCGGATACGGAGTAGATGTCGAGAACCGACTTGCAGCTCATCGCCGTCATGAGAGTTCCAATTACATCATGAATCTTTTCCAGACTTGTTGTCAAATCCTATTTCCCGGAAAGTACAGATTGCATCAGTACGTGGTCTTCTTGTGTTCCACTCCAGATCAGACATCGACAGCAGAGGTGCTTTTTCACCTGCTTGGCCAAGGATATATCAGCAACGGTTGTGGATTTTCACATTGGCCAGCCGGTCTTAGCAGTCATCATGCATATAAATTGAGGTCAAGTATGTGGTGTAGTTTTGCGAGATGGAACATGGAGCATACACCTCGTCAGAGCAATGTAGATGCTTTCAAGATCGCAATGAAGATAAGAGCTGACGAGGACGCTGAGCGCGAGCGTCGACTTTTGGAACAAATCGGGAAAATTGAGCGTCTGGGAGAAAAAGCCCTCGCTCCAAATTTGATACAGGCAGTGGAACACACAGAGAGACTGGCAAGATCTTTGCCTGATCTGGTGGCACGTTTCACAGACATGTTTCTCGGTGTACGAGGTCAAGATCATTAATAGCTTAGTGTTGAGAGAAGACAAGAGAATTGAAAGGACTTCAATTAATCGATTGATTTGAGTTGCAACTTGCAAGAATAAAGAAATTCCACATCAGTGTCGGCCCTTGGTCACATTGATCTGTGACTGTCCCTGTTTGAATGCTTCCATGCTACCGTGTTTGACCTGTTGACCTGTTTCTACATTCCGAATCCTCAGGTCCTGCCCATTGGCTGTGTGGTCTTCTAGACGAGATCTTCCTCATCTTCGACGGGTTGAGTCAACTCGATCTCGGGGATGGTGGCAAGGGACAAGTCTTCCAGGCCGTAAATGATCATGCCATGTTCGTCTCTCTGGATTGCTCTAGGAACGGCGGCCACGGCCTTGTCGAAGTTCTCGTGCAGAGCGGCGCCGAAGGGGGTGACGGGAATACCGTGATCGTCAAGGCGCCAGAGCTTGTGGAGGACGGTCATTGTGCCATTTTCAGGATCGAACAAGCGCTGATGGTAATACTCGAGGTTGATGAAGACGCTCTCTGGCATCTCTGCCGCTGCGATGCCGGGTAGCTTGTCGAGTCCATGACGTTGGTGGAGAGTGATCTGGCTGTCGCCGACGGGCTCTGTGAGCCAGCGCTGACCAAAGAGTTAGCACATGTACCAATGATCCAAGGAAGTTGGAACTCACATAGACGAAGATGAGTTCCTTGTAACGAGCCATGTCTTTGACGACCTGGAGCATCTCAGGCGATCTACAAGCCACCATCTCCTCGATGTCGGTGCCTGGGTCTTTGGCCTTGGCTGCTTCGACTGCGGCGATGAAACGACTGGTGGCTGCGAGACCTTTCTCGAGTTCGTTGCCCTGTGGGAGGACGGGCATCTCGACCTCATCGCGTTTGATCTGGTCTTGGAGGATTTCATTCAATCTCTTGGTTTCCTTGATTTCCTCGAGCAGCTCCTTCTCAAGTGCTTGGAGCTCTTCCATCTTGGTAGTCATGGTAATGCCTATCCAAATGTGTCAGTGAGAACCACAACCATCTCCAGATCTGGTCACATACGCGCTCTGGAGATCTTTGCGTGTTTGTCTTGTAGGAATTAAATGTGTGCCGTGATGAGACGACAAGGTGAATACTGAGTCTGTCCGAATAAGTCGACGAATCTGACACCACGGTGTTGCTGTGGTAGTGGTATGAAGGAAGGAAGAAGAAAATTAGAGAAAGGGAAGAGGTCAGTGCTGCGCGTGTGAAAGCGAAGCGCGTCGAAGAATAAGTGAATGTTTACGACTGTACGCTCACTACATGTGAAAGGTTGAATGAATTGCAGTCTCCGCGAAACCCCGATTGACGATCTCACATCGTACGACAGGAGTAGTTTTTCCTTTGTGCTTTTGCTCAACACCCATATAAAGGTTGACCCGGAGAGCGAGCACTTTTGAAACATATGAACTTTCATTGTTATTCCAATACCTTTGTCCCACCCCCCATGTCCGTCTTCACCCACTCGCTTCAGGTATCGATATACGCTGCCATATACCCATTATGATGAGAGTGTCGTTTTGTGTCTAAGATGTTTAGTGCTCACGTTTGTGATGGAAGGAATGTAGCAGGAGACAAGAAGCATTGATCATGCTTTGCACAACAATGCTGTAATTGTGTCTGTTCTTTACAATGCTCTGGTATATCCTTCATAATTCATCGCTTGCCTGTGCATCCATCTCCTCCGCGTTACAGGAGTAAGAACATCACCCTATTCCTGATCTAGACATGCAGCCCAAGCCCAGATCCACCCTTTTGTGCTCTCATCGACTCTGATGTTGTCCTCTTCGACATATTCTTGCAGATCACCCCTTCACACTCAGATCTCCACCATCAACGAGTTTCCAAGTATCATTGGCTCCCATCAAATCCTTCAAGCCACTTTTGATCCCAACGTCTCCTTCGAGCGAGATCCTGGAAACTGTCTTTGTGTTCTTGTACCAGTTCGTACCGATTCTGAGATGTAGATCGTGCAGTATCAGGGTCTGGAGGTCCGTCTCGTCCTTTAAGACCAGGAACATGTCTCTGACGGCATCGAATCCGGCTTCCGACACAAGGTGTATGTCAATCAATTCCAGGGAGCGTAAAGATGTCTGATTGTGACGAAAGAAGCCTCCCAATTTGAGCGGGTTGGCAAGGGAATCCTTAATGCTCACGACTTCAAGAGAACATTGATCGATGATACAACGCATCGAGGTGAGATGCTCCTGTGGATCGGTATGCATATAAGGGTAGAATGCCTGATACTCTGCGACACCATCAAAGGCTTGTCCTGAGATCTCGAGACGCTTGCCGTGCGAGTGGATCTTGAGCAGAGCTGGCTTCTCACCAGAAATCTGGATATGGATACCCGTTGTAGAGTACCTGGCGCTATGCGCAATGAAGAACAACCTCTCGTATTCGGTATGCATACGCATAAGCTGTGGGAGAGTACCGAATTTCGAGCTCATGTTGAGTCTGGCACCATCGATGCGGAAACCGGTAGCAAGCGATGATCGTCTGATGATATCCAGGGTTAAGAAAGGCTGGTGGTATGTATCCCGAGTCTCGTTGTACCGTACGCCCAAACCATAAGCATGCTGCACGAAAGGCTGAAGGGTTTCTGAGTGTTCGTCGTGAATGCCAAAAACGACTCTGTTGTTTGAGAAGTCCAAGTTCACGAAAGCCTTTGATAGCAGGGCAACGCATGTAAGGCCATCGATTTCGGTTCCGCTGTGTCCAATGAGATTGCAGGTTCCAATGGTGATTTGGCGTATGCACGGAGCGAATTCAGAGTGTGCTGTGACCTCCACCAAAGATTCCAAGCTCTTTCTGGTCAACTCGACGCGGTATTCTGTAAAGTACTTTCGGCAAAACAGTCTGAGGGAGATTCGGAGCATTGTGCTACATGTCAACCTCAGGTTGTGGAGGACGGTGGTGTCGCAATCTGAGATGATCTTGTCGATAAGTTCGTTAGGCATCTCCAAGATCCATGAAACATCGGCACTTGAATTGAAGGACGAGACCATGTTAGGGCGTAAGAGGTAGAGTGATCCAATCAGGTCTGCCATCGACGACGATGATGAAGCCGAAAGCTGGGCAGGATATGTCGAAATCTGGACAGATGGTTGTTGTTGTTGTGTCTCGAGAGAAGGTGGAAGGAAAGAAGGTGGGGATGTAGAATTTGAATGTCATTTTTTGACAGGAAAGAACGATGTTCAGAACGCTACCCTGAATAGCTGAAATGTGTTTGTGATTTTGGTTAGACCATGACATTCAATTTTCATCGGTTCGAAATGTATAACTTGGATATTTTCCATGAGCAATTGACTAAATCAACGCTCAGCCCGTCCCACCCTAAACCCAAATTCCCACTTCGTGTCCATATCTTATCGATTGTTTTCATCTGTTGCTCACGGCCATGTGCATGCGCAAGTTGTGAGTTATGCTTAGCGGCATCCTCTTTGGATGGTCTCTACCAACGACCGCCATCGAAACATGGCACCTTACTGAGGAAAACTGCCATGTTCATCGAGAGGGTCTGAAGAGCGGGGATGGTCAGTTGCCTGCGAGTTTCCCATGCACAAATCTCCTTGAACCCGCGAATCATATCATTTCCCTCAATGATAAGCTCGAGTACACGCTGCGCCATGTCGCTTTTTCCTTCAGACTCAAATCTCTTCTTCCACTGTCCGAGGGTGAGCTGTTCGTGAGAGTGCGTGCATAACTTGAAGAAGCAGACGAGTACAGTCCAATGGCTGGCATCGTTAGATCTGAGGTCCATGTTGATTCGGCGCTTGGTGCAGTCCCAGAAGAATTTGAAGGAGACAAATCTAAGGCTCTCGACTTGGAAGGAATCGATGTTCGGTAGCCAAATGCTAGGATTGCGACCCATTATGTGTTCAAATCTGTCACGACACTTATAAATCGGGCGAGATTCGCATGGTGACATCAAACGCAGTTTAATGTAGTTGTTGCGGTAGAAGATGGGGGAAGCTTCTCTGCGGACCTGACTGGAAGTGTGGAGGAGGGCTGGCATCTTTTCGACTTTTGCTCCAATCTCATACTCCGACTGGCTGATGGAATTGGGGATAGCCATTTCATAGACGAGTTGACGGAGCTCAGTGGGTAAGTCCATAAGACGGAAGTTGCAGGACTTGTCGGCCTTCACAAGTGCCTTGCGAAGAGATTTAGGTGTGCGCTTCTTCTTGCATTTCTTGCCGCGTCTCTTGTTGCGATTTTGAGGCAGCTTGATTCCACGCTCCTTGATAGATCTTGACAGGTCCGAGAAGCTCCAGGTATGGTACGGGTTGTGGATCTGGCACTTGTGCTTGTGTTCGGCGACATTTTCATACCACAATCCGAGTGCTTTGAGGAGCCTGTGAGGGTTGACTTAGTATTTGATAGACGGCAATCTATAACAGATCTTACCTCTTGAAACGCATGATCTGTCTGTGAAGTAGATGGTGGATGTTGGACTGAGTTGGAAATCTGCCGCGCGAATTTGAGATGAATATGTTCAGCGATGTATGTTGTTGGTAAGATGGTCTGGGAGTAAGAGCCGGAAGTTTGTGATGATCAGAAGGCAAAGCCGAAGTGAGAATGACGAAGCTCGATATTTGAGAACAATGGTGAGTGAGTCGCTGCTCGACAATGGGATTTGATGAATGAAAAAGTGAAAGCGGAAAGCCAATGGCAATATCACAAGCAATGTCATTGTCGACGTGGGCACGCTTCTATGCACAGTATAATTGTGAATCATCCTCGTTGCTGGATGGATAGACTTTCATTCACGTTCAAGATCACGCCGTCGAGGCCGCTTTCTGGAGATTTTTCATGACGACGTGCTGCGATTTTGCCTGTATGGCCCGTCAAAACTCGTGAGACGCAAGCTACGATTTGGGTGGTTCGGTTGAACCCTTCGAATGATGCAGAGGAGGAAAAATTGAGTCGGGTTTGGTCTTACTAATGCGGGGCTAGGTGGCATGTACTCGAGTAAGTCATCCAACAAGCTCTCGGAGACAAGGAGCTCCACGATGGCAAAGCAGATCAATAAGCCCTGCCTCCCCGTATGCTAAACTTTGTCACGCGCACCCTGTAGAAATGCACAATGTTTTCTTAAGATTAGTGCAGCCCTCCGCTAAGAGTGTGATACTTAGCGCCTCTCTGCAGACGACTAGAGAGATCTTAAAAATATTGTGCATTTTTACAGACTAAATAACCCCGGGCATGGCCGTGGGAGATGGCTAGAAGTGACAGAATTTAGCACACGGGAAGGTGGCATGAAGAGGAAACGGCAAAAAGAAATGGACGACTAGGGGATCGAACCCTAGACCTTCAGCATGCAAAGCAGACGCGCTACCACTGCGCCAGACGCCCAATCATATGTTTGTTTGTCAAACTTTAGCGTTCATCAATTTCCCGCAGCTGTCCAAGCCTCGGCAAGTACAGACCGGAATCTCAGGAGACCTTGAAGCATCCCAGATACACAAACATGCAGCTTCGGAGCAACGCATTAAGGGCTGCTGTAGTGGCAGCGCTGGCTATAACAGTCAGCGCATCATTGGGCGACCGTCTGCCAGACTTCAAAGAATGCGTCAAGGTAAAGTCAACTCACTTGCGACAGCACACCGGAGCTCGCTGGCTAACACAACCATCACAGACATGTACGGCCACCAATTGCGTACCCGGCGGTCCCTCTATCTGTAAGCGCCTCCCCATATAGCCGAGCCAAGAAGAACACATACAAAGAGAAGGAAACAAGCAAAAGGACAAGAACAAGAAGCTCATGGATATACACAACAGCCCTCCAACACCGCCTCCTCCTCTGGGACTGCCCGTCTGAATGCGACTACACCTGCCAACACGTCGTCACCGACACGCGCCTCGCTCGTGACCCACCCTACCGCCAACCGGTCCTTCAATTCCACGGCAAATGGCCCTTCTACCGTTTCCTCGGCATGCAAGAACCCTTCAGCGTCATCTTCTCCCTCCTCAACTTTCTCGCCCACGATCACGGTATGAAAGTCCTCCGCGAAAAGGTACCCGCCTCCTACCCTCTGCGCAAATTCTACCTCGGCTTTGGCTACTTTGGACTCGCGTCATGGCTGTTCAGTTGCGTCTTCCACACGCGCGACTTTGCGATTACGGAAAAGTTGGATTATTTCGGTGCTGGGGCTAGTGTGATGTATGGCTTGTTTTTGAGTGTGGTGAGGGTTTTCAGATTGGATAAGGATACACCGAAACGTAGCTCTGTGCTGCGCGCTTGGATTTTGCTGTGTGCTGTTCTTTACACGGCACATATTTGCTACTTGTCCTTCTGGCGCTTCGACTATACCTACAATATGGCCGCCAATGTCGCGGTCGGCATTATCCAGAACTTGATCTGGAGTTGGTTCAGTATCAGCAGATACCAAAAGACCAAGCGCATGTGGGCGGCATGGCCTGGTTTGATCGTCGCATGGGTCATCCTTGCCATGAGTTTGGAACTTTTTGATTTCCCTCCTTGGTGGGGAGCTATCGATGCACACAGTCTTTGGCATTTGATGACGGTATTCCCGACACTATGGTGGTACAGCTTCCTCATCAAGGACGCACAGGAGGATATGCAAGGACATCGTCTCAAGGCATAGAATTGCCTTGTATAAAACCACATTCGACAGAACCGCCAAACCATCCCATAGAAACTCAAAGACTTACGCATTCACTACTCTGTATCTCATCTCCTTGGACCCCTGTCCAATCCCCAAACCCTTCCTGCATTTTGACAAGCCAAAACGTGCCTGTACAGCCTACTCGAGAGCACAAGCAAAGATCTATCATAAACAGCAAAACCACCTTCACTCAAAAGCAAGGGATTTTCTCCACTAAAAAACTACTATATATTCTCCATCCTCCCACAATCCAATCCTTTTCTTTTCCATCATCGCTGAGGACTCTGATTTTATCGCGTCCTCGAGTTTGCGGCTGCTGCCCACACCTCAGTGCCCTACATGTGCTTTCTAGTTGCAGAGGGCGAGGTACTCGACTACGGGAACGAGGTTAATGTCGACGAGTACGTCTAGGGCTCGCTTCGTAGGTCGAGAGGGAGAGGAAGCGAGATCATGACGAGAGGCAGCGATGTGCTTCATACCTTCGCCGCCTCTTGCCCCTAGTATGAAACCACTACGGAAAGCGATGCTGTGCGGACTCTCGTCCACCTAACAGAGGGCTACTTGAGTCCTATCAAAAGGCACAATACTTTTCAAAAACAGAGCCATATTCAACGAGATAAGAGCTTTTGGTTACGAAACGAGGATATCAACAATCATATTCGTACAAATTTACTATACACACAATTTAGTTCTTCTTGGGCACCTCCATGGTGGGTGTTTTCGCCATAAGCAGTTGTCCAACCATATTCACAGCGCCATCGGGGTCGTCTTTGTTATACAAGAATAGACCTTGCACTGCAGCAGTGCTGACGGAGTTGATCAGACCATACTGCTCAACACGTTCGAGGAAAAGAGTTTTCTTGCTGCCATCGGGATCGAGAGGAGCGTAGAATCTGTCCCACATCTGCTCCATTTGCCATAGAGTGGCCTCGCCTAGGCGGAGCGTCATGTCTACTCTGCCTGGTCTGATGAGTGCATCGTCAAGTCGTTCGATGTGGTTGGTTGTCATGAATGCGATGCGCTCTTCTGCACTTGCAACACCGTCAAGTGCGTTGAGCAGACCGGAGAAAGTTACTGTGGCTCCACTAAAGCCGTCTTCATCGCGCTGCCTGCGGTTGTTGAACGCAGCGTCTGCGTCTTCCAGAAGTACGAACGTACGAGGCGGCAAGTTCAGCATGAGATGGTTCAACAAATCATCAGTAAGACCACGCTGACTCAAGCTGAGCATAGCAATGCTAAAGTCCAATTCTCCAGCAAGCGCTTGCACGAAAGACGTCTTGCCAGTACCAGGAGGGCCGTGAAGAAGATAACCTCTTCGGTAAGGGATTCCGCGGTCGAGATACCATGTACGAGCGTTCAAGAACTCGCGTACATCATCTCTGATCATTTCTGCCATGCCTTCTTCCAACACAACAGAATCGAATGGTCGCTTGCGCTTGGCGTCTCCCAGAGGCATCCATTGCATATTTCTCAAAGTGTAGACCATGGTCTTTCCTTCAATACTCTGCATAGATAGAGAGTGCGCTTCTGAGAACATGTCTTCAAAGATGTGACGGTGTGCGTAGAGAGTGGTGAGCTTGATGGTTTCAAAAGGTTGACCTTGGGCGTCGAAAGATTTCCCCTCACGCTGGCGATCTACAGCAATGAAGGCGTTTTTGAACCTCAGAATATGTTTTCCGTGTCCAGGTACCAGAGAGAAGTGTGTGTGTGATGCTCCGCCAGGTGTTTTCTGACTTGCTGTCTTGATTTGAAGATGGTGTAGGCCTGGTGTGAAACGCCTGATCAGAGCTTCCATGATTCCTGGCTTCCTGTTGCAAATTAGTAAAGTTCAAAATCTAGCATGAAGACATAACATACACGGTCTCTGCAGTTTCTGAGAGCGACTTCTGATATTGCCGTGTCATCCAATTAAGGACCCACGGATAAGATTCATCATGTCGAGTAATCTCAAGATCAACCAACATCCGCCTCTTCAATAACTCTCCTCCCCTCCTCAGTCCTTGTTGTCCAATTCTCAGCGCAGCACCCAATCCCGCAAGGCCGAAACCTGCAGTGAAAAATGGATTGCTTGTGAGTTGTTGGAAAATTGATCCGTCTCCAGCGCCGCCTTCAGCCAGTGATTTTAGAGCTTGTTTTTTTGATGGCGGAACAGCTGCGCTGCTCGCCGGCGGCGGTATGATCACTGCATTTTGTTGCTCCATTAAGAAGAGTTGATGATGGGGCGCAAAGGTCGCTGCCAAAAGTTGGACGCGGATGGCGCGTTCCCGATCGGGTTTGGCGCCCGTCTTCGGCGTTTCTTCGTGAACAGCAGTGCCACCTGGACGACATTCTTGGAGGAGTGCCTTCGTTTTGTGCATCGACTCAGATCAACATAAGGAACATGAACATCACGAGGGTGGGCACAGTGCTGTCCTCAGGCATCTTCTGTCGAGAATGCCCTTCATGTTCGAGGAGAGCCTGTAACACGACGGCTTCCCCAGGACGGTCACGCGATTTGACAAAACACCGTGCCTTTTGACAATGGCATGCTTCTAACATTCAAGACCTCAAGTCCATTGCACGACTTGTCTCTGGAACGAACGAACACAGTAAATTACAGAAGCATGCTTTCTGCATATCCGAGAAGCACATACTGACGAGCTATACTTCTACACTAAGAAGAACTCGACCTCCTTGCTGTGTGAACCGGATCGTTTGAAGCTGTCTTCGCTCGGTGACATCCAGCACCAGTTCAGCGACGCTCATCTCCAGTCATGCAAGGTGCGCACTCCTCAATGCAACAACCCGATTTCTCTCAACATCACCGCCAGAATGGTTTCTGACATGGAGCGGTGGGCAGTCGGGTTGCTCGACAAGTCCGGCTTTCCAGCGCCTCCTCCGGGAAGTGATGATAGCAAACGCCTGAAGCTTTCTTATTCAGCACATGTGTCATTGCGGTTTTGACTATCCGCAGAGATGCACAAAGCGGCGGGAGTTCTGAGACTACTACCCATTAGTAGTGTAATAAAGCTGATGTCCCAGTTGATAACGTGTCATCGTCCAAGCTCTTATAATTTCTTCAGCTAATCTTGTCGTGGGATTGATGTTGAAGCAGTAGCGGACTCAAGACGCCCCATAAGAAATCCTCGTGCGTTCTCTGACGCTTTCCTTCCGTACGACTTTGGCAGTGGCCACCTACTCGACTTCTTCGTTTGCTGCCATCCAATCGTAAAACACAGTCGACCTTACCGCATGTTCACCGCATTCTGTGCTATTCGCGCATGATGGCCTTCAATCCGAGGATCAACTCTTTCAGGCCGAATGCACAAAAGTATTCGAATCTTGTCGCGTCTACTGCCGAAGCAATACTGACGAGCGGCAGGCCTCTACCAGCAAGCAAATCATATTTTCCTGCAATAGGCATGTCTTGACGTGGAACAGTGCTCACAGTGCGGCAAACTTGATCATCCTGGCCAAGTGACCATCTCGACACTCGAATACGAGACGCTGGTAATGGTTGATGTCTGTTGAGCGCACGTCAGATACTGACACGATCAAGCTTCAAGTCCAAAGAAATTACAACAGACTCAAAGGAGCTCTCTACAATGGCGGCATACATCCTGCAACTCTAGACTTCCTCATGCACGGCGAACACAATCATGCCTTCGACCAGAAGCCCGCATCCCAGAACACGTCTCCCACTTCACGCTGGAGTACATCGGCCGAGGACAGGTTCGATACGTATGGTTCATACAACTCTTCGCCCGAGAAGTACGACCCTTCCAAGCGTAAGCCCGCTGGTACGGAGTCGTCCACGTCCAGAGTTGTCCATATCCCAACTCTCGTCAGCCGAGTCCAGACTGCCTTGTCCGTCGTCAAACCCGGCGGTCACGAAACGATGTCGCCTCCATCAACTGGAGACGAGGCTGTGAGCAACATTGAAAGTCTCGGTCATGAATAGAGAAGAATGGATGATGTAGAGGCCACTGTTCACGACGGTGCGTCGCTTGATGGGTTCCAACAATGAAGACATGCTTCCGGACATGGTTTGAGAACACTGGCCGCTCGAAAACTAGCTGGTAGGTAAAAGATGAATGCTGAAGACGTTTTGATCACCTCTCCGACGTCGTGATCACGATAAAACTTCGCATCAAGATGCACGATGTTTTTGTTAATAATCTAGCTGCCCGCTGAGAGCGCGCCTCCCTGAGGACTCTCACTGGACATTTTCAGCCATCTGAATAGTCCTCTGCATTGCGACAGTGGTTTTGCGAGCGCGTTGGGGCTACGAGATCCAAGTTCGACGCCTGGTGAGTCAGGCACACCAGGCCAACAGCCTAAAGCTTATTGCAACTCTAACTTCCCTCATGGTAAGGACTCACATTATTATGAGTCGCTTCACGATTTTGATCTATAATTCTCGTTCTTTGAGTTCCTCGTTCTGCTAACTTTACAGATATTCCGACGTGAAAAAATCCCGATCTCGGTCCTAACAATCATCACCAAATTCATCGCAAATTCTTATACTCTCGTCAGCATCTCATCACTATCTCGTCAAGTCATCACTCTCCACCTCAAAACCTTGCTGCATTGCGCCAATAAACGATGTCGAGCGATGGAACCTCAAGGGAGCCTCCAACTGGGTCTCCCAATGGCAGAGCAGATGAATCGGCAGGTACACCCCCAGATCAGTCTTCCAACGGCACAACAGACGAATCATCGGTGCCACCAGCAAGGGCCCCTCGTAAGCGTACGCAAAGATACAAAGAGTTGAAAAAGAAAGGGGCTCTGCCCAAGCGTCCCATCCTCCCCAGGACCGACGAGGGACCTAACACGAGACCGCCCTCGCCAATGCAGGCCCCTGGAGCTCGAGGTACGGATTTATATCGGCCTCCTGCACATCAGAGTATACAGGGTGGACAACCAAGCATGTACGCTCCAACGCAACCTGGCATAGCAGCAGCGCCACAAAGTGGGTATCATACGGGTCCATATGAGTCTTCTTACATGATTCCGATTCAGTATGCCCCAGCACACACGGATGGGTATGGAACGCCATACACAGGTCACAGCAAAATACCTCAAATGACAACGCAAGTCCCCAACTTTTCGTATCAGGCATATTTGGATCGAATGCAAATGTACCAGGAACAGGAGCAAGCGCAGGTTGGCTGGAACCGGGCTCAGGCGCAGCGGGCTGAGGCGGAGCAAGCTCAGGCGAGGCAACTCGCTCTCCAGCAGCGACCGGAACAAACAGCAGTGCAGCGGAGAGTCGAGCTGAGCAGCATACGATTGGATCAAGAAAGGGAGCAGGAGAGGGTTGCTGAGCCTCGATCATACAGCCCACGTCGACACGAGCCACATGCTTTGGCAGCACCCCAGCCTCAGCGTATGGTCCGCTTTCTCCGCCTTCCAGAGATCCCCAGCAACAGGATGGGTCTCTCGTCTTCTGGATCCTCCTCCGATGCTCCATTGGAGTTCAAACGTCCTCATGACTCGGAACAAGATCCCAGTCACGGCAGACCCGAGGCACATGGCAATCGGTCCCTCAAGCGACCATGCAAAGATGGAGCTTTGCACGAAGCTGCCAACAGTGCTCTGCATCAGGCTGATGAAGCTGCTGCCACAGCCAGGAACATTCAATCTGTTGTTGCAGGTGCTGTTGATGGGGGGCAAGAAGTGGAAGTCGAGGAGAATGAGGGTGAGGATGAGGAAGATGATGAAGACGCAGATTGCAGTTCTGATGAGGATGTCCGCGCACAATTCTTCAGAAGACAAAGGGACGACAGAGACGAGGAGGGTCCTGGTCAAGGTCAAGGCCAAGGCCACACCCAAGCTCCGGCTCAAGATCATGGCAATGGAGATTGCTATGGCGAGCAAAACGAAGATGGCAACCCTCCTGCCGACCCAGAGCGCTTCTCAGGTCAAAACAACCAGCAAGTCCTTGGTGACAATGAGATCCTCCAACAGCACTCCCTACCACAAGTCTCGTCTAACTCTTCCTCCCTACCCTCGCCGTCATCTCCTGAGCAATCACCTCCCTCTCCCTCTCCCTCTCACTCGCCCTTCCCCTCTACCCAAATACCAACTCTCCGCTCCACTCTCTCTCAACCCCCTCCCTGCACCCTACCTACCCTCAAAGAGTCTACCACCGAACCCGCACACACAATCCCATTCCTCCCTTACGAACCCCTCATATGGAACTCCATCCGCCCCATCGAACGCTCTCGCTATCCCGCCCGAGATATCACAAATGCGTATAAACGCGGTCGTGAAGCTATCGCCGAGATCGACTGGCAGAAGAATAAAATGAGGTTTATTTCTGGGATTGAAGGGCCGATGGAGAGGAGAAGGGGGTGTGTTTGGGTGAGGAGGTAGTAAGGGGGAAGTATGATAGGAAAGGAGAAAGGGTAGAGGTTGAGTAGACGGCATTGTTGTCACGTTGGCTAGAGAAGAGAGGAGGTGCGATGGTAAATAGATGTAGATGTAGATGTTGTAGTAATGCAAGATGGTTATTAAAGCATGAGTTGATCAGTGGGATAATGGGTGATTGTGATAATTGATTTGAATGCTTTCGACTCTCATTGGACCTTCAAGAGATCTCGAAACACACCTTACATTTTGACAACTTTCGTTTCGACAGCACTGCGATACAGAGAGAAGATAATGCGGACCACAGCGATGGTAGGTCAATGCATGATAATGTGATCTAGTAAAATTATCCAGCATCTCCATCATCCTCTCACATCCATTTATAACCTCTTTTCTTCGAATGAACCTCGCTGTAACTTTCCCTTCTTTATTTTCCTTCTCTACCATGCCCAAATCATCTTCCCCACCCCATCATATCCTATCCCTCAACCACCTTCGTACTCCCATCAACCCCCAACATGACAATCTTCCTCTTCTCCCCTTTCTTTCCCCTTTCTCTTTCCTTATTAATCTGTGTTCCTGAATACGCAGGTCGTGGTTCTTGGGGTACATCTCCTGCTTCGAAGGAAAAGCTCAATGCGTTTTCTACGGGAGGTGATAGAGAAGGCTTTCTGGGTGGGGAAGGCGAAGAGGCGCAGGAGGAAGAAGATGCAGCTGGGGAAGGGGGAGCAGGTAAAGAGGGTGAGGATAGATGACGAGAAGGTGGCGTGAGAAATGGTGGAGATGGTAGGGTGTGAGAGGAGGGTGTTGATGCTGTTTTCCGGCGTTTGGAAGCGAGTGGGCGAGGTTGTGCTTCAGTTTTATCTTTGGCCTTGACTTTTGTTGCTCCGGGCGATGGATTGGGACTGCCATTGGAGTGGGGAGATGATGCTGCTGCAGTGGTAGCTGGACGTTTTGTCGGCGGCCTGTTGAGTTCACGAGCAGGATCGGGCATTGGAAGTTCGGGCGCAAGGTGTCTTTGGCGAACGCATCGAGTGCGGCGAAGAGTTTGCTTCGGAGGCAGTGGGGCTTGTGGTTTCTCGTCGTTGAAAACAAGGCCCACAGGCTTGCTCGATGGATTCGACGGCTTGGACGGTTTCTTCAGAACCATGTCGATGAAACCTGCTGGGCGGTCTTCTTCATCCTCTGGCTCAGGCTTGACGGTGACAGTATTGGCAGATACATTCTTCATGTCGACTTCCATAGCAGAGGCAACAGAGCCAGGTGCAGCTCTACCGGCATTGGTGGCTCTTGTGTCGTTGTCATCCTCATTCTCAGCTCCCTCACGGTTTTCCTCTTCGTCGGTGGTCTGTTGCTGGACCTCCTTCTTCCCCTTTCTACGTCTCTTGATATATTCAATCGCGAGCTTGCGTCTCAGAATCTCCAGTTCTTGGACCTTGACCGAGATCTCTTCCTGGAGAATCTCATAGTCGGTCATGTTTTCGTGGAGAGGTGGCATGGTTGTATGCAGCACAGTGAGACGTGGTGAAGCTGTGATGGTGAATAACTTCCAATAAGCTAGGCGTTGGTGGTGGAAGCGGCGAGGAATTAATAGAGTATAGTTGATGAGCTCAAGCTTGGATGATGTGTTTGATCGAGTAGGCTTTTTGAAGTATTAGAATTGGTTCTAGATGTGAGAGTGAAGATACTGGCTGCCTCAGTCGGGTTTTCAAATCGCCCAAATCGGGTTGTCGAGAAGAAGCTACCTAGTCGTTCGTGGAAAAAGATGGAAGATATGGGCAGAAGACATGAGACTGCGGGCTTCGCTTGATCGGTGTTTGACTGACACTTGTGTGAAAGCAGTGCTCGATATGAATGTGAATCTGCGAACTGGGTCAGCGAACAGCATTAACTAGAACGGATTAGAGATCACCGAGATTGATCAGGTCGTGAATTGCACAACTCAGAGAAGACCAAAACATCACAAAGGAAAATAGAAGACAAGTCTTTGTGTTAACACAACTGATGATTTCATTTCATGATGTACGATCGCTGTATGCCTATATGGCAGGGTATATTACAGGATCGCATCTTTGTAGACTATCTAAGCCCTCAATCAGCAGAATGAGGGATGGTTGGATATCAGAAAAGGAAAGGAAAACATGACGGGTGCACACAAAGATGTTGTCCTCCTCTTCGAAAGACAGCTGTACCATGCAGAAAGGTGCAAAGTGCAGAAAGATGCCATGCGTTAATCTCGTAAACGCCATAGATCAGGAAGTGAAGGATGTAGAAACAACCCAAACTTGCACTGACCAAACCCATAAACTCCCGATTTCCATACGCGCTATGCGTTTCGCAATGCAGAAGAACAGTGAAGACTGAAAAAACAGAAAAGACGATGATTGAAATGAAGTTGATTTGGCGGCGGTCGATCAATGACTGTCAGAGAAGAGGCTGTTGCGGGCGCGCTTAGCGGGCACATCGGGCTCTGACATGGTAACGCGATGACGCTTCTCACCGCGAGGGCCACGAGGGGCTTTCTCGTCAGCATCCTTGGCGCGGGACCAGCCAGCGAAGAGAGGAGGCGAGGCCACCCTCTTGGGCATAGGAGTGGCCGAGGGCGAGCTGAGGACGTGGTTCAGGTCATGGTGAGGACCTTCAAAGACCGAGATCTGCTCAGCAGCCGAGCGGAGCTGGCGGTGAGAGGAGGGAGGGGTGGCAGGGTGAGCGCCAACTCTCTTGGAGGGAGTCTTCTTAGCCTGGACGGCGGCGCCGAAGAGAGCGGGAGTAGGGATGGGCTTGATCTCCTCCTCGATATCGGTCATGGCCTCCTCATCGGCGTCGTTGTCGCTGGCGGCGGGGGGAAAGAGCAGACGAGGCACGAACTTGGTGCGGGTCAGAGGGCGGGAGGCAGCGGCGCCGGCCTGACGCTTGAGACTGTCGTTGGAGCCGGTAGAGGCGTCCGAGTCGGCAGCGTCCTCACCGTTCTTGTCGTCGTAAGTACGCCATATCTTCTTGCCGCGGAAGACATAGAACATGCCCATCTTCTTGGTGTGGGCATCGTCCATGTCGACATCCATGGATGATGGAGGAGCAGTCGAAGCGCGAGTGGTGCATCTGGGACCAACGAAGGGATTGTCCTCGGTGGTGTCGATGGCTGGGACGCGGTCCTGGACATCGGTGAAGATGTTGACGTCCTCATGGACATCGTCCTCGTCAAGAGTGAGACGGGACTTGGCCTTCTTGCGGGCGATCATTGGAGCCTTGGTGGTAGTGGGCTTGAAGTTGAGGATGCGCGCAGTCGACTTCAGAGCAGCAGCGTCGAGCTTGCGAGGAGTCTTGTGATGGGTGGCAACCATTGAAACGGGGGTTGGGAAGGAGGAATGGGTGGGAAACACGTCAGAAAGCGTGTTGTTGTTGTTTGTGTTGGCAGGTCTGTTGCGCGTAAAGAGCGATTGACGTGCAGGAGTGAGTCGCGCAGGAGTTTGCTGGTGTGTAGGGAGGTGGACAGCTGGCGAGGAAGGAGGCGAGAGTGTGTGTGATGATTCGGTGCGCGAAAGGGTGGACTTTTGGGACGAGAAGGAGGATTGAGCAGCCTTTGTGTCCTTGTCGTTGTTCTTGTGCGACAGCAAGACTCTCTGAGACCTTCTAGGAACTGAGTAGGGGTCGTAGGAATGATAGCCAGCACCGTGTTTAGGGGTAGGAGGAGTTCTGAGAGGCGCAGAGGGCGGCGGAGGGGTGGTTGCGTCTCTCATGATGGCTGGCGGTGAGAGCGAGGGCGAGGGCGAGGACGAGAGTGAGAGTGAAAGCTGGACGTCTCTTTCGGCGGCAGCAAACAAATGCCAGCTTGGACCGGCCGACACAATCGTCCAAGTCGACAACAATATCGTCCTGACGATGACCCTGGCGCTGGCGACAAGCTTGAGACAAGCTTGATCGATATCTTTGTCGACAACAACAAAACGGAACGCGACGAAACACGAAAAGGGCGCGATCTCTGGCGCCGTGTTGATCCAAGTGATTTGCAGTAGCAATATGTGTATCCAAGAAGTGGGCGACGGACAGAAGCGATATGGGTATACAAACGGGCTTCAAATATGGTAAACAAAACGGAACGGACAGGATGATGGAGGTGGGAGGAGTTGTGCACCTTGTGCCAGGGCGGATGTCATGTCATGCCTTGCATTGGTTATTCAGAGGAGGCTGGCAATTGACGCGAGGCTGGGCCGTTTCTGGTGGCCCGTGCGTTTCGGCTTCTTCCTTCGCCGGGATTCAGCCACGAGGACCTCCGTCTGTTTCTATCTTGTTCATACGAGTACTCATCAGCATCATAGCGTTGTACAACAATCTGTGCTAAGAGGTCACGTCTGCCCGACAGCACAGCATAAGAAGTGTTATTTGTAGTTCGAACCGCTTAATTCATAACGTACGCGTGGACCGTAGAAACAAAATTTCATTTCACTCACAAATGGGAAAGTGAAAGCATCTCCGCGTTTTAAGATCATTCTCCCTGGTTCGTGATATCATTCACATGTAGCACGACTTCTATTCGTGTTGGGAGGTCCTTTCCTCTCGCTCAAGTACTTTCACTTCAGCGTTACCTTCTCTTCTTCCGCTTCCACCACCACACTTTCTTTGCACCACAACAACACCACAAACAGTCGCCCAGCCTTGCCACCACCATCTTCAGATTTGACCATAAAAGTGCCAGATTTGGTCAAAGAGTTGCCAGATTTGACATCGACAGTTCAAGATCTGGTTGCATAGGCAGTCACCATTGTCGTGTCAGTCAGACGCTGCTTCAGTTGTGATAAAGAAAGTGAGCTTGATTTCCCACACACTCACCAGATCTACAAGCATACTGATAATCCTTCCGCAGACACTCTCCGCATACCGCTCCGCTTCAACTCTACATATCCTGGATCTCATCAAGCACCTAATCGACAAGGAAGGACAGATCTTTCACCATGGCCAGACCCAAGGCAGCTGCGAAAAAGAAGCAGCCTCTGTCAAGTGACAAGAGAAAGAGTGCCAACCAAGACCCTTCAGACTCGGAATCCTCCCCGGCTGCCAACAAGAAATCGAAACACTCTGACCCTGACAAGTCCACAAACGGTCGTGTGTTGTTGAAACTGCCTCCGGTCCCCGAGGCCGATCGCCGAAGCCCTCACGACCTGGACACCTTCCGCCCAATGATCCACCCCACTAACCGAGATGGCGAAACCGGGTTGTCGCATCTGCAAAACTTCGAGGCCAATATGAGAAAGGACCTGGGCGAAGACAATGAGGGCGAGAACGAGATAATCTTCTCTTCTGCTCAGATCTCCCGCGCCATCCAAATCCACAAACATTACAGTACTCCAACCATCTTGAAGTACTTTACGGAAAAGGGAGGCTTCGCCGGCTCGTGCGGTTTTCCACTCAAGGAGTTTACCACGATGGGCCTCAGATTCGAAAGAATACTGGCAGAGATTCTAGAGATCGAGGACCCTGATCTCCTCGATCCCCGAGATATGACGACGCACAAATCTGCGGTGTTGCGCTTAAACCCCAAAGCCTCCACCACACGTATCCACGGATCACATGATGGCGACGGGTACGACGTCGATAATGCAAAGTTCACGGAAGAGACGACCGAGCTGCTCCATCAGATGGTGTACAGACACGACCTACCCGAATCTATCCAAGAGCGAATGAAGGATGCACAAAGCACTGCCCTGAGTCAAAACACCACAACGTTGAAACACATGCTCCACGGCGACAAGACCCGACCTGCGAAATTCGCTGATGTGAAGATCATCGTCCCTACGAAGACTGACCCTGAGAAGACCACCACTATCAAGATCCCGGTAAACTTCTCGGCCGCCAATCCCCAATCAGTCCAAGATCTCAGCCAACGACCTCATTTCGTCTGCCAGGACATGTACAACCGTAAAAAGTGGCAGTCGGGGAACGACAGAGGCCAAGACATCCACAAGGCGATCTACGACATCCATGGCCACACGAAGAGAGCGTCTACATTCGATCTCCGCCAACTCATGAACATGCACGATTTCGTTCTCAGAGTCCGCGGCATGAAACGACGCAATCCGAGCAGATTCACCGAGGCCATGATCTCGCCCGCACGCTACGTGCTCTATGAGATGGTCCACTACAATTGGGAATATGATAAGGCCATCGCTACCCGCTTCGCAGGTCTACTCAAGGATCGATGGGCTGAGATTGGGAATGTTTTCATCCCATCCGCATCGTATCATGCTCTGAAGTTGATTCAGATCTTAGAGGACGCCGCCGGTCTCATGGAGGAATATCCCTCCACACGACTCACATACCCAAAGCATCATACCGATCCCAGCTATCCCTTCAATCATGGAAGAATACACCCGTTTCCTCTCAAGGCTCTGGAAGTCAAGGAGTTAGAGCACGGTGTCGAATCTTTCCAGGAGCTCTGGACTGTCACAACTGCCGCAAGAACTTTCGTTGACAATGAATCTCATGAATGGGAGGATGAAGACGACGGCGGAAGAGAGAAATTGCTTGCTTTCATGAAACGTCTTCGGGATGTTTGGTTGATCTCACAACTCCTCTGTTACCGGGATGACACTTGGCTCTGGGAAGACTTTGCCGAGAGCGACGAATTCTACAAGCCTGAAGTCGTGAGACTCAAGCCCAAATCTGAAGCCGACGATGACCATGATACCGGAACCGCAGATGCTACAAACCAACCCGTAGATCTCACACTTACATCCACGCCCACAGAGCCTGAGTCTGCGATTGCAGATGTCGATATGCCAGACGATACAATCCAGCCCGAAGCTTCTGCGCTCGCACCTATGCACACAGATCCCGAGTCTACTAATGCAGATGCCGATATGACAGATGCTCCGGCATCCCCGGCTACGTCTGAATCAGGATCCGAAGGGGTCAAGACTGAGGCTATATCGAGCAGCGTTCAGGAGATTCAGGCTTTGGTTCCTACTTGGCGCGCCTTTGCCATTCTACCACGTTGGCACAATATTCCCTATCTATACGCGATGCTTAACGATCAGTCAGATCTTGGTCTCGAGGATCTCGAGGAAGATCTCTTCGTACGTCTCGATGAGCCAATTCGTCAAGTTCGCAGGGCCGAAGGTGATGACTCCAGCGACGAGGACACAGATTCGGATGAAGATGAAAGTACAGCTGACGAGGACGACAACAACGAATGAGGGGATCTAGGCGAGGCAAGTAGTCTTGATCAACCCCAGATCTGAGGACGGATGGGTCGATTTCTTTTTTTTTTCGATAAAACATAAAAGCACAAAAAAATGATAAAATGTGTTGGAGTAAAAAAATACAACCTTGTGAATTCTGTGAGATGGAATAGTCATGGCCGTTCGGCGTATTCCCATAAGTCACAGCAGCACGGAGAACACGAGATAATTAGACGCAAAGAGTAGGAGATGGTTTTTCATTATTGGGTCTTGTTACTTTTTGCTGTCTTCCAAGTACCTGGCCTTGCTCTCTGTGCCGGTCTTGCTTCCTGCGCCGATCGATCTCCCAGCCCATGTTATCCGCTGCGGTGCATGGCCGCGTGTCCGCAAACCCAGATCTTGGATCAGACGTCCGGGAATTTGACGCTCTTGTGTTCCTCAAAGTATCTCTCAGCCTGCATCATCTCGTCACCCATGTCGGGAATGTGATTGACAAACTCGTTGACCGATTGGCAGACAGCCAAGAATAACAAGACGCGGGAGATTTCCTTAGGAAACATGTCTTCGAAGATAGCATCGTCTGCGAAGTATGGGTCTGCGCGGATGGTCTTGGTCATGGAAATGTCATTGGTGTTCAGCCACCACTTCAGGCGGCGAGAGCCGAATCTCATCTCCTTCAGATATGGGTCTCTGGCCTCGTCTCCATTGACGATCCAGCCTTGCTTCTTCAGATTGTTGACACTGTGCAGAGCGATACGCAACTTCGAGTAATCAAGGACCTTCAGTTCTGCCTTGGCTTCGGCTTTGAGATCCTTGACGCGCTTTGGATGGAATCAGAAAAGATGATGATAGATATGGGAGAATGGAGCCTCACCTTCTCGATTTCAGATGTGTCGATCTTTTGAAGCTTTGGGATCTGAGTTGTTTCGGTGTTGTCAAGAGGAACGGGGCGCTTCTGGCCTGTGAGACCACCGATGACACCTGCGAAAGGTCTGGCACGCGGCATGTCTGGTGAAGATTTGTTAGGAGTGGGAAAATGATGGAAGTGTGGGCAGATTTACCGACTGGTATTTTTTGGGATGATTTCGATGTTGTTTTTGGTTGTGCAAATGGTCAACGAGATCTGTCCAAAGAGTGGACGGAATCTGTCGACTGAGGAGGTTGAGGAAGGAAAGATGGAGGAAGGAAAGATGGAGGAAGGAATGAAGAGGGAGAAAGTGCTGCGCGTCTTTTCTTATATTGTGCTGCCAAGGTGAGTGAAGGTGGAGGTGAATAGCCTTGAAAGCCAATGCGAATGTGTGTATTTTCGTTGTTACTTTTTCCGCTTTCACTTTTCCCCACTTTCACCGATGCTGATTATACTGATGCATTCACTAACTACACGAATTGGATGCGCAAACCGTGTTGTGAGTTTTGATACAAGTTGGATGACGAAAGGCTGGTCGGAAGGATTGTTTGCACAGAGCAAGCGTTGTCATTTTCGATACGAGACCCTCTCATGCTGCATAAATCGGAAGAGAGAGGTATTGCAGTACGCGTTGGTGTATGGGTAACAGAGGAACCATTTGCAAGCACACGATATCACCGATGCATGAACGAACATAAATAGAGCCCGTTATTGTTTCGACATCCTCTTCGTCGCATCAACATTTACCCCAGCCAGATTGCGTAACTTTCACGTCAGATTTGGGAGATATGGGTGCTCCTTCCCTCTAGAGTTGGGAGATATGGCTGTGCATGCGTGGCCGACTTACGATGGCAAAATCATCAGCCCATTCGTCTTTTGTCGCGATTCTATCAACGCTCTCCTCGTAATCCTCCCCGAAATGAAGTCACGAAATCTTTCTGCATTCGCGCAAAAGCACAATCCCGAGTTATTGCAAGCCCTCGACAATGGAACCGTCGTCACACTACACAGCCAGCAAAAGACCAAAGCTGAGCATCTCAAAAAGCTGGAACGAAGACTCGACAAGTCTATACAAGATCTTGGTGGCGACGAAGGAGTCAAGCGGGCCGTGAAGATGCTCGAGTTTGTAAGCAGGGTGGAGGCCCCTCACGACTTTGAGTACTATCCATGCATCCGAGTCCTCCTCTCAGGCATGCAGGAGTTTTTCGAAATATGCACACCGAAGTGTTTCGATTGGATGGAAGGACTGCTCCCCAGATTGGTCAAATCGAAGACCGTCGAGTCCGCAAAAGCCACGAACGATATTCCAACCGTCGCAGAACCAACAAGAGTTGACGTGGATACGGAAGCTATATCACAACAGCTTGAACTGGAAATCAGAAAAGAGTACGAGACAGAGAAGGAAAATTGGAAAGCCAAGATTTCACAAGAGTGTGAAGAGTGGAAGGCCCAAATCCAACAAGAGCTGTCAGACGCATGTTATTTCAGGGTCCTGGAGGCAGAGAAAGATGCAAAGGATGCAAATGTTGACGCAGAAACTGCCAAGAAGAACCTCGCAAAGGCAGATCAAGACGCAGAAGTTCGAGTCAAGAAGATGCTTGAGAAGGTGTATTACAAGGAGATGGAGAAGTTGAAAGGCGAAGTCAACACTGAGAAAGCACGAGTCCGAGAAAGAGACAAACAACTGGAGGAAGCGAGATCTGCACGAGAAGCGGCGGAAGGGTTGGCAAGGACCGCATGCGAACAGCACATCACTGAACAGGGTCTTCGTCGTCGTGCAGAGATCGAACGGAGCGACGCAGTTGATCAAGAGATCTACACGAATGATGCAGAGATCTTACATATTCGCACCATTCTGAAGGAGATGGAGATGTACCAAGCGAATAAAATCGACATTGCAGTGGAGTACCTGAACCTGGAAGAGACGCTCATTGCGACGGAAGACGAGCTGGGGAAGACTCGGACCCAGTTGATACTGGCGAATCAAGGACATTCCGCACTCATCGACACCTTCAAGCAACTGCGAGAAGAACTCAGCGGAGCCGACATGGCGTCGAGGCAGAGTTCTGCAAGCGGCAAGAAAAGGAAGATTTGCGTGTAGTTGACAGTATAGAATACCGAGTGGAGTTGTGCGTTCTTTCCACCCCTACCAGATCAACCGTGATTCCAAGCTCTTTTCTCTTTCCAATCGTGCGATGTCCAGAGGTTCGTGAGTGCGTACGGGATTGGTGTAAAAGTGTTGATCATGGCGGAGGACGAGTGGTGCTCGATAACGGTGTGAGCTGGGTGGGGCAGCATGCATGGCCTTGCAAAAGGGCTTATACCAGGGAATTACAAGTGCGCACACGAGTCTGGTTGTTGTGCTTGATTGACAGGCAGGTAGATGCTTGAATCTGAAGAGCTCGTTCGTTCAGGGTCCGGTCGCATCCGGACTTTGCCGAGCAAGCGCGCCGTGTCGCATTCACCAAACCTTGGTCATGACAACATCACGAAGCAACAACAAGGATGAAAGGGAGCAAATGCTTGATTTATTTTTGGTAAACATCTTTCTTGTCTTTGTGTCAATTCCTTTGAATTCGTAGCCTCCTGCAACTCCCCTCCAATGTGTAGAGTCATTCTTTCACAGCCTCAAAGTCTGTCGGCCATCCACGCATAGAGATGGTAAGATCTGGTCATGCCTGGACCGGTCAGTATGCTCTTTTTCTCCATGACGTTTTGGAGCCCACTCACATGCTTGGGGTGTTGCGATCTCGTCCTTACTCCGAGTCCTCGTCCTCGTCCTCGTAGACTTCGAACATGTCAAGTTCGGGCAAGCCCCCGCTGTTGGCGATGCGGAAGGCTCTTCGGAAGTCCGACTTGCTGAACAAGCCGTCCGAAGATAGATCTTCGAGCTTGGTCTTGTAGTGCCTGATCTTTTGCGACTCGCGCTCGCGCTCACGCGGAGATACCTCCCAGTAGTCGTTGTTACAGGTGGCACGGATCTGGTTCAAGGCCCTGCTGGCGGCTGTTGCGAGGGCCATGGCAGCTGCAGTGACCTCGCGCTCGAGGCGAGCCTTGTCGACAACAAAGTAACGGCGAGACTTATCGTCAAGGCCATCACGGTAGCGTTCTTCTTGTTCATCCAGGAGATCTTGGAGCTTTCTAGATGCGGAGTTGGCGCGGTCAATGACGTCTCTGGTGGGACGTGGCAGCGCGACCATGATGGAAGGTCTGAATATAGTATCAGATTTACGATGAATAGTAAGAGGAAAGACATGACCCACATTGCGAAGCTGGTGTTGAGGGTGTTCAAATCTGTCAGCTCACGTTCGCGTGCGCGTGCTCTTTTGTTGATGTGTGGAAGAGGGAGGGGCAGCAAGGAGGATTGACTTGGTGAGTTTGTGTTTGGCGCGTTTGCATCGTTTGAGTTGGTCTCTCTCGGATTGATCAAGCCCTTTCAAGAAGCATTGTGCTGCGTATCAGAGTGTTGCTTCTCTTAGAAAATACCTTCCATTCACAAAATGGATATATAATCAGTATCTTTCCTCCAAAACGTAACAGGCATGCATGTGGTCATTGTGCTGATGAATGGTAGCTTTGTGCAGTTTCGAAAACTGATCAGCAGAGTTCGTCCTAGCCTTCCAGCCAAGGGTGGTCGTGGAAAGGAGGTCATCAGGTCAGTGATGCATATAGAGCAAAATACCACTGTGCATATAACGATATCCTCCGCTAGCTTGACTGTACATCATGGGTATCATTGACCCGATGGTTCTATATCTCCTGATTGCTTGTTAGTGTGATCCGGTTCGTATTGAAGCATTATCAAAGCTACTTGAACCTTAATACTGATTTCCTTAAGGTCTGAGANATGGAAAACGTCGAGGCTATCTTGGCCATGTTCTCAGAATGTTCGCACATAGAAGGCCACCCTTGCACGCTTACTGCGAAGACACTCTAATGAGTGCGATGATTGATAATGGAAAACGTCGAGGCTATCTTGGCCATGTTCTCAGAATGTTCGCACATAGAAGGCTACACTCGCATGCTTTTTGCGAAGACTGTCTAAGAGGTGCGACGAATAGTAGGACGAATCTCAAGATTGGCCATCTAAGGTCATCAATAATCGCGCATAGTAGGTAGTGTCCGCAAGCCTTATCCGAAGATTCTCCGACAGCTGCGATGACTACTCGAGCAGGATAAATATATAAATGCAATGCAGAGAAATCAAAGTCGTTTCTCGAATCTTAACCGTCGCGCAAGGTAAGTTATCTTCGCAAGGTGCGTCCGAACGCTCCTGAATAGGTGCGATGACTAGCAGGACAAATCCCTGCAATACAAGAAAATTGATACCGCGTTATTTGACCGTCGCGCAAGGTAGGTAATCTTCG